GCCAAGTTTAACTACTATAGATATTAAATCAACATACTTATAATCAGTCTTTAAATCTGGTTGTTACAAGAGAGTGAGTAGTTGCTGTTATTTTATAATCTAACATATTGAAAATAAATTTACTTCTTTATTTTATCTTAATACTTGTTCCTCTTATTTGATTTTTTGTAATTCCTGTTGCTTTATTATAGCTTAAAAGTAAAGTTGTTGTAATGAATTCATAGTAAATTTAAATAATTTTTTTGAATACAGAATTTGGGGAAAAAACTTTTATTTAGAGAATCATGCGTACTATTCACTATATATAGTTATTTACAGTCGAAATAAAATTGTTATTAATCGAATCTCAAATAGCTCTTCATTATTTCAATTAATTTGAATTATTTAGAATAATTAATATACGCATTAAAATAATAGCAATTATTAATTATATTTTATCAATCCACAGAAACATGTAAATTCATAAAAATAAAATACTTTAAATGCTATTTCAATGTTGAGAAATCAAAATAAATTGAATAAGCAGTTGTAGTTTAGATAACATATTCTTCTCTTTGTCTTTGAGAATGCTCAACCAACATAATTATTTATAGTCTTCATAATTCAATAAGTAAAATATTGATAAGGAATTTACAATTATCAAATAAAATTATTACAAAATTTTTATTAGATTATATTTTTGAGCTTCTTATTAAAAAAGTCATTAGTCTTAATGAGAATATTGACGGAATTTACAAGAAGTAGGATAACAAATAGCAATATATAAACAAAAATATAGAATACAATGTATATTTATCTTTCTTCTAAGAAGTTAGTATTTTTGACCTATAAATAACATAAAATGCTGAAATATATATATTTTTTTTAACTCTCTTTTTATATTTTATTATTATTAGATCAAATGATATTTTTTAGACTTTATTTTGAGAAATCATTCTTGAAGATTCCTCAGTATTTGAACCAACATAAACCATTCATTCCTTTTAGAAATGTGCTTTAGATTTGCTTAGAGTGAATGGTAAGTTTTAGATTTGAAATGAAATTATGATGCTCTCATGTTTTTTATCTATTTAGAGCAACACAAATAACATAAATTGCTTTTGTATTAGAAGCATTTACACTCTCTCTTTCATTGTTATGATTTACATTATAATAGCTTATAAGAATACCATTATGATATAATTATATGTTAGACGATGCTCATAAATAGAAGCTAAGTAAAAGTGTGATAGGTAGAGAAGAAGGCTTGATATCAAAGAGAATTAGATCCAAAGAATATGAAAGGTAATTTACAAATTTTTATATTAAGAAAAACCTTTAATGACATTTATTTTTATGATTGCAATTTAAATTAACAATTGTTTAATAGAAATTAATTTAAGTGTGTCTCCATGGAGATCGTGGATTTTTGTAAGAATTTAACAAATTTACATTGTTCTAATATTTAGATTTATAGTCATTATATCGTCATTAATAAAAATTTCTTAATTTTACTGATGTTTTCATTGAATTACGAGCCACAAATAAGAAAACCTTCTGATGCTACTGCTATCTTTTAATGCTATCCTATAGATCAAGAATTTGAGCAATGTTCCGAGGACTTTCCACCTCCTGCCCTTTTAAAATACTAGTATGTATAGAGTATTATTGTAGAAGCAATATTTCGGAATAATAGTTGTTTTACAACGAGAATATGTAAGATGCTATTGTTTAGGAATAAGAATTTGGAATTTCTATAAATAGTAATTAAGGAATAGAGAAGCTTTAAACAACTAATTTCTAGCAACTCGAATAAAGCAATACAAATATTTAGAGCAATAACTTAAAGGAAAAGAGAAATCGACGAACGACACATTATAGAGTAATCGATTCATCATCATTTTTTTAGGAATTTTTTGATAAAGATTTAGATGAACATAATTTAAACAATTCACCTTGTAAATGCAGTAAATCACATTGCTTAAAGTTGTATTGTGCTTGTTTCCATAGAAATATTGAATGTTCTGAGTTGTGCTAATGTCATGATTGCCATAATAAATCAGATTATTCTTAAATCAGAACTTAGGCTTTAGAGAAAGTTAAAGTAAAATAATAGAGAAGAAAACATGACGATGATTTATTTGATAAGGATACTGTGTGGGGATGCTAATGCAGAAAATCATAATGCAAAAAAAATTATTGCGAGTGTTTCATTAGAAATAAAAAATGCTCATCTCTTTGTAAATGCAATAATTGTGAGAATAAAAGGAGAGTGCCAAATATCAAAAAAATAATCAAATGCGAAAATTGATGACACTGATTACTTTTGATTTTTTATCAATTTATGAATCGTATAATTCCTTTAAGAAAATTAACTTAAGGTTTTTATGAAAAGAAGAAATACATATACGAATAAATTTCAATTTAAAAATTATGATAACCATCTAAATCCTTCAGCATAGCCTACTCTGTTTGCAACACTGCACATAAATACATCAACTGGTCTTCCATCGATTTCCTTAATGTTTTTGTTGTTAATTTGTTATTTAACATTAATTCCTAGAGCTTATCTTAATTCCTCCTCTGGCACAGCTCCTGGCTTGTCAATTTTGTTTCCCAAAATTACTATTGGAACCTAAAAATAATATAAATGGTTAAATACCTTTGCCAATTCTGCTGTATTTAATATTTATTCCAGCTCATCCCTACTTTCCTTCAATCTCTATGAGTCTGCTGAATCAACGAGATATATGATTCCATCAACTGTTGGAAAATAGTTCTTCCAAGTCTTCCTGACAGCTTTATGACCTCCCAAATCGAATGCCTTGAATCTGACATTTCCCAACACCAACTCTTCTGCGTGTGGATGTAAAGTTGGGTCATGTTGTACCATTCTATCATCTTTCAGTCTTCTCAATAGAGTTGTCTTTCCAGCGTTGTCCAGTCTAATAAAATATTAGAATTTTCTAATTACCCTAAAAACAAGATTTTTGCATTCTTTTTGTAGAGTCCCAAAGAACCCAACAAACTTTTGAACATGTTAAGGATAAACATTTTAACTTGCAGAATTTAAAATATTAAAGGAAAAACGAAATATGTTTTAGGATTTAAACAAATTTTTTATTGCATAATAATCGAACACATCATTCGTATAATTTGTATATAATTATTCACTAGTTTCATTAATTATTTTTTTGTTTTAAATTCTCTTAACTTTAATTATATTTAATATGTTTGGCAAGTAAACTCCTAAAATTATTCAATATGAAGAATCTCTCCTTAAATGAGTATACCATCAGGTTTTAGACCTGTAATGATTAACATTAAGAATCTAATTGATTGTTAAAGTGAAATTTGTTAAATATATAAAAAATCAAAGTAGTTCCTTGTTTTTGACTTTGAACGGTGTTTGAATCATCGAAAGTCGTCTTCATCAGTTTCTTCTTCTATAGATATTAAGCTATCTTATTTTTTATCTAACTTCTTATTGGATTGTCTCAACTTTTTAATTTTTTATAGAATGAACTTAGAAATTTAGTCTAAATTCATTTCCACATCGGAATGTACACTCTAATTAAGGATTAACTCCTTCATTTGTGTTTTCTCTACCTCACTGATGAGTTTGAGATCGTAAAAATTTTTGAGAGTTTAAAATGCCAATTTGTAATAGGTTTGCATTTTTATAAAATGTATTTTATTTAATATTTCAAGTTCAATATAATATAAATTTAAATCATAACGCTTCAGATTATAAAATTACCTTAGCAGTAAATTAAAGATTTCCATATTCAATTTAAATTATAGTGTCCGGTTTAATCTTGGCACTCAATTGATCATGGTGACCAACGATGACAGTGGGTATATTAAAGTGCACTTAAGTATGATGATACTATATATTACTTTAATTTTATTTACAATAATTCATCAATTCATCGATACCAACAAATTGAGAACATCTAACATAGTTTTATTCTTTTTCAATAGAATAATATTTGACCTCAACAAAATATTCGCAACTCAATGCAATTAAGGTATTTAATATGATAAAATTACTTAAAAATATGTAAATAGGTATAATGATATATGGTAGTATATATCCATGTTTTGAATACATTGGTTCAACTATATTTCCCCAATCTATTACTATAATATTAAGCAATACCATCCAAAGTCATGATTTAAACAAGAGTGTAGAAGGAACCCCAAAAAGATGAGAAATACTTTTATTATTTTAATCCTGTGTATGCAGAATAATTAGAAGTCAAAATGCTAGCAATGAACATTATAATTCCAAAGAGTTGTGTGAATTAAGGCATCAGAAATGGTAACATGTCTATTGTGCCAACGAATATTCCTTTGACTGATGGAGTAGTGGCAATTTTTAGTAAATTCAGTAGACAACCAATTTCAAGGAATATCAATGAGTAGATTAATGATAATGGTCTATCTATGAATACAAATTGATTTACCCAGCTATGAAATGCAACAGCATCATAATTTTATTGTTTCTTTCTAAATCATAAATTGGTCCCTTCTTCAGAATTAATATAATAAAATGAATTGTGTATAACCCATCATCTATCAATTCTATCACTAATTCACTTGTACTGTCTCCATGATCAAAATTCTCAAGTATTGATATAAATATCCCTCCAAAACTAATAATGAATACGATATATTGATAATAGTTACCAATAATGCATTTATCAAATAAATTCTACTCCTTTACTAATTCCGATAATATTTATTGTTAATTTATTTCATAATTAAATGGGTCATCTAAGTGATTACCTTTTTTCTCAAATTACAGTGTCTCAATCAAAATACCCATCATTATGTTTAAATAGAAATATGTCATAAGTAGAATATAAATACACAATATAAAATATCCAACTAAATCATCTGACTCTCTTCCTATCTAAGCCCAATCATCCAAACTTAGAGTCTAAACAAATGTTAGCACTGATCTACTGAATGTGCCATAAAATATTTCAACTTTTTTGTTATCATAATAATAGGCAGTTGTTGAATATGCACATATACATAAAATGAAAAACATAGTGATTGCCAAATTCATTATTTCAGACCACACTAATTTAATTTCTCTTATCATTCTCTACGAAAAAGGGAAAGTAAGTATATCTATACTCATGATAATTTAAGTCATTCCTAATAAATTGTAACCAAAAAATAGATGACCAAAACCTAAGATCAAAGCTACAACTGCAAAAACTAAATCAGATATGTTCTGTCGATTATTCAATAGCATTAGAAGATAAATCCCAATAAAAATTAGAGTTTCATCATTAAATTTGAAAAAGGACCCAATATAGAATATAAGCATTAGCAATGTTTTGTATTTATTTTCAGGCCTAACAGGTATCTAATTTGAATGTGCTTCATCATTATTTGTTGATGGAAGTCGTTGGACTTCGTGTTCGGTCAATTCTGTTTCTAATTACTTATACTTTATTTATGAAAACATTAATGTAAATTATAATACCTATCGATTTAATTTTGAGTAACAATAATATTATTAATCATACAGGGTATAGCCTGTTAGGTATTCTAATGATTGTTAATCATAAAATTGTTGATTATTCTATTTTCCCTATAGAGTTTGCAAGATATTTGACTTTAAATTATGATATTAGTTTATGTAACTTAAAATATTTATTATCAATATCAACATAGACTTTCATTAATAATTTTAAGAAATTATAATATTGATTTAAAAAGGTTTGACTTTATCAGACAGAAATAGAAAGATAATTTTACTGCTGATTTAAATTTTATGATTAAAATTCTAATTAGGTTATTATTCCAATAAAATAATTAATTTCAATTTAATAAATTTTTGTAGTAAGGAAAAAGCTAAGATTAATCTAATAATAATGAAGTAGTAATTGAAAATAAATTAATATTTAATCATTTTTTTGATTAATCCTCAGTCTGACTTAATTAAAAATGAACTCATTTGATTAATTTCATTCATATTTTTGTACAATCTCACTATCAAACCTAAAGATATTAAATAAATATACAGTCATCACTCATTATGACGTAATCGTGAGGACTTATCAATTTTAGAATTTTTCTGAAATGTGTACTCTTTTACAATAACATGTATAATTCTGACATGACATCTACTTTAATAATGATGTCAATGAATTCATTTTATTCGAAAAAAGAGTTGCAAAGATGTATTTAGATTATTTCAGCTTTGGTTTTAAAGAGATGGGTGAAAAAGTTGATCAAAAATTCATCCAAAGAATTCTCAATTGTGGAGATTTCTTTAATTTCTGAACAGAATTCAATCCTCATTTGTTTTTATTCATATGCTTATTAATAGAGCTTTGCATATTTTTTAAACATCAATAAAAATGATTAATTTGTTATTCTACTGGATTTTGTATATTTAAACTTTGAAAATATGTACATTAACTTAGTGATTGCTTAATAAATAGAGTTTTAGTCATGATTTAATGACTTATCTAAGATTAGGATTTATTTTTTTAAGAAATTTCTAAAATTAATTTAAAATTTATTCAAACCTTATTTATAATTAACTAGTTATTATTATAAATGTTAAATTTCTTGTCTTTTCTTATCTATTATCAATATATAAATAAGTTCTGTTACGAAGCATTCAGAATAGCGAATAAATAATTTTTATATGTGATTATTATTGTTTGATTTTAGTTCTAAAATTTTATTAACTATTAAATCATCTTACTTCTTTTGTCTCGCCAACAAAAATGTCTCCAACGTTTGTCCATATATGGAGTAATTTCGAAGGATGAAATTAAGGGCATCATGATTATTTGAGAACTATTTAAATTCTTGATGATGTTGGAGGTTACTGAATTTTTATTAAAACTGCACATTATCTTTGTCATATGTACAAAGCGCGAAAGGACTATCGGTTAATAATGGTATCAATTGCTCTAAAAAGTTATCATACTCTAAAATACCTTACTAATTATCTTGAGTAGTAAATAGGAATGACAATCTATATTGTTGATTTATCTTAAAAATACAATAGAGAAACATCAATCCAATTACGACCGAATAAAGTATGGTTTGATAAGATAATGATGGCTGATAATATTTTGATATCACTATCTTTATTATTATATTTCCCAATATATGTATTGAACTAAATTTAAAATCGGAAATAAGTATTATCATTATATTTAATAACAATTGATTCTATCCAAATACAAAGGATTCTTGCGGTTCAAATCCGTCTTCAACGTATTGTTGCTGTAACATCAAAAAATGATTTATGATTAGCAAGTAATAATCTACCCCTCTTCTATTGTTATTAAAAATGAAAAATTAAGCTAACAAGGCGACAATTGTTAAAGAGAGAAATACAAAAAACCCTACCATTTAATCCTGAAAAATAAAAGTAATGCTTCGGAATAAGCACAACAAGAAACTGACTAGATTCAAAGATTTGCAAATAGGAAGGGTATATCGATATCGAGAATCTTGATACTATTATTCCAGTTTTTCACTTCTAAATGTAAGAGTGTATTTATTCATTTATTCAATTATTTTTATCAAATAATAAATATTATTAATATATCCTTAACTATAAATAGGTAAATATAATTAGAAAAAATCTTAATGATAAATAAAAACTTGTTTCTGAATCATCATAAAGGTGTTCAAATGTTTTCATAACAAAAATAGTAATTTAAATATGTTTCTAAAATTACAGTTTCTATTATATTTATACTTATTTAATTTTTAAATATGTATAATAATAATTAGTTTTAATTGAGATTCTAATCGTGAGATGTGTAAATATTTTTGTGTATATACAAATTAATAAAGTTTAAGCTAAAATATACTTTTTTAATCATCCTTGATATTTTGTTTATAGAGTCATGAAAAAAATCGATTTAAATAAATTAAAAATAACAGTTTATAAGTTTTAAATTAATTAATCAAACATGGAACAAACAGTTTTCATTATTGCTATTTAGTAATCATATACAACTCTTCAATTTTGTTAAGAAATCGATTATGTCTTTATTAAATATCTTTTATTTATTTATTATATTTTTTTAAATTATCAAATGATTGATCGTGTTAAAGTCTCAAAAATAAGTAAAAAATTTACTTTTATGTTGATACTTGTGATTGCATAAATTTAGTATTGTTTTCAGGTTTTTCTGGACTCTTTTGGTTTATTTTAGGCAACTTGAGAAAATAGGCATCCTTTTCTAAGGATTGATTTGTTGTTTAATTTTTATCTCTTTGAGAAAGAGAGACTTTATTCCTTAATTTCTTAAGTTTTAATTTATTTAATGATTACAATTGTTTCATTTGATTTGGATATTAATGGAAGTTAAATGAAGGGCCTATGTTGATGAATTGTGATTTTCTATAATTATCTTTCAGAAAGACATATCATTTATTTAATTATATTTAATAATGTTGCATAGCAATTTTATATAACATGATAATAAATTGGTTTTAATGATTATCTTAACATACGTTTAAACGAAATAGCAAATAAAATGTATTATTTAATGAATATATTTATTTTATCTTATCTATAAAAAAGAAGGGATAAATTTAAAGATGAAAAGGAAATCAACTCAATTTAATAACCTTCGACGTAAAAATAATAAATTTAATTATATCCAAATAATATGATATGCATCAAATTCCTTTAATATAAAATATGTATTCGGATCCACCTGATAAAGCATAAGCTAATTTTTTTGAGCCAGTATCAGATTTGGTAGAATCATATGCTATCATTGTTGCATCTTCTACATATGTACCGGCAGCCTTATCTGTTATTTTGACTAATTTGTTGTTGGTGGTAATGCTGAATGTTGTGCCACTATAAATGTAAGTGACAGTCAAAGATAAACCAGTAAATGCTGCTGGTGTTGCTGCATCATCAATAATTTTGACATAATAAACATCACTGAACGCAGTAGCTGCTGCTATACCAAATTGAACAGCTGGGTACGAAATGACTTAGACATATCCATTTTTTGTGTATGACAACCATGACAAGGTGGTTGTGTGTTCTTAGCCATTAACAGTTAAGTACAATCTAGAAAAGGTAGTTTAAGCAAAATTTAAAATGTAATAATTGGTCTGATAGTGTTTGCTAAAGGTTCTGACTCTTTACAAGAAGATGTCGGCTAATTACCAAAACTTAGTTAATGTTGCTCCTTTCAAGGCAGGGGTCATTGTTGTGTCATCCTATTATAGAAATATTGCTATACTCTAATATTTTGGATAGTTTAGAACAATGCTTTTTCAATGTAATATGGGTGAGTGGTTGTTTTGATAAGTTCAGGTTGATATGCAACATATAAATCTAAGATGGAATTTAATTAAGAGTTTGTGGCCAATTGTAAGTTGACAGTGAATACTTAATATAAATAGTCTGATTTAGGGGTTTTGGTTTATAAATCTGCCACTGTTATTCCTGTAAGTGAATGAGTAGCTAATCCAGTAGTGGAAATGGGGAACCTTACATAATTATAATCAACTTTATTATTGCTAGTAGGAGTTGTGCACACATTTTCATATTGTACATTCAAAGAGGCGATTGGTGCGCAAGTTCCTGAGTAAACACCGCTTGGACGACAAGCTCCAATTTCATTTATTCTATAACAGTCAGCTGCCACAGTGTAAGGATCGCATTAGGTAGTCCACTTACAATAACCTGCGGCTTTACATAGTGCTTCAGTTGGGAAATTAGCAGCAGAGCAAGCAGTTTACCCTGGTGGTGCAGTAGAGCCTAGCCAGAATAATAGAAATGTAAGAAAATAATATTTGTACATTAATTTAATTACATCATCAAATGAATATTTTATAGACTCTTAAATGCATAGACCAGATAGAACATAATTTATTTTAATAGATATAAATCATAGAACAAGGTATAAGCTGTTGGGAATAAAAAGAAATGATATTGTATAAATATAAGAATAAGCAAAATTAATTTAATGATGATTGATATTTAATATTCAAGCACATGATGTTCCACTCCATGTAAAACGTCCTAATCTACATCTTGTGTAATATCTCCCTGTTGCTACTTAAGAAGTAATTGCAGTTTCAGCAATCAGATAAGATTTTGTAGTAGATTGACTTGAAATATTGATGGTGCAGGTTTTTGTAGATGTATTACAACCTGCTGAACCTTGAGAAGTAAATCCATTCATCTCAATCTTATCAAAAGTATATAAATTAGCACTACTTGTGGGTTAAGTACCTGTGTATGACCATGTCCATTATAGAGAATAAGTTAGAGTTGCATCACTACCATCTATATTTGATGGTCTAATTATGAATATATCTGATAAGGAGGAAAGGATACCAAATTATTCAGCAGGAATCACTAGCAATTCCAAATATCCGTTATCATTATAAGAAGTCCAAGAAATTTGAGTAGTTTGATATTGAGATCCTAATGTCAGGGAAAAGCGATTGAAATGAGAAAACCCAGAATTGATCAAATATTTATTCGAAATATAGAAGGGCTGATATGCTCTTAATTTTAGAAAGTAGGCATCTGTCATCCTCCATAAGAGAGTGTAATAATCCTATCTTTTATTTGTTGTACCAGTAAGAGTCAAGGCGACATCGTCTCGAATAGCTTACATAGATTCATAGATCGCCTTCTCTAGATACATGGGGTGTATCTGAGTATCAGCTAAATCATATTGCATCTAAATATAGGCATTCATAATATTCATCAATTCTGATGTGGAGGCTGTCAAAATGTTCACTGTTACTATCTCATACTTGTATTTTGAAGTGTACCTGGCAGTCATTATAGTAGTAACAAGATAACCACCTGTTGTTTGACTTGAAGATAATTATGTAATGTCTGAAGGAAACTTTACATAAGAATACATCATAGTAGTCTGATCAAATTCCATACATTAATTCAGAAAGTTAGAATTAATCGAAGGGATCTCTGCACATTTATTATTCAGGACCAGAAACCCATTTAAACTAGATCTACAAGCCCTGATGTCACTAACTTTGTGACACTCAGCCAGTCGGCAAGCTGTCCCTGTCCAAAAGCAATACCCAGCAGCAGTACATGTAGTCTGAATCATCCCTGCGCAATCTATAGTTTAACTGAAAACGCTATTGAGTGATGCAATCAATATAAGTAATTTTTTCAACATACGTATATAATTTTATATTAATGATAATGCCAATTAAAATCGACTATTTATATATTCAAAAAGAATAGATACAATCTCCATACTTTATAAAATTTACTAATTTATTTCACAGCTTTACTTTAATAATATCATTACTTCATTTACAAGAAACTCACTTGAACAATTTTAATAAAATTATTATGCTTCTCTACTTCAATTTCTGAAAGGTGCAATTACTTCTTATCCCATATCTATTTAGTAAATAGATAATAAGGATTACAGGATATGAAATTTTTGATTTTTGAGTTTCGACTGAAGTTCCTCTTCGTAAAGTTATTTTTTTAGTTCTTCCTAGCTGCTATATCAAGTAAATCTAAATTTATCTTTCCTACTTTAGTTAGACAGTACAATAATTCAAAGAGAAACCTTGAATAAAATATTTGAATCAGATATTACTAAATAACTTTGAAATGCATGACAAATTTTATCTCTACTCCTTAACTCTTATTTGATCATTAATAGGATTGTTAAAATAAAATTATCATTTCTGAATCATTTATTTAATATTTATTGTAAAAATGCTTATTTCTGTGAATCAATAGTGCATTTAGGTGTTTCTTAGGACTGAAAGAACATTTGAGGAATGACTCAAACCATCTTCTTAGAAACGCATTCATAATTAATAAATCATAGATGAAGAAATATCTTAACTTAATTATTGAAAGTGTATATTTGTAAGACTAAATTATAATATCAAATTAGATAATAAATGAATTATATATTTATAATAATGAACTAAATTTTTGCTAATAAAAATCAGAACTTCACAGTGTTTTGTAAACTAGATATATTCTTAACAATTACTATTATAGTTTAGCAATTTGTCTATCAAATCTACATGTGTTAATATCATTCTTCTGCAACAATATCTCTCCAAACCCAATCTATCTAAGGATTCTCCAGTTGTCACACCATCTTAGAGTAATTGCACATAATCACTCCATAAATGACCCACTACCTAAATGATTCAATTAACATCCAATTACCTTCCCACAAGTAAAGCATCTGATAGGAATAATCATGAATTAATTTTAATTATTAAATAAAATATTGTTTTCAGTCCATCTTATAACACTCTCTTCACTCTTCCAAATATAATTGAATATCTTATATGCAATTTGCATCTTGAGTCTTTAAAGTCTTTCCATCAATTTTGAATTTCCCATTCCATCCTTTTCTACTCTTTATGGATTTAATTCTCTTCCAAGACTGAGAACCACTCGTACTCTCACACAAATCAATTGATACTCCATTGAAATTACACTCATAATACCCCAATGGACACAACATTCCATCATTTTATATCAATCCCAAAGTCATATCAATCTGACCTAACAAATACTAAGACGCATCTCTTACTTATCCCTACTCCTGGTTTTTCTTACTCGTATTCAAACTTTCCCAATTGAATCATCAAAGCTCCATAAAAGTTAGAGATCTTGCTTACTCCATAAATCAAGTTTTCAGGAGTCCCTTCCAGATCTACAAACTCATCGGTCTTTTAGTTGATATTGATTAACGATTTTGACTTGACAACATTTTATGGTCCTGCTATATAACTATCATGTGTGAAACTAATTGTAATACCAAATAAGTAAGTCCTTTAAAAAATGTTCAGATTAATTATTCAATGTAACATCAAAACTACTAGCTTATTATCTGGTTATTGATAATTAAAACTTCAAATCTCCTTTTTATGATTCTTTTTGAAATCCAGCCAAAAATATTTACACAGTTGGAGTCACCCAAAATTCTCTTACAAATTAATATTTATATCCTACCTTCCAAAATTGATTGTTGTGCTTTTTTGGATGGTCTCACAATTTACTTTAAATCTATCGTCAATCACTGCAAACCACTAATATTCGAGATGATCAATTTTTGATTTATGATTCGTTATCTAGAATTAAAATCCTTCATAAAAATACGTCTCGTACCTTATTGAGTGATTTATAGTAGTTTAGGTTCAATCCCTATAGTTCTTGGGACCTCGTTGTTAACATGTAATGCTATCAAGGATATGCCGACTTATGGAATTGATTCGAATTTTTAGTCAAACTAAACAAAAGCCAATCTCTTGTCATGAGGAAACAGAACATCGAAAGTTACTTTTCCTATTTACAAATTGAGAACTTAATTCACAAAAAGTATTATAAATAACATTTTATTAATGAATTGTATAATTAATTAAACAAGCTATGCTTTGCTATCTCCTACAAATATTAAGATTTGAGAGAGAAGAAATTCCATTATGATCATATCAATGAAACGATTCAGTTACTTATGCATATGGGTAATAAGATAGTATCGGGTTTTGTGTAAAATTTGATTCTCAGATAGTAAACAGGAAACCCAAATATATTATTTTGCTATTGTTGAATATTTCCAATTTTCCAATTATAATATAATATCTCAAAATCATATTAGATTATATCTTTGGAATTTTTTGGTCTGAAAACTCCAAATGACCAAGCAATTTCCATCGTTTGTAAGACTTCCATAATTATATTAATCCTAACAATCAACTGGCTAGCAGATCTAAACGAATTAAGTATCCATTTACTTTTTTAAAATATACACGTATTAACCATGTTTCTAAATTAGAATACCTTACTTCTAATTATAAACTGTTGGAAATAAGTCTTCATCCTCAGATGAATTCTCACTTAATTTAATTTGAAGTTTAGGCTGTTGAATGAATTATTCATTTTCTTCATAAAACACTTATGATATCGGTTTGCTCCATTATTAACAGATAATTGTTTATTTATTTATAAATGCCATACGACCAAAGTAATCATTCATAAATTAATTTACTGTTTATTTATATTGCCAACCTCCATTTTTGTCCTTAATCCAAATCAATAGGAATTTATCAGCATCCGAAGAAGCCATAATAGATTCTGATTCATCCATACAAATACAAAAAAGAGAAGACTTGTGTTAGTCCAATGTTTAAGAAATCTTCATCATCTTTTGTTAATTAAGCTCAATAATTTTTATTAGAGGATCCTTCCCAATACTAATGATTTATTGATTAGAATGATTAAACAAGAGTCCTGTGACTCCTCTACTAAAGACAGCTAGCTTGGTTGATTACCAAACATTAGGCTATATCTTTTTCCAAAATCGAATTTCTCCGTCTTCTCCTCCAGATATAAAATATCTATCTTCATTAGTAAAAACTAGACTAGTAACCAATTTTGTATGTCCATATAATAATAATGAATTGTCTTGAATTGTTCCATCAATTAGTTTCCATAATTTAATAATTTCTCCACTTCCTGATATCATAAGAGTATTGTTTTTATTAAATGCTATAGCTAAACATGTCTCATTCTATTCGATAGACTATTTTATTTCCAATTTCCCCTGGTCATTTGTCGAAGTTGATGTGCTCAGATCGCAAATAAACTAAGATCCATTTTAATTATAGCTTAGAGAAATTTCATTCTCATTTATATTCTGTTTCTCAGTTCCATACTCATTCTCATTATATTTCTCAATTTAAATCGTTTTCTAATTCTCAGGTACAATTGTTTTATTCTCATTCTATTTCTTATTTTCAGCATTAATATTCTCGTTCATATTTATCAAGTCTTGCCTCTTAATTTGATTGCTATTTTGTTAATAAGTTGTCTTCGCTTAGTTTTTCTCATTCTCAACCTATTATTGTTCTGATGTCCAAAACTCAATTACATTAATATACATATTTAATCGATTCACACAATCTAACAATTTCATTTCAATGTAAGGTTGGCAATCTTTAAAAATCTTTGATAACGAATTAATCTCTATTGATCTATTTTAATTAATTATGCTTTCTTCTAATTCTATTAGTTTGCTTAAACAATTTTCCATAATTTTAAACAAATCGAGTATTTTGAGTTTAAAATTTTAAAATAGTTCTTAGTATTCAGTAGATATATCAAAAACCTTCTAATTAGTGCCTGCTTAATTTTTCTCGATGAACTAATCTTTCATTAAAATTGATTTTAATTTTTTAAATAAATTAATTCATTTTTCTATCCTAAAAATATTTAATAATTTATATTAAATTATATCCTCTTTTTATAATTATTATACTCCTATAATTCTTCGATCTTTCTCTCCATGCGCATCCTCCTAATCTTGTCAAAAAACTATTATTTTGAAATTAAAAAATTTAAGTGATTTTTTATCAAACCTTATATTTGGTTCTTTTGTATTTATTTTAATCGAACTCCTACCTTATTATTTAACCATTCATAACTAATTGCCATATTAACATATATTCCTCTTAATCTATAATTTATATTTAATAATAAAATATTAAATATTTATTAATATATTATTTATATTTTATACAATGTCAATCAATGTCATACTAGAGTGTCCGTCTAAAAGTAAGAGATATAACATTGAAATCACAAATGATGTCACACCATTTTAACTAGAATAGGAATTTAAAGAGCAATTTTTTAATAAAGAAGAAAATCTCAGGTTTTATTTTCAAAATCAACTTTTGATTCATAACAAACCATTAGTCGAATAAAAAGTCGTTAAAGGTTCCTTAATAATCATAGGAGTTTCATATAAAATAAGCTTGAACGTGCCAATCCTGAATAAATTATATTAGGTAGATATTGATGAGTTTTGGACGACAGCAGATTTGACTAAAAAGCTTTTAGAGCTGCTATAATTCAGATCAGAGGAAGTCTCATACTAACTAGGGTTATAGGTTTTAAAACCATAAATTTGGTTGTCTAAATAGGATGTAATAAGCTAATGTACTGTAACAGTGAACATCCAATAAAGGGGAGGTAGATAAGCTTGATTAGTATTGCAAAACATATTATCAGATAATTCATAAACCTTTTTCTATTAAATTATTTATGGATTTTTAATTTAAAAATACCAAAATATATATAAAAAAACTAAACAATCTTGTTTTTTTCTCAAATATTTAAAAGTTACTATCAATAGAATTAAATTTTAATTCTACATGAATTAAATATTGTATATCACATTCTAAAAAGAATTCTAAATATTGATTGAAATTCAATTAATATGGGGAATCCTTACTTTCTCAAATTCTACAATAATACTAATTAGGGAGAAATATATTCTGGGTTTATAAAAATATATATATTTTGTTTATTTGAAATGCTCAAGTGTTTAACCAGAAAGTCTGATCCAGTTTGTAAATCTCAAAGTTACAAGTTAAAAAATCGAAAATATCGGGAAGAGTAGATAATTGCAGAGGGAGGGTATGCATATATTTGGAAATGTGAGAACTTTGCTATAAAAAGAATATTCATCCAATCCTAAGAAGTCTATAAAATGGCAATGTAAGAAATAAGTATAATGGTATGAATGGGATTTAACATAGACAAGATTACCAGAACATCCAAATATTGTGAAATTAGTCGATTATGGAGAGGTTAAAATACAAAACAAAATGTTTGTTTGTCTAGTAATGGAATTTTGCTAAAGCAACTTATTTTCTGTTTTATAGCAGGAAGTATTAAGTGAGAGAAGAATTATAGAGATATTTAAATAAATTCTTGATGGATTGGAAGTATTGCATGCAGAATAGATTAGTCATAGAGATTTAAAACTTGAAAATATACTTTTACAAGGGGAATCCTTTAAGTTGTGTGATTTTGGATCAGCATCCAATGAAATCATTGACCTCAGCCAATTGAACAAGGCGTAATTGCTATAGTAAGAGGAGGTGTTCTCTTAAACAACCACTATTACATATAGACCCCCCGAGATGATTGATGTATTGACAAGATAGGTGATAGATACAAAAGTGGACATCTGGTAATTGGGATGCATTTTGTATAGCATGTGTTTTCGTAAATCGGCATTCTCAGAATAGAACAAAATAGGAATTGCACAGGCATTATTCGAAATTCCTTAATCCTAAATTTCGATAAGTACTGTGACATTGATTTAAAAAATGTTGTAATAAGATCCAAAGAAGAGGCCGACGATCAAAGAGATCAAGATTTCATTGTATGGTGGTACAGAGGAGGATGAATGGGGTGAATTCTAATGATTAATTGCTCTGTGTTACTGATAGATTTATCAAAATAGATAAAACTTTGTAAAATTTGTGAGTATTGCAAAATCAAAATATATCACAGGCTGTGTATTTACCATCTCTTGCTTGGAAACATGCAGTTCTTTTCAAAATGCCAGGCTATGGTGGTGGTATTAGTTCTTATTGTTGTGCTGCTGTCTAATATGGTTTGATTTCTTGGGGTTTAGGTTATTAATAAGTAGGTGGAGGTATTTGTTTATTTTCCTTCTTTTAAAATTCCTCCTCTTAATTTTCAGTAGCTCCTAGAACAACAGGTCCTGCAGGCAATGCATTGGGATATGGGGGGTGAAATTCAGATTTACTGAAATGATATTGTTTATAGGATTTCCTTAATGATTAAGATTATCTAAATCTAGTTGAATCAAGAGGTTCTTCAACAAAATTTTTTGATTCACTAGGATATCCATTAGATTACTATAAAAATTGACTCTTCCTTTCATAGGGTTCTTCTTCAATAACTGGGAATTTGGAGAGTTGTCTCTCTTCAACATTTTAGTTTTATCTGTAACTTTATTTTCCCTGATTCGATTGCTAATTGCTCTGTGGCTGTGAAGCAAAATGGAAATCTTGGAAAGATATATGTTGTATCTCTCGAGATGACTCTGAATTCACATTCTGGAACTCCAACCTTTATGGTTTCTATATGCTACTTTCATAACCGAAATTCTATGTTAATTGGGATGGTCTTTCATCTGTTTATCTTGATTATATCAATTTATTAGATGCTTATTGAGTAGGTTAGACAGCAGGTAGATTCATTTTAGAATCAAAATATTCCTGTTTCAAGGATTCCTGGAGATTGAGAGTCTGCGATTCCTGTTGTGGTTTCTTAAATGGAGCCTAGTATGCTTGGTACTTTTATTAATTGTATGGTTCTGATCGCTTGGATCTTTAGGATTTGACACTTGGTTCGTAGTTTTGAGTTGGATAGTTTTGCTGCTGCTACTCTTAGGGTTTCTCAATTTGGATTGTAGGTTAGGGAGGCCAATATTGCTTAATCTTAGGCATGGTTCCACCGAACTATACTTCCAATTGGCTCGGATCGAAATACTCTTGCAATTTGGAGAAATCCTTCTTTTGCAGAAATTGTATTTTCTTGTTTGATCTCTCATCAATAAATTCTAAGTATATTAATGGATTCATTTACTCGAAACCAAACTCCAAGACATGTTGAGCCCCATTGATGGATTCAACAGATAGAGTTTCTCCAAATTTCCTACGTAATGGGAAGCAGCTGTCGATATAATCTTCTTCAGAATCTCTATTGGCAAACTCAAGAGCCCTAATTCTGCAGTGTCAATTAAAATTATCCAATTTTCAACGAATCCTTCATAAAAACAATATTGCTAAGTAATCATAAAAACGGTGTTTAAAGCTGCTAGGAATTCTTCACCTTTGATATTCTTTTGATCAATTAAACCCACTTAGAAAATCACTGATGGCCTGAATTTTTTGTCTCTGCCCCCCATATAAATAATTCCTTTGTCCTAGAATTCAATCTCAAACAATTACCAAAATCGCCTATGATCCACTATTCAATTAGAATGTAGAAGGATTGTTCAACCACTCTTCATGATTCTTTATTCCGTTGTAGGTTTCATCTAAACCAAAACGAAATGAATACAAGAATCGATATAACAAAATGTCAGGATAATGACTACGATTCTTACATAAATAAATACCTAGCCATTCCATTTAATTTAGTCTTCAATTAGCCTAGCATTTACTACTCATATTGGTCAAATGGCACTCCGCCACCTCCATTACCATATATCTTTCTGATAGCTTATTTTCCTGTTCCTTCCTTTACATAGTTGGCTAAAATTATAATATATAGAAATACCAGGGTGAGTTACTGCTCTTGCCTAATTCGGACTAATAGTGAGATAGTCATACGTGGAACCAAATAATTTTTACATTTTTTTGTATTAATAAATTTAATTTATTCAATATTTCTTGGCCATTTAATCTTGTCTCTTTGAAAGACTAGTTCGTATTTAATTTCCAAGAGCAGATCCAATGATGTCTACAATACTACAAGTTTATAATTCAAATAATATATATAGAAATAAAATAATTTAAATTATATTTTATTATAAAATGAAAACAGAATCAGATAATGAAATAGAGACTCTATAAACCATGTGGAAAAACATTAAGTACTTTGATATCTAATAAATAGACAACGCATGGAATCCAAACACGATGATTCAGATATTTTGCAATAGCCTCCACAACAAATTACGATCAATAGCCCATATGCAGCTAAGAATTATCAAGTGTAAATTTAAGCTTTGCAAGATGAATTGTTCTAAAAAAATACCAAACTAATAACTGCTCAATAGTAATTGAATCAAATTAGCGATGAAAATTCATAATTATAGGATGAATTGGAGTAAGTGAAAGTTGAAAATTCGTTAATGAAATAGAAGTTAGAGTTGATTGAATCCTAAATAGATTCGATCTAAGCTGACAAAGATAGTCTAAAATTAATAAGATTAGAGAACGAATAGTTGAGAATGGATGTAAAAAAATTGCTTGAATTATTGAGAAATACAAAAGAATACAACAACATAGGTTTTGATGAAAGTCAATCTTATGTTAAAGGCAGTGTTAAATTTGACACTAGAAAATCCAAGTTAAATGAAACGTATATATTAGTAACAACATATTCATAGAAATTGGGTGCCCACCAAATGCATTGAATTGATGTAAGATTATGACAATAAGGAAGAAGTCTTGTTATAATTAAGTAGCTAATTTCAAAATTGTTACTAAGATAAAATAAATAAATTGAAGTAGTCATCTTAATAAGAAATTGAATAATTAAAAAGGTAATTAGATAGCAGAACAACAGTCGATGGAGTGTTATAATAAAAGCAAATAGAAAGGCTGAAAAAATAAAAAAATGCAAGTGGCAAAGATAAAGTGGACATCTCTTAATTGCAAGATTGTTTTAACTTGATCAAATAAAAGGAATAATAGATTTTAGAACTTTAGTAAAAGATCCAAGAAATGAGTTAGTAAATGAATGCAGATGAAAATTACAGCAGTATGAAAAAGCAAGTATTCATAGAAGGGGCTTAATGGATATGTATTATATAATCAAACTATAAATAGTGGCTAAAATATTGGATGAAGTAGTTGCCTATGAAATCAGTTTGAATGAATTAAACTATGATGTAGCAATCAAAATAGAAAGTCTAATGAGTTCAGAGGATATTGTTTAATAATAAATCATAAACAAGGTTTATTATTGGATAACTGATACTTCAAGAGAGTTAATTGACACATTCAAAGATAAGTTATAATCAATTATGAATACTACAAATAGTAGGATATAATAGTTATGAATATAAAATATATATATATAAATAAACTCAATTGAACTTAAATTTCTATTTGTAAAACTAATTCAAAATGGTAGTAACAATTATGATGAGGATTACATATAACGTTTCCTTAAATATGTAGGTAATATAATCTATTAGAGATTGTTCTAAAATAAAGTAGGAAACGAAAATGAGTATGGCCAAGGTCAGTGATCCGACTATGACTCTGTGATAGGTGATTTGCTCATATTTCTCGTTTAATTTCTTCAGTTGAACCAACATCAATGCGAATAGCAATAGGATTGAATTATTAAGTATGAATCTAAAATAATTAGTTATAAAATAGTACAAGTATGTTATTGAAAATACATATCCAAAAATTAATAATAAGTAGATGTCGAGACCTATAGAAATTAATAAGGTATAAAGAAGTTAGTATTTGATGATTAGTGTAAATATATTATTATATATACAAATACTCCAATCATGGCTTTTGCAATTTTATTTGCAATCCCAACAAAATTCAAATTTACAAACTTAACAAGTCATGTGTGAACAACCACCGTTTTTAGTAATTTTAACTTCACACCTAGGACATTAATATGTAGTGATAAATTCAGTGATTTCATTCAATAGTGTTTTATACGAAATCTGTTCATAATTTTCTAAGCGGGTTTAACAGATTTCACAAATATCAACACATTTAGCCTTACAAGGTTTTAAATAGTAGAATTCACAATTGTTATTTGGACATTATTAGATGTCAATAGATTTTCTGCAATAGCTTTTAAATAGTTGATCATGAACATCTTAAATGAAGGAATTTTAGATGGCTAATTGTTGGATGGAATCAAAATAAAGAGTTTTCTAACATCCACCGGGACAATCAATATTTAAATGTGTACCATCAGAAGTCCAAAATTCTTCTATTTTTATCTAATTAAAAATAATGCATAACCAAAAACCTTGGTGTAGTGTTTAATACATTTCAAACACACCTTGCAATAGCATTCCAACAAGGCTATCTCTGCGTGCTCATAACAGATTTGGCAGGTATTTTGAACTTGCATATTAAATATTAATAATTTATAAATTTTTATAATAAATGAATCAGAAACAAAAATAAGAGAAGGAATAACGAATTTTAATATTTATATATGAAAATGCCTCTAGAGTGTAATATCCAGTCATTGTAGTAACGTGAGTAATGAATAGCTGTAAATTCGATCTTAATTGGATGGTTTATTAAAAAATAAATTATATTATACATTGATATGGATTAGGAGAAGACAAAGAAAACATAGAAGGATTACGACATTGAGGCAGCCGAAGAGTTGAAATAGCTCAAACTTCCAGGAGATTTGGTTGGGAATGTGGCTGCGACACTGTTAAAGTCAGTTCAGAAAGTGTAGAATGAAGATATTAAGCTCCTTGCTCTATCGAAGTTTCATCAGACTCTATGCAAATTCACAGTTCAAAATGTTTCAGGGGTAAATGTGAGGACAATTAAGTTAGGAATTGCTTCAAAAGTTGCCAAATGATAAATTGCTCGTCTTCTTTGATTATGTGAATTATTCATTCGAGTGTTTGAGCAAGGGCTTGAAGATACCTGAAACCAGCAACTCATACAATGCAACCTTCTTGTTGAACGTTTATAATAAATTAGTAGAATTACGAGGATTGCCAATTATTATAGAGTCAATAAGTTAGAAGAAAACATTACCAACCCAAATTATTACAATTAAGTGACATATATATATAATAAAACCGGGCAAAAATTTAAATTAAAATATTATGTGGATCAAAGAAATCATTATCGAGGGCTTCAAGTCTTATGCATAGAGGACAGTAATAACGAGTCTCGATCCAGAATTCAATGCCATTACTGGATTGAATGGTTCAGGCAAATCCAACATTCTGGATGCAATTCTCTTCTGTTTGGGATTGAGCAAAGAATACGATACAGTATTAACATCCTATAATTTATTAGCTTCGTATTAAGAAATTGCAAGAGTTGATTTATAAGAATGGAGCAGCAGGGATAACTAAAGCTGAAGTAACAATTGTGTTTGATAATCGCAACAAAGAGTAGAGTCCATTGGGATATCAGGATTGTGACAAGATAACAGTAACCAGATAGATTACAGCTGATAAATCCAAATATTTCATTAATGGCAAATCTGAAACCCAGAAGAACTTCAAAAATATGTTCAGATCAGTTCAATTGAACATAGATAATCCTCATTTTTTGGTGGCATAAGGCAGAATAACTAAGATTATCAACCTTAAACCGTAAGAACTAATAAGTATGTTGGAGGAAACAGCAGGAACTTCGTTGTATAATGAGAAAAAAAGAGAGGCTTAGAAATTAATTTAGAAGAAAGAGGAGAAGCTAAAATAAGTAAATGAAATCATTGAAACTGAAATCTAACCTCAGATGCAGAAATTGACTGATGAGAAGAATATATTCTAATTATGGAGAGCTTAAGAAGCATAAATCTTGGTTTTGAAGAAGGATCTATTTAGTTATGATTACTATTAGAAGGCTAAGACTTTGAGAATGAAGAAAAACGATTTGCAAATTGTGAACGAATAAATTAGTAATCAAGAAGAGAAGATGAGGTACGAAAATGCTGAAATATCTACTATCTAAGAGAAAATACAGAGTTTGTAAGAGTAGAATAGGAACAATAAATACGATCAAATTACAGAAAAATACAAGGAAAAATAAAAGTTAGTGAGTACCTTAGAGAAATTAAGTGTAAAATACTAGAAGGCAAAAAGAAACTATAGAGAGTGAGAAGATCAAATTAGAACATGCGTTAAGAACATATCAAACTGATAAGTAGAGAACAGATTAGAAAGTAGAAATAGCTGATCGACAATTAAAGTAAGTGTCAGATGAATTGAAAGAGAAGAAAGAGCTCTTGGATGAGTAAATGGGATAACAAAACTCATCCGAAGATGGTAATATTGCTTAGAATGGTAAATAGATGATTTAAAGGTAAATTAATGACACCATTTCTCATATAGATTCTAACAGAAAAGATCTAGAACAAGTAACTGAACGTTTATAGAGTAATAGACAATCATATAGTTGAGTTCAAAGAACCCATTTATGAAATAGATGTAGAAAGAAAGCCACTAGATCTAAGAAACTAAAAATTGAGTTATTAAAAGAAAAAGAATAGAGTAAAGCGAATTGGAGATCCAAAAGTCATCCAGTTTAGAATAACAGTTATTGGATTTGAAATCAAATAGAGGAGATTTAGATTAATAACTATTAGAGATTAAGAAGCAAATATCATAATCCTAACCATTTATATTTCAATTGAATTTGTCAAGGATGAAGGATTGGGATTAGAATAGGGTGTATGGTAAATTGTTCAGTTTGTTCGAAGTGAAGGATGAATAATACATGAAAGCATTGGAATTTTGGTGCTGGAGCAAAGTTATAAAATATAGTTGTTGATGATTCTACTACCTCCACATACTTGTTGAAGAATAATGTATTACAAACTCATTCCTATATCATTCCAAATAAAGAAATTCAATCTAGCGAAGCCAAGAGGGAATTCGTTTAGGCAGCAGCTCAAATTGCAAAGGAAAATGATGGATTTGCTAAACCAGCTATCGATTTAATTTCATTCTCAGATAAAGTGATCAACTCTATGAAATTCGTGTTTGGAAATTTCATCATTGCTTCATCCATGGATATTGCAAGGAAGATTGCCTATCATCCTTCTAATGTTTAAAAATGCAAGGTTGTTACTAGGGATGGTGATATTGTTGATCCATCTGGTACTTTGACTGGTGGTTATACTAATGAAAAAGCATAATTACTACCGAAATTTAAGTAATTCAATAAATGGAATCTAGAATACAAAGAAATCCAAGGCTAAATTGATAAAATTGAATCATAAATAGAGAAGATTAAGTAAGACATTGAATTCAAAGAACAACTGAATAGAGAGATTACACAAGATAAATATCAATTAGAACAGTTGATGATCAAATAAAGAAAGAGCAATCAATTCAATTTTTAAACTGAATAGAATAAGTATCTTAATGAAATCTAAGATCTGTAAGTTGAGTAGGATAGACTCAAAAAATAAATTAAGGAAGGAGAGGATAAATTAGTGGAATTGAAAAAAGAGTTATAGTTAATTCAGTAGGGTAAGAACACTAAGGAATTGATTTAAGCATAGATTGATAGGACGAAAAAGGAAATTAATAAATTAAAGCAGTAAATAGATCAATAAAAGAAAGAGTTGATTGAGAATCAAGTGGAGAGCCAAAATTATGAATAGGAAATCACTAAGTGTATTAAGAAGATCAAGGAGGAAACCAATAATTTGGACAAAACTTCGGTTGCATTGGAGTAATTAACCCATGAATTAAATGGAAACAAAGATTAGTACTTAAAAATAACAGAGGAAAAGAATTTGTATGAAAGCAAAAATGCTATACATAATAATTAAATGACTAGATTGTTAGAGTAGTTGTAGGAAAGGTAGAAGTATTTGAATTCTACAGTTGAACAGTTAAATGGACATTAAAATGAATTGAAGAAATTAGAAAGAGAACAACATGATCTGAAATAGCAATTGAAATCATTAGAAGATCAATATGATTTTATTAGATAAGATAAAAATGAATTATCTTAAGATCGATTATCCGAGAAATTCAGAGTTCTAGAGACAATGGAATATGAAAAAACTAAATAATAGTTCTAAAGATTGGAACATGATTAAGGGAAATTGGGTAAACAAGTGAATTTTAAGGTTGAAGCTATGACTGAATAAGTGGAAAAAGAATTCTAATCATTAAAAGACAAAAAGTTGATTTTAGAAAATGATAAGTGTATGCTTATTCAAAACATGGGAGAGTTGGATGATAAGAAAATTAAGACGATTGAAAAGTGTTTTTTGGAAGTGAATAAGGATTTCTCATCCATTTTCAGTTCGTTGTTACATAATGCTTAGGCTAAATTAGGTAGATTGGATGGATTATCGATTGAGGATGGAATAGAAATGAATGTATCGTTTAGTCATCAATAGAAAAATCTATCAGAGTTGAGTGGAGGATAGCGATCTTTATTGGCCCTATCATTTATACTTGCTCTATTAAAATATAAGCCTGCTCCATTTTATATTTTAGATGAAGTGGACAGTGCTTTAGATTTATCACACACAGAAAACATTGGTTAGATGTTATCATAGAATTTCAAGTAATCTCAATTCTTACTGATTTCATTGAAAGAGGGTATGTATCAAAATGCAAATGTTTTGTACAAAGTTCAATTTGTAGATGGTGTAAGTAAAATTGATAGACATGAACTAAAAAAGAAGAAATAATAATAATTAAAATGATTGATATATATTATTATTAATTCCTATTACGGAACAACACTTATTAAAAATCTTTATGTTTCTTGCACAGTTATGGCTTGGATCTCTCTACTAGATTTATTCCGTCGAGTCTTCTTAACACCTTGTGATATATATTTAATATATATATTTTATATAAATTAAGATGAAAAATAAAGGAAGTTTTATAATAAATAAGAAATCTTCAATTAAGAGTAGTAAATTGTTTTTGTTTGAGAATCTTTTGTTTGAGGATGTGCCTCTGGCTGCGAAACAGGCTTATTTGGAATGTCTCGAGAAACAAATCAATGATTTGGATGTTATGAGGAAATAATTGAATGAAAATATATAGAAATAGGAGATGATAAAAAAGTAATAGTTGCAATTCAGGAAGGAAATAGAGAACATTCAGAATGATCAAAAATTGGATCACAACATCATAAATCAATCGATGTTATTGAGTCAATTCATCAGCGAATAACAAAAGTTAGACACTAGTGTGATTGAATAGAGCTATTTGAAGGATTTGGAGTACTTGCAAAATTAGTAACTATAAACCTCAAATCAATTCGTCCCTTTTGAAAATGAATTTTTATGATTAATAAATTATATATTAACTATGTTTTGGTAATCGAGGCCTGTCACTTACAATAACTAAAGGACTTTTGAGAGCAACTTCTACCTAGTGTAGCAAGATGTGCCTCAATTCCCTAGTAATTTCATAAAGACAAGCAGGTAAGCATTGATATGACCTGAAAAATAGATATAACTTGGTAACATTCCTACCATTCTCTTTGTTACTTCAATTTACTAGATATGCTAACATTTACTTTTTATGCATTGCCATTATCCAATGCATCCCAATCTTATCAACTTTGAATCCCTTTAGTGCCATAGCTCCATTAGTCTTCGTCTTGGGACTTTCAATGTGTCGAGAAGGATGGGAAGATTATGGCCGGCACGTATCAGACAACGAGGTGAATTCCACAGACTGTTTTGTTATAAAAGACAGGAGGGTTACAAAGTAAATATAACTGCTAAATTCTTATTAGGACTACTTGGGCAGATATTTAAGTAGGTGACTATGTGTACGTAAGACAGGACGAGAGTTTCCCTGCAGATTTGATAGTCTTGGGCAGTGAGAAGGAGAGTGGAGCATGTTATATTGAGACATCATCTTTGGATGGTGAAAAGAATCTAAAACCTAAGAGTGCCATCCTGGATAGTTAACAAATGTATCAGTCTTTGGATACATTCAATGACCAGATCGTTAAGGTGGTGGCAGAAACTCCATCCCAATCATTATATGAATTCGATGCTTAATTGCATTTGCCCATCAACTCAGAATTCAAGAAATTCCAATTGACTGCTAAATAACTCCTCCTTCGAGGGGCATAATTAAGAAACACAAGTTGGATAATAGGCATAGTAGTCTACACCGGATAAGATAGCAAGATCATGAGGAATGCTGATGCATCAAGAGTTAAGTCAAGTGAAATCGAGAGAACAATGAATATCCTCATCCTCGGAATCCTCTGTGTTCAAATCACTCTAAGTATCATATCATGCTCGTTTTCTTCTGTTTGGCTAACCAAATTTGGAGTTGACTCCTTTTATTTGGATTACACAAATGATTCCCTCAATCCGTCATTGTTTTCCTTCTATGTGTTCTTTAGTTATATACTATTATATAACACAATGATACCAATATCATTAATAGTTTCATTAGAATTTGTGAAGGTGTTCTAGTCATACTTTATGGAGATGGACGTGGAGATGTATGTCTAATAAAGAAATAAATTTTGTAAGGTTCAGACTACTACTATCAATGAAGAGTTGGGTCAGGTTGAGTATATATTTTCTGATAAGACTGGAACCTTGACTTGCAATCAGATGGAATTCAAATATTCTGTAATAGGAAATTCCCTCTATGGCAAGGAACCACCAAATCAATCAGCTAAGACTGAGATAATGTTGTAAAACATTTTGCCCTTGTAAAACAAATTGCAAATTCATCCTATGGAAGGAATTCAAGGTCATTCTATGACGAATTTCAACTTCTATGATGAGGAATTGATCAATATCATTGACGGTGGGAATAGCAAGACTACTGCAAGTGTGAATCTAACCATAAAGTCTAAAGATAACAAATCTTAGATAACAATCAATAATTAGAAGGAGTTAGTTGATTACTATTTCTTTTTATTGAGTTCAGCTCATGAATGCATAATCCAATATGATTAAGATAAGAATACTTCCTATTAGGGACCGTCTCCAGATGAAATTACTTTGGTTGATGCAGCTGCGAGAATGGGTTACAAATTCACAGGAGCCTCAGCAAGTGAATAGAATTTCATGATCTTGAATTAGCCAAGAAAGGTGAAATTGTTGAAATCATTCGAATTCGATTCAATCAGAAAGAGAATGAGTGTAATCATTAAGGATGAAAAAGGAATAATAAAATTACTCATTAAAGGAGCAGACAGTATAATAAAAAGTCGATTGAGTAACGAATAGAAGTTCTTGGATAAAACTATAGAATGGTTGGAAGAGTTCTCAAGGATTGGATTGAGATGCTTATTAATGGCTACCAGAGTACTGTCAGAAGATGAGTACAAGAAATTCGATAACGAATATAATAATTTACCTGAAGGAGAACAAAGACAAATTGAACTTAATAGAATTACCGATGAGTTGGAAAGAGATCTCACTTTGATTGGTGCCACTGCTGTCGAAGATAAATTACAAAGTCAAGTGCCAGAAACTATAGCCGATCTACTCAAGGCTAACATTAAGGTTTGGATGCTTACTGGCGATAAATTGGAGACTGCTGAAAACATAGCCAAGAGTTGTAAATTAATATAAGGAGATTTCACAGTTATGAGATTGTCTGAATTCACTGAACCAGATTGTTTGGACAAATTAAAAGACATCCAAGACACATACGATTTGTGCATCAAGGAAAATAGAAAGAAAGTAATATATCTTTAAAATACTTTAGTCAATTGTAATCGAAGGACAATCTTTGGATTTTATTTTAAATTCAAACGATATGGCATCTTCCTTTGTCTAAATGGCCAAAGATTGTGAGTCTATTGTGTGTTGTAGAGTTACTCCCAAATAAAAAGCCGATGTGGTCAGATTGATCAAGGATAGACTGAATAAGATCACTTTGGCCATAGGAGATGGAGCCAATGATGTAAATATGATCTAGGCTGCTCATATTGGAGTTGGATTGTATGGAAATGAAGGAATGAGAGCTGTTCAGAGTGCTGATTTTGCCTTGGGAGAATTTCAATGCTTATGGAGACTATTATTAGTTCATGGTCATTGGAATTACATCAGAATTTCAGAGATGATTCTGTACTTCTTCTACAAAAACATGTTGTTCACTATCCCTTAGTTCTTCTTTAGTTTCTTTTGTGCCTTTTCAGCCCAGTCTTTTTATGATGATTGGTACATCACCTTGTATAATTTGATCTTTACTGCACTCCCATTGATCATTCGAGCAACCTTTGATCAAGACATCAACTATAAACAATACCTGAATTATGATGCAAATCAAAGAATCAGAAATGTTCAATTGAAACAAGAGAACTACTTAAAGTAAAAGTTTCCATACCTTTACTATGTCGGATAAAAAAAGACTATTTTTACTATCCCATCCTACATGATGTGGGCTTTTACTGGAGTAATCCATGGGATGATCATATTCTTCTTCCTATACTGGATAATGGATTATGAAGCTCTTAACATAAATGGCATTACTGGAGGATTAGCACCTTATTCATTGACTGTTTACACAGCCATAATATTGGTAGCTGATTTTTAAATCATCATACAAACTAAATATTGGACACTATTCAATGTAGTAGCAGTATCATTTCTAAGCTTGTTCCTATATGGAGGATATGTCATAATATCTCATTATTGGCCTGGAGAATTAATGATGTACACACCTCTCACTATATTAAAAATGCCATCGTTCTGGCTGTGTCAATTCTTGATCTTAGTGATTGTTGGTGCCATGGAAGCATTTAGATCTGAATTCAATAGATAATACTTTTTGGAAACTGCTGATGAAATTTTAGTGAAGACTAAACAATTTACATTTACATTAAATGAATGGCTGAGCAAACAGAAAAAAGTGGCCAGACAGGATAGCTTCTGGGCTGAAATCTACAAGGAAGATGAATAAGAACAAGTCATACAATTTGAAGAAACAATCAAAGATGCCAATCAAATTCCAAATCAATGAATAATATATATGAATCAAAATGTTTATTCATAGAATACTCGTCCTTTTTATTTTAATAATAAAATTAAATAGTACATCATGGAATCCAAGAGCACTGGTACTAAAAGACTTATCTCGGTTGGATCTCTGTCGAACTATGAAAGAGCCGAATTTATCTCCTCTAAAACAGACACTAAACAAAGATTAGGGGAGCTCTTCATTTATGAGCCTACCAAACTAGAGAGTAATTATGCATGTCCCTTATAAATTAAGTGTTTGGATTGAGACAGCAAATAGTGAGTACACGAATTCCAAGATTCGAACATCCTAAACCCATGTTTGATTTAGATTCTCAGCCAGACAAAACCTTAACACATGTCGCATCCTAAACTGAGTGTCAAAAATGCAATCACAGTATGGGTAAGATCGTGTAACCTAAACTAAATATGGAATCGCTGCATTTATCAGCTCCTTCTTTGCAACCATATGAAAAGTAGGAACCTAAAGTTATAGTTCCAAAATAATTATCAAGCCATGTGGTGAGATAAAAAAAGAAGGATCTGCCCCCCATCTTGCAATATTCATTCATCCAACCTCCACCAGTCTTCACATAGTCTGCCAAGGCTGTGAGAGAATAGAAATCCTTTGGCAAATTGTCTTAAGGCAGGATATCCAAGAAATACGATAACGAAATGGTTAAAGTCATTCAATAGGAACTCAGTCAGCAATTGCATAAAATTGAGGATGAGATCTCAGAGAAAGGATACAGTGTCCCCATCAAATATGTATTAATTTATGGTGGCATTTCTTTTAGTCAAATCTCAAAAGAACCAAGTAGATGACCTTGAGCAAGAAAATCAAGTAAGAAAAACAATCATAAATTTTGAATGAAAAGAAGACAGAATCTCAATTCTTTATGTAAAAGGAAAAAGAAAAAGAAATTAGGACTATAGTGTTCTTGAAATAACCAGAGAAGAGTCAGTCTCAAATTCGACTCTAAAAGGAAGAAAACAGCAACATCATATTTGGGTATTCAAATAGAAAGGAGGAATAAACTTGATTAGCTTGATTTACATTTACTCTAAGTTTATCATTTCTGCACTATAAAAATAAATTTAATTAATATGAGTGCTCAATTTTATAACTAGAATAAAAATTCTTATCCTGAACTCCAAGATTTTGATCATGCAATGAGACATCTCTATTACACACAAAATCCAATTACAGACTAGCTTATTAACAAATTTCATAGTAAATATGCTGTTAGAGAGTATATGATAAGGAAACACAATACAATAACAAACAATAGACCACAAATGAATAGACTGGCTGAATCAAATCTCTTTCTAGAATATGAATTAAAGAAAATCAAACCACCCTCTGAGAATCTTTATGCAGAAAGCAACAAGAGACAACAAGTGTACCCTATGACTGAGGCTGTTTAAAAAATATTAAATGATGAGTATATTTATTATAATAATAAATATATTTGATATTTATCTAGATTGCATTAACAAGTTTGAATCAATCAAAAAAATAGTGCAATAAACAGAGAACTTTGAGGAGTCAACTGATCTTACTTAGCTATTACAGAATGTTTCTATTGCCATGATCTATCTTCATAAAGAGGATTAGATCATCAACTTATAAGGCGAGGAATACTGAAATCAACAATTTTGATAATGATGAAGGTTTATAATTGTAAAATCTAAGATTAAAATAGCAAAATTATAAGTTTTATTAATAATTAAGTTAGACAAAAAAAAAATTGAATTTAAGAGTGGTATGTGTATAAGCCAGGAGAATAACTAAAAATGATGCTGTCATTAATGATCTCAAAAAGTTATTTCATTAATTAAGAGATTTTATTAATTAAATTAATAACAATTATTCTTACTTGAATTTGACTGAGTCATTAGAGATCTTATTGTAACAATTAGAAGAAACGGAGAAGAAAACCAAAAGCTAATTGAAGGGAATCTCCACCATAAGGCAAAATATCAAGAAAGATAATCACTATAGCAAGGAGGAAACTTTGAATCAATAAGATTGATCAAATGAGTCAGAACCATTAATAGTTATCAGAGGATCAATTAGAAAAGATAAAGGACTTAGAAAATTAAATCAAATAATTATAAAATAATTGTCGAGTAATTGATTGACTGGAATAATATTTTAAATTTATAATACGTTTTTATTGGAGCCATTGTTGCTGATATATGAATATATAAGTAGTTTAGACTAGGTGGACAATAAGAAATATTTGAGATTGGAAATAAAGGCACATAAATGAGAACAAAATGTTCATTATTATTTCTTGCTTTTTGAAATTCCGTAGTTTCTTTCTAAGTAGTCTATAGTAGGAGTTGTAAGAAGAGCTTAACAGAAATAAGCGATTATCCTTGCTTACCATCCTGCATATAGTCCTGAAATTCCGTAATTTTTGTATACAATCTTAAATCCTTCGAAAAGAGAGAGGTTTTTAAAATTTTGATTTCCCTCCATCTAGACTAGTGTTTTGATCGTATCAAATGGATGAACTAACTATATTGATGATCAGATACCTGCCAAAATGTTTAGAATGCTACTGAGAGAGGAAGCAATTAAAGAATTAACTAAAGAAAGTGGTTAGCCAGGATCAGCCTTTAATGCATAGCGGACTTTGTGATCCCAGTACAAATAGTTCGTCCATGATACCACCTGTCTGGTTGTTTGAATTCTGAAACCAACATATATTGATTCAAATGTTATGTATTTGAAATATCCAAAGCCAGTAGACATAGATGTCATTTTTAATGTCTTGAGTCTTTCAAAAGGAGTAATAATACAACTTTCAAACAACCCAATTGAGGCTCCTGTTATAATTTTATTTATGGATTAATTGTGGATGTGTTCATTCAGTATCTAAGGAATAAAAATCATCATAGGCCATCTATAATATTGTTTGACCATGTTCCTCAAAAAACTAGGAGAAAAGCCATCATACAAGCCAATCATCCCTCTAGCTCCCTTAATGTCCATGTAACTCTACAATTCAGTGGAAAATATACCTGTACATAAGTGATCCCCTGCTTTGATTGTTTGTATGTCTTAATTCTATCAAGTACATGCTCTAACGGCATGGTCAATGCCACTCTAAAAGCTCCAATCACTTATGTTTCAATGAGTGCTTTAACATAATCTCCCATCTGTAGCGATAATATATTCTTTAAAAATATTTAAGAATATTTTGTATTAATTTAGCTTTTATATAAATTGGATAATAGCAAAATATTTCATAAATAAAACTTATCATTGCATATTATGCCCTCTTCTTAAGGAACCCCTCTTAAATGTGGATGAAGGCAAAATAAATTCATGAAAGAAATTCAAATAACTCAGAGTTATATAATCAAATCAATATTCTAGAAAATCATTAATTAAAGAAAAACAATGAACAATTGTAATCAATAATCCTTAGAATGTTTTTAAAATTACTAATTCTTAGAGATACTGGATTTGGGAGGAACCTTGGGAAGTTGAACACAAGTGCTTTTTGTTTAAGGCTTAGGAAACAATATTTATTATTTTTTTAATGTTGGAGTTTAAGAGGACACCTTACTTGTTGGAGTTTACAATCTAGCAGTTGTGTTGTTTTTAGTGGGAGTCTTCAGTCTTATCTGATGTTTGGGGTGGAAGGTTTCCATACTTTCTTTTAAATTGTTGGCATGTTCCTATTTGATTATGGTTTCTGGATGATGGAAATGGATCTATAAGAGTTTTTGATTAATCTCTTTGGCTGTCTAATGGATAGATAAAAGGGATTACTTATTGAACAATGGCCTTTTTGTCAGATAGAAATGGTTGGAATATCTACTGTAATTTAATGACTAATTCCTTTTCTTCATTCCAGAATAGTAATCTCATCTCGTAAATCAATTATACGAACTTCATTCTCACAATATAAACTGGATCGTTTTGCAATTGCAATACTTAAATTAGGTTGCATTGTTTGAAAAAGTTTCTGCTTCGTTTTCTGCATATTTATATACAGAAGTCGATCAATAATATTCTATATGCATAATTAGTGTGAGTGAGGTATGGAAGATAATGTGGAATTACCTTCTCGTAGTTTTCTGCTATTGAATCAATCAAATAGACGGACACTTTTTTCCTGATATGTTAAGATCCCATTGAGAGATACGAAAAACATAGAGAATTGAATTCTGTCTTAATGTTTAAGTGACTAGCCAGACATTCTAAGATGTTTAAGGTTTCTTCAACTTCAAACCAAAGACCTTTTTATTCATAATGCAAGATGGACTTTTTGAGGAAGTCGAAGGTCTTTTGCAACTGGACTGTGAATTGTCTGTTTTTGATTCTGATGCCTTTGTTAATGATATCAAGGAGATAAGGAATGAAAAATATCTGATTCAACTCTAAATTGCCAAATATAAGACCAAGTAATTGTTGATGTGTTTATTCGTTTAATTGAGTGTATAATTCTGATAAATGTTTAAGAAAACTAAACTCTTTACTTGTGTCAATTAAATTAGATACCTGATTAACTAGGAAATCATCATATTGTTATCGAATCTTTGAATCGAATAAAAACACATATTGATAGTACTCCTTAACTAATTCAATTTGAATTGGTTATGGTCGTATGTAATCCATAAATGTCTACTAAACAAACTCTGTTTTAATAGTTGCAAGACATTATGCAATCAAAACGATGATTTTGGGATCATCTTCTATGAATTATATGATATCTTGGAGAGTGTCTTAAAATTTGAGATGAGTCTCATAACCTTATTCTTCCATCTTCAACCAAGAGTTGAGAAATAGTTTGCATCCATTCAATCTCACTTACTTATCGAAGTCTGTGATCAATGAAATAGTGCTCTTTAACCAGTCTTGATCTCTGATTAATATCATCAATAGTTTATCATGTTTTAGTATAACTTGATCAATAATTCTGCACATTCGTTCATTTTTTCTACCAATGCATTATTTTACATGTTTCAGTGACAAAGCCTACTGATTATTATTCATCAAAGAATAGCGCATTTCGATCATTTTCAATCCTTCATACCTAACACTATCCTCATTTAAGATGAGGAGATAGGGTTCGAAATCGAATTCCATAAATTTTGAGAGAGTAGCCATCAACTCACAAATTTGATCGCAAAATGGAGAATTGAAATAAATAGAACAGAATTCTTAGAGCTACTTCAATTATTATTCCTTGATCTTGTTCAATACATTTTCCTAGAATAGATTTGTATATCTACATTTAGTGAGATAATGAGGTTGCTTAAGGCTTTGATTAATTCCTTTACTACTTAGGACTCTTCGCTCTTAACCTTATTCTATGAATGATGAGAACAGAGAATTACCATGATGAATGCCACTAGTTCTGGAACATAGAAGTCGAACTCAGTAGCTTTATTTATATTTTGACAAACAAAAAGCTTTTAAAATGCTTATCCATTATTCAGCAAGTAGATCGCCTTGTCGATAAAATTGTTGTATTCAGGAGTGCACAGTTTTTCAATTTCTTCGTTACTTTTGACTTAAATACAGAGGGAAATGTACTTGAATTAGTGCACCTCTCATTTATTGAATCCATTAATTTATTTATTAATTATAACGAATACAAGAAGTATGACTCTATTTTCTGAGTTTCTGATTATAGGATATTAGCCAGAAGAATATAAAGAGACGGAAATCATTGAATACTTCCACATAAACGGATCAAGTCTCCCAGATTATCTTAGAAATGTAGGCATTGTAATTATCTGTTTGAATTGCTATATAGATGTGCTTTACAAGTGGCTTTGATGTTAAGTAAGAACAAGAATAGCAAAAGAAATCCGATGACATAAACAGCAAGAATTATTTGCATCAGTTTGTGATTACAGATCAGAGTGGGTAATTACGATATTGCACTTCTCTCGTCGTATTCGAGAGTTTCAAAAATGACTTTTACACTCCATTTGCTTACGTGATTGTTTCTGAGCAATCCAACTTGGTTAGATAAAAATGTTATATGAGAGCATTGTACAATGGCATTTTTGACAGAGTGACAGTACTTATTATTTACATTATTTTACAGAGATATAGAGATCGTGGATGGTAAATGGGATCATAGAAATTATCTAATCAATAATTATTTGAATTCTATTTGTCTGTCGGAATCACTAATTTGGATGGATTATATTTTGTACCTAAACAAATCATGAAGACAAGACAAGAAGTGATAACAGATCTAATTATTAACAATCCTAACCATAAAAACAATCTGTACAATAAAGACATCAGTTTCAATGTTCTATTTTCCAAATTATCAATCAAAAGTATAATCAAAGTAGTGCAATCAATAATCCTTGAAAAACAGATCATTTTATTCACTACTTAGGTTTGGGACTTAGCCACTATCACTGAAGCATTCCTTCAATTTATTTACCCTCTCTAATGGAGATGCATTTATATACCCTATCTACCCGCAGAAATACTTGACACTCTTCACGTTTCTGTCCCTTACATCATTGGAGTGCATTGTAATCTCAAGGAACGAGTATTAACACAATACGACTGCCTAGATAAGATTCTCGTTGACTTAGATCAAGACAGGGTCATTGGCTGTAATTTAGTATTTAGAAATATTATATTTTTGTTAGATCTTGCCCTTCCCAGAACAACTTGTAGAAACCCTTGTGAATTAGAGTTCCAAATTTTCTTATTAAGATGATGTAATATAAACATTTGTTTGTAGTCTGAATTGCTATAGGTTTAATGCTGCTTCCTTAAATTCCAATTGTAACTCATCAACAACATAGTCCCTTACTTTATTTACTCGGACATCCTACAAATAAAACCAAAAATAGAGGACATATTTGATAAGGATCTTTACATTGAATAATTTACACCTTTAGATTAAGAATTCTACCGGGAATTCGTGAACAAAACTATGGTATTCATATTCTTATAGAGTTTTAGATGTTCCAACGCTTTATTGAAGAATCCTATTAATACTTACATCAAAAGCAGTTCTTGAAATAAAACATCAAAGCAAATATTTTCATTGATTTACTACTATTGATCAACACTTCAGGGTATTTCAACATTTACAAATTGCAAAACAAAGACTTTGAAGCCAAATTATTCAGTCTAATGAATGAATCCAAATCCTTGATTCCAGAATCAGAGAAATCAATTCATTCACTCTTTACCTAATATCAAAAACAAATCAGCGACTATCTAATTCCTTAAAAGAAATTTCCTGTCCTTTAAATCGACAAATCAAAAATCATACAAATAGATGCCATTCAAAATAGTATTCACCAAAGCTCACTCATGTAAAGAAGTACCCAATCATAAAAAACCGATATCAGCAATGAAAATAAATAGGTCATCAATATACTAACAATCAAAGTCCACAAAATTAATCCTATTACTAAATCTCTCATACAAAATGATGTAACTTCTTAAATTATTTTGAAATATCCTAAAAAATCTTTGTCAAAACTTAAAAAAACTCTAGCTGACCAATTACTTAAATTGGCCCCTGAAGTCAACGTCGAATACAAGCCAATTCAAACATCTTAAATGCTGAGTGTGAGACAGAGCAAACGAATATTTAATACTGAAGAAATGGGTTACGTAAGCATGTATAGGACTAAAACCTACAATATGTACTGAAATACTTATTATTTTATATAATATTTGTAATATCTATTAATTATTGAAATGCTCATTATTATTTACATTATCTATTCGTCATAGGTTTTTTGTGAGTTGAAGTGCTATATTTTATTCAGAATATAAATAGATGCTCCTCTTATTAAATATTTTAAGATATTTATTTATAAGAATTTAATAGCATTAATCTTACTAATTAATTATCTAATTTAATAATTAGCAAATTTCTTCTACGTCATCAATTGATACTCAATCACTATGAACCAAATTCAAAATTTTAAATTTGCTCTAAAATGACTAAATATACATAGAAAAAAAACTACTAAATTTAACAGTGAAATTATGTTAGAAAGTTCAAAGTTTAAAATAAATCAAATTTTAAGAAATAAAAAATATAGTACGGTCTCAACCAACTAATAAATGTATTCAGCAAAAGTCTTAAATAAATGGAGGATCATGATTTTTATAATTTTAATTTAAGTTAGATTTCTACAAATCTGTTGTTCATATGTATTTTTTGTGATTAATATATTTTATTATGTTTGGAGAACCGTAACTATTAAGTCCAGTTAAGAGATAGTTTATCATGCAACGAATTATAAACAATATGAATGAGATTTCAAAACCAGTGTCCACTTCCCCAGTCAAAAGGAGATTACGGATTTAATCAAATCGGATTGACTATAGGAAAAATATGAGTATGGTGGAAAATCATTCCAATAAGCATATTACTGAGCCCAACAACATAGAAAATAAGAAATTGTTCCATATAAAAGCTAATCGAAAGATGTCTCAAGATCAGATGCATTCTAAATCTCCTCCTATGTTACCATCACTATTTGAAATCACCTTTTAGAATCCATTTTTAGGACAATTCTCCTAAAGAAAATATTAACGACCAACAGAATTTTAAGCCATAGTATACAAACGAAAATCATGACTAATTTAATTAATTATTATCAACACGATCCACTCTCTTTTTCCCATTTTAAGTATTGATTCTCGAAAACACTCGGTGAAGGCTTTACTTAATTCATAGCCTCTGCAAAATCTGTTTCTGTAACTGGTCCAGGTCTTACATCATCATATGATGTCAAATTTTATTATTTTTTCTATTTCGCAGTTCTAACATCAACCTAAATATCCTCAATTTAACTAAGGAGTCTTCGCAGAGGTTTCATGGCTGCTTCTTTACAGACTAATTTGATATCACTGCCACTGTAATTTTTAAGAGCTTCTGCAAATTATGGATAATTGAGATTTTCACTCATTTCTTAAGGAATATATCGACGAATCATCGACTCTCTTGATTCTTGGTCAGGTAATGGTATGTATATCTAATTAATAATGCTAAATAATACTCTTTTTTCTAATCTTCTTAACATGGCAATATCTAAATCCCATGGTAGATTTGATGCAGCCAATAAAAAGACTCTTTTTTTAGATTTTAATAAACCATCTAACTGTATAAGTAATTCAGTTTTCATTCTTCTTCCCCCTTCGTGTTCATTACCAGCTGATCCTCTTTATCCCATAATCGAATCCATTTCATCTATAAAAATTGTACTTGGCTCATAATGCCTTGCTAAATCAAAAAGAACACGAATCAATTTTTCGCTTTCTCCTCTCCATTTAGAAACAACTGATGAAGCTTAAACATTGAAAAATGTGGTTCTACATTCAGTAGCAACAGCCTTTGCTAGCATAGTTTTACCAGTTCCAGGAGGTCCAAACAAAAGAACACCTTTCCATGGTTCCAAGATCCCTTAGAAAAAATGAGGATATTTCAACGGGACTAACACTGCTTCCTTTAGCAATTTTTTGGCTTAATCCAAGCCTGCTATATCAGAAAATTTCACATTCGGATTTTCAGAACATATATCTCTTTGTAAATAAGCTGCTAGTTGTTGAAATTCAGGAACATCAGAATAATCAGGCAATCCTTTTAAAACTCTTGGATCAAACCAGTCCTTTTGATTTGACTCTTCATTATTTGATTATTTTTATTAAACTCCTGTTCCTTAAATTTCAAGTGAATCAGGCTCATTTTTGGCATCCTTATTATTGTTGTCCTTCTCCTTAGATTACTAGGTACTTTTCTTATTAGAACCTGTAGAATTTTGATTATTTGAATTACTAGTGTTGGTACTACTGCTTTTTCCTGAACTTGGAATTCGAGGTAATCCAGGAGTGTTTTAGCCATCAACCTTCTTTACTAGTTTTGGAGGTTTCATGAATTTCATTTCATAAAACTATTCAAATTCACATAGTATCATGTATAAATCTATGTTGTCTGCTGCATCATATTAATTCAAAGACAAATTTGATTCTGTTCCTAATTTTGTTGCCGAATCAATATAGCCAGCATTCACAAGATAACGCTGAATAAGTATGATAACATTCCTTCTACGATCTTTGATTTTCTATTCTTCACTTAAGCGCGATTCTGAATCAATTTTGATTTTATTTAACATAATAATTAATGAGATAAGTACAAGGACTGAATAGGGTTCCAAGTGTTGAGAATTACGATCTATTCAATAAGATATATTAAAAGTCTAAGTTAGCAAGGACTTAGCAATCTTCTTAAGATTTACTCTGCGAGGGAGATCAGTATCGAATTTAACAAAGCTAATAAATGTTGGTTGAGTATCTAAAAGATCTCAATGAGATGATTGAAGATGTAGTAAGATTAGTCGATTAACTGCACTCACTTAACGAATTAGAAGTAAATAATCTTTTCTAACATCTCAAAAAATAATTGAGGAATTTGAAGTAGGTCATCTAAGCGATAATGGATCTCATGTTGGGAAAGGGCAAGTCACCGTTTTAGGCTTAAAAACCTTCCCATGTCAATATTGTCATGGTTAACACTATTAGAACATACTTGGTGGATGTGTATATTCCAAATTTGTTGGAGACAGCCAAATATGCCCTAGATAATTTTGAAGGTTACAAAGAAACGTTTTTAAAAGATATCAAAATAGCTTCTACTTAATTAATTATGATAAATCTTATCTTTGGGGCTTCAGTTGACATTGATAAGAACTCTCTTTTCTCTCTGGATAAAAATCATAAGGATTGGAAAGAATTATATTTAATCTGTGAAAGGAAATCTTTGGGAGATATTGAGAGAATAAACCAATCGTTTGATAATTTTGCTAACACTATATTAATTGGTCATGCCATCATGGGAAAAAGCAGTAAATTTAAAAATGAAATACTGAAAAAATTATAGTTAGCAATTAATAGTGTTTATTATCAAATTTTTGATGCAAAGAAAGAAGCATTTACAAACATGAGTTAAATGAAAGCTTAAAATGCTATAGAAGTTATGAATATGATTGAAACACCTGCAATTAAGAAAATTATGGCCATGGCTTACCCGAAAATTAAAGTTAACTGTAAAATATATATTGACCCTGTTGTCACTCCTATTTCTATTTAATGGGTCAATTAATAATTAAAAATTGGATAATTAAATAGAATAACAACATAACAAATGAAATTGATAAATGAAGAATTGCATCTTGATCCAAATGCAAAATCTATTTTACATAAATTTGATCCATAAAAATTAAGAATTAGAATTTTATGCAATTCTTCTATCGATGACACAAGCAGTTCATGGTTCTCTAATTCATAATAACATGTTTTGCATGACACAATTCTAATACATATTCATGGAGGTGGATTCATAGCTCATTCTAGTTCTAGTCATTAATCTTACACAAGGGAATGGGCTATTAGGTTGGGAATTCCAATTTTCTCTATTGATTATTCTTTGGCTCCTAAATATCCTTATCCTCAAGGCCTAGATGATGTTTGGTAAGCCTACAATTGGATCTTAATATATTGTTACAAACATTTTGGTATCTTTTTAAGTTAATTAATATCCTATAGATATCCAACCAAAACGTATCATTCTAGCAGGTGACTCTGCAGGAGGTAATTTAGCTTGCGCATTAACAGGGCTAGCAATTAAAATGGGGCAGAAAGTTCCTGATGGATTATTTATGGCCTACCCTGCTTTGGATCTAAGATTTAATTTTACTCCCTCTTATTTGCATGCCTTAACTGATAAAATTATTAGTCATACGATATTGGGGATTTGTGTTGAATCTTATGCTTCTAATCCATTAACATAATTAAGTAGCGATCCATTTATTAATCCTATGATGTTATCAGATGAAATTCTCGCTAAGTTTCCTCCTACAAGATTAATGTGTGGTACCAAGGATCCCTTACATGATAACACTTGGGCTTTTGCATCAAGACTTCTGTAAATTTAAATATATTTATCTATAGAAAAGTTAAAAAAAATGTGTAATTTACTATTTATGAATAAATTTGTCATGGGTTTTTATGTTACAAAACAATTAAAGGCATGTAAGAAATATAAATGTGTATCGATGATGCAGTATCATACATACAAGAACTAATAAACCTATCTAAATCCTGAAATACTCATTAAATATAAATAAAAGATATCATTTATCAAGCATCATTATTAATTACATCTTCATCTAATAACTTAATCATTATTCTGAGGTCCTTCTTCAATTAACTGAATTTCAATTAATCATCTTAACTATCAATATAACTTTTGAATCTATTTTTTAAAAACATCTAAAGACCATTTCTGAAAGGTAAATAATCTGCATTTTCAAAAAGATTTTTGCTCTGCTTCGCCATAATATCTATGGAGATGCTAATAAATTATAATAAATTGTTTTACTTTTATAAAAAGTTCTGGATTACGATACATAAAAATTGTGCTTAAATTTCCAATAATTCATCATAGTTAAACCATTTTAATAATAATAAATTAAGACTCTCCTTCTTTAACAAATTCGAACAAAACTTAGCAATATTTATTAATTTTCTTATACTGTAGCTTTCTAATAATTTGAATTTGTCCCACAACATATATTGGAATGCTTATTTCATTCCCCTCTCTAAATTGATTAAATAATGAGCCAATTCTTAATAATAAGGATTATATGTTTTTTCATTACCACACATCTCCACAATTACTAAACATACATCTTGTTTTTTCTTTTTTAAATAACCTAATTTATCTAAATTTTAAGCAGCCTCAAACAAATCATCTGCTCCCATAATTACGACAAATGCGGTTTTACGAGTCTCAGTTACCATCTTTTAATCAATAGCTAATTGCTCCAACTTTTCCAACTTTACATTCCTTTTTTACTATTTAAATTCTTCAAATAATTAACTCTACTCCTCATTAGTGACTATAGGCTTCCACCAATTATTACTCAGGAATTGAGATTCATAACTAAAATCAAAACCTTAACAAAATATTCTATGAATTAATTTTTATGTTCTTTATTTGTGCCAATTTAATATAAACTCTAATCTTTCAGATTAACTTGCTATTTTTTTATTCAATCTTAAATCATCTAAAGTCATAAGTAAAAATTTAGTTCTAGATTCGCTTGCTGTTGAAAAAGCCTGCTTTATATCTTCGATAATCAATTTCAAAATTGCAGGATTATCTTATCGAATCTTCTTTCCACAATATTAGATAATTATTAATAAATTTTCAACATTGTCTGCTGTTTAACTTTTCAATAAATATTTAATGAATTCCTTAATGAATTGCAATGATATTGATTCAAATAAATACCAATGACATAATATTAATGCTATATTTTTAACCTCATGGCTAGCAGGATTAGACCTTAATTTAAGAATAAGTTATTTAATTAACTCACCAAAAAATAGATTGTCATATATCTAATGAAAATAACTAGATGATGCTATAATACAACTCAATAAGTAAGGTAATATTTCAATAGGTTTTATTGTTGATTAAACAATTTATTAACCAAACACCATTCCAACTACCTACTTAGGATGTTAATTAAAGATCTTATCAATTTCATCTACAATGTTGTTAATATTTGCTTCTGAAATTTTATTTAAGTTTCTATTCAAAAGCTTTCGAACTTCCATGAGTTAGGTCTCATCATATTAAACTTCCTAACGTTGTTAGATTTCTTTTTCTAATTATTCCTTCTAAACTTTGTTTGTCTTTTGTTCATGAACAGGTTATTCTTTTTGTTATTAAACCTTTTTTTGTAAGGTTTAATTTTTCTCTTGTTATTCAGGTTCACTTTCATCTGACTATTAATCTTCTTCATTCTCAATTTCCTCCTCATCTGGTTAAATTTCATCATCATCAATATCATCATCATCATCATCATCATCTAAATTTTCTTAATCTTCAATCATATCGTCTTCATCATCATCCTCATTCTATTCTTCATTTTCATCATCTTCTCTATTTTATTCATCTTCTTGATCCACTTCCTCATCCATTTCCTCTTCTATTTCTTCTTCCATTTCATCTTCTTATGATTCATCCTAATCTTAATCATCAGATTGTTCTTCTGAATTTTATTCAGCACTTTAATCTTCATTCTCTTCATTCTCCTCACTTTCATTGTTTTTTTAAAAAGCTGAATAGGTTTTAGGCAGATCCTTCTATTTAATACTTTAATCTATATGATCTAAAAAATCAAATAAGTCCTCTTCCAATCCATCTTCCATAATTTATGCTTTTGGTAATCTATTCTATTTCAATTTTAATTTTTTAGTTAATCTTTCTATTTCCTTCTCTTCCTACTCTATTTCTCTTTATAATTATTATTTCCTCTTTTCATCTAATTCCTTGTTATTAGAATTTGGCTTCTATTTTACTAATTTTTATTATTATTATTATTTTTGTTGATTAGGGGCTTGTTAATTTTTAATTTCCTAAGTTTATTTCTATTCAATTTCTTTGGGCTAATTTTAGCTAGTAATTTAAACACCCTAGTTTTTCCAATTTCTCTATTAATTAATTTACATATGTTTCTATTTTTTTATCATCTTTTTTTCCTTCCTTTACTTCTTACGATTAAAAACATTGAACTCTGGTTTTATTTATTGGAATCTTTCGTGATGATCATCCTATTAAAGGTTTTCATTTTTCTTCACCATAATTAAATTAATTGATTAAAAATGCCAATAACTAAGCGAAAGAGGACCTAAGTGTTAACAAAAACTAAAAAGAAAACTCCAGAAAAGAAAGAATTACTCGTTAAGAAGCTTAAATAAAGCCTTAAAAAATATTAAAGAGCTATCATATTCTAATATAAAAATCTGTCCACAAATCCATTAAAAGAGATCCAACAAGCATGGAAGAGTGATTCCAAACTCTTTATTGGCAAAAACAAAGTCATGCAAGTAGGCTTGGGCAAAGGTGAAGAACAAAGCGCTACAAAAAATTCCTACCTTCTCTCTCCAGTAATTAAATTTTATAATTTCAGTTTCTTAAAGGTGAAACAGGACTTCTTCTAACCAACAAGACTCTTCAAGAGATCTAAGAGTACTGTGATACATATAAAATTCCTGAGTTTGCAAGGGCTGGTCACATATCTGATCAAACCATAGTCCTAAAAGAGGGAATAGATACCTTAAAGGGTTTTGCCCATTCCATAGAACCATATTTGAGAAAACTAGGACTCAATACCTAATTAATAAATTAGCAAATTGTATTAAACGAAAAATTTATTCTTGCATAAGAGGGCAAACCCTTAACAGTGGAATAAACTAAAATATTGGTATATTTAATAAATTAAATTTAGCGATTAATGAATTAAAAGCTAGCCTATCTTGAAATTGCTCCACTTTGTGTGTTAGAAAAGAATGGTACATTCAAAAAATTGTGAATATTATTCAATATAATTCTTCACGAATAATTGGTAATTCTATTTCCAAGATTGATTTGTCTGAAATAAATTTTGCCTTTCCCATTTTCTCATTTACTGGGTAAGGTAGGATAAAATCCAAATAATATTGAGTACTCGACATTATGATCTGTTGCTTCATCACTTCTAAATTTATTTCTGATAACTTAGTATCAAGTAATTTAATCTTTACAAGCAATCCTTAACACTTAGTTGAACTTGGATCAATTCCACTCCATCCACCAAAAACATCTTCTGTTCCAACTATTTGCTTATATAATACTTCTACATCTGGTCTTTACCTATTATCCAATCTTGGCCTATTTTATACAGAAACCTAAGAAATTATAATTCAATACTTCATCAATATCCCATATATCATTTTTGTCTGCAACTTTATTTTTCTATTTCTCCTATTGTTAAACAACTTGTTGATCTTAATCCTTTTACCCAAGCTTCACTTATATTTAAGCATAAGGTTTGGCAACTTCCTTTTTTTAACCATTTGATCCAATATCACTAGGAGCAAAAATACTTCCCTTATTTGGATTATTATTAATATTAGAGAAAGAGCCCTCCTCTTCTTCAGGCTATATTAGTTAGGCAAGTGCATGAATATCCGAAATATTCATTAATAAATAAAAATAATTTGTATTAGAAATAATAAAATGTTCTCTTTATCTTAGGCGATCATTATAATGATGTAATATTAAAAAGTATAAGATTTCTTTTGATAATTATGGATAAAGTTCTATTCAAACAATAGCATCGATAACATTTTGATAAATAATTTAATATACAATAAAGCTTCTATTAATTTTTGGAAAAATTCTCTATTTACCAAATATCTTTAGATTATTCTAGCCATAAGCTCTAAAGTATTGACAGTAAATGTTATTAATTAATTAAAAACAATATTTTCTTAAAAGAATTAAAATGTAAAATAAATAAAATTTTTTAGGTTTTGTTAAAGATTAACTAAAAGGAGTTAAAGTTAAACAAACTAAAATTGAGAAACATGATTTTATGAAAACTTTAAAAATGATAGAAGATTAGTTATTGTAATCAATAAAAATAGATAAAAAGGGTAGTTGTGGAGAAATATAACTTAAAAAAACAAATCGGGAAGTGGAATTAAAATAATAAAAACAAATAATATTGCTTCAATAAAAACTTTAATAAGCATAAAAGGACTGTTTAGATCTAAAAGAATAAAATCATTAAATGTATACAGATATGAAAAAATAAAAATAAATAATAAAATCATTAGAGAGAGAAAAGCAATAATATTAAAAAGATAAAGTGGTATGGGATAAAAAACTGTAAATTTAAGAAGAGGTATACGCAACAAATTTGAGAATGACAGATGATGTGAAAAAGGTCTTAAATATGATAAATGAGGATATCGATAGAGAAGCAGTTGTTAAAGCTAAGAAAATGAAATGAGCAGTTTATTAATATTTTTAATTTGATTGAATAAGTATTTTGAATAAAAAAAATGCTAGAAAAATTATGAATTAATAATCATATATCTCAAATTTCCTTCAAGTAGAGTATTCTTATTTTTCATTAGCTTCCTCACTACTTATGGAATAATAGTTAAAGATAATATTTAACTTTTAAACTGTTCAAATAAGAACTTCTAAATTTAGAAAAAGTGATAATATGTCTTAAATTCTTTTAATTTACAAATAGTTTTAGACTACCCATTATGATTAAATGAAATTTTAAAAAATTACGAAATAAGGATTTAAATTTAGATATTAATAACTTTATTTAATACTAATCAATCTCTGATGGCATTGATTCCAAATCTTTTCTTTAAGACCTTTCTGACAAGTTCTCTAGCCATCTCTTATTATATACCAATATCTAATTAATTTGTAAATCCAATGCATGAAACATTGACTTCACTAATCCAATATTTATCTTTTCCATTTTCATCTGTATCTAAAATAAAATCACAAGTCCAATCCAAAATGGTTTCAACGTCACCTAGGTTATCTGTCAAATGTTAAAGACATGATGTGAAGAATTTGATGAGTTCTGGCCATGCTTCTGGAGATTCGTATTTGTATGTTGCTCCAGAGAAAAGTGTTGCTGAAAAAGCATCTTACTTATCAGCTGGCTTCTTGTGAATAACAAACAATGGCTTTGTTCCCATTAAGAAGATTCTAACTTCACCTTCCTTGATTCTTGGTAAGAATCTCATATCAATGATGAAGTTTTCTTCGACTTTGTAATATCTTTCACACAATTTAAAGAAACTTTCAAGAGTGTGATGTTCAACGTGGTTATCTACTGCTTCAGTGCATTTGATCTTGGTGTCTAATGGTAGAGCTTATCCCTTGACAACTTGGACTCCTTCACCAACTTGAACTCTCCAGATTCCTTCGCCGGTGGATCCTCTGTTTTATTTAAGGACTCTTTCTCCATTGGTTAAAGAAGTTGGGAAATTCTTAACCAAGTCATCCCATTTGAAATAAGCCACTGTATCAGCTGGGGAAAGTGGAGTTTTATTGAGGTCTACAAGACTCAATTTGGAGTCATATTTCATAAGAGTGTCTGGGTGTGGTGTACCAACTACTCCAGCAGCACACATTTCCCTTAAAGCTTAATTGAAGACAGCTTCACCATTTGGAAGATTTCCTGTATTGATTCTTGGAATATAGGCATCACAGTTTTCAATGACATACTTAGTGATGGCTTCCTTCCATTCGTCTCTGAAGAAGATGACTTCAGCAGTCCATCCTAATTCTTTGAAGGCTTCGACAATTGGAATTGTGTCCTTTCTGTGACCATTCCAAGTTTTGTCTGAGCCTCCTTCAGCTTCGAAAATTGCTACTCTTCTGTGTAGTTATCTAACTTAAGCCATTGTACAAAAATGATATTTTTATATTTAAGATATTAAGCAAATATATTCCAAATTTATATCCCCCTAATATTAGATATTTAATAAAAAGCACGTGCATAAATTTATATTAATTGCTTTTTATTACATAATATTAATAACAATTTTCTAGAAATATCTAGAAATGAAATATTTTAATTATGAATAATAATTATGAGTTTGTATGTAGAATACCCCTTTATAAAAGCTTATTTATTAGCTTTTTACCATAGACTTACTAAATTATGATTATATTTATTTATGACTCATTAAGTTCCCTTCTTTTTGTATACCTTTCTAATAAGTTCTTGTGCCATCTCTTATTAGATACCAATATCTAATTAATTTGTAAATCCAATGCATGAAACGTTGACTTCGCTAATCCAATATTTATCTTTTCCATTTTCATCTGTATCTAAAATAAAATCACAAGTCCAATCCAAAATGGTTTCAACGTCACCTAGGTTATCTGTCAAATGTTAAAGACATGATGTGAAGAATTTGATGAGTTCTGGCCATGCTTCTGGAGATTCGTATTTGTATGTTGCTCCAGAGAAAAGTGTTGCTGAAAAAGCATCTTACTTATCAGCTGGCTTCTTGTGAATAACAAACAATGGCTTTGTTCCCATTAAGAAGATTCTAACTTCACCTTCCTTGATTCTTGGTAAGAATCTCATATCAATGATGAAGTTTTCTTCGACTTTGTAATATCTTTCACACAATTTAAAGAAACTTTCAAGAGTGTGATGTTCAACGTGGTTATCTACTGCTTCAGTGCATTTGATCTTGGTGTCTAATGGTAGAGCTTATCCCTTGACAACTTGGACTCCTTCACCAACTTGAACTCTCCAGATTCCTTCGCCGGTGGATCCTCTGTTTTATTTAAGGACTCTTTCTCCATTGGTTAAAGAAGTTGGGAAATTCTTAACCAAGTCATCCCATTTGAAATAAGCCACTGTATCAGCTGGGGAAAGTGGAGTTTTATTGAGGTCTACAAGACTCAATTTGGAGTCATATTTCATAAGAGTGTCTGGGTGTGGTGTTCCAACTACTCCAGCAGCACACATTTCTCTTAAAGCTTAATTGAAGACAGCTTCACCATTTGGAAGATTTCCTGTATTGATTCTTGGAATATAGGCATCACAGTTTTCAATGACATACTTAGTGATGGCTTCCTTCCATTCATCTCTGAAGAAGATGACTTCAGCAGTCCATCCAACTTCTTTGAAGGCTTCAACAATTGGAATTGTGTCCTTTCTGTGACCATTCCAAGTTTTGTCTGAGCCTCCTTCAGCTTCGAAAATTGCTACTCTCTTATGAATTTTATTCTAAGCCATAATTATTATAAGATATTTTATATTTAACTTTTTTCATAATCAAAGTATCAGATTTAAGCTCGTTATGATATTAAATTTATTTTGCACGTGTATTAAATTATTTAAAATATCTTTTTATCATTAAGCAAGGAAAATATCTTCTTTTTTTTATATTAGTTAATTAAGAACAGAATTAATTATAATAATGATAATTGTAAAATACTTTAAATTTTTTCTGTTTAGACTCTTAAGCTAAAGCAATTGATACTAAGCTATACTACATTATTAAAGGATTCCTTCTATTTTCCTAAATTAGAATCTTTAATTTATTTTGCTTTAAAAAATATACTAAATTCTTTTTAATTTTATAATTTGCATTTATCATTGTATACTAAAGTTGTTTGTTTTAAGATAATGGAGTGTCGAAATTCTTTTTATAATAATGTAATAGTAGGAGACTGATAACTTTTAACATGCATTTAAATTTCTTTAAAAAATATATATATAAGTTAATTCATAGTAATTACATTCATTCTCCCAACTCTACATGATTAACTTCATGTATTTCTTCAAAAAGTTCTTCAGAGTACTTGTGCTTTGGATCTTGTTTTTTGCTTTTCGAACCTTCCTCAACCATAGACTAGCTCTTGGATTTAACAAAATAGTATACTTTTTTGATTTACGGTGGTCTTTTATAGGACGCTTCATTTATAACTGCAATTTATTAATCGGGAATATCATTAAAGAAGGTTTTAATCTGTTATATTATCGATTTCTTCTTTTTAAGTGGAGTGCTTTGCATGAGGCTTAGTTTTAAATAATATGTAATAATATTAACTAAGCATCAATAAATAATGTATGATTTAAATTGTTGCGGTAATGACGCATTTATTTTTTGTAATTGGAATTAATTTAATGTATGATTATATAAGAGTTAAGCAAAGTAATACGCCTTATTTCTTCTTCTAATCTGAAAGGCAAAACCAAATTTAATAAATTTTTCATTTATAAATGCTAATTTAGTAAATTTGAGGAAGTAGCTTTCTGGCCAAAAATTCTCTTAAAAATTAAAATATATTAAATCGTTATTTATGCTGCATGTTAAAAACTAAATTGGATTTCAAAATATAAGAGCACTTCATAAGAGCTAAATAGATTAGAAAGAGATTAATGATTACTTATTTTGGCAGAATTATATTGTATTAAATATTTACTAATTTTATTGATGATTGTCAACATTATTTTTAGAGAATTAGAAGACTTATTACATCTTTTTAAAATAAGAGTTTGTTTATTCTAGAGATTTTTTTCAGATCAGATTGGGGAGAATTTCTCCAAAATTTCTTTAATTCCAAAATTGGTTAATCATTGATGCTTCGATTGACAATGATGACATACATAAAAATATTTTAATTGATTGGAGCTTGGTCTGAAAACTGACTAATATTTAATTAACAACGAAATTTTCAAGATTAAGTTTCACTAAGAGGACTTTTTTGTAATAAGTAACATATTCTTCAACAAAAAAATTATTGAAATTTATTTATGTAATAACAAATTATAATCAGATATTCAAGAAATTTTTTTATTATTCTGATTAACTCAAACATATACGCATAATAATAAAATTATTAATATTTCAATTCCATAGCTATAGTAAAAAACTCTCAATTACTAATTATTCCTATCATTCCACCTTTTATTTATATTTTAATGTTTGCCAGAATAGGGATTATTAATTTATAAAAAAATTTATTAGAGAAGATAATATATGCTAAATTTGAGGAATTAAATGATAATTTCAATTTTGTTCATTTTAATAGCTAAAGCAATTTAACAATTGTAGAAAATAAAATAAGTTTTAAATGGAAATTTGTAAATTTATAAGGGTAATTTTATTTTATATCTCAGATAAAATAGGTGAAAAACCAATTTTGAAAAAAATCTCATTTTAATAAGAATAAAGTGACACATTGAAATTATGTAAAAAATGTAGATTAAAATTTATTTACCATAAATTTACCAACTTTGTTATTAAAAAATTATGGATTGGGTTAAATTGAATAATTAAGCAATATCAAAATCAATTCAGACAGAAAATAATTGCTGCCACTTAAAATATTTGTATTAAAATAAAAGAGAAATAAATTTAAATAACATTCAAATAAATTTTACTAGCGTAAAACTCAAATATAATCTGCAATTTATCTTAAGTTCCAGATAGGCTCCAATTGGTAAACCATTTTACCTGCTTGGGGAATATGTATTCAGATTTCATCAAAACATAATTTACTTGAGATTCTTAAAAAACTAAATTCTACTCTGCAAACATAACGAATGAATAAACGAAATAAAAATTAAATATTTCATTGTTTTAATGCTTTAAACTATTTTTAATAGTTATCCCACTCTTTTCTAATAGTTTCCCTAAGCTATTTTCTTTTTTGATTGATTTCATTTATATTTCTTTTAAGAATCAACAATTCTGTTAAAATTTCTTTGTCTGTGTGTTAAGATTCTCCATTTTAGGTTTTGACATTTACTTCGCAACAAAAATTTTTAGTTTCTTCATCATCCTCTTCATCCTCTTCTAACTATTCTAATTATTAATTAACTTTCTTTTTTAACTTTCTTTATTATCTCTTTTTTCTTTATTTCTCCTTTTTGGCTTCAATTTATTTCTCTTCTTGCTCTATATATGCAATTAGCATTTTTTATTATTTCTCAAATTCTATTTGCTGAATTCTACTCTCAATTTTTTATATGATTAAATATTTAAGCTATAATATTTTGGATTAATCTTACAATTCTTATGAAATTTATTTTTAAATGATACTTCTAAATAAATTGATCCCTACCATTTAAAATTTGCTCTAAAATCAGAGAACTAATTGCTCTTAATATTTTCAAATTAAAATTATCTTAAATTTAAACATCTAATACTGTTGTACCAAATTTTAAAATTTTATCGAAGAGAATATACTATTCATACTGAAATAAGAAAATACATCATAATTAATTATTATTTAATTATCTCTTTATCGAATAAATTCATTGAATTTGATGTTGTCTTCAGGATCCACTATATCATTTATGTGCATAATAATATCTTTTTCATTATCAATTTTCTCTTTTACTTGCATTTATTTAAGAAAGTAATTTACTTGAGCCTTAAAAACATCAGCACGTATTATAATTTCGAATTCTCCTTTGTATAAAAACTTTGGAAAATCCATTATACTTAATCTATTTTGTTCAAGTAAATTATGGGATTGCTTTTATTTGGTATTACTAAATAAATCATTTCCCTTTTATAGAATCTAATTTGAAGTATGAATTTCACATTAGATTCTATATTGCTTTAAATCACTTTATAAAAACAAGAATTTTTCATTTCTACTCAAGAAATTTTGATATAACTCTTTATATTAACTTATGAGATCATTGGCACAATTCTAACAAACTAATAGTTATCTACAAGTCGATATAAATTCAGAATCAGAAAAGTTTGAATTTCTTTCGAATTCTTTTTCGTTTATTAAATTCTATTCAATATAGCTTGATTTTATGGATGATGTATTATCTATAGCTTTAAAAGTTCCTTAGACAAATTAAACTTATTTTTTTTTATTCGCTTTCATAAAATAATTATTAAAATATGAGAAGATTATAATCAATCATAGTCTTATTTATAATTACGTATATGATTAGAAAACAAATTAATCCTGAAAACTTTATGAAGCCAAAATGAAATATAAGTTATATTGATCAATCAGATTGTTATAAATCCTCCCTTTTAATTTTCTATTCTTCAATTAATTAATCTATTTCGGTTTTTTCAAACCATTTAATTCTTTTTCCTTCATTCCATTCTCCTACTTTCACTTCTTTATTTTATAAATAGTAAATTCCGATTCCATGTTACCTACCTTTTACAAATGTATATTTACATACCTTGAATCCAAGTACCAATATATTTTCTTCCATCAGCCCATTCAAAAACTCCTTTACCATGTTTTTTATCTTCTTCATATTCCTATTTTAGAACTAATTTATTACTCCAGTATATTTCCTTCCATCCTGCCATATTATCTATCCTTTTCCATGCATTTTGTTCTTTTTCCATGATCCTTTATAAACTCTTTTGTCTGGCCAAATGTAGGTACCTTCACCATGAATGTCATTTTATAAAAATTCACCTTTAAATAATTAAATCTACTAATTTACCATCATATCTTGATCCATCTGCGAAATTGAGAATACCTTTGCCATGCTTTTTCCCTTCAAAATATTAACCCTCATATTTAGCACCGTCAGGCCAATTTTCAACTCCTCTTCCATGTTGTTTATCGTTTTCCCACTTTAAATTAATATACAGACTTACTTCTCCTTCATATTTTGCTCCATTCACATGTATGTATGTACCTTTTCCATTTGCTTTATCATTTTTCCATTCTCCGTCATAAACATCTCCATCAGCATGAGTCAATTTCCCCTAAAATTATAAATTTAAATACCCTTCCTGATGACTTGTCTTCTACCCATTCCCCTTCATAGATGGAACCATCAGGCCACTTTTACTTACCAAAACCATCTCTCATTCCGTTCTTCCATTCTCCTTCATAAACAGCCCCAGACTCTAATTAAATGGGAGGCAGCTTTTTTCTTTCATTGCAATTCATTGTACTTTTAATTAAATCATTTCCTTCTTAGTTATTTGCGACATTCATGCTAACTGAATGATTTGCTGATATATTTAACTATTTATCTTATTCTTAAGACTTTTTTGAGTTCTCATCAACATTTTTAGCAGGTGTTTCTTTAACGGCTTCTTTTTTTGGCTCTTTTTTAGTTTCTTTTTTCTATTTCTGTTATTCTTAATCAACAACAAATCTCTCATGATCTTTTGCTTGAACTTTTTATTCTTGTTGTGTAATATCATTTTCAGAATTGTCATGTTTTGGTTTTACTTTATCTCTTCCTACTTTTATTTCGGTAGTCTCATTGTCCTATTTAGCACAGCATGATTAACAATTAGCAGCACCCATAATATTTATTTAAATATTAAATATTAATATAGAAGAACAAAAAATTCATTTCATAGTTCAATTATGGATATCAAAGTGTTTATAGAAATAAGTTATTCAAAATAATATTTTCCTTTTTGTATAAATTAAATGTTTAAATTTCAATAATTATTGATCACTAAATTTTGCTCTTATAGAAGTGTAATTATTCCAAAAGAGAAATTGGAATGTAGGTTTAGCAAAAGTTCTGGACCTGGAGGTTAGCATGTTAATAAAACAAACTCAAAAGCAGAAATAAGATTTAATCTAAAAACTGCAGATTGGTTAAACGATGATCAGAAAAAAAAATTCATTCGACTCTACCCAAATTATGTAAATAAAGAAGGCGAAATTATCTTAACAAGCCAATTTACTAGAGAGTAATCGAAAAATTTAGAAGATGCAATTGATAAATTAAAAGAAATGATCTTCGAATGCAGCAAGCCAGACAAAACTCAATTTACGATACCTCCTCCCAGTTATTATAAAATTTAATAAAGAGTTTAATGCAAAAGACAGAGATCAGATGTGAAAAAAACAAGAAATATCAAATGAAGTATGTAGCTTTTATTTGTGTAAATTAAATTAGATTTTTCTAAACACAAACAATAAATTATCACAGAACTGATGCCATCCTTTCTATAAGCTTCGTATCGCAAAGTGCACTTTTTAAGTATAAATCATGCAACTTCCCCATTAAAATAGCATTCTATCTCAAATCATCAAATCTAAATGTTATTACCTATATTAAAATTTAATCAATACAATTTCCAACAATTTATAGAACTCTCTTGATCCAATTCTTGTAATTAAGTAGCTATAAGCAATTTCATATATTTCTTGAGGTGTTATTTCTCTAACATCTTTCAATCTCTATAAAACTGTATAAATATCATATATACTTTTTCTTTCAATATCAGCATAAAACTCTTAATTATCATTCTCTGTGATATAATAGGATTTTACTATCTCAGCCAATTCTATTGATGTAAATTCATGTTTCAAAGAGGAAATTTTGTTTATCATTATTTTAAATAGTTTCCTATTTTTGATATATTAATTTACTTTGATCCTCTATATGAAAGTAAAAAACTTTTTATAATTAATTTCAATTCTGATAACTCGTATTTATCAAAATCCTATAAAATTTTACTTTCCAATTTTTACATAAGTGCTTCACTACCTTATTCAAAACCAAATCCTTAACTTATTAAACAAATTTATTCGAAATTCAAGGTATCAAATTATTGCAATAGATGTTTTTCTACTGTATTAAAATAGTCTTTGAAATGTTAGCTTTTAACAATATCAGCAGTATCTTATTTTTCACAGAGTTACCCCATAACAAGAACTCCTTAGATTATTGTATTTATCGGCAATTATTAATAGATTTACTAATCTTATGAATTTTCTAACATAATTCCTACTAAACCTCTTACAAATTATTTTGTTCTAACAATAAATAATATCAAAATACCCTCTTTAAACTCTCCAATAGCACATCAAAGTTGTAATAACAGATTAATATTATTAATTTATATCTTGTAATTTATTGATCGAATCTTATATTTAATTCTCACATTAATCCCAAAATTAATCTGAACCCTCTTTTTAATTGCTTAAATGTGATAATATTTCCAAAAGCTACTCAAGTTTTAATTTAGACATTCTATTCAAAATAGATATTTCTAATTAACCCCAAATCTCATGTTCTGAAGGGAGACATAAAATATCAAGCAATTTTGTAATTTTTATTAAATTTTCAACATCGCTAATAATTCTTATTTGTTTTGTTAAAATAGCTTAAAACTCTTGAAATTCATATCTTATCAGATCATCTTCTGTAATTCTGTCTGCAAATTAAATAAAGGCATTAACGCAAGACATTAAATTTTTCTCTGTCAATTACACTTTAAGTGTTCCTAAAAAATTAAACATTTCTTCTGGATGCTTAAATTCACTAGAATATTAGATGTTGATGTTATCAATAAAAACTTTTGCAAAATCTACTCTTCCATAATTAACCTCGTGTTCTCTTGCTTATCTTATAGTTTAAGTGTGAACTTCCTTTTCATTTTTTATTTTCATTTTTTCATATTCTTCTCTCTTTTTTCTAAGATCAGCTAAATATTCTTCCTTTCCTTTCCAATCTTTACTTATTAAGAATATTATATACCACCAGTTTAATTTTAATTCTTTTCATCATTTTTTCCTGTTTATTATTACTTTTATTCTTTTTTCCAGAAAAAATTAAAGGCAGGTCTATATAAGCTCTTTCGGTAACACTTAATAATATTCATAAAATATAATTAAATAATAATAATTAAATATATTCTAAACAATATTTGTATATTATTTTTGATTTAAAAATATTTGTAAATGATTACTTATTTTGAAATAGAGAAATAAAAATATAATAGGGATGAATTTTAAAAAGGTTATTATAGTGAAAAGGGTTTAAATGGTTATAAACTAATTTGATACCCTTAGTTTTAGATTATTAGTTTGAAAATCATATCAAACGATATTCTCAAATATGAATCAATTAAAATTGTAATATATAAAACGAATGAAGATTGGTAGAATTATATAAATTCTAAATTGACAACTCTCAAATTTTGATAATAAACAAATTAATTAAATATCGATATAAAGAAAAGTAAAAATTCTTAACTTTTTTAAAATGAATGATTGAGTATTACTATTATGTAACTTAACACAATATTTAGCGAATCAGGATGTATATAAGAATTAGAACTTTGAAATTTAATATATAATAGTGATGCCTATACAACAATTATTCTGTTATAATATAATATTTCAAATATTTAAAAATTAATTTAAGTTTAATATTTATCAAGATTCCTGATATCTAGTTATATATGTAACCTTTCTGTATTTTTACTAAATAACTCATTATATTGATTCTAATTTGAGATGACTTTTAATTCAGATAACTCTTATCTTAAAGAGCAGTATTGAAAATATGAAGGATTTTTTACTAATAAATAATCCATTTGCATTAATATCTTTGATCTTTATAAATTTCTCTATGTAATTTAATATAAAAGTAATCAAGATTTAGTGAATTCTTCATTAAATGAATTATTGAAGTACTTTTATATAAAAAATTCTTACTTTTATAATAACTTAATTCAAAAATATTAAATTTAGATCCTTAATATTTTAAGAATCAGATTACAAATATAAAAATTGAACATTTTAAGAATATCCATGCTTCTCTGATTTTTCATAATTATTTGCAATTATTTTAGAATACAAGAATTTAACTAAAATTACAAGTGTTCCCAGATGTTTGTAATTAATTTTAAATAAAGATATTATTTGTTATTATATACAAGATAATAAGATTAATTATATTCATTAAAATTAAGGATCATTAGTTTTTTAAGATCTGAGGATTTACCCAATAGAGATGTGGTTTCTAATTTATTAACTTTTAAACTAGCTTTCCAATTGCCATAGCAGGTTCCTTCTAATTAAATTAACAACGAACAATGTTGAGGTTAAATTTCACATTTTTATTGCTATTTTTTTTTTTCCTGATGCCTTCACTTTTAATTTGAGCTGTTTCTATGAGAGAGTTGTTAGTTTATGATAAAATCTTATTAGAAAAGTCATCGGTACATTGAGTGTCGTCTACATCTAGATTCCGATAAGATTCCAAAGGCTGCATGAAAATAGGTTTAGGCCCAATAAGTTGATTTTAATTAAATTAGAGCATATTTTTATTTCTTATTAATATGTACTTAAATTAATTACGATATCGATTCTTGTACTTAAAGAATTAAAGCCGATTTATATAATTTTTGAGTAGGTAAAAAAGGAATTTCTGTGAAATATTTAATTACATCATTATCATCGCATATTTGACAATAAATAATTCAAAATTATGAATGATATTTTAAAGCATTCAGAGTAATAGTTGGGCTCTTAGGTGGTATTGAATAGTATCACACTATCAAAGAGGAAGAAATATTGCAATGATAGATTTAGATCTTAATAAAATAAATTTAACTATAATATAATCATTTAAAAATTCAAAAATTTAACAATTAAATAAGTCTATTTAAAGTTTTCTGGTATTCTTCCCAATCACCACTAATGTAGTGAGACTTTAATAAGTAAAGACCATCACAATTATGTATCTGTCTGATTGAAATTTCGAACTTGAGAGATAAATTGGCTGAACATACATAATCATATTAATCATTTTACTGATGAACTAATAAATGATAAATTGTACCTACAGTATTTTGATCTACATTTACATTATTACCTTCAGTAACTCAGCAGCAAAGATAGCAGGGTCTCTATTAGTAGTACATTGTAAGTTGAAGGCTCCCTTGTGAATTTTGGGTTAAGGAGTTTTGACTGGATTGGGTTGAGTGTATTCGGATATGGCACTTATGGCACGTTCTCTATTAATAAACTAATATAATAATATAATTAGAACTTTTGGCTTGGCTTTGTCTAATGAAAAAGAATCTTCAGTTTTTCTATTGGTCTATAACGGTGTATTTCCATTAGTGCCAACACTTGAAATAGAATTGTTAACGACTTAATAAATTGGTTTGAGCATGGGAGGAATGATGGGTCTAATTTATGCTCTTTTAACTATTTCTCTTTTTAATTAGATGGTAAATGTTTTTGGTGAATCTGGTTTAGTTATCTATTTAAAAGTTTGAGGTGAAGGTGATTGTTATCGATTATTGGTTTAAGTCATGATTCGATGTTAAGGAGAATGCCCATTGCTTGTATTCTATTTTTACCTGGAAGTGTTATTATTACTTGTATTTAAAGAATCCAGATTCGATGAATTGAGAATATACGATTAAGTAATTGAATCATCGAAATCTTTTTTAAAGTAATTAAATGTTCTATTCTTTTTGTTTTTCTATATTTGAAGATAATAGAGTGTAGTGATATTATTGTGCCTATTTTTCTTAACAAGTTTTCTACAAAGTTGGGGATCAATCGAATATAGATTTTTCAATTGCTCAACTATTATTTCATCAACTTAAATATTATCACTTCCGATATTTCCAAAATTCTCTTCTAACTTAATAATCTTAGCCCATTTATGTCCTTTTATCTGTGGGATTGTAAATCTCTTTTTCGGATCTGTGTTTAGAATATTTTTTAAGAGATCCTTTGCTTCTGCTGATAACCATTTAGGAAATACAAGTTCTCCAGCAATGATCTTCTTATATAATTGATTAGTATTCTAATCTTCGAATGGCAGATATCCACAAAGCATTGCATATAAGACTATACCACAACTCCAAATGTCGATTAAATATCCAGAATATTTCAGACCTTGAATCATTTCTGGGGCAGCATAACATGGACTTCCACAGGCAGTCTTCAATAATTCATTTGGCTTATAAGTGTTGGATAAACCGAAGTCCACAATTTTAATATTTTGATTATGATCAAAAAGCAAGTTCTCTGGTTTCAAATCTCTATGAACAATGCCAATTTTATGCATGTATTCAACTCCTGACAAAATTTGAAGCAGGAATCTGCATGCTACCTTTTCTGAAACTTTGTGATTTTTTACTATATATTCAAATAATTCTCCACCGCTGGCATATTCCATGATTAAATATATCTCCTTATCAGTGTCGATTATCTCGTAAATTTATATTATGTGAGGATGTCTCAACTTCTTTAAGATTTCAATTTCCTTGGCTATTCTATATACGTCACTTTCATCTTCAAACTTGGCTTTTTCTAATATTTTAATCGCTACCTAATAGTAATAAATATTAAAGTACCTTTTCGCCAGTTTATAAATGAGTTCCCATTTTTACCTTTCCAAAAGTGCCTTCACCTAATGTATTTCCTATAGCGTAGTTACCAAGAGTTGATTCTTGCATTTACTGTTATAATTAATATTTAATTGATGGGTGTTTAATAAAGTGACAATAATGAAGCACCTCCTTTCTTGTCACATATGAAAATGATATACGATAAAGGAAACTATAAAGTTTATGAGAATGATAAAAATCAAAAATTTGACTACTAAGAATTTAAATCGAGCTAAAATTCATTTAAGAATGAGTTAGAGGTTGCTTAAGAAATTTAAAACCAAAATTTTCAAGGAATTGCTAAAATAGAGTAGATCTCTCTTTAACAAAGTGAAAAATGGCTTATTAAGTACACTACTTTATGCATTTTAACCGAACATCCAATCTATTCTCTTAGGGAGTATCTGTAGAAGAAGGATAAATCATTATCAAACCAATAGATAACCGAGTTACTTGTATCAATAACCGGAGCATAAAACTAATTAGGAATGAAAAAACAATATCTTGGATTTGATAATATATATACTAGTGATGGAAATGTTTGGAAACTTAAGCCATTTTTCGAATCCGAATCCCCATATCAACGATTAATGAAATATAAGGCTGAGAAGACTCCTAATTTCGAATTAGATAGCTTCCCTGCTCCTGAAGAATTTGAAGGTAAAGTCTGCGATACCGATAGAGTACAAATTTTTGGTCTTGGTATGATTATGTTAGAATTGATCACAAGTATTAAGGATTTTATTTTGTAGAACAAAAAAGCAAAGATATCTATTTAGAATATAAGTTGAATGATTCACTACTCTTGCAACGCGTTTAATAGGTTTAAACTCTGAAATAGTAATTTTCTGGAAATTTAATTGATATCATTATAGAAATGCTGGATACAGATTTAGTCAGAAGACCCAATTTCTAACAATTAATAAAAACTTTGAAGTCTCCTTCATCAAAAATAGTGTTCATCTAAACAAAACTTGATGCTCTACGAGAGATCCCAAAACTAAACATACTAGATTCAGTTAGATATTTTGGATAGAATGATTTCAATGAAAATGAAGAACAACAAATAAGCTAAGCAATAGAAGAAACTTAAACTTAAATTTCCAATAGTATCCAAAAAATGAAATAGGAATTGCAGAACATTCAAAATCCCCAGACTATTGACGAATAAAATGGCTATAAATATCGCGGTCAAATAGTTAATAATCTATATGAAGGAAAAGGTAGTTATTAAATATATTTAGGTCGACTTTATTCTAAATCAGGGGTTTTGATTTATGAAGGAGAATTTGTGTAAGGGTATTTTCATAATTTGGGAATTTAGTATTACCAAAATGCTGTTTCTTTGAAAGATAGCTATGATATCTAGAATTGTAAGAATATTATGAAGTATGCTAAACAATATGAGGGTAGTTTTAGAATGGGATAGTATAATATTATATAATATTAGTAAACATGGAAAAGGTAAATTGATCTTAACAAATGGAGAATATTTCTGTGGGGAATTCAAAAATGATGAAATAGATGGTGGAGGTCAATTTGTAAAAAAATTGAAGGAGAAAATAATAGGGGTTTGGAATCATGGAATACTAAAATCAACTCCAGGATTTTAAAAAGAGTTAATATCTTTTAGATCTCCTGAATTTGTTAATTAATCTCAAATTTCAGAAGACAACTCAAAATAATAATTAGGTTTGGATAATCCTGATCTGATGACTAATCATTAAGAAAACCTAAAAGTTAAGATATCATCAATTGATTCTGTAATGAGCAAGCTGTAAACTTGCAAGAATTAATTGGAAGGTTAAATTAAAGCTTATTCATAATATTTTAGTCATCAATAATAATAAAATAGAAAAGACCATAAAATTTATTATGATGAAGCCAAAACAAAATTAAAGTATGAAGGTCAACTTTTTACTGGGCAAATGCATGGAAGAGGCACTTTATATTTTGAGGATGAATAAATTAAATATTAAGGAGATTTTGTTAATGGAAAATTTGAAGGGTTTGGATTTTTAATGAATGAGAACCAAGATAAACAAATGCACATTAATTATTAAGATTTGAGAGATTTCGATTAGAAGCAGTATTGGATTAAATATTAAGGGACTTTTTTAAAAGGAGAGTAAGAATTTATAAATTATAATATATAGGTTACAAGGACAAGGATGTTTGTATTTTATTGATAAGAGTGAATTAGTAGGGTTTTTTGAGAAAAATTAGGTGCATGGGGAAGGAAACTTAAAAAGACCATCACAAGAAGATGTTTATGCAGTATGGTAAAACGGTATACTTTAGAAGGAATTAAAAGGCAAATTATGAAATCATATCTATGATGTAATATTTGAACAAAATTTTAAAAATAATACAACATATGTTTTATCATTCTTTCATGCTTCCTTGTTTAAACATATTCTTTTTGGTTCAAATTCTGTTAAGAGCAAAGTAGAGGCTTTGCGTTTATCTTATAACAATTCTTCCTTTGTAATTGATGTACAAATGATAGATTCCAATTCTTATGAAGGTGTATTTAACCCTTCCTCTGGTTCATGATTCAGTTCTTCCTTCTCTTTATTAAGTGGCTCCTAAACTTGTTATAACTCCTCTAAAATTCCATTTTCCTCGTCTTAAGAAAGTTCTTCATCAGAAATTTCACTCAGTTCTTCCTCTTTGAAGATATAATAGTAGGCTTTTTTAAGCCATCCATCAAATTTTCTATTTAATTTTGTAGTTGCGTTTCCCATTGTATTTAAAAATTTATTAACTGAATTATAATATATATATATTGTAATAAAAAAATGATTATATTTTCTTAAAAATATAATATTTACGAATTCCCAATTCAAATAACTTATTTCTCCCACTTTTCAAAGTCTTTGTATCTGACAACAAAATCATTTTGATTTCTTTTCGACAATGAAATACTCTAATATATGAATTCTAATAAGTACAGTAAGTAGTGATTTGGCATCGTCTCCAGCATTTTCGAATAGTTGACAAAATTCATCAAAATCTAATTGTGTGCCATGTTCTCCCAAAATTAGATCTAAATCGAAATTCAATTCAAATTCTTTCCGTATTGTATCAATTATTGTAGATTTTAGTACATACCCTGATTTATCAAGTTAACCACCTAAGGCACAAAAGGCATCGACTAGTTTATTTTGATATAGTACTATATTCTTAAGTGATGGTTTCTTCTTCATTCAATTGTTATTGATATTACTTCAATTTGCAGTATAGATCACAAATTTGTTTTAAGTCAAGAAATTTAGCATTCATGATCTTCAATTCTTCATTAAATTTATTAATAAGCTTGTCATTATTCAATAGTTTAAGATCTTGATAGAAATTTAACCGATTACCTCTGAGTACATCATCTACTTCATGCTTCCCAACATACCCAGTTCCTTTGGGATCGAATTTTTTAACCTCGATAATTATTTCATTCATTTCCTCTTGACTTAAATTAAACATGCTTTTGGCCTATTAAACTAGGTCTTAGTATTCAGCATTCAACGTTGGTTTTCTTTTCATTTGATTCAAATAAAATTAAAACTAAATGATAATTATATGATAAAAAATAAATTCAAAGAACAAAATACTTATCTAACACATTTAGGTATCGATTGAACAAATTAGAAGAAAATAGTCTTTAATAACATAATTTTATTTTAATTTATAATGAAAATATATATCTCGATTACAATCTGCTTCCTATTGGGTATCAAGGTGTCGCAACTATTGATATCGAGGGGACATGGAGTAAAAAATTATAAATAGTAAATGAGATCACGAAGTTGACAGATGTGAATGTAGCAAATAGTGAAAATTTATTAATAAATGTACGGTATTATATTTGTAAACAAATCAATTGATGTTAAGCTTAGTTCTTCTCCAATGTCTACGTTTTGAATTGTACCTAGTAAAGTCTTATTTTCATTCAATACCTGATTGTGTTATCAGTTCTATATCTAAACCAATTTGGAAGAGGTCTATTTTGCTTATTAGCTTTAATCAATCTCTTCTTCATTCTCAATGATTTATGAGCTCCCTAAATAAACATAAGTGAAAGTCAATACCATTTTAAATCTTTTTTTAATTTATTTAATAATTATTCCTCATATATTTCTTAATCATTTCCAAATCCACGCCTTTGAATCCACAATTTACACAGTGACTAAGTGACAAGACAGAAAAGGAACAATAAAAATTCAAATCTAAACAGAGCAATTATTAATAGAAATCAAAAATCATCAAACATATGTTAAAGTTCACGAGGCAATTACTTGGGAGCATCAGTAGAGTCAGGATACTTCTCAAACCAAAAGACATCATCCTCTGATCTTAAATAAGGGACCCAAGGAGGAGGAATCTGTCTATTTTCTACACGTGTCCAATCCACCCCCCTATACCATTTATGCTTCTTGATTGACTCTCCATTCTAATTCTATATAAATAGATACATCATTAAATCCTAATCGACTCTATATTTCTGGGTTTAAAAGCTTTCTTATCAGATCTTTGACCTTATTATCAAAGAATTTAGGAAATTCTATAAGTCCAGACAAGATCTTCTTATAGATTCCAATGGGTTCATTCATCATAAAATGGAGGATAACTATTAAATGGGTTTTATTATTGGTTACCCTGATAACATTTCAAATAGTAATATACCGTAAGCCCACTAATCCACTGACTTTCCATAGCCAACCTTGGAGCCTTTGATGATTTCAGGAGCCAAATACTCAGGAGTGCCACATAAAGTGAATGTCTTCCCATTTCCTATCTTTTTAGCAAATCCAAAATCAGTAATTTTAACATGGCCATCCTTGGCTATTAACAAGTTTTCTGGTTTGAGATCTCTATACACTATTTACATTTTGTGCATATATATGATTGCAGTCAAGATTTCAGTTGCATAAAACAAACAAACGTCATTGGCAAATCGACCTTCCTTTCTTAATCTGCTAAATAATTCCCCTCCTTGAATATATTCAAATAACATATAGATGTAGAACTAATCTTGAAACGATGTTTTCATTTTTACTATGAAAGGATGCTCAATGAATGTTAAAATGTCTTTTTCTGATTTTATATGCTCAACTTAATTGAGTCTAACTACTTCTGTTTTTTTTAAAATTTTGAGTGCATAAACTTTATTCTCAGGATCTCCTTTGATCTTGGCTTGTCTAACTCTGCCAAAAGTTCCAGTCCCTATTATTTTATAAGCTAATTAATAAATACCTAATGTAGAAAGGATTTCAAAATCTTAGATTCTGAGTTCTTTGAAGTTAATCTTAACATTCTTGAGCATCTTGAGTTTCATGCTTAATTGGTTTTGATTCTGAATCTATTATTTTTTTTTGACCAAACCTTGTTTAGTTAATATTGAATCTAATTCAGGGTCAATTTCTGATTCACAATAACTTGACTCTAAGTTTCTGTCATGAATATCAACACCCATAAGCTCTTGCTTCTTTAGATAATCGAGTCTGTATTTGAGATCAGCAAAAAATTCGCTTTCAGACATCTACATCTTTAAGGATTATTATTAATTATAATTAAAATACTATACAAATCAGATTAATGCAATTTAGAAACCCCTTTATATATATATATATATATATATAGATAAAAAGTAAAAAGAATAATCTAGTGTAAATTGACTGATTAATTGTACTTTGAGTATACAAAAAAATAAAAAAATCATCTAAATCTTCTAAGGGAAATTCTATTTCTTCTTGCATAATTGGCTCTTCTTGAAGGTCTTGTTTAATTGTTACGATGACCTTTAACTCTGAGTCCTCTGCTCTTTCTGCCAGCGGATGTCAATCCTTAAATAATTAATGATTCACAAAACCTCTTAATTCTCTATGTTTGTGAACTGGCTTGGTAATCCAATTGATTCTTGAATCACCTCTGATGGCTGGATGGAATGGATCGACTGTAATGATTTCGTAGTATTTATATGTGCCATCTTAAGCAACCCAATAGGAATTCAAGACTCTCAAGGCTCCAATTTTTCTTCCCACTCTTTCTTCTGCAACAGACCTGAGATTTCTTGTTGGCTTCAATTAATTAACTCCTTGACTCTTGGGTTTTCCTTTGACAAGTCCCTTTCTAATGAGCAATTTTCTACCACCTCTTCGTACTCTCACTCTATAAATTACATAGCCTTAATGATGATCATAATGAATTACCTTGTTTGGCTTTGTAACCCAATCTCCTAGCCTTGTCTGGTCGACTTGGCCTGGTGGCTCTGTGAATTACAGGCAATTGTCTGTATTCCCATGTTCTAATTCTCATGATGAAGCTCAACACATCTGATTGTTTCTTTTTCCAAAGTTCTTGTAAATACTTGTATGCTCCCATTTGAATGTTAAAAAAGATTTTTATTTATGAATAATTTTCAAATCCCCATAAAGAAGCCACAATATATAAATTTAATCATTTCTTTAATTTTTATAACATTTCTTAATTTGCTGTGAGTAACAATTAAATTCGTTCATCCAAAGATTATTCTTCCTAAGGTTCATTCACTTCTTGACAACTGTACTTCCCACTATAAACGAGGAATCTTTAATTTTTTTCCATTTCTTGTTCAATCCAAGAGGACAGTTGAGTGGAATGAGATTCCCTTTACTAAAATATCTCTGGAATGATGTACGACTCTTCTGCCAGTTTCAAACAATATTGCATATAAACCAGCAATTCAGGTTGAAAATATTCAAGGTAGTGATTATAAGTGATACACAATCTATCATCCTAGACTGGACAGAACTCTACGTTATTAATCAATCCAAATTAAGAAATTATTTTGATAGTACAAGGTGGAGGATACTTAAATGTGATCACAGTCCTATCAACAAACTTAGCCTTCACTGTCCCATTCTTTAATAATAAGAATTCCCCAACTTCCCGTAAATCAACCTTCCTTAACTCTTCGAAATTTCCTTATTCTACTCTATAATACTCAACAGGCTTTTGCTTCTCCTATAGTTAGGTGATGATCAAATTCATATTTGATTTGTATTTCGTATTTATAAGTTTGCAATATACATCAAAGGCACTTAGATTGTATTTATCATTCTAGTTTATTGTTATATTATTTACATATATTGATTACTCCCATTTCTATTATCCATATTCCCAAAATATCCCATCTCTAAGTAAAAGTTACTCATTAATCAATCCGATCCCTCCATCTACTTAAAACCAAAATTAGGCTTAGTTTGTAAACATAAAGATTGGTCTTCCCAAATTAATTTAACTAATCTTATTCATGATTGGAGACACATTGTCATTCACTTGTATAGTCTTAATAGGTTGATCTATTAAGATTTTAGTAACCAACTAATCCTTTATTTTATAGCAATTGTACGTCTCATAAAAATAGTCTTACATTTCCTCCTATTCATTCAGGATGTATTCTATCAATTCTGTTGGAAATTAGATGTCTAGATATTATACTATTTGATTTATATAACAAAATACATACATTTTTCGTTATTTAAGAAATCTTTTACTAAAACAAAGAAGGGTGCTATCCATTAGATTGGAAAGTTGATCAAACTGTATTCTTTATTGAGAATTCTATATGTGTACCCTATTCCACAATCTATGCTGGCTGCTGTTGATTTGGTACCCCCAAGATTATATTTCTTAATGAAATTATTCACAAAATTGGTTTCATTTTCAATTTCCTTAACAACAGCTACAGTTTAATTACAAGAATAGTATTGCAAAGATATTTAGAATGTTTATAGATTCAATTTCATTAAGGCATAACCATCTATTGATTTTAATATAGCATAGTCATTCTCAATTTAATATTCGAGTGGCCAAATCTATTATTATGATTAATGAGTAATACAATAGTTTAAATTTTCTTCATCTTAACTGCCTCTTCATAAATTATTTAATCGGAATTGAGATACGTATACTTGGATGCCACCTATAGCACTTCTTTGACCTTCTCTTGTATGTTGTCGTATTTTCTACAATTCTCCACTTTGATTCTGCTTCTCTCTCCTTTGCTATTAAAATAACTTAGAGTCCCTGCGTTTGAATATATCAATGCCGATTAATCCTTAAATACGGCATGTATTGAATCATCAAATTATATGAATTCTTTTATAAATTCAAACATAAATTATCAATAATTTATTTTCGTTAGAATATTTGGAAATTGAGTATGAAATAAAAAGTAAAAAAGAAACACCCATGGCAGGGATTGAACCTGCAGCCTACAGCTTAGAAGGCTGTCGCGCTACCAATTGCGCCACATGGGCATCTGTACTAATATCGATTAATTGTTGTAATAACAATATTAGGGTATGAACTATAGAACATATTAGAAAAGTATAGATAAATTTAATAATTTATTCATCCTAAAAAAATTTGAACTATTGCTTAGAAAGTATCATACATTTTAACTATTTCACTCATAAACTAATTGTAATAGGTGGCTTCAATTTTGCCCTTTAGAAAAGTATATTGATAATAAATACTTCATCGCCACACAGAAAGCACCTCTTCTGATATCCTTTGTTGCAAGTGCCACAATAAGTATGAGCGCAAGGGATTATGGTGACTGCATCATTTACAAATTTCCCACAATATTTACAGAGCAACGCTTGATGAAGGTGAATCTAAATGTTAAATCTCTCTCTTACTGTTTATTATTACAATAGCTTCGCCTTTTATTCAAACTACTTAAACTTCTCTTAAATCGAGCTATTCTGCTCTTAGGTTCTCCATAATTAATGTTCTGCCCTATGCAATTGCTCCTTCAACTCCGTTTCTAATGAATTCATCTACTTTTTAATAGTCAAAACATCATTTTCCTATTTATCTTCCTCGAGACTTTCGTATGCCAATTTTAGAGATAAGAATTTTCTTTCAAGTTGCTCCATCATCTTCTATTGCTCTTGATTTTTTTCTTGCAATTCCTAACATTCTCTCTCCTGAGTATATACAAAATTAATCATATACTTTTTCATGATACTTTTATTCCCAATTACAAGGTATTTCAAATTGCTAAATTGGATTCACCAATGAATTAAACAATTTCTTTTAGACTAGTTTCTTAAAAACCGGCATCTATTTAAAACTAGGCTAAGTTTTTTGTCTCTTGGTTTAAACACTTAATCCTTATTATTTAACTCCCACATCTTCTGAAGTCTTATACGATCTAATGTCAAACTTAAATGTTGTTTTAGATAATATTTTTGGAGTGCTTTGATCAAGTGCCGGAAATCTTTATGAAAACATTATGTAAATTTTAATTATTAGTAATTTATATTTTTGAGTAATTATAAAAACAAAATCATTTCCAAAGTTCAATCGTTCTCCAAATCAGAATACTCCCATTTGGCCAACTAAACAGACGATTTCTTTTTGAAATTTAACTATTATTTCGCAGGCTTGTTGACCATTCCCCTTTGAGGGATATCCTATATGTAATTCGCTTTTTATTTTCTCACATACACAGGTCTCCCTTAAGGTGATGATGAAATCGTTTTCAATCTATCAAGTATTTTACACTTTTCAACATTTAATCCCAAAACATATGCCGTGGGTTTCACCAAACAAATTTTCTTACACTTTTGAAATGATGAATTCACTCTTGATTAAGGTGGCCTATTAGTATAGATTTCTTGATTCTTAAGTTGAAATATTGGGGATTAAGTGCAATTATCAGTTTAAATAGTTCTAAATTAACTTGACTCTGGTATTTTACATGTTAAACTCCTGTTTCGAATTTATAACATCCTTTCTAAGATCTTATTCTTAAAATCAATGTTTTTATAAATCCCTTATTGATTTTATTCACTCAGAGGCAGAGCTTTGTATTTCTAATTGAATAATTTACTAAATTGTGTCTGTCTCGATTGGATTGACTTCGTGGTATTATTCAAATTCTACATTTATAAATTTGCTGGATAACGAGTAGGTAAATAACTTGGATGATAATAGTCTCTTTGAGTTATGTGATAAAGCGAAAATTAGGATTTTTTTCTATTCTCTTTTACACATTACTTAGCCAACAAATAACTTAGATTAAATTTTTTAGCAGGACTACTCTCTTCTGTTAAACTTATTGTAAAGGGTCTTTTAATTTGTGCTAGATCATCTGCTCTATTTATCGACAAAAATAGTCTACCCGTAAAGATCTATTGTTTTGCTCATGTATATAGATTAGTAATAAAATTATATAAATAATATTAAATTCAAGCCTTTCATAAGCATGCCAAACTTAATAGTATAATTGACTACATTTGTATTTAATTTCATCCTGAAGACATTTTCTTTTAACCTTAATAAAATTCAAATAATTGAATTACTCTAATATCGACAAAATCATTGTCTCTAAATTAATTATAGATATAAAGTTATGTATTATTATTTTATACTTTGTTCAATATCAAAATTATGGGTGAAAATTTCATAATAAGTTGAAATGAAACTATTTGTGAATTGTTTTCACTAATTTTATTTTATATCTAAATAACATACCAATTAGATATCAAAAATTATAACTGCAATAGATACATATATATAACATGAATAGATTAATTATTCATTTAACATTCTTCTAAAAATCATTAATAAATCCTTCAACAGTAGATTTTGCATTCTAAATACATTAGTCTTATGAAGATGTCTTGATACATTATTCAAATTGAATTCCCATAAAGAGCATTTTAAAATCAAAGGCCTTCATTTACTTATCAACATTTTTGCTTCTCTGATACATACCTTTTGAAATTTATCAATTGATTTACATTGTGCATATTTCTCAATATTTTTGCCATTTTAACTCATACATTGTTCATGATATTGCTTAGGAATATTCTAGACTATTTCTTCAAATCCTCTTTAAACGACATCCAAGGTTTTTTATAATTATTGATGAACTGCGCCTGCTCCACTCATACCAGAAATAAATTTTAATTAAAAAAAATAACACTCATTAGTTTTTGGATGTTAATTCAAGAGTCTTTAAAAAGTCCTATTGGATCTGCAGAATATTATTGATAGCTGATTATTGACACTAACTTCTTTCGTTTATGTTGAGACATTCAGCAATTTCATTTTTCAAGTAATTAATTTTAAACTCCATTTTCTTTTCTTCCTTACTTTATCTTTTTTAGAAATTCATCATGCCTTGCATATTTATCAATAATTTACACTTCACAAATTCAAAACTATTCCCCTTATTTTCCTAAAAGCACAAGTTTTCTTAATTTTGATATTTCTCAACTATTTAAGTCAAGAAATTTGAAGTTGTAAAATCAATAACCTCATTTCTGATTTCTTGGAATAGTTTATTTGTCTCATCTTCATTTCGATTCATGGTCAATCAATAATTGCAAATATAAATTATTAAAAATAATGTCTTAGTACACGAATACTCAATCAAAAATGTAAAGAAAGTTTATATTTTAAGAATTATATATATTTTTTATATGATCAAATTAATAGACCTAGAAGGGTGGTCAGATTATTCAATATCTCCATATATAAATTAATTAAAATAACTTTCAGAATCACCTGAAATCACACCAACAAAAAGGGAGAAATTACACAGGCTTCCTTCAATTCAATAAAAAAAACTGGAATGTTATGAAATTCAGAATTATAAATCAGGATATTTTGCAAATCGAAAATAAATAGGATATCAAGTCGTTAGTGAAGAAAGGAAATCTCAAAAACTAACAAAACAATACACTAGAGTCCAATAGTAATAATATTAATTTCAAGAATTGTCCTCCTTTGTAGAATCTCCGAAGAAACCAAAAAAAATGAAAGAATTATAGGATTGCCTATTTTAGAGAAGATCCTATAGATTGAAGATAAAGAACAAAATGCTAAATTTAACTCAGAAATCACCTCTCAAAAATATATCTTAACTATTACGAAAACTCAACAGTGAAGTCATAAATAAGAATGATTTAGTATAAATTTTGGATAAATGAAATTTGATCATTAATGATATCGGCATACCGGACAAACTTTACTTCTTTTTTACCATTATTATAAACAATTCTTATGAAAGACATGGCAACACTGTAAGAGTCCCTTCTGATCATTTAGTTGAATATCCATAAGGCATATGGAGCATTCTTAAGGCTTGTAGGCCTATTACTTGTCTATCATCTTCTTAACAACACATTCGCGAAAATGCTCTTACTAGAACTTTTTGAATATTTTATCTTTGCAAAATTCGCATTGACTATCCTCTTAATCTACAAGTGCAAATGCTTAACAAACATTAAGATGGTTTAAAATTAGTTTCTTTAGTTATTTTTCTCCACAATATCTACAAATAATAATTTAATTATCAATCCCACAAGTTTCCATATGTTTAACCAACCCACATTTAGGATACTGGTCTTTACAATTACTACATTCCTGTAATTTATATTAACTATCCTTAAACTTCATATCCATATTTTATAATAATGTATTTTGGAATAAAAATATTATAATAAATTACCCACTTCCAGATCCAAGCTCAGATTTCAGTAACAGATTGAATTGATTTAGACATTGTGATACAATTAAATAATAGTAAAAGTTATGAACTTTAAATAATGTACTTAAATATGATGTTATTGAATCAAAATAAAACAAATTGCTTTCTGACATTACCAATGATTTCATTTGGGATAACTTTCAAAACATTGAATCTCACTGTTTTAGACAATGGTCTATCATTGTTAATCTTAATACCTGCATTATCCACATACAACAATATCACCTTCCTTGACTGGGCCAAAAGCTCGGTGAAATGTGCACTGGAACATTTCTATGTCTCTTCTCATATCTATTATATTTGGCAACATAGATGTAAATAATCTCTTCTAATAATAATTGTTCTGGTCATTTTGGTTGAGATGACTATACCTCTGTAATTACACTATTTCTATATATGTACTTTAAGATTGCTCCTCTAACACTAACACTCCCAGTAAATGGGCACTTCTTATCAATATAATGTCCTTCAATAGCTTCCTTGGGTACTTTGAATCCAAGTCCAACTTCTTTCCAATATCTCACTCCTTTAGATGTTTTCTTCGCTAAAAGCTTTTTAGAATTTTAGAAGATGCCCTCTTGCTTCTAAAAGGCTCTTTATGTCTAGAGGTCTGCCATTATGTATATTTTAAAATAAATGATATAAATTTTTATGCTTTTCATAACAAATTGTTACAAACTTCTATCGTCCCAATACTGCGATTAATTTTTATAATTAAATTCAAAAAATAAGAATTGTTTGAGATAATTTTACCCACTAAAATTTAAATCCCTAATATTTATCCTAAATCAATGAAACTTTGCTATTTTTATATAATTGGTACTAATTATTGAAGACGAATAATTGAATTGTGACTTTTATTATGTTATATTCAGAAAGATAAGTTTGCTCTTCTTTAATCTGAATATTCTTAATAATTTTGGATATTTAAAATTGGAGAATTCTAATGGAAGTATATTCAATAACAAGGAGGCATTTGTTGCAATTATATTTTAGACATTAAAACTAATAATTAAAGAATTATTTAAATATCAATTAGATCTATTAAAATATTATAACTTAATAGATCATTTAACAAACCATTTTATTTATTATAATGTAAATATTTAATTGTTAAAATTGCTGTCGATCTGAAATAACAAAATAATAGAATTTTAAACTACCAAAACTTTGAATGCGTTGTTATTTATGAAAATTATTAAAATAAAATAATTAATAAAATCAGTATAATATTACTCATATATTTTAATATTTTGTACTCAAAAGGAGATGTTTATTTGCAACAGATTATTATGAAGTTCTATTCCTATCGATGAAATTTTTTTAAATTTCCTCGGGATCCAACTATGCTGATACTCTTATTTAGGTACTATGAGATTGTCTGTGAGATGAAGTTTATAACCATTTTTTATTCACGTTTAAATTTGAATCATTTTGGTTTAAGTAATGCTAGAGTCTTGCAGGAGAATATTGGCTGGAAATGCTTTAGTATCTCTTTGGAGGAGTATATTTAACACTTTTTGTATCATCAAATTAACATCTATGTTATTTTGGAAAATTGTTCTTTGATGTCTAATTTTGATTTTAAAGTTATTTTTTTTGTTTTTCATTTTATTTCTTTACTAATAGTTAAAAGGAACATGAAGCTAAATTATAATTTATTGATTTGCTCAATTAGGAATGCATGATACTTGGATTCTAAGTGATTTGTGATGTTGATTTTTATTCTTGATTGATAGGTTTTAGCTTCGAAGTATTTATTTCAGATAACGAATTTTACCATAAAGTAACCATATCTTTTTCTACATATTTGTCTTGAGTCATATCAATCAAACTAATAAGATGTGCACTCTCACTTATTCTTAACATTTTACTTATTCTAAATTTATGCTATTACTAAGTAGTATTAGGCTTGTTATATCTAGATCAATATTAAGAGTCTATATTTCATTAGATTCTCTTAATGGGTCTTGTAACTATCTTGTTGTCATTAAAATTATGTTTATATTATAATTTATTCTTGGAATAAGAGACTCTCTTCTATTTAGTAGTAGCATTCAGAGATACATCTATCCAAAGCAAACCTTGGGATTAGTCGAATTGCTGAAGAAACTCTTTAAGTAAGAAATTTGCAAAGAAAGTCCAGAGAGTGAAGTCATTGCAGAAAAAACATTTGAAAGCATGAAATTAGCATTATAATTCATTGGCTGGATGATTCTGTATTACTTTGTGTAATGGTGCTTGAGTTTTGTGATAGGTGATATTGCTTCTTCCTTTTTATATTGGATATGTGTGATTGCCACTTATTCGAAATATGCAGCAGGTATGTGGATAAGGACTTAGGAAGTAACATAAGAAGCAATAAAGATGGAAACGAATTTTTATTTAAATAGATCATTTGTTAGCTATTAGATAGATGAATCAGAAGTTCTATTGATGTTAGATTATTCTATGACGAGAATCATTTTTAGTGTGTTGTTTCAGTTATAATCCAACATTTTGTGCTTTGTTATAGGAAATTATTTGCCATTCCCAATAAATCTATTAAAAATACCAATATATTCATTATTCATTTCGATCCAAAACTTATCAGCCAAAATCCCATATAAGAAACATTTAGCTTACTTTTATAGTCAAAATGTGGGTTATTTGATCGGATTTAATTTTTTGTTTTCATGCTATCTACACATATCATCATTTCCCTTTTTTACAGGAATCCTATGGTTTATTATGCCATTGTACTTGTTAAATGCTATACCAATAGAACCCCCTAGATTTGAAAGCAATTTGCAGAATCTTAAAATTCAGGATTACTTAAATATTTGCAGTGCTTAAAGCGATTTATAACTAAAAAGAGATTCATATGTAACTCATCTTAATGTATAAATTTGATTCACTATTTTTAGAAATACTTTAATGATTAAAATTATGCATCAATTTGTGAAAATTAAACCTCATATATTTCAATGCCAACCCTTTTAGTGCCTTGGGTTTTATAAATTTTGTAGAAAATCATTTCGAAACTACAAGGACATCAACACGAAGATTGAGAATTTTATTATATCATTATATATCTATAAATATACAATATTATCAATCAAAGTGGGGATTGTTTTAAGGGTTGTTTAAAAATAAAATACTGTATTCCCAATCAGCATCTTGTTCAAAGTCATCCTTTCCAAATTCACATTATTCAGTTGGATAAATAGAATATGTAAATTTTTGATATTCATCTTCACTCTTATTTTGCTGAGTATTCTCAGAAACTTCTTAAGTTTACTATTAGTGTAGTTTTTCTTCCCTTTATTTTTACTTATCAAGATTCATAGCCTTCCTAATTTTTGATTTATTTTTTTTCATATATGATCTTAAATATCCCATCTTTTTCTCAGAAATCTCCTCTATATTGATGATCAATTAGGCTTTATTAAAGATTTAAATGTAATCCTCCAAAGTTTTCTTTGGTACTCTCACTAGATCAGCTGCCTATTTTAAATTAACCTTTTTTAAAATTCCATTCTCTTCAATTCCATATCGGAATAAATATCTCCACTGTTGGACTCTATAGTAAGCATCTCCTATGCTTCTTTCCTTAACTCTTTTTGAAGTAATTTCAGGGTAAAAAGTGGTGCTATTCATTAGAAGTAATTATTAAATTTTTAAATTCTACATTTGGATTTATAGACGAAGTTCTATATAAAAACTACATTTCCATAAGAAATAATTCTCTTTAGTATGTATAAAAATAACAATCTACATGAATAAGATAGTTCATTTAGCTTATCTTACTAAAAAACACTTAAATAGCTCAAGACTTATGAAATTCTAAATAGAATAATTTGTATTCTTAATTATTTTCTAATCAACTCCGAGAGAATTAATTCAAAAAAACATTAATTTACATCTTAAAGAAACATCATTTCTAGCAATTGATCTACCTTAATATACTTATTATTGTAAGTTTTCTTAATCATACAAAGAAGTCTATTAGATTATTTTTACACTATATAAATATCCCTGATAATTCAAGAGGCATACTTCTTTATTTTCAATTTAAAAACTATTCAAATTACTTCTATACATTTCAACGCTTAATTGTTGAAAGATTAATCAGTATTGACTTATCCTAGAATATTGAAGATTTTTTCAAAAGCTTGTATTATTATTTTGTTGGTATCCATTTTCTTAAGGTTCACCGAATCAAATACCTTTGTTTCTATCAAATCCTCTCAAAACTCATCTTTTTCATTAATATTTGGATGGAATATTTCAGTTAAGAATTACAAGCAAGGAGCCTTAAATGGATAATTTTCAGGGAAAGTGAAGGACAATTTAAACCTTTTTCCTTGATAAGCTGTGTCTATTGGTCCTGCCACAATTGTAATTCATCCTACATTATTTATATAAAATTTATAGAATAATCTATCATTAGTATCAGGTATTATTTACACTCTAGGAAGCGAATTAAATTAATGAAGTCTTTAAGTCTTTATTAAATCTGTTATGCTTTTAAGATAATAAATAAAAACTTTAAATCTTTTGTACTGCAATTATGTATTTCTTGGTAGAATATATCATTTTGAAATAGAAAACTTCAAATTATTCTTTAAATTATAGAATAATATTATCTCAACCAAATTAAGGAGATTATAGTAATCATTAAAAATTAGGTGTGTTTAGATCTTTAAAATTTTTGTTCCAAATGAAATCGCTTATGATTGAATAAATTAAAATATCATTATTGAAATTAATTTAGATAACTATATTAATTATTCATTTCTAAAAATCACTTTGGCCAATTATAGAATCATCATTTTATCCTTACTAATTACCATAAAAGTAATATTTATTATTTTAAAATGATTGTTAAGTTTGAGGAACAACCTTTTCAAAATTAGTTATATCAGCTAAATTAGTTTTTTTCAACACAGATATATTAGCTGATGAAGTTGAAGTATTATTTGAATGAGTTGGACTTAACTTTTACAGACCAATAGCTAAAATAATTAATACAAAAATTACTTGATACATTATTGATTGGATTTCTATATTTGTTACCAGTCATAATATTATTACTAGTCATATTATGTGCAGCAACACTTCTTCTCGTTGCTCTTTGTTCATTCTTCAATTTTTCATTATCTCTTAATAGTAGCTCTTCCTTTTTTCTTAATCTATCTAACTAATCAGTCAGTTCATTCTTTATATTATTTAGATGATCTCTATCCAAATTCCACTTAGCTCTTTCTTTTTCAAATTCAAAAATCAAAGTAGATCTTTTACTCTCAACCTCTTTATACTTTGTTTCTAATTCAGTTATTTTTGCCTTTAAACTTTCCCTTTCCTACTCTAACATTCGTTGATAATCCAAAATCTTTTAATCTCTATCCTATTTAATGTTTTCTATTTCTTATTATAATCTTTTCTCATTATCTAACATCTCTGCAAACTTCTTTTCTGACAACAATTAATTTCCAATCTTTCCATGTTAATCAATCAATATTTTATCTTTATGAGTCTTAACTTCTTTCTACAATCTTCTAATCTTATCTTCATAATCTTAAACTATGCGTTAATGAGTTTGGTTTGCTTCTTCTATCTAAGCTTGATATTTTCTTTCAACACTTAGCAATAACTCATTTAAATTATTTTCTTGCTCATCCTTTTCATTTGATCTAGCTCTTTATAAATGCATTAAAGTCATTTCAAATTTCTTTAAAGCATCTACTAAATCTTATTTAGCTTATTCTTTTTATTATTCCAAAAATTAGAATTTTCCTTCCCATAAGGCTTTGTCTCGTTCATAACTAGTGTGAATTTCACTCTTATCCTATTCTAATTGCAAATTTAGTTATTTATATTTTTCTAATTCTTATTACAATTATTTTTTCTCCTAAACAATTTATTCTCTCAATGAAGATTATTGTTATGCTATAGTTGCAGCCTCATCTTTTAACTTAGATTCCAATTCATTCTTTCTGGTTTCAAGATGACCTAACTTTTCAGTTAAAATAGCTTTCTCTCTTTCCAAAGTAGAAGCTTATTTGTTGTATTATTATTCAGCTTCTTTTAATTATTTTTTAATTTTTTCGTATTTGGTTTCAATTGTAGTTTTCTCTTCTTATGCTCTTTCTAATTTTTATTCCAATTCAACCAAATATTCATTCTTTTATTATTTAAGCTTTTCATCAAATCTTGATTATTGTGTATCTATTTATCTTTGTAGATCTTCAATTTTCTTTTACAAGAATTCATTCTGCTATTATATTAATGCTGTTTCTCTTCCATATTCAATCTTCTTTTCCAAAAATTCATCATTCATTTTTTATAATCTTAATTTAGTTTCTTCTAATCTTTCTACTTATTCCTTCTTCTCTTCCTACCATTCTTTTCTTGATTATTCAAATTATTATTCTTTTCTTGTTTTTTCATTTTCTAACAAATCTTTCTTTTATTATAAAGCCATATGTTCCTTCTATAAATTATTCAATTGACTCGATAAAACATCAATCTTTTATATTAAGCTCTTTCTTTCAGTTGTAAATGAGTTCATTTGTTATTCTAATGTTGCATTATTATTATTTTGAAGAGAGATTAATTATTCTTTAGTTTCTTTGATATGCTTCTCAAAAATTTCAATTGTTTATTACTTCAAAGCAATCTCATGATCATATTATTAAATTGTGTTTGTATATTATTAAACTTAATCTCTTAAGTCGTCCTTAAGATTTTCAATCTCTTCTTCATAATTTTGCTCAGTCTCCCTAAGTTTATGATAGAATTCCTCCTAAGCTGCTTAGAACTTTTTTTCACTCTTTTCTTTCTCTTCACAGATTCTTCTTTCTAGTCTTTCCCTTTCGATTTCATAGAAATTCTTCAATTAAGTTAGAGATTCCTCAGCTTTAGCCTAAGCTTGATTAACTTCCTTTGCAATTTTGGCATCAGCTTCATCAATAGCTTATTCCAATTACTTAATTTTCTTCTAGTATCTGAGTTCCTGTTCTTTCAAAATTTATAACTTTTATCCATCCAACATTTTATTCTATTCTAACAATTTGTTTCTTTATTCCTCAGTAGTTTATAATTGTTCTTTCAAATTTTCTAATTCCTTTATCAAATCTCCAGTCTCAAACTTAACTTTTAATTCTAACTCATTATTCTTTTCATTCAATTGATCAATCTATTGCTACAACCTTTTCTTTGTATTTTCATATTCATTATCGATATTCTTTAATTCTCTTTTATGTTATTCCCGTAATTCATTCATTTTAGCGGCATCAATTTTATATGTAGACTCATTGCTTGAATTCTCAAATGCCTTCATTATAGCTTCATGAGATTTCTTATTCTCTTCTATTTACTTTTTATACTCATCTAATTGAACTTCCATGAATTCCATCTTTTATTGCATCAAAGCCTTATCTTTCTCACTCTAACTTCGAGTCTATTTTAATTAGTCATCTTTAGATTTAATTAAATCTTCTAAATTTTAAACTTTCTCAATCATCTCATTCACTTAATTATTGGCATCATTCTTTAACATTAATTGAACTTATTCTTCATTTCTTCTGTACTCCCTTAACTCTCTTGTCAATGCTTAGATTTATTCATTTAATTCTAAATTTTATTTTGTTAGAGTTCTTTCCTTATGTTCAAATTTCTTAAAATCATTTTCAAAGTTAGTTTCCTTTTCAATAAGTTCATTCTCCATCTCATTCAACTTCTCTTGCATATCATTCAGTTTCTATTGTAATTGACGAACTGATTAATCAGCCTTACTTTACTAATCTTTTGATTGTAATGAATATTCTTTTCTTAAATTTTTTATTTCATTTTAATAATCTATTTCTTTAGCATTCATTTCGTTTACTAATTTTTCAAAAAATGTAATCTTTTATTCTAACAAAGCTCTCTCCTTTTCAAATTCAGAATTGCCGAATAGTGTTGTTCTTTCTAGATCCTTATTAAATTCTTCAGCTTTCAACACTTAGCCTTTTAATTCTTAAATTTGTCTCATTAAATCGTTTTTCTCATTTTCAGACTCTAGTTTTAGATCTCTCTCCACTTAATCCTTTTATATTTTAAGTTCCTCCAAATTATCTCTAGCAACTTATTCTCTCAATTCAATATCAGTCTTCTCACTCTCAATCTAAGCTAATTTCATGAGGAGGTTATTCTTATCTTTTAAGCCATCTTATCTGGCTTCTTTCAATTCTTGTTCTAATTTCTTTTAAGTTTCTTAAGCCACATTCTTCATCATTTCAGTTTCTTAAGAATATTATCTAATAAACAAATTAGATCCTTCAATTAAGGCTCTCTAAAGGAATTCTAAGATAATTTAGTTTCTGGTTCCAACTCTTGGGCCATTTTCAATAAAGAAATTATAAAACATCTTGATATCCTTCTCGTACTCACCAAAAGATCGATACTCACCTAATTTTAGTTTTCTATCTATGGGTTAGAATTCTTGTTAAATAAATTAAGAACACATTCTTGAACCCTCTCTATCATTTTCTTATTTGACTGCTGCAAATCTATTTTTAATTCGCTTTGATAACTCATTCTTAAACTCCTCGTATTCTCCAACACATTTTTTCTTGAATAATGCAAATGCTTATTCCTTTAAACTTCTATTGAAGGTTTTCAAGTCCTCATTGGAAATTGGAAATCTATTGTGAAGGTTTTCCTTTAAGATTTATTCATAGGTTTCAAATGCCTCTGCAACAGCCTTTTGACATTCATTTTTGCAAATATAGGTCCATGCGGATTCAATAGCTGGCACAGCTCCATTGTTGATTGCTGTGACATAAGACTTAACTAAATCACAATACATTTAGCCAGAGAGAGTCTTGCCATTCATAGTCTTTGGTCTAATTCTATTCAATATCTTCTTTCTTAAATTTATGACCTATTCAAAGAATTCAGGTCTCAACTTATCAAATTCTAAGTTCTCTAGATTTTAGAGACTGCTTTCCTTTGTCAAAGGTCGCACTAAGGTAATACAATCTCTATCTTTGAAAAATGTAGAAAGTAATTTTCTAATTTTATTTTTTTAATCAATTCCATCTGAGGAGCCTTTTTATAAAGTTAATGCATTATCTAAATAATCTTTGGAAGTTATTTGTTCGTTGTTTCGATCAACTAATTGGAGAGTGAAATCTCGTACAACCCAATAGAATTGAGGGAAGTATTAGGACAAATCTTCGAGATCTGTGGTTGATTACCCACTAAATTTATGAAACACATATGTACCTTTTGAGTTGAATGTTTTTGGTTAGGTTAACTACTAAACTCAAGTTTTGAAGGGCATTTTCATCGATGCTGCCAACTGAATTATAAATAAAGCAGGAAGTTAAAAGTATGGTCAATGAAAATATTCTGATATCATGCGTAGAATCCTCATCGGGAGCCCCAAGTCCTTCACTATCAACAACCAAAATTGAGCAGCTTTCTCCATCACTTGTTTATCCAAGGAGTGGTTTACCCCACATCCAGAGCCCTTTTGTACATGGCAACACAGTGGGGCCTACTCCAAAACCATCAGATCTATTCAGCAACATTCTATTCAACAGATACGATTTTCCTGTTCTGTACATCCCAGCAACGCCTACAATTCCTATGGGTGCTGGGATATTTTTAATAATCTCAATAGCTTCAGGATTAACTTGGTAAGCTTTTGGTAGTAGAGTAAAATTTACTTTAAGTTTCCTATTGATAAAAAATTAAAGGCATCGCTTCTTCTCGGAAGGATTTCTTCATGTTTTGTTAAATTTGAATTTGAAATTAATGAAATTATACACTCAATTGTTAACTGCTATATAAATATTGATATGAGAGATTTTAATCGTTTTGAATGGTTTGGACAACAAATGCATTTAGTATGTATCAATTAGTAATTATTTAGCGAGATAGGTGAGTTGAGTGCAATTGGTAGAAGTATATTTAAGTTTGAGATTGATAGTCTCAATTAATGTATATAATCTATGTAGAAGGATATTGAAAAATAAGTCACTATAGTTTATGATGTGATAATATAGTCTATGAATTCTGAGAAATACTAATCGTAAAATAATTTTATTGAGTCATCATTAAAAAATGTTACATGTCATGATTTAATATAAATATTAGAAATCGTCATTGAGAAATTAATAAATAAATAATGTATAATCCATAAGACTAATTAAGAAAAGCTTTAAAGAGATATAATAATGGGGATAAGTAGAACAATAACCGCAATTGTAGGTCTCAATAATTCCAACACCCGCAAGTACCGAAAGGAATGTTAAGTATGAACAGTACTCAAAAATCAGAAAGAAATGCCAAATTAAGCGATACAGGTATTTGAAAATGTTATTTTTAGATACAACTGATGTAACCCATTATAATTTGAATTTTTCATAACCAATTTAGTGTTGTTATTAAGTAGAACATTTAGACCTAAATTTCTTTAAAATTCAACCTTGCAAAATCCCTGGTAATCATAGTCACAAGCATTGTCCTTTTTATCACAATACTAAGGACCGAAAGAGGTACTATTTGGAGCATAAAATTAGAATTAATGTCTAGTATTCAGCTGAGTTATGTACCTTCATAGAAAATAATCAACAATGTCCATATGCGGATAACTGCAACAAAGCCCACAACAGAGTAGAGTAACTGTATAGACCCGATAATTACAAGACAAAATTCTGTTCCTACTATCCTCATAATATTTCTTAATGTGATTATGGAAAATTTTGCTCTTTCGCACATTCTGAAACAGATATTGTTATAGAATTAATCCATAACCTTGAATATGACGATGATTTCTTTATGTTCTATTACAAAACTGTTTGGTGTCCTTTCAACCTTACACAGCACGATAAGGCACTTTGTGTTTATGCTCATAATTGGCAAGACTTTAGAAGGAAGCATCAAATATATTAATATCATCCGATTCCATGTCCAAGTTGGAACACAGCTGAATACATTTTAGAATACTATAATGGATGTTAAGATGGTTTCAATTGTGGAAAATGTCATGGCTGGAAAGAATTAGAATATCATCCAATGTTATTTAGAACAAAATAATGTATAAATTAAAACTGTTCAAAAACTGATTGTTCATTTTATCATAACAATTAAGAAAAAAGGTATACAACCAAATTAACTTAATAGATAGATTGACCAATTGTCATAATATAGAGTGTTTAAAATAGTTCCTAGAAATCGAATAGTTTAAAACACATTTAAAGTGAGAGATTAAAGCCTTTTAACTTCATAACGAAATGGTAGTACCACTCTTAGTAACTAGAAACTATGTAGTAGCAGTGATCAGCATTGGCTTGGACATAACTTACAAAATAGTTTTTAGTATGATTAGGATTCTGATGAAGGGAAATAAAATACGAAAGGATAGAATTACTAGACTACTTTAATTTCAATTCAAGAAAGAACAGGTAGATATATTAAGTGATTTTTAGATTCAGACGAATTGAAGGATTTAATGAAAAAGAAATCGAATTCAGTGGCAGATGATAAGTAAAATAATGATGACAATGAACATGTTAGAACAGTTTTGAAAATGATTGACATGGATCAATGAATAATATTTTTATTTAATTCAAGAACTCCCTCTTATAAATAAATAATTAAAAATATTTGAATTGAATGTAAGGTAATCAAGGTTCTTAGAAAAAAGATATTGAAATTGGTTCCTGTCCATTTTCTGATGCAATGAAACCACCAAAAGGCCATGAAAAATATACTGATAAATCAAAGTGTCCGTTCCAACAAATGCAGCAATAACCTGAAATCAAAATAACAGACGGCAGTGCTGAGAAGAAGAAAGAAAAGAAGGAAAAGCAACCTAAAGGTGGATGTCCTTTTATGTCAAGTGAAAAAAAAAGAAATCCGCCTCTTGCTCATCTTGAAGAATAATACGACACCTATTATATCAGTCCGCTCAATTATCTTCTAGATACTAGAGGATTATGGATGCTTGCTTTCGATTCTAAAGAAGTTAAAAAAGGTAAGAGTTCATAACAATTGTCTATATAGGTCCAATCAAAGACAGAAGAAAATTATTCGATTCTTATCCTATTTATTTGAAAAGCACCTTATTTCATGACGACGAAAATACTAAAAAGTTGAGATAATGCGAAGTTGCTTAAAGATTTTTTGTTTATGACAAGTTTAGAGAAAAGGGTAATTAATATTTTTATTTCTAAAGGCAACAAATTATTATAAAAATAAGAGTACGAAGAAGCAATTCGATACTATGAAAGAGCACTAGGTTGCTTTAGATATTTGGAAGTAGTAGAACCACCTGAAGTGGACAGCGAAGAAGAAGACACTACATAAGACACAACTAATTTGACTGAAAAAGAAAAAAAGGAGTTTGAAGACATGAAAACATCTGCTAAACAATACAGAAAAGAATAAAAAGAGTTCAAAAAATAATATAAATCATTGATGACAATATACACAGATGAAAATGTTAAATATAGAGGAGTTGAACATATTGAAGTATTAAATCTATACATAAATTAAGGATGAAGCTGATAAGGAGATGTGCAATTCTATTATGTATGGTCTATACTTAAACATGTCTGTCTGTTATATGAGAATGTCCCACTTTGATTTAGCTAGAAAGATCTTAGATGATGCTGGTCAAATTTAAAAAGAAAATTCTTAATATCTTTTCAGGTATTCTCAAGCCATTCTTTATGATAAATGGTCTACATATAAGGACTTAATCAGAGCAAAGGAATTGATTGAAAAAGCCATCAATTTATCTAATGTTGAAAATATCTTCAAATAAGGTCCAGGAATACTTAAACTAATGGGTTTGGAAAATGCAAAAGAAATTTATGTTGAACATGCTCACAAAGTCATGGAATCCTTAAAAAAGAAGAAATAGTGGGTCATTGATTTGATTGACCCTGTGTTCTAAAGAGCCAAAGAAATAGATGAAATCGAATAAGAAATGATTGAAGATGGCAAAGTACCGTATGAAGAAGGTGTTACAGATGTTATTGATCCTGAAGATATGATTCAGTAGTAATGCGAAACATAGAAATAATTTTTGTATCGATTATGCATGCCTTAACTAACTCAAGAACATTAGGAATACGAGATTGTTAAAGAGATGGTCAACAAATATTATAGAATCATTGAGTTCTATGCAGTATTACTTTCAATCTATTTGTTAGGAATAAAAGAAGTATGATTAAGTTAAGATTGCGAAATCTGAACTATAAAGGTTATTAGAAACTGTCCAAACTATGTCATTTTTTATGAATTTAGATTTCATTGATTATGATAATGACGAATAACTCTAAGAATTGGCTTAAAAATATTAAATCAATTTCTCTGATAAGAAATATATTAGAAGATTTATTCGAATTTGTAGGGAATAAGTTACTGAACTCTTTGGATAAGGCAAATTCAACTTTGAAGTATTAATGAATATATCTCTAAGGTATTTGAATATGCTATGAATGATTACTTTAAAAAGAAGAGAGAACAAGAAGAAAGAGATAAAGAAGAATATTTAAAATAACATCCTGAACCAGTTAAACCAAACTAGTAACCTTCCTTTTTAAAGAAAACTCTTTTCTCATCCGAATTTTGGATGCAAGTAAATCTTATAAATCTATTTAGATGTTTGTTTTGTTATTAGTTATGGCAGGAATGTACTACTTTAATAGTAATACAGGTTTCGTTGGTAAATTATTTTCCCTTAAAAAATGATGGCATACTCAAAAATGAATAACAGACCACATCATATTTTTATTTTCATAAAAATATATACAAATTCATAAATGTTCTTCCCATTATTTTAAAAAATCTACTAACATCTTGGTTGTGTTTATTCTAGAGTTTATCTATTAAGTTCTTTATATTTTTTCAGATTTAGAATATTATTTTTATTAAACTTTAAGGTAGTTAATAATGAATGAAAAAGGATTTCATAATTAAATCAAACCTTGAATACTTCACCCAATTTTTTGTAATATTAGAATCCTTAATATTTTGGTCTTTCAAATCAAAATAGACTTTTCTGCATCCACTCTCAGAGCCTTTGTTAAATCCTTACAATCGATTTTATCAATAAATGGCGTATATCTTACAGTCACAATTAAAGTTAATAGAGAATATTAGTTATAGCTAAATGTTTAAACAAAATGAATACCATATTTTTTAGCTATGTTACCACCTAATATTGGATGATTGAAATCTACTTTAATAAACTATTCATCCCATTCTTTAACTCTAGATTCAATAACAGAAAATTATCTATTTAAATTTGAGAACTTTTTTCATTCTTCACTTAAATTATTAATTATCTATATACTCTTCCGACAAGCTGATGCTCCTAGGATAATTGTTTTTAATCCAGTTTAATCCATGATTATATAAAATATTAAATCTGAATTTATTATTTCTTATAAAGATTCAAATTGTTGAAAAAATAGTAAATTTTCATCATTCAAAATATGAGAATCTATTGTATTTTGTGATGTCTAAAAGAGCATTTATTCGAATTATTGATCAAAACATCATAAAGAGGGATACCTTATGGAACAATGAGAAATTAGGATTTTTCATCATTAATTCTATAGTAAGTGTATTCAATATTCTAATGTAATAAAAAAGTAAAATATTTAAAAATTATTTATTATTTTATTATAAATTAATTAATGCATCATATATAGAATGATATTATTAACCAATTATCTATTATTATTATATATAAAGGAAAAAATTAACTTTGTAAGATTCTCATATATTTATTTTGAAAATTAATTGAATTACAATCATATAATAATGGTTAAGTTTGTTTAAATACTAAGTCTGAAGAATATGTTATCAAAGCTCAATACTTGCAAAGAGACGCTGCTTCGATAAACTTCATTCTTAGCTTCCTCTCTAAATAAAAATTAGTGTCTCAATCAAATTCACTCACAAGAATTGCAAATACAACACAATAATGAAATTCTTTAAATGCTTGAGTAAAAGCATAAAAGTTTAAAGTCAGAATCAGAAGCTGAGTACTTCTAAATTATGGAATCAACATTTAAACTTTTAGATTAGTAGCTCTAACTAATAAAATAAAGTATGATAGATGTTTAATATTTTAGTTATGAAAAAGTAAAATAACAGAAATTAAATAAAATATTCTTCATTAAGATAAAAGCTTCTAGAAAAAGCTGCCAACCACTTTTACGAAATTTGGTAATTTGATTCTGACAATATAGCCTATCTGTAAAAATACTTGGAAGTATATTTATTTATCTATTGTAGATTGTTAAATCTTATAAAGGAACTTTCAGTGATCAATACCTAGAGGGACTATGCAAATACGCATAACACACTCAAGATTACTAAGAACTGGAATAAGTTTATAGTCAAATTGAAAAGAATGTTTTTTCAGAAACACAAAAAATATGTGCTATGACTCTTTTTGTACACACACAAGATGAAGTCTACTATGAACATTTCATTTTAAATGAATCCATTTGTTAGGATTAATCATTTGAAATTAGAGTAATTATTTTAATTATCATCGAAGTTTCATCTTTTTGCCACTCAATACTTCTAACGATAGAATTGTCATCATACAACAAAGTATCACAGATAATAATGTGAATTTATGTCATCCGAACATTAGAGATCTATTGCTTAAAGCAACTTAGAACTTTAATTGTCATTCATGTAGAACAAAAGCAAATACTAATTGTGATTTTGTAAACAAAATTATGTATTTATTATAAATCTAACAAATCATACTTGTTTCCTCCACAAACCATATTGCAACCATTAATTTGTATTATTAAATTAATGTGAAATTATTTAAAAAATAATTTTAATTAAATTCACTTGACTTTTACTCTATTATTTTGACTTATTCTTCCTCTCTAGTAGAAATTAAGGGATAATTTAAGAGATATTCAAGAAGGTTTTTACTAGGTTTGAGTTTAATAATTTTTCTAAGAACTCCTTGGATTGATTGATTATGCATACATCAATAAGTTTGATTTTAATTCTGAATTTAACACTTGAAAATATAATTTGAGGCTTAGATTTGTAAATTCAGGATAACCATTTGATTTAATGGCTTTTTTACTAATCATGCCTTCAATAGTTTCTACCATCTGTTGAAAGAGATTATTATAATTAGAATTATATTTTATTTGTTTTTCCAACCAACTTCTTAATTTAGACTTATTGTTATTACTAGTTTTTGTAGGCTTTAACTTCTTCTTATAAAAATCATAAATTGGGAAGTTTTCAATCAAAATGTTTATATCATAAATTTAAAAGTGAACATTTATTAATTGTTTTCTTATAATATTATTATCATTTCGATATTGTACATACAAATAAATCATTATATAAATACTTATTTAATTAATGCTACAACTCTTTTTAGCTCTAATATTAAATATATGTTATTATCAGAAATACTTTGATTAAATCCAATACATAATTATATAATTATGAGGCTCAACTTAATTAATTTCTAGAAGTCAGGATGTTGGAATAATATTTCATATAGATTTAATAATAGTTTAACCCTTTATTCTCATTTGAAAATTCATAATACAAACCAATAAGTTTAATAGAATAATGAATCTTTCATAATAAAAAGTAAATATATCTAAATGTAAATTTTAGAATATAATTTCAATATATATTGCATCAAAAAATTGAGACTATCTGTTTATAGGGAATGCAGAAATGAAAAAGGATTCCATAAATATAAATACAAATCTAAATAATCAATACATAATTCTAGATGGATTTGTCACTAATAGTTTAAAGTCCTTAAAGAATCCCTCTTCTGCTAGCCTTTCGTTTGTAGAACCAATCAGTTTGATTTAATTTGTTTATATGTGCACTCCTTTGTGGATTATGATTCTAATATATCTGCATGGGAGAGCTGATAATTTAATTCTTCTTTATTTATGTTAAGGGAAGAATTCCTTATTGTGAACTGATATAAAAGGACCATTTTTGAATTCACTTACAAAGACTGAGATTTCACATCCATATTTCAGATTTTCAATGAGTAGATATCTTACATTGCACATCTCACCTAAATCTAAAAGCATTTATTGAGGTGAGAAATCAGATTTTTGGAGAGATTGGTTTCTGGAGTAGTGAGTCAATTAATTTATACCATATTGTTAAATAGGTACAGTACTAAAGGGAAGGTTGGTTTCAAAAAGAGAGTCCATTCAGTTAATAAATTAAATAATCAGAAAATTGCTAATTTTAAGTTGGCTCTATTTATAATAATAGTAATCTAAAATTCGTTTGGAGAGAATACTGTTACATTTTCTAGGTATACCAGGATATTCTCTTTTTTTTGTATTTTCTTGACAGGATCGTAAATCTGAGGATTGAGATCATCAAGTTCTTCAGTGAATATATCAGACAGTATTGAAGCTTAGCATGACCCACTTTGATCTTTCAATGTTATTTCAGTGGTATCTCCGAATTCTTCGATATCATGTATTTCGCATATGAGTGCATCGATTTTTTGATTTCTGTATTCATAAATTTTAGACAGAAAAAATGAGTTCAAGGGATAAGGTAATTTTGATCTTTCTTAATTAAAATTATTGATTTGATTAGTATGGTTCAAATGTTGCAGCATAAGATTCCAGAGTGATGTTTTGGCATCACCCTTATTTTGTTTTAACTTTGGAGTGGAAATGAATTGAAATTAACTCTTGAGTTCAATAGGTTTGAATGTAGTCTATAATTTTTTGCTTGATGATTTTTCTTTAGGAGGCTCTGGTTTCAAATTCTGTGTGATAAAGGAATCAAAATTTCCATCATCATCATCATTTGAAAAAAGAAAATTCATAATTTAATTGATTGCTTTATTGTACTATAAAATGTAAATAGATTTCATTTTTTAGCTTATTTAAAAGTCAAGTCTTCGTTATTTGAGTTAAGCATCACTTCTAAGAAGTCCTGATCATCTTTCTTAGTCTTCTGTATTTATGGAACCGTCTTTCTGCTTTAAGAATAGGTTTTTTAGCTCTTCCTCCACCAGATATCATACCAACAGTGGCTCTGGGTAGTGAAGTCAACGTTATCTTTTCTATTTTTCACCAGCTCAGATTTATTTCCTTTTTCAAGAAATTTTATATATTTATTTTAGTTGAATAACTTATTATGTTGTTATTCCAATCTCATATATCTTTATTCTAATAATGCATACCTTCTATTTGATTCTTTATACTAAGAGACTTAAAAAGCTACCACTTAAATATAAATCATTGGCAAAATTTTAAGAATTCTTAAGAGTTTGCTTATATTTCTAAATACTGTTTAATCATTATTACAGCATTTGAGAATTTGGACATTTATAAGTATCATGAGAGATCCAATCTAAAAAATATTGCAATAACTTTATATTTCTTATTAACCTATTCCATTACATTTCCTCCTAAAATTTTATGTATTTTTCCTATTCTATTATCTGATAACTCTTTTATTCTCTTCAAATGTAGTTAATTGATGTATTGATTTCCTAAATATTTTTGTTAATGCAGACTTGAAACAACTATTCTTATTATGTAATATTGTTATTATCAGCCCATTTACTCTTGAAAATTTAGTTTTTTGAATTCCTTTTTTAAAAGGACGTTGTAAGTTTTCATTTTATAATCATCTTACGTTTATCCATAATCAAGAAGCTCAAGTTCGCTGTAGATCAATTTTATCTAATAAATTCCATTATAATTAAATTAAATGTTCAACATATTTAAAAAGAAAGAACAAACCCAAGCTTAAACAGCTCCTCCCCCACCACCGATATAATAACAGTAATAAGTTGTACAGCAGCCTTAAGTTGTTCCTCCTTAGTAACCAGCTCCAAAAGGATCAATATTCAAGGGAAATGTTAAAGTAAAAGCACCTCCTCCACCTCAAACTTAAGAAGTTCAATAATAATAAATGCCAGCGCCTCCAACATATCAAGCGTAGGTACATTAAGGACAGTCTAATTCTGATATACTATTACCAGAAAGCGATGCCTACAAATAGTAATTTAATTAAATGGAAACACCAACTCCATAAGAGGATTTCAATGTAGAGTAAAAAGTAGAGGCCAAAATAAATGTGGAAGAAGTCAAAAAGAAACCAGCTGGCTTTGGGTTCATAAAAAAAAAATAACCTGAACAGCCGGTTCCTACAGATGAATGTTTGTAAGAATAAGTTGAAAGCTAGATAATTTATGGAATTCAAGTTCAATAAAATTAGGAACAACAAGTGAATAAATTATAGGATTACTCCTCATAGTAGATTTATCAATAAAATAATTCTGCTCAATAAATTAAAGAGCAAACTATTAATGATGATTAAAGTGTATAATTGTAAAATTCAATCAAGTAAAATGAAAAGGAAAGTGAATAATAGTAGTAATAATAGCAATAATAATTGTATCAATAATAATAGTAATAAAAATAATTGCTATAATCCACCATGTCAAGTTCTTCATAGATAAAAAATAATTTTATCAATAAAAGTCAATTCGATTCTAATTCCATTAATGCTCAATTAGATAGTTCGTATGTGAAACAACATCAAATGATTATGGAAGAATTGGAATACTTTCAAAATGAAGTTAATTAAAAGAAAGCTCAAATTTACATCTCACAATAAGAAATTGAAAAGCGAATAATTACCTATTAACAAAAACTATAAGAGTGCAATAGTTGCCTTACTGAACTATCGATAGAGTAGTCGGTGAGTATACAATAGGAATAATTTGAGAGGGCAGAGGAAATTGAATAATCCCTAAAAGTTATTTAAAATAACATAACTTAAATTGATAATAAGATTAAATATGAAGAATAGCAATATAGCGAATTATAGGATGAAAAGGAAAACATAAGAGGAGAAGAGTATCCATTTTATTAAGAAACAGAGTAGAAGTTAGAAGAGATAGAAAGATTACATATCAAGTATAGTGATTAGTACAAGTTTGAAGGATAGGCCTAAATAAAGAAACTGCAATAACACATAGAAGAAGAGAATGAGAGAGTGAAGATCTAGTAAATTCACACTGAGATTGATAGTAAACATTTGTATGAAGAAGAACAACATCTGAATCAAATAATGGATAATCAAACTAAGGAGTATCGAATTGAGTAAGACCAATTAGTTAATAAAAAGTCAACTTTAGAATCTGAGATTGCAGAATTGTAATTATTATTAAATCAAAAGAAAAATGAATTATAAAAGGTGAATTATGATTTACTTTCAACCAAAGAGAAAATTCAACAAGTTCAATAAAAATTCAATTTATAACTAGTCAAAGTCTAGAATAAGAGAACCAAACTTGATGATGAACTCAATAGTTTAGAAACTGAACGAGCTTAGATTGAAGCTCTTGAAGGCGATAATCTAAGATAGTAAAATGAGTATAAGAATAAGCTTGAATATTTGTCGTAATAATTGGAAGCCATTAGAGTCAAAAGAAATGAACTCACTCGAAAAGCCAATTTGGTACCTGAATAGTGTTAATAAGAATTGGATGTAACATAAAAATACTAGGAGGCTAAAAAGGCCAGTACAGAAGCTTTATAGGAATTGGCATAAGTTTAAAGGTAAATTGATGAATTAAATTACAAGAGGAATATGGGACAGACCTAATTACAGGAAATTCTCATTAAAAAAAGTGAGCTTCAAAAGAATCTGCCTAAGATGATTGATGATAAGGCACAGTTGGTATAGAATAAGAGCTTTAAAGGTGCTGCACAAATTAATGAGTAAATAAAAGAGGCTTAAAGATAGATTACTTTATATGAAGAAAAAATATCTGAAAATCAAAATATAGAAACTTAGATTCTCAAAGAAATTGACCAAATTGAAGACTCCTTCTTGATTACATAACATCGATATCAATAGCTTTAATAAAATGCAGAAATCTGCAGATATTTTGTTTTGGAATTAAAATTGTAAGAGATTTCATAAATCGATTATTTTGGATTATCTTAACTAGAATTGGATGTATTATTATAAATTTAATTAATTTTAGATTAAGAATGAAATGAATCAATTGGTTAATAAATATTAGGACTTAATTAAAGCAAATCGAAAAGTTTCTACTGAATATGTTGAGTAGATCCAGGATCATGAGGAAGAAGTAAATTATAATAAAAATGAGGAACAATAAGAATAGTAGAATCAAGTAGAAGAAGAATAAATAGAATAAATTAATGACTTAAATGAGAAAGAAGAATTATAATAATAGGAAAATGTAATTGAAATGAGTGAAGAGCAAAGAAAAAGCTATATAAAACATTAGTAGTATTTATATTGGGATCTCTAAGAGAAAATGAAAGCATTAGATGTATAGGTCTAAGATTTTGTTCAAGTAATAGTTGGTATTGATTAGAGAAAGAACAATATGAGGAAGCTGATTAGATTCAACAAGAAATGGATAGACTTGTAATTAAAGCAGCTGTAATAGAAAAAGAACTTAAATAGAAATTTAATGTTGATAGGCTAATGCCAGAAGAAGAAGAGGATTGATGTTTTTTTTATTTTTATTATTGATTAATATCAATAAACAAGACTGAAAAGTTCTATTAGTCTTTATAAATGGCACTATTATATTAATAGATGTTCAAATAAGCTCAAATAAATTTGCCTTGTTGCTGTTATTATTAATATTATTAACAGGAGGATCATCAAAACTTAAAAGATCAATATCTTGTTATTGTTATTATTATTCTTATTTGTTATTTTACTGATTTTCACTTTATTAGACTTAAGCTTAGTTCTCTTGTTTCTCTTATTTTTCTTCTCCTTTGTAAATCTTAATATCTTGTTAATTACTTGATATTTAAATGAATAAATACTTAATTTTAATCTTGATGTTTTTGTATAATTAATGGGGTAGTTTGTGAAATAGATTGCTGATGCTCCCCATATTTTCCAAAGCTAAAACTAAATCTTAAGTTTCCCATAAGCGTAAGTCCTTTGAGAAATTCTAGACGGCTCCACTGTTAAAGCAAACTAAGGTCTTAACAATTTCTGGATCTGTTGACAATAATCTCCAATAAATATAGGTTCTATCTCTAACATCAGGGTTGAATGAGTCTTTCGCAGAAGTGATTAATTATTAGATTAGAATGGAACACTATGATGGATATTTGAGATATAATTAGACTGCGGAGGTTAGTAATTAAAGTTGAACTAACCTATCTTCCATTTAGAAATTGTCAATATATTCTTTCATTTTTTCAGCTGATTTTGGAATATATTCACCAAATTCTCCTAAAATCCATGCACATGCACTCTAAACTATCAATAAACTTGATTACTTTTGATTCTGGTTCATTTGCATATTCAATAATAGAATATATGAATTTTAGACTATCTTCATGTTTATACATTGATTTGTTTTTCTTATAAATAAGCTGCATTTAAATAAGCAACTCTTAGACTGGTTCAGTAGGTTATTGGACATTTTTAGCGAATTCAACTAAAATGGATACTGCTCTAAAAGTTAAGAAATTTAAATATACTTATCTAAGGCTTTGTCATAAGTGATAGCAATTTTTCCGATTGATTTTATAGCCTTTCTGACAAAATGAGGATCGGCTTCATTTAAGTAAATGAGAAGTTCATTAAGAACTTGACCAAAGTTTTTGGAATCACAAATTCTAACCATAATATCTAGTTTCTCATATTTAATATAGTAGGGTTCATTAAAAGAGCAGAAAAACACTTTTACTTCATTTTCAAATAAGATTGGGAACTTCTGCAAAATCAAAGAGATATTTCTGAGGATTGTGTACTATACTTCTGGTTGATTCCAAGACAACAAAGAAATCAAAGATGGTGCCACTTTCTTGCATAAGTTTTTAACTAGATCCCCATTGTCTAAGAAATCCAAATATTTCAGAATAACCTTAACAGCACAAAATGTGACTGTTGGATTTATGTGACTCAACCTTGGAAGTGTTCTCTCTATGATTACTTCGGCTTATTTTGAATCCTATGGATTGTAAGAAGCCAAATAATCCAAAATAAATATTTATCCCCACTCAATGCATTCATCGACTGCTAGTAATAACTTTTATATGATCTTCTAATTCAAATTGATGATTTATTTGCCACTCACAACTTCGATCTCTCTCATTGATTAAATCAAGTTAGCCAAGACCAATGCATTTGACTCCTTCTCCAATAATTTCTACAGCAATTCCAAAAGAGGAGGACATATTTCAGGTGACACTTCGTAAACCTTATTAGATCACATTAGCAAATACTTTTGGAACACATAAAACAGCAGTCTTACGTACATAAGGATCATCATCCTATATGCAATCTTTTAAAGGCTCAATTAAATATTCATTAAGTTTTGGTACGCGTAAACACCCAAATGTTCTGATGGCAAGAGCTCTTACTAAAGGATTCTCTGACTTCCTCACATCTTTTCTAAAATTTTATATGACCATAATGGCATCATCAGGTTTTTATCTGGAATAGTTAACAATGTAAAGATAAATCTATGGAATAATCATTTTTTAAATACAAGTTTCTTCATCTCTATGTCATTAAATTCTAAACACTTAATGACAGACTGAAATAGATCTGATACGTCTTTACCCACAGTCATATAAGCTATCACTTTCTTTACAGCCTACACTATTGATATTAAGCCTTACTTCTTTCTTCTTTTCAAAATTCAAGTCATTTAAATCTGCATAAAGCTCTTGCAATTCTCCACGCTATGGATTATTTCCAAAATAAGCCATTTAAATATAAAATATTTTATAAATAAAAACCAAAAAATTCACGCTTACTTTTGTTGATTGTTTTCGATTCTAATTACAATCTTTGTTTGAAATAACAGTTTTTACAGGACCATTATTATTACGATAGATTTCCGAAATTATATTTCTTAATAAAGATCTCTATCAAAACTTCTCTATTGTAATAGCCTTTTTCAATTCAAATTAATGCTCCATCTGCAATTATAACTCCTTTATATTTCTATATTGTAAATTATGATCAAAAGGGAGGTTGAAATGATACCTATAGCTATAATAATTCAAGTAAAATGTAATTCCTATTTTAGTTTTATTTAATTTTTCATCTTTAGAAAAGATTGTTATTTATTCTCTTAAGAAATATGAAATTAGATAAAAAATTTTGAAAAATATCTTTGGTTCTTTTTAAGAAGTAATTTAATATGCTCTAATTTATTTTTTTAAGTTGAAATGTATTATGAAATTAAATTAATAATAATTTAAATAGAAAATTAATGCTCTATTAGTTTTTTAATCAAGAAAAAAATTAACTAACTTCTTTTCATCCCTCAAGGAAGATTAGAATCTTTAAATCCTTTTACAAAGTTACTTTAAAATCATTTATATCATCTAATATTTTTGTTAAGATGCAATCAAGTAGATATTGAATTTTAAATAATTTATAGCTATTTGCATTATTAATATTAAATTCATTCAAATGAGGTGGCTTCTTTCTTTTTTGTTAATTACATTCCTTTCTTTGGAGCTTATTTCACATTTGATTATTTTTGCAATACTTAAGATGGAGTGCTTAAAATTTCACTTATTATTTCAGATTTAGGTGCAGGATTTACCTTTTCTAAATTCAATACTATTTACATACCTTCATTTTATGGTAATTTGAATGCATTATCAATAGCTTTGGATTACTTTTAAGTCTTTCTCTAGGCTAATTCTTCTTATCTCTTTCTTTCCATTTCCATCTAATGTTTTTTAGCCTATTCTTTTGCTTCATTTTCCTAAATAATATTTAGAAATTTAATACTCTTGCTCTGGTTAACATCATATGAATCTTCTCTTCTGAACTTTCCATCTCCAAGGCTGTCTACACTTAACTTGTTGTTGTGCTTTCTCTCAATCCAGCAGATATTATATCATCAATGGCTAAAAGTATTTCAAAACTATTCTTTTTTATTGACTCTTCGCTAACTATGTTTAAGTATTAATAATACCTTATTAACAGATGTCAGAAAGAACATTCTTCAAAATTCTTAATACTTCTAAATCCTCGATAATATTGCTATTTTTTGATGTAATCAGAACGATGTAAATGTTATCAATGGGAGTATAAATATATCTTAAATTCTCATGATCGATGAATGTATGCTATTGAGTTGGAGAAATCAATTTAGGAAAATTACGAACTTGCTAAATATATTTTCAAGTTTCTTACTTCCTTTAATTCATTTGTTGTAATTCCTTAAAATTGTCTTCCTATAAACAGGATTCCATTCTTATCACATATTGCAGCTGAGATAATTACCATCTTACGTGTATTAATTAAATAAATTATTATATAAATTATTTATTTTATTATTCTTGGTGATTCTTCATATGCAACCCAAAAGTGATATGTAATTTATTTGTGCACACATAAATATATTCGATAAATAGGATTTATATGATTCACAAATTAAAAATGGATTGATATTAATTTCACTACCTAGGGATTAGAAAATATATCATATTGTTTGATAGTATTTTTACAAAATCTTAACAAATATCCTTAAATAAGGTTGTTTTTATTATACAATTAAAATTATTAAATTGTTTATAATAAAAATATTTATAATCTCAAAACTAAAAAAAACATAAAATTGAATAGTTAATGTGATTTTAATGGCTTCAGTCAACTTTTTTTATTAAATTTTAATTGAATAGTAAGTGAACTCCTCTAATTTATATGGATTGTTAGTTTGCTCAGTTGAAAATGAGACAATTGTGAGATTATATTAATGTATAAAAACGGTATTTAAATAAATATTTTTATTATTGAACAAAAGAATGAAAAGTATTTCAGGAATATTAGTCATTTTGCTTTTAAGTCAGAGTGTTTTTTGTAGTCCAAAGAAGATCAATACAGATTTTTTGAATTTACTTAGTTCTAAAACGAATGTTATGAGTTCATAAGATGCTATCCAATCAGTGCTTACATTGTTAGAAGATCTTTAAGGAGCAAATGTTGAAGCTTCAAGACAAGGCTGACCTCACATTTTAAAGATTTGAACAAGCCATTTTGTAAGATATCAATGAGTTGTCAGGAATTGTGAATGTGAATTCCAAGAGTGCAGCAGCTGCTCAATAAGATTTGGAAGCTGTCGAGTATTTATTTATCATTGAACATAAAGCCTCAAAATCTAATAAACCACAGACTACTTGAATTGGAATAACAAGCGATTCAAGGCAAATGAAGTTAAGCTTGAAAACTTAGCTGAATAAAGATGTGAAGCCAATGCCTTGTTCATCGACACATTGAGAGAGTACAAGAATGCGCTTTCTGTCCTTGATTGGGTAAGAAGTGATGCACAAAGCAAATAAAGTACATTAATAGAGAAGAGTCACATTGGAGATTATGCAGAAAAATTGAGCAAGTATGCTAATCTATTTGAGGAGCAAGCAGTCCAAGATTTTGTGAAACTAGGTGAGGAGGAAGTTTCATTTGCATAGACAAGTACAAAACATAAAAGATTATTTAAATTAGGATAGCATGGAAACGGCGAATAATTAGCATCATTAGTGGAAAAGGATGTTGTCGGAATTATTCAATAGTTAATTGAGAAATTGAGAGAAACCATCAAAAGTCTTGAAGAATAAGAAATATAATCAGCCAACGATTTCGCCGACTTTAAGACTAACTTATTGGCTGAATAAGAATCTCTCAAGTAAGAGTACGATGCCAAAGCCAAATTCTTGAACTCCTTACAAAACGATAAAGAATTAGCTTCAGACATCTTAACCAAAAAGAAGGAACTTTAAGATTAAAGCATGAGAATCTTGAGTTTGACTTAAGGTATTTTACAATCTTATTAATTATAGAGGAATACAACTACAAGAAGAAATTATACAACTCCGAAAAAGACAAAAGACACGAGGAAAACTAGTTATTAGAAGAATCACTTCTAATTTACAGGGAAAAGATCGCTACAGTTAATGAATACTTGAAAAAGAGAGTAAATGAGTATGTTGGAGAATCCCTCATTGAAGAACATGCTGTCAGCAATCAAGCTCCAGTACAAAATAGAAAGGGGAAAATAATGATAAAAACACACACATTAAAATTATAATCATTCTAAAGGCTGCTTCGTTGATTGCTTAAATTTCTCATAATCCATTTTATAATTAGATTGAAACTTCTAGTCTGGCATATAAATTGATGGAAAACTTGCCACATCTCCCTATTCAAATGGGTTCACTGGTTCTTATGCTCCTTGAGAAAAATAAGATTAAACGATCTAAGATTGGGCCAATTAATCTTCATAAGGACTTTTATTGTTTTATTCAAATGGATTCCAATCTTATCCCTGAGCTGGTATATCTTTAATGCTAATGTTTTCATCCGACTTGCATTCTTAGTGACTCAAATCGTTTTATTCTTTTTATTTTGTGTCATTAATATCAATTTATTATTTTTAATTATCACATCCGAATTTAGCTTTGAAGTCTTCATGTTTTATGAATTTTTTATAAGCCTGATAATATATTTCTGTTTCATTTTATATATAACTATTTAATACGCTTTATTAAACATATTTCGTTTGTTGTTCAAAATCTGATCCATTTTCTGAATTATCTGATTACTGATCCCTTAAAATTATGTATTCGCATTATTATACTTCTTCTCATTCTAAGAATATTTAATAAAGATTACTCTTTGAAACCTTTATTAATCTTTAGAATTTTTCAGTTCATCCACTTTTAGTCTATAGTGATCATATACTAATCTATTCTCTTAATATTTGTCAAGCATCTATCTTAATTATTCAATTGTATCAAACCATTCTTAAAAACTATCGTTAGCCTTGTGAATACTCTCAATTTTCGATGAGTGCAACAAAGACAAAGAATCAAATGTTTTTGCTAATAATATACCTTCTTATGACTTTTCTAATTCATCAAGTTTTTTGAGGACTTGACTTAACAATCCATACAACAATTGCATTTCTTTTGTTAATTTGATATTATTGTACATTAATGTTAAAATACAATTCCTTAGATAGCTCTACCTGCTAATCTGATATATTAATCTGCTTCATTTATTTACTTTTTCTTATCTTCCAATTATATGTTTGATGTTTTGGATGTTCCCCAAAACTCCTTCCATCTTTGACCTGCTAGAGATAAAGCACTTGACATATATAAATATAAATATTATTGTACTATGTTTATTAATGATATCAATAGAAGAAACCAAGGATTTTGCCTCCAATGTGTCTTTGTCTAGCTTCTTCATGGGTTAAGATTCCTACATTAGTGGTGAGCACAACACAACCAAATTGTCTGGCTGGGAGAATGTTATTGGCCCATCTTTCGAATTCTCCTAAAGTAACATCATATCTGGGTGAGATCACACCGCATTTATTGATGCGTCCTAACATTTTGTGTCATTTATTACCCAATAATTCAACAACAATCTTGCCACTTCTATGATCATCAACAATTTCGAATTCACCAATGTACCCGTGTCTTTGCATAACTTATAAGAACTTCACAACCAATTTTGATGTAGGTCTGATCAACACTTGCTTTCTTCCTTATCTTAAATATGTTAGGACAACAACTACAACCTTTCAGCATTCACAATAGAACGGAGGCAATCATTCAAGACATTCATTTTCACCATTCGTCAATAAATTTTTTTTTTTTAATTTTTTTAAATCTTATTTTAATATGATTATATGTACAATACACCACACTCTTTTGAAAGTACTTTCTTTCCAATGAGTCTAGTTTTGATACTATACTTCACATTTCACCTTTATGTTATTTATTCTTCATTTCCTTTTCCATTTTCTAATAAATTACATTGCTGAAATTAAGATGTAATTATATATAATACACTAACTAACCTATCTGATTCTTGGGATATTTAAAAATTGAGATAACCATTTCCTATTTGTGAATGATATCAAAGATTAGTGATTTATTCTTACTTTTTAATTGTATATGAGCTAATATTCCTATAAATCAATAATATTTTACTTACTTGAAAATCTATTAAATCATTTATAGTACTTTGATAAGTATTATTCAATCAAAATCTGATATTGATTTTATTTTAGGATAGGATAATATGAAGATTTAAGTTATAAAAATTAGGAGTTTATACCTTCAATTTCAGAAATGCATAAGTATAATAATATTATCATAATGAATGAATTAATAAACTATATTTAGAATATTTTGATTGATTCTTTCGAAACTTATCATAAATAGATTTCTCAAAATCACTCGAAATAATAATACATAGGGTATTAAACTACTTTAAGAAAGTTATCAAACTAGTTCATTTTTACATAGACAATCAAATAACTGCAGCTAATACTATGAATACATGTATGAAGTCTCTCTAGGAGTAAGAGTTGATGCTTATTTAAAATATAGGTATAAAGTGATAACAATCTGTTATAATCTTAGAAAATAATCAGGTATTAATCAACTTTCATGCAATGTTTTTAATATTACAAATTTTATTTAATGAAAAAATCAAATGGATTGCTACAATTAAAAAAAGTTTCAATGAATCACAATCAAGTAAACTAAGATTCAGAGTTTCTTTGGGATATTGAAAGAACAACAAGTTATGAAAGCAGCCAATTCAGAAGATCGTTCGATATTACATCGTATAGAAGAACCTCTACTTCTTCCAAAGGGGATAATTCATTCAGTCCTAATTTGTAGAGAAGAAATTCTTTTGTTACGTTCGAATCTAATGATCCATCTTTGTCTATCAGTTAAATTAAAAATATTAAAGAGTAATTCAACATAATATGCTTAGTCCAACAAAACATATCTATATGAGTGAACTATAACTTAAAATATGGAAAAGTCTATCAAAATGTTCCAATTCATAATTAGTACGTTATATATTTTATTTAGGAATCAGCATTTATAATTGATATAATAGTGATATGTTAGGGGCAAGAATACGAATTCAAATTCGATTTTTCCAAGTTATCTTGCTTCATGACTATTTAAGAACTAAGCGAGTAGATTCATTTGATATTTTTTGAGTAAAGAAGTTAGAGTACAATAATATAAATAATTAGACAGAACTTTTAGATCCATAATTACATATTTTGATTGGAATAATTAAAACATAAAGGCTTGATGGACAGATCAGATTGTTTGAACTGTTGAATTTACTTCTAAATGGGAAAAAAACCTTAATCCTTCAATAAAGTGTTAATCATTAATAATGATTTTTACTATTTTATATTTAATTTTGAATAACAACCATAATATAAATCCCTCATATAAAATCATAATATTTACTTTTAAATAATCCACTTTTTAACCAAAATGTTATGTTTAATTATTTGATTCTATTATTTTGATCAATTGTGTACATTTTTTATGAATTTTAATATTATTTAAAGTTGCATCAATGATAAAGATAGCAAGATGGCTGAATTCTATAAACCAGAATAATTTATGTCAAGGGAAAGACTCATAAAAATAACTAAAATTATCCTTAGAATCATTATAATATAAGATTTACCCCTAAAATTTGGTAATAAATAAAATTAAAAATAAATTGATCATATCCATAAACAATTGTATTATGAAATATGATGGAATAATTTTTCTTATTTTAGAACTTATCATAAAACTGATGTATCTGATTGATTATCGCTTAATTGATCTTTAGGCAAATTGGCAGACTTAATTTAAATGAGTAAATTAATATTATACTATGTTGTATTCTTTTGTACTTAACTATACCATATCCTGTATATACACTCGTCAGAAATCTAAATTCTACAAATAAAGTTGGAAATTTTGAGTTATCTATTTAATAAACTTAAATAATTTGAATTTACTCATGTCTGATTAATTCGACTAGTTACAAGAGGGCATTATTCAAAATGATGTACCTGAAAATAAGGACCAAGAGCTATTCGATTAAATGGCCTCCAGAGAATACAATGATAAAAAACACAATTTCTAAGTTGAAGAAGATGATGGAGAAACTTAAGATCAACCTGTTAGTGCTATATAGGAAGTCGTGAAGCCAGAAGAGAAATAAAAGAACGTATCTTAGATTACAACCCAAAATAGTCCTTTTCGATTAAGAAAGCTGAAACAAAGAGAATAGTACATTAGGCAGCATTAGAAAGAAAGACAGAAGCCTTCGAATAAACAAAGAGTTTTGAACTTCATAGATCAATATAAATCCTATCGCATAGACAATTGGTGGATTCTGTTTGGGCAAGATTGCAGAAGGTTGTAGGTTCATCCGATGAGACTATGAAATTTTTAGTTTCATTTATGAGATAAAGGATTGAATAAGAAGAATTGCAATTAAAATATTCCTAAACAGCTTCACTGAACAAGCTATTTAAGGATTTTGGTATCACTCTAATAATGTTTTAGATGGAAGGATTATGCAATGCAACTATCCAGAATTTTCTAAGGCAGTGAGAACAATGGATTCTGCTATGGAAAGACAAACAGATTAAATTAAAATATTTATCACATGGATGCAAAACCAAACAAGAGAAAGATTAGAATAAGAAATGAACAATTTTACAAGTCAAAATAGAGGTATGAATATCCTTAAATTAAAAGAATTGGTCAATTCATATAATAGATACAAGAAAACTTTAATGGATTTAGATAAGGATGTTGTCAAATACTATAGTAAATATGATAAAATGTACTAAAATATTACGATTAAAGGAAAAAAACCATAAAAGGACTTTTTGAGAGCTGAATTAAAGTATAAATAGGTAATTTCATGTATATGATTATGTGTAGGCTGCTTCTAAAGTGATAGTATTTTAAAGAGAGTTTGGAACTTGGCTGTTAAACAGTTGGAATGAAATAAAATAATTAGAGACTTAAAGATTAGATTTGGTCACTCACACCTTAATAGAGTTTTAAAATTAAGTGATGAATGTATATGGTAAAATTCCTTAACATGATTCCATAATTGGAGCATTGAATGCAGTTAAGATTCAATAGGAAGTGCAGAATTTATATTCATATGATTTCGTATTGACAAAATAGGAATTAGAATTTATCTCAACTGAATAACAATAGGAATTAATAAAATACTTTCAAAATTTTTAAGTAAAATTATAGAGATATATGTGAATAGGTGATAGATAAATATGCTGATCAATCTCATCCTTTAATTCTAAAGCAATTTTCTGCTTAAAGAGATGTTGGAACTATTGGTAAGACTTGGATCGATACTGGAATTATCATCACAGTCGATCACTACTTTCTCACCTTTGATGGCAAGCCAACTAGGTTTTCGAAACCTGAAAATAAGTATCCTCTTGATGGAATGAAAATGACTACTAGGAATGCTTTAGAGTTAGAGATTTAATTTGTAATCCCTGGGTTAGTGATGGATTCAAAGAAGAAGTTACTAATTCAATTCAAGACATCTGATGAATTGGAGGAAATTATGTATTTTCTAGAAACAGTTGGGCAAAATAAATTTGCTTTAAATTGAAATATGTCAACCATGATATAATATGAATTGTTATAAAATAATAAAATGAAATCAAAAAGCTACGTTTAATCAGATGAAGATGTAGATACTCTGGGTTCCTATACATCTATGACTTATGATGATAAAACTATGGAAGTTGTGCAGTACAGATAAGAGAACTTCTTTCAATTCGGATCTTCCATAATGGCAGTAATTTACATGGCGAATACTATGCTGATTCCTAATATGAACTAACTGTTTATTGATGTTTCTTTTGATAATCCTTTACTAATGGTTGTTTCAGTGATCATGTATTGGTTGCTATCATTTTTAATTTTGATACCATGTTATTTGGTGATCAAAATATGCAAACAAGAAGGTAACCCCATATATGCCTATATAATCAAACAGGATTCAATAAAAATCTACAATGTATTCATCTATAGTAATTTAATATTAAATACACTTGGATTATTTAATATAATTGTTAGATTGGGAGACAGTTTGCCTAAAGTTAATCGATGGTTTTACATTGAGTTCCATCACTTAATGGCATCAGAACAAGCTGAACTGTTCTTCCCCACAATAATTTGTTATACAGCAGTTGTGCTAACATTATTTTATGGATTTTATAAATGTTCTTACTTTGAACAATACTATGACATTCAATATAGGCTCATTATATCATTTGTAGGAAAAATAATATTGAATACCGTAATCTTCTTATTGATATACTACGAAGTACCTGATGCAAGTCAAGAATACATATCGATGGATGAAAAGTATTTACCTTCATATTATAATGTAGTTTATTTGATTCCGATTTTTCGAGTGGTGCAACATAATGGATCACCTATTGCTTTAACTAAATTTGCTGTATTTCATATCCCTTCTTTGAAGTGTTCTATCTTAAAAGAGAAACCAAAAAGGGATACAGTAAGGTACAACAATGCTATTGGATATAATTATTGTTGAGATCTCTGATATTTTTTTATTAGATCACTACCTGGGGAATCATCATCAGATAAGAGAAAATGAAGTATTACTACTAGCCATTGCTTTAATCCTTAAATTCACTGATGATTTTTCTCATTTCCATGTCCATAACATCAATTTATTCACATAATTACACATTGAATAAAGAAATATAAGAAGACAACATTCAAACAGCAACTGAAGATGATAATAAGAAATAAATTAAGGAAATCTATTTGATAGCAGCTGGACTCTTCGTGATCGAGATATCCATTTGCATCATTTGCAGATTTTTTATTACAGGTATAGAAGTTCCTCAGATTAAATCATTTATTTTTTCACTCTCATATAGTGCTTAAACAATTTGCTTTGGTTTTTCATGCATCAGTGTACCAGTATATTTGTGGATTAAGAACTTTAACCCTAAGTCAAATATATATAGTGGGATGGCCTACTCTGCTATCATAATATATATGATTGTTTTTGTTGGAATCAGCAGCGAACCATTCTTTTCATTAAAATCATGAGCAAACGCATTCAATAAATTAAATCAACTTATGCTATAATAATTATAAACTATATTTTAATTATTATATAAAAATTAGTAATGAAATCCCATAGATCATCATAAAGTGAATTTATGCTTGAGGATTATATTTTTAAATTGCTATTTATTTTTACAGTCACAAGAGATTATGATATCTGATCTGAATTGGCTGGCTATGCATTAAGAAAATTGTTTAAGCATTATTAAATATTTGACCTCTTGGCGACTTAGTTGAAAATTGAAGGAGTTTGATAGGGATTTAGAATAGAAAGCATTAAATGAAACACAGAAAATAAATGTAAAATGTGCTATTGAGTTTAAGGAATCTAAAATTGAGATTTGTTTTAATATATTTGAGTGGATTGATGCTGATGGTTTTAGAGAAAATAGGATGTATAGAGAAAATTTGAAAAAAGAGATAAAGTATTGGCAGCATCAATCTAAAATATTACAGAAATATAATAAAACATGTAAACTAATTAGACTGAATTAAGAAAGGAATACGATTAAAATACTCGAATGAGAGTATTTGAGTTTGCTTTAAAAGTTATCAAAGTCTAAAATGAAAATTTTAAGAAAATAATTAGTACTGAATTATGGGTATTTAAGCACTTAAGGAGAATCTAATAACAAAGATAGTAATATCAGAAAAAATAATGATTTAAGAAAAAACCCAAAAGAAAACTGATGATAAAAAGAAAATATATAGATGAAAAGTAATAAGAATTAAAAGTAAAAATAGAAAAAAACTATAAGAATAAAAAAATATTATGTTTGTTAGATAATTAAATAGAATATTTGAAAAAGAAGAAGAACTAGAAAAATAAGATAGATAAAGAAAGGTACTTTTTAATTCAAATTATTCTAGGAATTACAAGAATAAATTGCTAAAAAACTTAGAGAACTTCAATAATAGAGTATAGAGAAGGTCATTAAACTAATTTAGAGCAAACTAATCGAAAGAAAAGAGTGATATGGTTCATGTGGTAAAAAGAAGAAACCAAAGAAATGACTATAAAAATTTAAATAAAATTAAATCTTAAATTAATTCATGGGACGTATGTAAGCTAAGGGAAAGGGAAAGGGTATTTCCGGATCAGCCCTCCCATATAAGAGAAAGGCACCAAAGTGGTTGACTTTATCCTCAAAATCCATCCTTGATCAAATTGTTAATTTAGCAAAGAAAGGTTTTAATTTATTCTTAAAATTTCCTTCAGGTCTCAATGCTTCATAAATTGGTGTTTACTTAAGAGATCAATAAGGCATTCCTTAAACCAGATTCTTAACTGGCCAAAAGATTTTGAGAATCCTTAAGAAGAGAGGTATTTATTATCACTATTTCAAAGGATGTGCTCCAAAAATTCCTGAAGACTTATATGCCTTGATTAAGAAGGCTGTTTAAATTAGAAAACATTTAGAAAAGAACAGAGGAGATGTGACAAGCAAATTCAGATTAATTTTGGTTGAAAGCAGAATTCATAGACTTAGTAGATATTACAGAAGAACCCAAAAATTACCATCCAACTGGAAATAGTACTTATAATATTTAATAATTAAGTGTTTCAAAGACTGCATCTGCCTTAATTGGTTAATGAGTTAGAATATAAATACAATAATGCATATATCTTAATATTTATAAATACCTTATTTTAAAATTCACTTGTTAATAAATAATTTAATATTTTAATTGTTGTTGATAACATATTGTTTGACTAATTATTTTATAATAAATAATTTAATGAAAAATATAAGATTTTAACAATAATACTATTATTATGACAAATCTACAATTCAAGCACTTATTTAGATTTTAAATTTAAAGAACATTATTTAATAAATAAGTTGTAATAGAAAATATTGAAAATATTATATTTTATTGTGATCAAAAAATTTTTAACTATAATTTTCATTTTTTATGTATTTGTTCCCACCATGGTCCTTTTTAGAAAGTGTTTTTCCAATGTATGTTTTTTACATAAATTTGTTTTAAATATCGACATCACTTGAGCCAAGAATGATAACACCATAATTTTTATAAAATTCTATTTCATTTTCAAAGATAATCAAACACCAAATTTGAAATGCACTTTCCAAGACTTAATCGTTTTTCAAATTAAGTTCTTGCCATTATTGGAAACAATATAAGTCAGCATATTAATAATAAATGTTTATGTATCTTTGTCATATATTGCAGTAGTTTAGATATATCTTTCATTTGATCCATGTCCCAATCCAGTAAGACTGAAACTACCAATATCTGTTAGTGTTAAAGCATTTCAAAATATTTTTGTGTTATCTGTTCCTAAATTGAGAATAGTTTTGGTGTAGAGTGAAAAGGGGACTTCAAATTTCATACAAAAAAAACTGCTGGATCGAAGCTGTAAATGGCGACTGATGTTGTAGTTACTATATTTGGATCAGATATAAATATATCAAAGGTGACTCCAAGTTTTTAATGCAAATTTCTGTTAGCCTGGAAGGAATGATATTTTATTCTTAAATATATGTTGGTACAAAATCGCATAGGTTTTATCTATATTTCCAATTACGTCTACTTAGTTGCCTGTAATGCTGGAGAGATTCAGTAGGACTAGTAATTTATTGATTTATATTTTTATAAGCTTCACACTACTAATGCAATAGTTTGACTTTATATTCCAAGCTTATTAAATTATTAATAATTAATCAAAAAAATTCCAATTTATGACCAAAAAATACATGCAAAATATAAAAAAATTCATATCATAATATTCTAAAATTCCAATATTTTTAATCCTTTATCTTCTATGTACATATGTGAATATCATAATTAATTCATATAATTTAATTATATCATATCATTTGACTTTGCTTTTTAGAGGATTGTAGATGTTCAGAATGCCATAGTTGTCTTTCAATTTTTATTAGTAATAATTATTTGAAGTTCCAAACAAATAATCCCAAAATACAAAGAATGAGCCGAAATTGCCATCATTATGACTATGATGATATGAGTGGAATTCAGAAAATGCTAAAAATGGTATATATTAGAAGATCTCCCAAGGAAAGGCATATCCTGAATGTGCTGACAATGTCTTATAAACTCTGATTCCTATCCAAATCAACAATGTCACCAGATGCAATTTCTCACCCAGTAATCTTGGGCCGATGATGAATGGGAGTAGATTACTCAAAAGATATTCTATAGCAGTTGAATATTCTGCAGATATTGATATTGTCACCGAGTATTAGTGATGCTATTTATGATATTTATAAAGGGATGGGATATGCAATAAACGATGTGACCAATAAAATCCTACATCTTCAATGATAATACAGAATAAAAATTATGGTATCATTTCCCATAAATCTGGAAGTGATTCACGATCAAACCTTCATAAGTCTTATATTTACCTATATTTTACTCCAGCTATACCAAAAGTCATGGCTAATAATGTACCAATTATTAGGTTAATGGCGAAATTCTTGAAAGTCTCATTTCTCAATTGAATCCATTCTTTTTTATCTGAATGCCAAGGCCAAGGTTTCTGAATGATAGTTGAATTGATATTTTACTTTCTCAATTTTGAATTGCTCGAAGAAGGGATGGTTCAAATAATAAATGATACCGTAGGATCCATTGACAATTATGTAGACAACAATATGCATTACTTGCAGACTTAAAATTTGAAACCAATATTCTAATGATTAGAGATATGAGTTACTGCTCTCAATTTGTTCTGGCCAATAATATTTGAAAAGTTCAGGTACCAAAATAAAATAGGATGCAAATGTGGTTAATGCTATGATAAAGTATAACATATTTATTTTAATAATTGATTATCTCGGAATGCAAAGAAGTTAAAATGATGAGGACAAGCCTTTGATTCCACTGCCTTAAGCAACAGAATAGAAGAGACAGGAGAAAATAGCATACGAAAAGCAGATGGCAAGAGTAACCTTGTTGAAATAGACCCAACAGAAAAACTTGCATCTAGTATTATGTAACTTGAAGTAGACAGGCTAAATTGTATGAGATGGCTGCAGACAAGATTGAAAATGGACAAACTGTTAAGAAACAACTACGAAATCTGGCTGAAGAGGCACGTTAATTGAAGGAGGATGACATGAGAAGAAGGAAGCACCAAATCAAACAGATTAAGAAGCACGAGGAAGAGTTTATTTTAAAACGAGCCGCTAAATAGAAGATTGGGTATGCGTGGTGAGTGTAATTAGCGATTCCATGAAGTAATCCTCAGTAAAGGAGTACAAAAGTGCCATCAAGTTGACTCTGTCTAGAACAAGAGATTGTATTCTTCAAGACAATTAAAAGATTCGAGAGACCCTCTATCAAGAAGAAAAGAAAAGGAAGGAGAAGAAGGAAGAGGCCAAAAAATTAGATGAAATGAAATCATAGCAATTTTATAAGGAAAGAGTATCCTATGAAAAAATGATAGAAGAAAAACTAAAGAAATCCAGAGAAAAACTCTTTTAAGATGAGTAGATGTTGCAAAGTCGTCTATAAGTAAAACACACTTCATGATAACATTTAGGAAACCTAAAATTTGCTCAGTAAATCTTAAAAAAAATTCATGGAACTCCAATCCCAAAGTGTACACAGCAAAAGATGAGTAGCAATATAAATTATTATTACAAAAATTATTAATTAACTTCTCTTTATTTTAGGAAATTAGTTAAATAAAATAATAAAAACAATTTAATTGTGAATCAACTGAGGAATTTGGATAAAGATTTTAACAAGAATGAAATAATGTAAATATTGATAAATGTTAATTTAATCATATATGAACTAAAGATTACATAAGCACTTATTATAAATGCTCTTAATTACATTTTATGATAAAATAAATTAATTGTTATTATTGTTATGAATATATATTAGAATCCGTTTTATGAACATATTTAATATAATAATTAAAAATGATGAAATTCATTGCTTTAGCATTGATTGCTTCAACAGTATTGGCAGTCCAAAAGGATACTAAAACAATCTTGGCAGAAATTGATGCCGATAACTTCGGAAACTCTATTTTGTCAACAGTTCAAATGTACCTGTAAGCAAAAGGAAATGCAGAGGAAGTGTTGGTGTTATTGAACCAATTACTTGCTGGATTAGTTGATGATCAAAACAAACATGACAATGTTATCAGAGTTGACAGATCTGCATGCACAAGAATAGTAACCGATCTTGAAAATTCAATTGCTTATCACACAGCTTAAGTAAGTGCAAACGCTTAAATGAGAGAAGATAATGAGAAGGCATTGGCTGAGGCTGAAAATGATGTCAGATAAACTATTCAAGTAAGCATCTATGTAATATCAAAAGGACATTGAGAGCAATGAGAGAACATTTGCTTAAGAGGAAGCAAATAGAAACAAGGCTCACGAAACATGGGTCAGAAAGAATGGTGAACATGATGATGCCATTGCTGCAGTTGATGAAGCCACCAAATTAGTTCAACATCTTTCATTAGGTGCCACATTCGCTGAACTTAAACCAAAATTTGAAGCTGTTCAAAAGAGATTGATTGAAAACGAAAGCCACGGAGCATTATTCCAACCAATCGTCACAGCCCTTACAGAACTCGCTTCCAAAGTTGATTAAAAGGCCATCCAAAGAATCCTCCAATTGCTTTCTTAACTCAGATAACAATTAGTAGAAGCCAGATCAGTTTTGGAAGTAACTTACATTTTAGATTATTCTCTTAGGAAACTGAAAACAGATAAGCTTAAAGATGGGTCGAATTCTCCACACATTTGAGCAATGAACACAATAGATTGGTCGAAAGAAAGAACTAATTGGAATAAGCCATCCAAACATTCAAAACCAACATTGATACAGCCACTCATTTCTTTGAAGTCCATACCGTATTACTATCTTATTATCTTTAAGTTGGAATTAGAATCAGCTTAAGAGACTCTTGATGCAGAAAACGAATGGTGCGCTTTATAAGAGTAAACTTATGCAACTCAATCTTCTGAGAGATAAAGACAATAAGAAATCGTTGATAGAATATTAGAACACTTGACCGATAAATTAACCGCTACCTCATAATACCTTGGAGGAAGATTCTGATCAGATATCATATACATAAATATAATATTAATATGGGATTTCAAAAATTCAATTACCAATTCCTGTTCTTTATCATAATATAAGTCTTTCTCATTACATTTTAAATTAATAGTTATCACTTATGATTTATATTATATTATAATAGAAGTTAAAGTGAGATCAATGTAAAATAATTAGAATTTTAATAGTAAATACTTTTACTAATGAAAAAGACTTATTGTATTAATTTATGGATGAAGTCTCAAATGTATATAAGTGAAGTGATTCTTATTGCATAGAATAAATAGAATAATAATCGAATAATGAATCTAAAAATTAAGAGCATAATAAATGTAATAATAAATATCAATATCTTCACGTACGAATGTCATCAACATAACCATTAAATACATTCTTTGCTGAACTGAACATGTCAGACACAGCATATTATCTGAACCTTGAAATACGTTTACCTTTTAAAATAACTTAAATGTGATACCTGCACTTTCCATGTAATTCCCTGAAGCATCAGTTCCTATGAATGAGATGTAGAATTTAGCATCACAGTCCATGTCTGTAGTGCACTCTTTGTAATAATTATTTGAATCGCTAAAAGTTTCCCCATTTGAATTAGTAATAACATAATCTGAGCATTCCATGCTAGAGTCCCAACATCCATTGTCCCAAATTAGATCTGTCACATTACCATCTTCCATGTTAATCACTAAACTGTAAATTGGATAAACATTAGTCGAGTTTATAACATAATCAATTATTGGTGAAATCATAGCATGCTTATTTGCTTAAATAGCAATAGTATGATTTGTTAATCCTTTCGCTTTTAATGTTGTGTAACTATTCTTAGCATACAATGCAGTATAACGATCCACTTTTACATCGAAAGCTAATCTTTAACCAGTTTATTCAATCTTATTTATGAAATGTATGCATATCGTCATATGATCTCCTCTTGTATATGTCTCATCAACATCGCTAGATACGCATTTCAAATTCAAGCAATTATATGTTTGTATTAGTATCAACAATAGTAACATTAATTATTTTAAAATATTAAATGAATGTTAATTTTTACAATAGTCTTGATTAAAAATAGAGTCTTTATGGAGAAAACTTAAGAATTTATCAATTAGATAATTAGTTTAAATATTTATTTATAACAAATCCCTATTAATCACAAAATGCAACTTAGAATGAATAAACTTGCTTTTTTATTTGATAAAAGATTGGAAGTTGTTCTTACGGACGGATATTTATTGGTTATACTTAAAGTGATTTATAAGAACCAAAAAGTAGAGTGTTTAGAATTTATTTAGGAAAGAATAACAACTAAGCATTCTTAATTATTATGAAGAGAAACTCTATAAGGTATTACAAGGAGGATATATTTTATTTTGTGATTTAATAGGGTTGCTTAAACTTATTGATTGGTAATTAAAATTAATATAAAATCATGGTTATGGAATGATTAAATTAAAAGGTTTCTGGAATTATTGTAAGAAGAAAATCTGTTTGAAAACTGTCTTGATGATAGTACAATAAGTGATTCTAAGATAAGAAAGTTGTGTATAAGAGATATCTTAGAGAGGCTATTGATTCCTCCTTTTTGTACTTTTCAAATGGTTATTTGACACTATAAGTCATCAAAATATATAACTAAAAAAATAAATATGAAAAATAACAGATACTAAAATTGGAACGGCAATTAAGAAATAGCATGATGGTTTACCAAAAAAATTCATTTAATTGAACTATTGCAAAAGTTTAAAATTTCAAGAAGGAAGTGGTTATGCTTGATTGAGGAAATCGTTTAAATAATTCTATGGAAGATTGAAGTATTCTTATGATAACTGCTTTGATTGGAGTGTTCCATTTCTATGATAAATTAATATTATTTATATTTTATATTAAATTTACTCATCATAATGGAGAGAAGAGACGAGGATTGCAAATAATAAGGGCAATTTAATCAAAAGGATGATAAGTGCATCTATATCTCGTTCACGATATCCTTTAATGTTTTATTTGGAGGTCTATTTTACTATTATTCGCTAAATACTAGTAATGATCAATGTACATTGTTGAAGCAAACCGCTTTATATTTCACATTATATTGTTCCTGCAGCATCATATTATCCATTCTAACTCTTATTGGAAATAAGACATTCAACGTCATCACAACTATTGAAGGTCTGATTAGAATGTTATTTTTGGTTTCGTTTTTGGTAAACTTAATTAATTATTTAGATTGCTTATTTCTACAGTTTCTAATGCTATCATCTTTAATCACTCACGCTTATATATTTGACCTTACACGCATTACTATTTTTTATTACTTGTATGAAATCTTCAATAAATAAAACTAAATAACTATGAATTTTAATTTGTTTTTAGTTGATGACTTGTATTTCATGTATATTAATTAATGTTATAAAATATACATTCATATGAATATTTATATTTTAATAGTTCTAATTAAATTTGATTCTTCCTCCTTTTTTTAAATTTTACATCACCATCAATTTTACAATTTACCTGCTTACATTGTTTCTAGTGCCTTTTGGAATGTCATTATAAATGCAGACAGTTAAACCTCCTTATCTGCTATTATTGCAAATAATCAAAATAAAAAGTCAAATCTGTGATGGTACTACATATCTCAAGTAATGTATAAAGAATATATTTAATAATAATACTATGATCAATAACATCAATTATTTTCAAATCAAAACAGTTGAGGCTTCTACTATTACCTCAGTATTCTTTTAGCCAATTCTTTCTTTAGTTTTAGTATATTTGAAGCATCTTAATTATTTCCCATCCATTCTATTATTTTAAACTTTATTCCAGAATTTCCATTTAAGACTGTTGTAGCAGTGTTATCCATATTAATTTAAAATTAATAATAAAAACTCCTATATAAACTGTAAAATTTAAGTCTATTGTACAAAATTAATTAAATAAAAAAGAGAACACTTTTGTTACTCTTCTAGATTTATGATATGATTATCATAAAAATGACCTGATTCACAATTTTTATCAAATCTTATTTGTCTCTAAATTGTTTTTGACAAGTCAAATATGAATGAATAATCCATTTTAAGGTTTCAAAATTTTGGGTATAAGGTGCACAAATTTTATGGATTTACAAAAATAATTAGTTTGGATATAATTTGTAATTAATATTTTTGTTTGTGTTTTTCAATTAAAAATTATATTTATTTTATTTATGTACCCTAAAAAGATTAATAGAACCTTACACGTTGGGAAGCATATTCAAAGAGAAGAATCTGTTAAAACTCTCATAATTGATAAATTGGTTTAAGATTATGGAAGAAAAAATTAGTTGAATGTGAATGTAACTTATTTCTCTCAAAACATTAGTTAATTATGGCATATGTAGATGACTTTTTTGTATGTTACAAAGCTAGTGAAGGAGCTGTGAGAGCACTTAAAGAAGAAATTAAGGAAGCCATCTTAAGACCAGAAAATGAAAAGCAATTAATGATACAGCGATTACATTAGCGTATTTCTAGTATAATTGAAAATGATTGAAATAGGAAAGCAAAAGGAAGAGCAGTTAAAAACATTGACAAATCCGAAGGTTAGGGCATCATTGCCAGATAAAATAGAGTAGGAAACCCAATTTGTTTAGATTGCAAAATAAAACAGAAAATAGTTCACAAATCAAATTAGGCAATACTCTGCCACTTGACGTATTGGAAGAAAGAAGGAAATCAATTTACAAGGTGGATGGTTCTGTAGATGAATGGGCTGCTATAATTAAATATGATACTCAATAGTTTTAGAAAGAATTAGAAGAACAGAAGAAATTATTATTGCTTAATCAATAAAAAATAAAAGAGGAATTAGATAGACAGGTAGCAGAAAAAGAGTCACGAAAATAAAAAGAAAAGAAGGAGGAATAAAATTATTATGCTACAAGTTAATAATAATTGATGGAGTTTGAAAAACAATAGGAATTACTAAAGGAAAGCAAAAAGTAATAATTATTACAAGAGAAATTTATTCGAGACTAATAAGTTTATGTTGACAAAAGAAAGAAGTAATCATTTTATATGAGATAGAAAAGAGTAGAATTTAAACACTAAATAATATGAGGAAGAAATGCTTGCCAAAGTGAAGGAAGAATTGAAAGCAGAAGATTAATAGTAGAAACGTAAGAGACTTGAATAAAAGGAGAAATTCTAATAGATACTTAAGTTAAATGAAAATTTAAGGAAGAAGGTAAAGAGTATTTGAAATATAGGCAAAAGAAGAAGTTATACAAAGCAAGGAACACGAAAAATTGTTGCAAGAATAGTCAGCTTTAAAAGATCAGCTCGAAAATGAGAGAAAAGAGAAGTTCAAAAAAGATAAAGAAGAGAAGATTAAATAATTGATGAATAATTATAGTGAGTTTGTTATGAAAAATAAAAAGGATAATAAATAATTAGAAGATTCCTAAGGGGAATTCTGGGCAAAAAAGAACAGTGAACATAGTGCTTTCTTAGATTTTAAGAGCAATACAAATAAAAAAGAATAATAACTTCAAATATCTTAAGATCTTTAGTAATAAATATTAGAAAAAAAAAGAAGGTATACTCTAGAAGTATCTGAAAAAAAGTAACTATTTGAATAATAACTCCAAGAATAAAAAGCCTTGAAAAAATAGGATGAAGAGAGAAGAAATGTATATAATTTAATAATTTTAATAGAATATTCGATAAATGTATGTTCAAAATGCTGAAGACCTTAAAAAATAAATGACTAAAGGATACTTAAGTTAATCTCCTAAAAGAAAATAAAGTCCCAATGAAAGAATGGTGGGATATGAATTACTTTAAAATAAGAAATTACTTAAAAAAATAGCAAATGATAATTCTATTGGAATATCCATAACAAAATAAGAGATATCTATACCTGAATGAAAAATATCTATTTATTTTTCAATTAATACATAATTTAATATAATTAAAATTGTATGCTTCATTTTAGACTGATTGAATATAAAATAAATAGAACAAATTTTGCATGTATAAAATTTGTAAAATTTATTCTACTCATGAGCAAGTTAAGTAAAAATTACGATTGATATAAATAATTATAACAATTAACTAATAGTCTTAATAGTTTAACTCGTCTATTAAATAAAATTAAAAAATAATAAATAAAAACTTGTAATTCAATTATGAATACAACAATTTTAGATCTCTTTACATAAATTAAAGAATTGTACCCATGTAACTTATTTGATTACTCTAGAGTAAGATTTAGCTGAATTTCATTAAAAATGTAAAAATGATGATGAATATGAAAACATCATAAAATAAACTAACAATGCTAAAAGCAAATTCGAGTCAACAGAAGACCAATAAACTTTGATTAATTAATTAAAAAACATCATCAATGATGTTAAAATTGCTCATAAGAAATCTCTACTTTCAGCTAAACAGTTTGAAATCTCCTCTGCTGAAAAAGAGAAAGGTATTTATTTTACATATTCTATCAAATTAGCCCTAAATGAAAATGCTAATTTGAATAAATAAATTGGTGATTTTGAGATTTATAGAAATGCATAAAATATTTAATAAGAATGCTTAAAGGAATATTATAATATGGTTATATAGAAAGAAAAATAAAAGTCATAAGATTTCATTGAAGGGATTTAATAGGAATTTGAAGAAATTTAAAATAAATTAGAAAATGCATTACTTGCAAAGCAAAAGAATGAAAAAGAATATGGAACTTTAATAGAAAAGTATAAGGACAAAAAATCTTATGTTGAATAAAGAAACTAATATTTTGAATTAGAAATTAAAAAATTGTGTAAGAAATAATAAATATGAAATACAATAGAATCATAAAGGAAGGAGAAATTCACTCAGATGTTTGAATAGATCAACATTCTCAATAAATCCTTACGTTCAGAGGTAGATGAGAATGGAAAATTAGAGATATTGAGGAAGGATGAAGCCCTTGTAGATAAACATCTTAATCCTTATCTCTAAAAAGAATCTGAATTTAATTAACTAATAGAAAAAACAAATCAACTGATTAATCTCTATAACTTAGAAGCACAAAAAGTAAAGATCTCATTTTATCAAAGCTTTTCAAATAAATTTGTGATAATGAATAGAAAATTTAAACAAATTAAAAAACTTCTGAAAAGTCAGGCATTTTCATTTATGATTAGGCTAAAGAAGTAACTCTATTTGCATATCATAGTATAAAGGATTGTTGCAATTGTTATAATAAAAATAGGAACAAAGATAATAATTATAAAATTTAAAGCTTAGTCTATAAAAGTAATTAAAATGAATAAAATTTTATGAGTATTTATTAAGTATAATATAATGATATGAATCTAACTAGGTTAATAGTACTTTAAAATATAAAATAATTTTTAACAAGTGAATATATTATTTTAATAAAAAGGATAGATAATAAATTAAAAATTAATAAGGGTATTTATTAATCCATAAAATATTTGCAAATCAATCAGATGTTTATTCTAACTTTCCTAAAAACTCCATTGTTGTTTGAAGAGTCTCATTCTTTCTCTCGAAACATCTCGATAGACAGATTTTTTCCCTATCAGACAAATCCTTTTTTTTGTAATCTTTAATGCAAAATTTGCTGCAAACTTAGTAAATATTCATCAAGGATAATTTCATAGATGTTGTAATTGATTACTTTATTCTTTCATTCTTCTGTTGAATTGTAATGTTTTGGTGAATATGTGTATCGTGATCAGACATTAATTATTAAATGAATTATAATTATAAATATCTCGTACAATCACCTAAAAAACAACTTCAACCCAAAGTCACAATCAAATATAGTACAGCTATCAATTTGGATCATATTCCTAAATTCTCATACGGATCCCCCAGAAGTCTGGCAAGACAAATAACGAACCTAAGTCCTACAGTTCAATTAAATAGTTCTAGAAACAAAAAAACTGTTGAATCAAAAAGTCCATCTCCATTGATTGAGTCAAATTGGTTAAACATAAATAAAATAAAAAAGAAAATTGAACTTTTCGAGAATCTGAATTATGGACACCCTAAAATATTTCATAAATTGTCACCTGATTAAATGATTCCAACATAATTGTCGATACCAATAACTGCTCATGCTAAAAAACGGATTATGATTAAAAAAAAGTGCGAACCTGATCGTATAGCAAGGTCAAACACTTAACATTCAATGGGTAGATAGGAAATGAAAAATAACACATCACCATCCAGAGTTCTCTAAAAAAGAAAAAATAAAAAAGACCCTTCAGGAGAATTGAATGGATGGTAAGGATAGTATGTGGAACATTTTGATGATTTTATATGAATTTATTTGAACTAAAACTACTCCTATCTAATTATTATTAGGAATAACTGAGGTTATTCAATTTTAGAGTCTTTTTTAGAATGCGTAGTGAAATAGTAATTAATTTTGTGTATTTTTGAGGTAATGTAAATATTGAAAAATTTAATTAATAAAAATAAAAAAATTAATTTGTGATGACACTCTTAGGACACCTTCAGAGACTTTATGTCAATGAGATGTTAGTTACCTGTCTGATATTAATATACTATTTATACTATATATAAAAGTATTTAAGCAAAGTTTAAGCACAGAAATCATAAAGACATAGCTAGACATATGTTAATGTCATTATTAACAATATTCATGATATTGTTTAGATTTCAACTTAAATTTATTAGATATTCCTTTGGATTATATTTAAAATTCAAAATTTGTAGCCTAGTTGTTATAGCTTCTGCATGAGTGTTTGTATTTTACTATCCTTCAATTTCACTAATTATTCTAGTTTTGTAATCTTAAGCTCGAGTATTCCAATAGTTTCTCTCTACTCTTAAATTAATTAGTCTTTCTCATTTGTCATTGATTGTTAGAGTTGGTCTGAATTATGATGACTTGGAGATTTTTACGTTTCCGGTAATTGAGATTCATTTTCCTTGAAGTATTTTATTTTTTCTTAAACTATTTTTAAAACACGTTCGATTGCTCTATCTTCAACCTGGATTACTGAATCAATATCCTTTTATGCTAATTGAAACCCTAATTTTTTTAGCACCTTTCATAGTAGAAGTATAAATACTTTGGTATTTAGTGTGCTCCAATTGTATTATTTTGTTTATGTTGAATTGGCTTATGAATAGTTATGCAATTCAACCAACTTAGGAAAGTAATGATGTACAATTTCAGCCATTAATACACCATCTGCAAAATCTCTTCCTATATTTTTTTTTGGCCTTGAGAGTGGGATTATGTCTACCCATGTATAGATATCGTTCACTTCTTGTTCGGTTAGTGTAGGTGAATCCATTTTACTCATTATTTAATTTTATATAAAATAAAGGGAGAAACAATCAAAATTATAATATTTAGTTTAGATCATTAGACAAAATTATTTAATGAATAGCAGTTAAAATACTTGATGATTAATGGATTTTAAATTAATAATAACTGCTTTTTAAAAAGTCAAAATAAAAACATTATAAAATTGACATAATATTTAAACACATGCATTAAAATCAAGGGGGACGTGTATTTGGAAGACATCTTGATAATTATGCTGAAAAGGCGTTGAAGGATGCAAAAGAGAGAAGAAATGGAACAATTGATGAAATAGGAGGGAAAGAAAATGTGATCAATGATGCTGTTCTGACAAAGGATGGCTGGTTCAAAATGGATTGTCCTGAGAAGGTTTTGCAATATCAATAAGAAATTTATGAGTTCCTTCATTAAAGAGAATAGGAGAGCTAGGGATTATAACTTTCGATTAATCAAAGGAAAATCAATGAAACTATGCGAAATACTACAGTACTTATCATCGCTAGAAAAAGATTAGGTTTGTAATCAAGTAGGCCAAACTATATAATATGAAATCGGAAACTTTATTCCAAACCGTTGATCTCATAGATTAAGCAATTCAACATATAAATCCTGAAGCAGACAGATTGGAGCTCATCGCTATAACTTGTTTGTTTATAGCATCCAAATATGAAGAAATATACCCACCTCCATTGGGAGTATTGCTTAGAGGCACAGAATTAAGAGTTCGAGAAGTTATTGACATGGAGAAGGAGATACTATATAAATTAAATTTTAATGTTATAAGTGATAATACATTAATTTGGTTGCAATTGATAGGAGAATTATTGGGGTGCAATAAAAGATATTTGGATTTGATAAAACAAAGATCAATGTAATGTATATATGTATTTCAAAGGTATTTGGCAGAACTTAGTTTAAGCAGTGATAGATTTCTAAGCATAAAGAAATCAACAATAGCGTTGACAATTTTTCTGGCAGTGGAAATATAGTTTGGATATCAAAAGACACAATTCCAATGGGATCGTTTGTCTCAGCATTCCAAACCTAGTAAGGATTCTAAGTCCATTAAGATTATTTGCCTATTGCTTAAAAAATTGATATTGATATGATTATTTACTTTATGTTTCTATTTAAGATTCAAATTTGAGTAACAAATGAAGGAATTCAAAATGTATTTTAATATTTAATAATGATATATCATTGTTATTATGACTGTTACTATTAGCTTGGTTGTGATCTTGGTTACTGAGATGGCACTTGTTATGGTTGATGGGATGGCTAATGGGATTGTTGATGGGATTAGGGTGGTTATTATGATGGTTGCTAAGGTCTGGCTACAGGAGCAGGAGGGTATTGTTGAAGTGGCTATGCGAATTGTGGAACCATTCTTGATGCAATCAAAGGTTATTGAACATATTGGACTGGTTGTTGTTGAACATATTAAACTGGTTGTGGAACATATTGAACAGATTGTTAGACATATGGTTGTTGAACTACAGAAACAGCTTATTGCACATATTGTGTGGGTTATTAGTGAACAACTTATCTCTCCACTGGATAATACTCAACTCTTTCTTAGTATCTATCGACAGGTACATACTCTATTATATATATATTTATTAAAATTACCGGTATATTTCTCTTGGAAAACTTAGGGGATGTATTCTGTTTGATATTCAACAGCATAGTAATCAGTCACTCTGGTTTCTCTTGGAACATAGGAGACGACTTCTTATTCTTCATATTCAATGACAGCTTTTTAATAAGGCACATATTCGATTCTTGATTCCCCTTTGATTGATTGATGCTAAGAATAAATTCAAAATTTACTTAAGCAACTGGAGCCACAGGTGCAACAGCGTATTGCTAAACTGGAACAGAGGCGATGGGAGCAACAGGCACTTGAGCCACTGGTGCATATTAAACTGGAGCCACATAAGATTATCTAACTGGGGAAGCTGGATAATAAGGTTGTGGCTAGAAAGCATTTGGATATGCTTGGGGTAAGACAGCATTTGGATAGGTGGGAGCAACTGTTCTTGCTTATGGTTAAGGAGCTTGAGTTTTTGGTTATGGTTATTAGGATTAGGGATGATTAGACATAGTTAATTTCAATAAATTCAAAAATTAATATTAAAATTTGATCGTAATATTAATTTAAAAACAGAAAAATTAATATGCACCAGCAATCGTAAGGATAAGAATTATTAATCAATGATAACTAATTTTATTCCAATTCTATATCATATTGATATTTGTATTAATTTTATATATTATTAATATAAAAACAGAATTTCGTATTAAACTAGTAGTAAATTTAAAAGCAATATATAAGTATAATGATAGTCATTTAATCGTGATCACTTCATGATTTATATAACTTTTGTGAATTTTCTTGAAGTTATCAAATTAAGAAGAATTAACAGAAAGCACGAATTCTCATTTAATTGAGTGGTTGATTATTTTTTTGTTCTTATTGTCTATAACCAATTTGCCTTGTCTCATATTTAATTTAATGGAATTACAAAGTACATTAAGATCCTACTTAAGTTCGTTTGAAACATATTCTTATGTAAGAGATATAAAATTAAGAGTGTTGTATGGTGACAAGTACGAATTTAGTTTGAAAATAGAATGCATATTAAAATAGTTCAATAATGCTTGGCTGCTTTTCTTATAGATAAAGAGGAATCACCCATCTTAAGACTCTTGACACTCAAAGTAAGAATCCAACCATAATCTTATGTGTAGTTCAATAAGGAATTAGCCGAGACATTCAATGAAGATTATATACATCTGATGTAAAAAATCGTTCTCCAAAAAATGGAATAGATTGCTCTATTCCAAAAGGAGTCACAAGATAGTGACAGAGGGAAATTGTACTTTTTAGGCCAACAGAAACCTCATTAAGGTATGTAGAGTACAAAAGTAGTTAAGGCAACCAAGAATTACAGGCACTGGGAGATCAATTCTTCAGAGTGACTCTGGAATGTATTCGAATCTGGGGCAGATGGTTTCCCTTAGATAAATAACACCATAGACTCAGTTTATATCGTGTAGCTTATGAGAGATTATACAAAATCGGAGTTCACTTTCCAGAAATCCAATATTTTGATCTTCATTAAATTCATACCAATTTGCCTTCAACATTCCCTCCTCTTTCCATGATGTTGCAATTGAAACGAGTAATGAGTGTTCACCTGCACTCGACAACAAAAGAAATCTGCAGATACCTGGAGTCTCATTTGCCTGAAGAGTATCATTAAACCCAATATTCATCATTTGCTGAATTATTTTAAACCATAGTCAAAAAACATATACTTAACAAAAATAAATAGGCAAAAATTGCAAACATGTTTTTTGTAAAAGAATAAAAACTTAATGAAAGCAAATAATAAGAAAGCACTGATGAATGGACTCAACTCTCAAGATTGTAAATAGAAAATCAACAACTTTAATGTCTTAATAATATGCATCAATAAAAAATGTAAGAATTGTAATAATAAATTATTCAAACTCAAAATTAAAATTCCCTTTTGCAGCAATAACTCAAAGATAAGGAATACTTAATTCAAAAATTAGAAACCGAGTACAAGAAAATTGAAAAAAAGTTTGTATCTTTGCTTGAAGAATATAGAAAAACTCATGATTCTAAAAATCCTTATATTCTGGCTTAATTTGAAAAAAATGTATAAAATCTAAATAAATTAATTAGTCAGCAGAATTTAAAATTGAGTTTGGCCTCACTTATAGGGAAGTCGATTGTTTTAAGTTGAGAGCTGAGAATGAATACCTTATCAAACAACTAGATGAACAAGAAGATTTATATCATAAAATAAAACATGAAAAAGAAGTATTACTAACAGAAAATAAGGTATTGACTACAAAATTATCCAACTTATCCAAAAGATCAATAAATGGGAATAAAATAGAACTAGAACCTAATCAAGAAATTGAATAATTGAAATTTTACAAATAAAAATCGAATCTTGTTCAATATGAATAAACTATGATCTCCTAAAAGAGATAAATAACATAATTAAAAGATCAATTACTTCAATTGAATGATAAAAAAAATAGTGTCACAAGTTAAACATGGGGAATCAGTACAAAATCTAATTCCAGAAGAAACATTAATGAATTATAGGCTTGTAATATACAATCATTAAAATAACTTGAAATTTAGAAAACTCCTTAGAGATAATCCAAAATTATAATGCCCCCTATTTTAGATTATGATGCAACCATATTTGCTATCAATCCTATCATTTTTAATACTAGATTTAGATAAGCTTGTTTTGCATCAAAATCTATTATACATTAAGATGATAAAATATAAATTAACACAAGCACCTAATTATCAATAACAACACTATTTGTAACATTAACTATAACAAATAAGTCTTCAAATAAAATAAAAGATTTAAGTCTAAAATTACAAAGTTCAGAGAAGTTGCAAGTTTAAATTTTAAACGATTTAAATCATATCATGAATCCTGAGGAAAGCCAAGTGTTATAAATTTCTATTGAAATCAAAGACATACCATTTTCAATTTTGGAAGCATCACTTACATATATGGATAGAACTATTTCATTGGGAATCCCTTGTACAATCAATAAATTTTTGACATTCAATTCTTGTTAATAATTACCAACTTCTTATTTCTATCAAAGCAAACCTTTTCTAACCGGGTTCTAGAGTTCTATACCTAATCTTCTGTCTGAATTTGAGATAGTTAGTCAATCTGAAAATGAGGTATCAGTTTTAGGCTCTGCTGAATATTTGAATGAAGAATACGAGATTATGATATCTTGCAGAAAGTCTATGATGTAAATAAAAATGAATGGTAGATATAATGATAAACTTGCTAAGACAATCATATCTACTTACTAAGGATTATTTTTGAAAAGGTGATATAAATCTATATAAATTATTAAAAATATTAAGTTTTCCTTCATCTTCTTTATAAACTTAATATAATGAATGAATACTAAAATAACCGATCACAAAATTTCTTAAGTATATATTAACTATTTATTAATCATATAATAAAAATACTGTTTTTTTGTTAATTAGATTATTATAAAGATATTAAAATATTCAAAAACAATTCAATTAATGTGGTTAAACATACAGTTTTAAATGATTCATTTTATTTCTTATAATTATTTTTCAAATTTAAGAAATTTCAAACATAAATTCAAATGGAATGGATCCTATTCTTGAGGATATAATCTCTTAACCTCCTTAATAACCTATTCTAAGGTTGATAATTCTGATGGTAATCTTGATGCAAGTGATAACATATTCATTCCTGCACTAGAATATTCAGGATGTCCTTAAAATACCAAAATTCTTTCATCTTTAGAAATCATGATTTCATTCTATTAATATTTATTTAAGAGTTACTTTGCAAGACTGGCTGGAAGAGATTAATTATAAAATTTCTGGGTATTTTGTAATTTCATCACCATGAGCTTGATTTATGATAGTTCTTTCTTGTAATTACATTCCTTAAAACAACTTGAATTATTTCATTGCCTCAATATTATGGAATAGGGGAGTGTTCCCAAAAACAAAATCATTTTACATTGCTTCTACATTCCCTCCCAATGCTACAGTAAGTATTTAAAATCCAAAGCAAATCCCTAGAATCTTGACCTTTGGATTAGTCTCATAAGACTTTTTTAATATTGCTTTAACATCCTCTATCCACTAGTAATGCTCATACACAGATACTCTATTCCCAGGCATAATGATTGCATCAGCCCTCTAAATTACATCATCACTTGGATAATGACCTTCAGCAACGTTATATTGATTCCAATTATCATATCTTCTACGAAATATTCCATTGTAAACAGACACAGTATCCAAAGAAAAGCCTGAACCATCTTAAATTGAATATTATTTGGTTTTGAAATTAAAGTGGAGTATAACTCTACCATCTGTTCTTAAATATTCTTTATTTATCAAAGCATTTTACAAATCTATAAACTTATCTTTCTACTCTGGCAAATTCAATGATAAAATTTCTTGTAATTCCAATATATTGACTTATCTATAAACACTGTATCAAATTTAAATACTTAAAAATTAAGCCCTTTTGTTAATGAATATAATCGAGATCATTTTGCTGTAAGTTTATTATGTAATAAAAGTTTTCTTCGTTATCATCATTCCATAGAGGACAATTATTAAAATATTGTGTCCAAAGTGGAGTCTAAACATTCCTTTTGTGTCTAAGTAATTACTTTAATATTTAATTGAAAGTCTACTTTCTCCTCTTATGAACTTAGACTCCACATATACTTTTCTCTCTCATTGTATTTATGAAAATCAATCAGATCTGAGTATGCTTTCTTGAAAAAAGAGAATTTCTACAATTCTATGTTCTTCAACTAATCCAAGATTATTTTCGGTCCAGCAATTGATGCACTTAAGAAATCCTCTTTTGTAATTTCAGTTTGAGGAAGAGAGAATGGTTGTTATGGAGTATTTTGAAATAACAGTACTTGTTGTTATTCATTGGATTGAGTGAGGAATACTAAATAAAGAGATTTCATTAGTAATTCAATAAATAATACTAAAGTGTGTCAAATAAGTAATAAGAAATTAAAATGTTTGTTATTAACAGTTTATATAAAATTGGTATCGAGTATTGATAATGCTATAAATTAATTTAATTGAAATGCATAAGAAAATTGAAATAAGATTGTGCTCGATTTCATATTTCTATAATGTCCAATAATAAAATAATTATCTTTTATATGATTTTTCTCTTCCAGAAAAGTAATCGAAAATACATATTTTTAGTAACAAATAATGCAAGGCAATTAAAGTTGATTCAAATAAACTAAAAGATGCCACTAAAATAGATTAAGCTCTCGAAACTACGTATATCTCTTAATCTTATTTAAGACCAGAACAAATTAAACTATTGGAAAAGAAGAGAAGAGCCTATAATTTTATACTTCCATTTAAATAATCCAATTGCATCACATCCCATTTGTCATAATTGCTGACATAATCTGATGGTCTCTCCCTAAATTTAGACTCTGATAATTTCTTTGATATTCTACTAGAATACAAAGACTTAGAAAAGCTTATTAATAGTGATAACATTGTGGAAAATTTGAAAATATTTCATCTCCTATTATTAAAGGAATTAGTGAGAGAAATATATATTATATGTGAATCATAAGAAAATTTAGTTTCTCGTTTTCCTTTTTGTTATTAGAGCTTTGACTTCAATTTCCCAAACGAGATAATTGAAAATTAACTTTACTTAGGTAATAGCAATCATGCCAACAATCTCAAAGCTTTAAATCTATTAGGAATCACCCATATTGTTAATTGTGCCCAAGAAATACCAAATTATTTCAGTGATGTTTTGTAGGAAAATAAGAAATTCCTTGAATATTTTCAGGTTCCTGTTTTGGATTTGGAGGAAGAACCCATATCTGATCATTTTGATGAGGCTTACATTTTTATTAATGAAGCCTTGAGTCAATAACAAAATAAAGTATAAAAAGAGTTCTATATTCTTAAAGGTTCTCGTTCATTGTGCCTAAGGAAAAAGCAGGTCGGCCACAATTGTCATAATGTTCTTGATGAGAAATAAGTAATGGACTTTTGATTACTCTTATGAATATGCCAAGAAAAGAAGAGAAACTATATCCATAAACGATGGATTTCAATTCTAATTATTGCAGATTTGAATTATCTATAGGATTATCTCAATATATATTTTTAAGTCTATGAGATTATATAATAATCAACCAATTAATTTGCTAATCAAATTTTAGTACAGAAAACTGACAGCGCTAAATTTCTTAATTTCATCCATTTATTTGTTCTTTTTACTATTTTCTTGGTTTTTATGAGTTAACTAAATTATATTGAAAATATACCAAAATTTTATTCTTTTATTCCATCTTTTAATGACTACTCCCAACAAATTATTGAATCCTCTCTTGTAAGTTTAATTCAAACTTTTATTATAATCTAATTTCAATCTATTGATCCAATGGCAATTTGTATTTGCTCATATTTTCAGCTTGACTAGACTTTTTGCTTTTGATAATTCCAAGATCATCAACCACAAATGGATTAGCCTTATACTTGGCATCATGATAAATGTCCTTGGGATGAATTTTCTTATTGTTTAAATAGTCAAAACATTTACTTTCAGTCTTAACTAATATTCAATATTCTAATTTACATGAATGTTTTGGAGTATATACTTAAAAATCAAACTCTTATTACGACAATATGTCTTTAAGTAATCTCATTCCATTGATTTTGAGACAAGATAATTCACAGTTCTCACTAGAAATTGACATTTTTCTTGATTCTTCAGTACTTAAATGGACTCTAGGTGACGAAGAAAGATCATTTAGATTCATTAAGTTCTCCTAACATTATTTGATGTCAATGGGAATCTAAAAATTCATTTTACTCAGCAAGGCATTGTTGACAGTTTCTGCATAATTTCTAGAAAAGTGTTTATTCAAATATATTTTCAAGGTATCACAACTCAATTTCCTCAAAGGAGAGTCTTCTATTTCAAAATCATAGGTGATACTCCTTTCATGATAAAAGGATGCCTAAATTAATAATAATTTATGATACTTTTTCTATATTCCCCATATAAAAATAACAAATACCCATTTTTTGATAAACCAAATTCTCGATTTCCAAATTGTTATTTAGCCAAGCATATTGTATGCACTTCTTTAAGAACTTGATTGCAATTTCATAAGATTCATATGTAACAGCACAATTTGATAATCCAATAAAGGCTTTCATCTTTTAAGTGTCATATTATTATTTCGAATGATTACACAGCAATCTTGTTTAATTATACAAATGAATTGACAGTTCAACCAAACCGCAATTCTCTAAAACTTAAGAACAGAATAATAGCACTTCCACAACAACCAAACTAATTTAAGTACCAATAGCCATTTCGATGAAATCCTGCACCAAATCAATAGTCTATTAGGTTGATTTGAATTTAATCAGATCAATTAATTATTTTTCCTTACTCAATAAGAACCGAAGGAACTTTTGAAGTAAGGGATTCTTAATAGCCTTGATTTTGAGCAGAAAGACTTGTTGTCGAATAGCTGGATCATATTTCATTTTTCTCCTAACCTCCACAGTTTACATGTTATCAGAAGTCACAACCAACTTCTGGGAACTCTTAGAAATGCTATGGTTTAACAGTTTATATACATATTCATGTTGCTTTGAACCTTGATGGGCTAATTATTGTAAAAGTAATTTTGCATTTTGACATCGGTTTCACTTCTAGGATCAATTCTGATCCTGAGATTAGTTACTTTACTCAAATTGCCTTCCGAAACTTAAGTCTTCAATACTTCATCCTCTCTCGTTGAAAAGTTGGTTTTATATTATGTGTGCATAGTTGTGCCAGTTTGTACTCGATCCATAGGAGCAATCGATGTTCTGCATTGTGGAGTCTCACATTGAAACTTGAATTGCACTGCACTCTTTAATCTAGTAATCGATTGAGGTGTTTGACGAGACTTAAGAGCAGAATTGATTTACCTTTTCATTTTTATTTATAATAATCATTTCAATAAGTCAAACAAATCAATTACTTTATTGATAATCTTGGTTTTGAATCTATCTTGTTAAATCAAGGTTCTTAATGTTCTAATTTCAGTTTGGAGAGGTTTATCAATTATGATTAATTCTTTTCCTATTTTGGAAGTTAAGAACTGATCTAAAATTTTGAATTGAGTTCTAAAATACTCACCTATGACTTCCTCATTTTATTGATTAGATTCCCTTAAATTATTTTGGAGACTAATAATAATTTAGCGCATTTGCTTTTAAAAAATTGCTAATTATCTTTTTTATTGATAGTTATCATATTTAAATATCGAATTTCTATTTTCAATCATTCGAATATTATTAGGAGAATAATTATGCTATTTCAAATTCTACCTATTCCCTCTAGTTAATTTATGTTCTAATCTTGATGTATAAATTTCATCCATATTCTTTTTAGTAACCAACTTACTCCCATTATTATTGATGATATCCTTGTTATAATGAATCACAGATATCTCATCATCTGGAATGCATTCAGTTATATTAGATAAGATATCGTAAAAGGATTTCTTGAAATTTATAGTTCCACTTCTTAAACTTTGAAATTTAGGAGTCCAACTGTTCAATTACTTTAAATTCTCCGATACTTAACCAGGTGCATTATCACTAATATTACTCATTTAATCATCATCAAAAGAACCATTCTCATCACTCACATTCAATTTACCAACTGCTTCTACTTGAGGAGAAACATTTAAAATCCCATCATTATCTTCATTCAAATTGCCATCTTAATGAATGAGTGAATTTCTAATTTAAATCTATTATTATTTCTTGAGTATTTTATACAAAAAAACATTACGAATCTTTGGTAAGAAACAAAGCATCAACGTTTAGTAAGTAATTGGAACAAGTTAGAAATCAACTAAAAACTATTGAATCATCAAACTTTTGGTTATAATTGATTTATCCAATAAGGATAATTTTGTATGAGGATTTATGCTGCAAAAATTGAATAGATTTTAATCATTAAATTGTCTAATCTACGATGTATTCCATTCACTACAAAACTGCAATGTTAGAAAGTTGTTTTTTTCTATTAGAATTTCCAAACAAGTTTAACCTTTCAAATTTTAATGATTTACATCAAATGGTTGTTGCAATAGAACTTAATAAAACTATTTTACTCTTTTATGATCACCATATGAACTTATGATATGCAATGGAGTATCCTTAAAAATATCTTATTAAGCAGGGTTTGCTCCTAAATCTATTAAATCTTAGAGCAATTCCACTTGACATTGCTAGGCTACAATGTGCAAATTCGAGGATTGCAATCCACCTCCCAAATTCACATTCACATTGAATTTCAGTATCACAGAAACCAAACGGTAATATTTTTTTTCGATTGCCAGACTTAATGGTGTGTGTCCTTTGAGATCGACTTAATTAGCCAAGTCCAAATGATGATTTAATAGGAAATCTAAAATCCCAATTTCGTCATAAACCACTGCTAAATGCATGAGATTCTAAATGTATTGTCCATAAAGATACTTGTTTGTAATCATTCATGTAATTCAATTAAGTCTCAATCTCAAGTGAATGGTAATTCAGCTACTCCTTGATTTGGGTGAGGAGTTGTTCGTTTTGAGAATCTATTGAGAGGTAAGGTTTTTTGTACTTATGCTATCATTCAGGAGGTCACCCTAAGTAACAATAACTGCATTGCTGATTGATTTATAATTCATTATGTATTATTCAAATGTTAATTCATTAGACATCGCTTCCATCAAAGTGAAAAACACTTTCAACTTCTAATCCTCTAATAAAAAATCAAATTAAGATTAACAAAATATGCCCCAACCCAATCCCAGCACTTCCAAAGTAGAGCTCAAATCCACAATTTGTTTAGTAATATTAGTAAAGTAATTTTATTATATATACAGTTTCTTCAATTGCAGTTTGCATATGGAAGGATCAATTTATTTCAAGAGATTCCTTGCTATATTAAGAGTAGACAACTTAGGAGCATCGCCTTATTGAATAGGGCCAAAGGTTTGCAATTAATTATCTTCCAATGATAGATGTTATAGAAATGGAGTCTTTTTTAAAATATTTGTGTCAAATTCTTTTAGCCTGTTTTCATTTAAAATCAGATGTAAAAGACCATTCCACATCATTCCATCCTTCGATGATAAACGATAAATTACATTAAAAATGGTTAATCCTTATCTTGAATAATCCAAAACTAATCGTTACTAATCATTATCAGATTTGGTTTATTTGGTTACTTAGAAACTGCGTTAAGTAGCAAATTTCACCGAGATCGGACTTCGTTATCTCTTATTTTTGCCTGACTGCATAGATAGGCATTATTCAAAACATTCATTCATTATATATAATATTAAAAATAAATCACTCTTTCAACATGCATTTTAGTATAAATTTATTAGAACCATAAGCTAACCCCATTTTCTGGACATCCATATACATCAAATTGATTTCATCTAATTATTTTAATGGAATATAATAACTAATTTGCTTGAGTTATATTTTCAAAATTTTATTATTTTCCTTTCTAATAGATCTTGATAGATAGAAAGAGTGAAAATAAAAATATCTCACGTTTATAATTACTAATTATATAAAATTTATCATTCCTTTGCTATTTAGGAAATTGGTTGTTTATTTTAATTCTTTGTTTCGATCTCAACCATTAATATATCTCCAATTTTGAAACCATGGTCTCTTAGATCAGAACTTTCATCTTTTCCTGACTTCACAGAATGTACTGTGCCTAAATCCTTTTTCTTTTGCACTCCATGTTGATCCAAGTAGACATTGCTAACCTTAAATACAATATCTCTTCTGTAAACTCCATCCAATTGATATTTTAATTGATCCACTATGTCTCTCAATTTTGAACTCAAGCTAATATTTTATAATAGTGTTAAGTATTACAATAAATAAAGCAATATTTCCTAGGTTTAGTTTTTGTTAAAGTCATCTAATGTGATCTATCCATTTTTCCAATGTGTTCTAACTAAAAATGGCACTTGATGCTTAACTTAATACTCAATTTTACTTTGTCTTTATCATTTTGATTCCTGTTATCTCTGAATCGTCCATATCTGCCATGGATTCCATCAACTTTAATTTGGTCTTTTTTATTTGATGCCATTCGAGTTTATTATATAAAATATTATATAAATTATTATTAATTTTTTTGGATTGCTATATGTTGATATCTATATAAATATTTCATCGTTTAGACATACAATAATCTCTCTTCTTTTCTCAAATATTATTTTTGAATAAACTTTTCATATATATGTAATATTCCACATTATAAATGAGTGCTTATTAAATGATAATTTATCCATATATGATTTAAATTTGATAGTATCTCTTCAATAAATGATTGATGGTAATATGGATAGAATTAATAAGCATTAAAATTGATAAAAAACATTGAGAATTAATTAATACACAAAATTTTAATTATAATAATTTTTATGCCTCCTAAAAGTAGAAGATCAGATTTAATTTCAAATCAGCTCAAGGTAAATATTAATATCAATATGAAAAGGAAGAAGGAAATACGGAATTCCTCAATAGAGATTATAACAAAGCGATTAACCTGTATACGAAAGCTCTTTGTAAACTTATTATAAAAATGATTTTTTAGACCTTGAAGAGAACCCCATCTGTTACAATAATCGTGCTCAAGCTTATCTTTATAATAATGAACTAGAATTGGCCTTGTAGGATTGTAATAAAGCTTTGCAATTAAATCCAAATTATGTCAAAGCCACCACCAATAAAGCTCAAGTGCTCTATTAAATGGGTTATCTTTAAGTATGCCTCTGAACTTATTCTTAGTAAGCAATTGAATGCTTGTAAGGTATAAATAATCACAGTCCAGAAAGTCAAATATTACTCAACTAATATTAATCACAATCTCTAAAAGTAAAACTGATATCACATCAAGACTTTATTAGATTAAGGAGAATTAGAACGTTAGAAGACATTATTAGAATGGTTAAAACATGGAAAAGCCCAATTTCCAAAAATAAAAATTGAATGCTATTCAGAGTCTTATCGCGGGGTTAATGCTAAACAAAAAATAAATGCGAAAGAGCTGATCCTCTTCATTCCCAAATCTCACATGATAACATTGGAAATGGCTAAGGAAACCCCTGTGGCTAAAAAAATGATATAATTCAGACTAGATTTACTTTCACCAAAACATTCATTTCTCTCCACCTTTTTACTGCAAGAGAAATCCAGACCCAATTCTTTCTGGAAACCTTATCTAGATATCTTACCATAATCCTACCCGTCATTTCCCATTTTCTTTAACAATTATGACTTAGAGTGGCTTCAAGGCTCACCCTTTTTAAGTACTTGTTAATTCCATATAAATTAGAGTAAATCAACGACAAGCTCTCTGATCTTAAGAAGGATTATAATGACATCTGTAATGTTGCTCCAGAATTCTCACAATATTCATTTTATGAATTTTGTTGGGCAAGAATGACAGCTAGTAGCAGAATATTTGGTATAAACATTAAGGGTGTTAAAACAGATGCATTTGTACCATTAGCAGATATGCTTAATCATAAAAGACCTAAATTAACTTCTTGGTGTTACTCAGAGGAAAAACAAGGATTTATTATAGAAACGGATGAAAAAATTGATAGAGGTCAAATGATATTCGATAGTTATGGGAGGAAATGCAACTCAAGATTTCTATTAAATTATGGCTTTGTAGTTGATGACAATGATGCAAATGAAGTTAATGTTACTGTCGCAGCTGAATTTAATGATCCTCTCATATAATTAAAAGAAGATGCTACTGAGGAATAATTGAAATAGCCTAAAACATTTCGGTTGATAATGGACACAGATGGTATTAATGAAATTACACATTTTCTAGAAGCAACAGTTATGGAATTCATGAGTTATATCAGATTTTTAGTGATTCGAGATCAAACTCAACTTTAATTTCTATTAAATGAAAGAGAGTCCAAATATATTAAGCCTACTAAAATATAGCCTTTGGGAATACATAATGAATTAGATATGTGGGATTTGATAAGGCGAATCTGTTATGTGTCTCTATCACGTTATCCAACTACATTAGAAGTGAGTCTTTTTATAAATTACTTAGCAAGACAAAGAAATACTGTAGATTTGTGATTTGACTACAAATTAAAGAAATTGTTTGATTCTCAGGATGGGAGAAAAAGAAATACTCAAATTCTACTACCAGTTCAGTGAAAAAATGAAATAGCTTTTAAGTAATTTTAATTAATTAGTATTTTATTAATCAAAATAAATTAGGAAACTAATATATTCTGCTCGAAAGAAGAAAACTGCAAATACTTAAACTATATAAATAAAGTTATTATGTTTCAAAATTAAAATGATCAATGAAATTATTAATGTTAAATAAATTATTGTAAAACTTAAATATTAAATCAAAAGTTAATTTTTGTTTCTAAAATAGTTTCTAATCTACTCTTTTGTTAAGATATATACAGAGTGATATTTTTTATAGTTTCCTCATCTTTTATTTTTTAGACATCTTAATTCAACGAAGTCAACTATTTAACCAAAGTTTGACAAATTTACCTAAAATAGAATATATATATTACATATCTCTTTCCCAATTCAGAATTTAAAGCATCTAGCAGCTTTTCAATCTGTACTAAACAATATCATTATGATAAGGCAGCAAGTCTAGAATTTGTTTGTTTTCTAATTCTGCCATTCTTTGATCGTAAATTATAAGCAACTCTGTGTACCTTGCTAGACCTTCCCAAATATAGTATTTTTATCCGATTTCTTTAGCCAAATGTTCATACAATTTCAATATTCTTTTTTTGTTAATATTTGATTAAGCGATGTTCTCCGAATTCAACTAATCAGTTTAATAAGCGAATGTTTATGTGATTTTTGATATTATTTATTCATCAATTAATTCTCGATGATCTAATTAGACAAGTTTTTCAATGCAGGAATAAAATCTAACAAATTTTTTATTTCTTAAAGAAATAGCCATCAAATTACTCCAGAGTCTCCAATCAGTACTAGCATATTTCACTCCTTATTCTAAAGCAGATTGTGCTTCACTAAACTTTTTCAAGGCAACCAAGCATGATGAAATGTTTCCCCAAATTTCCCCATCATTTTCATTAATTCTGACTGCTTCGCCTAATGACTTTATTGCCTCTTCCAATTTATTCAATCTCATATAAGCACATCCCATTATATACCATGATTTTTAGTGATATGAATTTATCTTAACAGCTTTTCTATAAGATTTAATAGATTTTTCATAATTCTTTTCTTTAAAAAAGTAATATTCCCCTAAGGATCTTTAAGCCCTAGCAAATCGCTTTTTGGAATCCTTCCAGGCTTCTTTTAAAATCTTAGGATCCTATTTAATTTCTCCTGTGATGCATTTCATTTTCACTGTCCCAAATCCTTTTGCAGTTATTTACTCTATTTCTTTGAGTGCTCTCTATGTATCACCAGTGCCTACAATACATTCAATACATTCCTCCCACATTTCTAATCTAGCAAATATCTCATAACCACTTGACATCATTCCAACCTTCATCCATTATTCAGCTAAAATTCCGCTTAGGTTATAGTAATCAGGATAGTTTGAGTAAAATAAATTCAATGCTCTTAAATCAGAATCTGGTTAAATTTCATTAAATTAATCGACGAGTGTCTACATTTAAATCAAGGCTCTTTCCATTCTCTTTAGGTGATGAAACTCATTTAAAGATCGTAACAACAAACCCTATGAATAAACAATCCAACTATTAGATTTATCAAGCATCAAATTTAAGTAGGCTTAAACTTATTGTTAAAGTATCTCATCATTTGGCAAAGTCTTTTTATAATGATGAATCAATCCCAACAAAACTATTTGTTCTTCCAATGACAATGAATCCTATTTGATTTCTCCATCAACAACAGGCTTATCAAATAAAATGGATTCCTCCTCTAAATTTACTTCTTATGGAGCATATTATTACAAAACCTCTTGTACTTTTGGCAATTCCCGAACTAAATTAAATTAGAGATTTATATTTACTTTCTTTTTCTACACTTTCCTAATCGATTATTTAAGCAACTAATTAAGGCAGTTTATCCTCTTGAAATTTAGTTTTTTTTCCTAATATCCCTGTTAATTCAAATCTAACCTTTAGCAATTACTATAATCTTATTATGCTATTACTTATGCTTTTAACAAACAAAGTTCTGCTTCTTGATATTTGTAATAATAATTGTAAATATAAGACAGCTCTGTATATAATTTAGCTTGCTCTTTGCAATCGACAGGATAATTATCAAGGAACTCTTAAAACGAAGTCAAAATTTAATCCTTTAATTCTTAAACAGGATTATCTAGAAATTAATTATGTATGAAATTTAGTCTAGCCCACCATAATTGATAAATTGGGTTAGTATTATGCAACAAATCAAGAATTTGTTTACAAACTAAAAAGAGATGTTTAAGCTAAATCACTCTCTTAAAAGGTTCACCACAACATTGCAATTTATTTAGAATAACTATTTTATAGGCCTATATTTTTTACATTCTTAATTTGCTTAGGAGTGATAGATTTCATATTCTGAAACTCTGCTAATCTAATTAATAAGGGGCAATAGTTCGATTAAACCAATTTCTTCTAATTATTCTTTACTAATTTGATTTGTTTAACATTTTGGAATGACTTATTTAGTTAATAAATTTTCAATAAATAGCTTTTTATCTGCATTTTCATAGTGATAAGAGGGCCCTAAAAAGTTCTCCTTTATAAACAGACCATAAAGGATGTAGAATATGTCAAAAACAAGTTGTTTATGTTATGTTTGTAGCATCTTATTGCAACACTATTTTATGATATCTATAGCCTGATCGTTTATATTGTCTGCAAAAAATAGTATTACTTTGAGTCCTGTGCTTACATTTTCTTTGTTGAACAATTACTATAAATTATATTCACACTTAATTTCCATTATAAAATTAATTAATGTCTAATTTTACAAATGCCAAACCGCAAAGGAAATACAGAGAAAGAGCATAACCTGTAATTGAAAATCTTATGAATTTATTAGACATCTAGAGAATTCCTTGGTATTTTAGAAAAGCATGGTGACTATAAAAAGAGAGCTATCAATTATTAGAGAAAGAAGGAACAATTACAAAAATTGCAATTGAAGGCTGCTTTAAGAAATAAAGATGAATTTAATTTTAGAATGCTCAAGAGCAAAGTTAAGGATGGTGTGGTATATGAAGATTAGAATGAAAGCAGCGGAGATGAATAAGAAATCCTTAAATAAATTAAAACTCAAAATTAAAATTTACTTAAAGCATCTATTTAACAAAAAGAAAAAGTAAAAACTTTTTATAAATAAACACTAGTTAACTGAGAAACTCAAAGAAGACTTGGCTATGGTATAATTTGAGTAACCTACTCACAAATTCTTTTTGAAGGAAGCAAGGAAAAAGAGTTTCGATTAAGTTGAAGATAAACTGCAAGGGGAAGCATAATAATCTGCTCCCAACTCTTAATTAGCTCAAAAGATTAATAAGCTAACTGAGGCTTTATATGAGAAAGAGAGAATGAAACGCTTTTACGTGGCAATAACAAAATCAAAAACTAAAGTAAATTTCTATCATACATTTTCATTAGGATAACGTAACAGCCAAGCCTCATTAGAGAAAAAGAATCAAGAAAGGAAAAGGAAAAGGATTATTTGAGAGAAGTAGATGATATATTATATAATAATCTTGGTTGTAAACTAATCAATTTCTTCTAATAAAAATTACTTAATAGATGAAGTTTTTAACCTTAAAAACTTCATCCATATTGTCCTCAAACTTTCATAATTAAGGGACATAATTTTTAATCTATTCCTTATATTGTTATGTTTCGATTTAATTTTTATTTCAAAATTAATATTTTGATATTATTGATTGCTAATATTTAGCACTTCAATTAATTAAGTTTTTGAATAGTCTTAAACTATAACTATTAGTTGGTTGATATACATATAATTTTATAAAATATTTTCATATGAACTAGTCTATTCTTAGCATTTAACTGATTAAATATAATAATGAATATAAATATATATTATATTTTTGAGAAAACCATAAGTTTCTAATTAATTATGTATACTATTTAAATGCAACAACTCCCTCACACCATCTTTAATTTTACCAATGTCTTTAAAGTTTTTTTTCAGCAAATCATTTTTTTCGAAATATTCACTTAAATAAGTTTCATCATCCACCTCAAAATACATCAAAAAAAATCTTTATAAATTTTCAATTTATAAGTTCGAAGGGTTTCTCTAATCTCATTTTCATTCAGAATTTATTAAAATAGAATTGAATTCTTTCATATTATAATTTTAAAATTAAGATTCTCCAAATCTTTTATTGAACTAATATCCATTAACCTTATTTGAAAATTCAAGTTTGCTTCCATTAGTAATACGATAAAGGATAAGCCAATTAAATATTATGATATCATCTACTAAATTGGCTTATGAGAAAATCAATTTTCAAGTTTTCGAATTTATTGATCCTACAATTTATCATCATATAAGCTGCCGATTTATCTTTCTCTCTTGTAAACATAAAATTTTAAAATGACTTATACTCCTAATAATTTTCTCAAATAAATATTATTTCAATTCAGTAGCTCCAACAATATGACTTAAAATTTCTTACAACATTCAAATGTTTATATATATAGCTAAGACTATTATATACAGACTTTTTATATCAGTAACAGTTTGGCCAAATTTTTTTCAAATCATTTTTATTCTTTTTGGCTTGGGTTTTGGATTTCTTTTAAGTAATTCTCTCTTATTTGGATAAATTCTCACTCTTGAGTTACTAAAGACTTCTGATTTTAAATTTATTTTGAAATTGGGAATTGTCTCGATTATTTTTTTGTAATATCATTGTCATGCCATATATTAAATGTCCAACCATAGTCCTAAATCAGCTATTTCAATTGAAAAAAAGAATGAAATCTATCATTAATAAGTATTATCTCCTATAACTTATTCCAAATCCCTTGATATTATATTTACTTTTATTCATTTGAATTTAAAAATTTGTATCTCAATATTCAACTACTTAGTTATTTTATCTTTTATATGTTTTAATCTTATAAAAATAAAATTCATTATTTACTTTTTCATATTCCCAAGTATTTTTGTGATCACTGACACATAGCATGTATTTAAGGCATAATTATAGGATTTGCCTTCCACTAATAATTCGTTTATTTGCTTAATTATCTTAAACACTAAGAATGTTGACTCTTAAAAATTCCTAAAAAAGACTAATATTAATCAAATCTGAATCATATTGTTACTGTAACGTTAAGCCAATTTCGTAGACACTGGTGTGTTAATTTTGTTAATCTCTTTCAAGGTTATTGTTTAATATTTTTTCATAAAATCAATTAAAAATTTATATTTCGACTTTGATATTGAATTGAGTTTGCCTTAGTGAAACTAATGAAAATTTAATTGTCTTTTGTTTTCATTCATCTTTCTATGAGATATTATACAATTCAAAATCAATAATTAAATACAAATGGATATTACATTAAATTTTCTGGATCCCCAAGAGGAGAAAAATTATGGTCTATATAGTCATTAGATCGAACTAAATTTATTTAAAAGGCTACTCTATAGTATGATGATAGGATCATTTTCTGGGTCTATATACTTTCTTATAACATAGAACTATCTCTATATAGTTCTGGGGACCTATATGTTTGTTCAAACGATGTTAGCAATTTTCCTCTCACAAAAATCAATCTAATTTCTAAATATCGTAGCTTTTGCTTATCAAATGGAGATCTAAACCTTACTTGCTGTGTTAATTACATAATTAGATGAAACTTTATAAAGAAGCACAGTTATGATAATCACGTCAGCAGCTTTTTAATTATCCATTTGGTATATCTTGCATTTTAATCGTTTAGCCTCTCCATAGGTACTAAATTTTATTTGAAGCTGTTCGTAAGTCTTTACGCTGTCTCAATTCAAATATTACTAAGTTCTATGATTGAATCTTTGAGTTTAGTTTGGATAGGTTTTGCTCTTTTTTCCCTTATTTTCGCATTCTAGTTCATTTATTATTAAGAATATGAGAAGAGGTAAAAATATACTTTGCATTAAAATGCCCAAAGGATAAAGGAAAACTTAATAAATTTAATTGAGATACCAATACTAACATGTTATAATAATGAAAGTGATTTAAAATTGGTCTTCACTGAAGCTAACAAATGTGCTTAAAGTCTTTTGAAAGTGAAAGACTAAAATAGCTTTCTAAAATTTGCAAGAGAAGTTAGCATATTACAAACAAAAACCATTTCCTCATTTACGAAATAATAAACTGTAAATAATGTCATTACGACACAATCATTAGAAGGCTTGGTTCGAAAATTCTTCCGAAAATAAATTGACTAAGATAACGACCTGAAAAGGACTTTTTCCGCATATAGATGCAGAGTTAAGCACAATTCTTAAGAGTACTTATGTTAATTAATTTTATTAAATGAAAAATACCCCTAATGTTTTATATACCTTTAGAAAAGCTTTGATGATTATATAGAGAAAACAAATTAAAAATTAAATATATTAAATTTACTTCTTAAGCGAAGTGCTAGGGAGATATTCACTAAAATTGGGAATAAGTAAAAGTGCTTTAAATCTTTGTACTCGAACTAAAAAACTTGCAAACCTTTTAAATCAGTTGAAAGATTAGACCAAGAAATATTTTAAGTCAACATTTACTTTGCTAATTCTAAAATACTATTTAATTCTCATAATACTAATTTTTCAACTAAGAAATCTTCAAACTTAATTCATTTAATCGATTCCATTTTATTTCATTTCAATCACACATTGACCTAAAAATCCATTTCAGTCTCTTTTAACAAGAATGAATAAGATCCAACAATTTATTGTAATGATATGTTGCTTAAACAATTATTTTATAATTCTATTGAAAATGCCATTGTATTTGCAAAGGATAAAGTTATCATAGAAATAAATACTCATTATGATTATGATATTAACAAATAAATAATTACAATCATAATCATAAATACAATTGATCCTACAATTTTAGAACAAAATAACAAAGAAAAATAGATAAAATTAGGACATTTAGTTTGCAACAAAATATTAAGATGGATTGGTCCATACAAAACCTTAAGCATAAATTAAGAAACTTGTTCTTATTCAGTGAAATTCTGCTTATTTGATAAATTATGATTGTTTAATAATTTTAGTATTTATTTTTAATTCCTAATTTACAAAATTCAAACATTCATAATATTAATTAATTATACAAATTTATTCACTAACATAGGTATTAAATAATCCAAAAAAAAAGATTAAAAATGTGTTTTTGGTTCAACATAATTCAACATCCTCCTCCGAGCAGCTGGGCTCGACCGGGTTTGGGGGGGCACCATCATCTTTAAACCTCACTCTCTTTCCCCTGGTTCTATCGTTCACTCTTTCGATGTCATCATGATCTCTCTAGCTCTTCCGTTGTCCCTCAGGTCCCAGGGAAGGGTTAGGGGAAAATTCCCGAAACATGCCAATTATGACATCACGATAAAAAAATAAAAAAAATTTTTATTTTTGATTTATTATGATGGATAAAAAATTAGGATATTTATTAAAATTGCTTTCATTCTTTCATCCATTTATTTTTTAGCATTATTGTTCTTCATCTGTTCTTAATTAATAGCATAACACATATGCTGATTCCGATACAACAAATGATTCCATTATTTGATTTACCATTGAATCATTAAAATTGTACCAGTTATTAGTAAACTTATTTTAGTTATATTATTACTTTATTTTTTGCATAGGTTGTGTAATGTCCTTCTCCTTATCCACCAAAATGATTAGATATGGCATATAAATCATAGATAACTTTTTTTTTATTTATTTCTCCATTATTACTTTCATTTTCTTTCAAAAATTCATTAGGAGTATTAGAATTAATTACATAATCTGTCATATCAAGATTATTTATTGGAAAATTTACAAGGTCCTCAATTTTTTATTTAAAAATTTTATTATTAGCCTTAAACCTGTTTAATTTGAAGATTAATAATTAAGGAGCCTATATATATCAAAAATTAAACCTTATAAATTTAAACGCTTTAAAATGCTTTGACATGTTATTTACATATTTTACAATACCAAGTGTTTTCTTTGTTAAGTTATTAGGGCATCTATGAATATTGCAAGCAATCATAGAGAGTAACATTTCTTTAAGAGGATTTTTAGTTAATTAAACTATTGCCTATATTCTAAACTTAAACTTTAAATAAGAATTTTACCTTCAAGTTTGTATAATTTGTTATAATATTCAAACATATCTGATAATCCAACTTATTCTAATGGACATTATTTCCAAAGAATTATTATCTTAAAAGATACTTATTGATCTATTTTAAAGGCTCTATTCATCACCTATTCAATGGTTTCATCATCGAATTTGACTTCACAATTATCACAATTTTAAGCATAGCAAAATCTACATGGATTCTAGGGATTTTAATTTGTTCTATAAATTAAAGTGTAATACTAAATGATAAGATTTTCGAAATACTTAATTTAAAACGTATACTCCATAACCAAGTATATTATGATGAGAAAAAAACTAATTAAAATGATTAAATATTAATAAGTGAACTTATTTTAACTTCATTTACCTATCACAAATGAGTACACCATTTTAATCAAAAGATTTTCTTATTGAATTTTAAAAATATTAATTCTCAAATTATATAGGGATTTGGTTTTTCATTTTAATCTCATGTTCAGTTAATTTTCGAAAGCAAAGTTATGACTTTTTTGATCTCTTTCTTATATCAACAATAGATTAATTTTAATCCAAAAATTGATAAGATTTGTCTGTATTAATAATATATCCAAATAACTACGAATCTACTTTTAATATGCTACCAACATATTTCAAATATTCTTTTAAAGGAATATTTATATTTTTATCAAAAGGAATTGTCATTTATGTACTTTTAAACAGATCTTCATAAAATTTGAATGAAATCGTTGTCTTTTTTTAAGTTGGAATGTCTAATTCTACTATTAAATAAGGTTAAAAGGTAATTGAAACTTGTTGGCAAGTTGGACACTTTAACGTAAATTTTTATAGTCCATTAATGAGATCTACAATAATCGATTAGTTTCTAGCCAGATGATTCAACCAACTTTCCTTAGCAATAACAAAATCAGGTCGACCATCATAATCCTTATTTTGAATTTATAGTTTCTTTTTCACTCTGTTTAAATCTTCATGAATTCCATCTAAAATAGCGGTTATTAATTCAGCTGAATCATGCATATGATAACCTGAAAACACTGGATAAAATTATTCAACAGCCTTTTTATAGTCTGTAGGGACTATCATCTTACTATCTCCACACCACATTCTTTTAATGAGGGATCCTAACTTTTTTACTAATTACCCACGTGTACCTATAGGATTCTCCAAATTTATCTCATCAAAATATAAATTCTTCAAGAAATATTCAACCAAAGGAAATGAGTTGGAAATGCATTAGGTTCCACTATTCAAAAAACTTGTATTTCCTAAATTTTATAAACCCACAATCCCCTTAATTGATGATTATGCAAGAGTAAGGTATTTAACTGATTCATCGTCTGAGCCAAGCTTTTCACAATTAGATAAATGAGATTTGTAATCTTTTTATTTGCATTCTTCTTGACAGTAAGCTACTTTCTAGCAAAGACATGGAAACTATAGAACTTTGTAAGCATGACAATACTGACATTCTCCTTCTCTCTACACTGCTTAATTTCTAATACACCATGGTTGGTCTTCAGTTTTAAACTAAATTTGCAAATCACATAATTACTTCAAATACAATGAGGTGAGTTTCAGTAATACCGATATCTTTTATGGAGTCATACTATTGATGTGTAAGTAGCTCTCCATTAAAATAAAAGCTCATTTCATCTTGACTTTCTAAATAGCATACTTATTTGTTAATTTCATCATATAATGCTTGATATTGATCTTTCTAGTCTGTGATATATCTCCAAATTCTAACACTGCTATCTTTGGCAAAATTCCCTACAAAAGTATACACTGTTTTTTATATCAAAGATTAATAATCTTTGAATTTCATGTTTCTATCTACTTACATCACCTCATTGTCGAATGTTGGACTCTGCATTCTGCCTAAACATATTTATTTGATTATTGCTGGATAAAGCAAGATGCTTTTAAACTATAGATTAATGTATATTATAAATACTCTTAACAAATTTACATCCGCCAATTTACTATTTATTGGAATTCCATTATAGGAGTCTGTAAAAAATTTCCAAATTTTCTTATCGATGACTACATAATCAAAAATTTCCTATAAGCCTTATTTTATAAATTTGTTCCAAGGATGATTCGATAAAGGATAATACTTGAAGTTTATTAGTACATTGTCTTGTAGATCATTATTAATTATGTCAGGTGTAATCCTTCCAAAATACTCGCTTGGTGGCTTGTCAGCCACAATCTCATCATAGGAAACATAGTTCTTCCATTAATTAAGCCATCTCAAATTTACTATTTAGATTACTTTGTGCTTAAAAGATAAAACTCATCATTAGCATCAGATTGGAAACTCTAAGAGAGGGCTACTTAAAGAATTTGGTATTCCAAAGCCTGATTCTTTAATTTTGCGGCTTCGATATCAGTGACCTGAATGATATTCTATTTTTCTGATTGCATAATTCTTTATTAAATTTAATTATAAATTCAAATGAAAACTATTCACAATCCAATAGGTTTATATCCTTAATGAATATTTTACTTATTAATATAATTTTAATGGAATATCTATACTATTTTGAGACTATTCAGAATCATTTTCTTTTTTTTAAAAAGTTTGTAGTATTTCCAGATAAAGAAATAAGGGAAAAGTGATCAGTAAATCAACAATAACTTAAAGAGAATTAAATAATTGCTTTAACCTTCAATAAATATTAATAGAATAATTTACAAAAACTATTATTAAAAATTATGATCAAATTAATTTGGAATTTTTAAAGAAAAACAAATAGAGGTAAAAAAAGAGATTAATTTCTCATCTTAGATTAATAAGGAATTGATTGTTAATTATATTCCTTTAATTAAAATGCTCATCTCTTAAGCAAAACAATCTCTTAATTTAGATTATAAAAAATCAATCTTTTTTTTCATTATCCATAAATAGGTCTCAATTAGATTTAAAAATATTTTCATGCTATAATATTTATGCGTATATCCTGAATAAAAATGAGATCTTTATATTTTTTTTATTGATCGTAATTTATTTCATCAAATGGTATTTATTGCTAATAGAAATAATGATATCTCATTTCTATTTTGCAAATATATAACTAGCTCCCCAAAACAACTACTTCAATCCATTTTAATATTTAATAGATAAAAAAATTTTCATAAATTTTCTTCCCCATCAAATAATATAATTGATAGTAGTGATGATGTTAAATTCAAGATCCTCTATAAAACCATAGCTTCCATATTTTGATCAATCACGGGTTTTTAATAATTTTGTTATTGAGTTTTTTTTAATATAATATATTTTTTATTCATAAACTTAGCAATACTATCCCATAAATTAAATATTAATGTATGATTAAATCACTTTTTGATTTGTTTTACTATTTTCACTTCCTCTACTAAGAATGCTCTGATGATGCGATTTTTTAGGGCTCCAGCACTCAATACTCCTCCATATGGTCTTGATACTGTTCTTTGTCTTCTTGAAAGTTACTTAAGTTTTGTAGGTCTAATGCGTTTAAGTCCATTTAAGACAACATTCAAATTAGAATCAGCACATGTTGAAGCACTTGTCTTTTTGTTTGGATATTAAACAACAACTCTACCACCTAATTTAAATTGATTTTAATACCTGGTGTCTTGACCTTTCTAATCTTATTAGATCTTGTGTTATAGCTGGTTCTTCTACGATAAGTAACTCTCACACCCATTTGTTAAAATCTTAATTAAAAATTTTTTTAATATTTTATCAAAACAAAAAAAAGATGATCATGAGGTGATTATAAAGAGAAACAATGTAAAACTAATGAGAACAATGGGCTTATATATTTTCATATGTTCTTGAAAAATAAATTCCCTTTGAAATAAAATACATGAAATATTTGCAAATGAATCAATATATAGATTAAATTCAAATGAAATAAGAATGAATGCAAACTATAAGCAGTTACAGCAGAACATTTAGAAACGATTCATATAATTTTAAATGGTTCCATTAAGAATTTGATTATATGATTAAATTATTTCAATAAGCATTTTATCTGAAATTGTTTTCAAAATAAGGACACTTCTCTGTTTACATTTCATCTCGATATGTATCTGATTTCTAATACAAACTAGTCCTCGAGGAACTATTAGTTTATTTCTACAAGCCAAGAGGCAATTAAAAGAATGATGACTTTTCTTTAGTAATTAAATTAGGAACGTTGGCATTTTATAATTCTTACACAGATTTTGTAAGATGAGTACCTAAATTTTTACCTTTAATATTTTGTTTTATTTAAAAGTTGTCGCTATTACCTCTGACCATTTTTAATTCTTTATTATCTAAACTTAAATTTAATTGGCTCTTGTCCTTTATTTTATTGATGTCAATTTTTTACAAAGTCTCATGTAATCCTTCTCCAAAATAAGTTAACTAGGGCGAAATTTCAATCTCAAGATCAAAATGATATCCCAATTATGTTATCCATTTTTAATCCCTTTTCAAATAAGCTATCCTTGCTGTCTAAGCTGTGTCTTTATTGTCATTTGAATTGTTTATAATGGCTGCATATTCATCTTCTCTTTTTACTCTAAATAAGCCAAATTTCTAACTAGAACAATAGGGCAAAGCATCATAGTATGTAATTTCGAATTTTAGAGCATTTGAGGTTGCTAATTAAGGTTATATGAGTTAATTTAATTTGTAATCGAAGTATGTGCATTTTTTTAAGCGAATCGGAAAGCTTTTTATAATAATATGATACTTTGTTTGTAATTAAAATCTATAATTTTGACTTAAGTTCAAAGCGTAATCAAGTGAACATAGTGCTTATCCTATTACTCCATCTAATTTATCAACTTATCTAATTTATATATCATTATTTTCTAAATCAATAGAATTATTATTACCAACCAAATGAAGGAGAGATTAATCATTTTTTACAATTGTAGGTAATTTTTCATCTGTATTTCTTTTCTAAGTGCATTTGAAACTTAAATCTAGTTTAAATCTTGTAAATGCCCCAAGCCAATAGGGATCTCCAAATTTACATAACACGTTTTCTATTGAGCACAATTATATTATAGTTATGCCAAGTAATTTCATTGTTTCCAATATATGTTTGCTTAAATAAATTTACCCATTTCCGATATGTTCTTCATAAATTTAGTGTTCATTTCTAAAAAGAATTTATCCATCCATACTTAGTAAGGGTAAGCAATCTTATTAAAAGAAAAAAATCTAATGTTCTTTTAATCCATAAAAATTTGAATTTTACAAGTTTGACGCAATGATTTCATGATTAAAACTGGTTGTCATAATGAAAATTAGAATTGGCTAGCATTCCCCATGGATTTATTTAGTTAGATTTTATAGGCTTTGAATTCTTTCAAAATACAATTGAAATAAACATTTTTTTGATGGTAACTAAATATCTAAAAACCCAGTATTTTGTTGAGAACTAATCACGATTGCCACTAAATAGTGAGTATTATCCTAATACGTTTGCCCTCTGCAATAATTTGATATCCAATACAATCATCTTCTAATTCGAAATCTAAGCAGTTTACTATTTGGAATGGAGTTGGTTTCCTTGTATTAGACTTAAACCTTTGAAATGCCTAAAAATGGTGTAAATAATACTTAATTCAACACTTTATTATCATAACTGAGTAGCTTATCCAAAATTTATTGTTTTTGATTTTCTTTCAGCTTATTTATATACTTCAATATTGAAGCTTACTCGTTGACTTCGAAATCAATACCATCATTCGATAGCTTTTTCATTTATTAATTTAAATATAATAGCAAATTATAATTATCAGCCAACATTATCTAAATATTTTTATTAACTTAAATATAAAACTGCTTTCAATAATTCCTCAATAATTTAATATCGCTTTTTGTAAAATTGAACCCTGTCCCAAAATATTGATATGCTATGCACTACTAACTACCCATAATAAGAGTTTCATTTGGTATTATATGTATGTATACTTTTTAAATGACCAATATTTATTTCTTTAATTTAAATATGGGATTAGATTTCGACAATCAATTAATCTTACTTCTTTATTTTCATATGGTGAAAAGATACACGGAATCAAATTAAACTTATCCAAAATAGTTGATAAATCGATAAAAAAAGAATAAAATTAATATTAAATGTTTTCGTTTGTTTAAATCTTAATAAATAAGTAGCAAAGGGAAATAGAGTAATTATTTTTGGTATTTTAAATGTTGTATAAGGGCTATTATAATTATTTAATAGTTGAAATAATAATTAAATATTTATTGATCATTTTTTGTAAATTATCATTTACATTTTTTCTTTACAATTTTAACTTTCTTGTATTTCACTATATCTTTTCAATAAAGGATATATATAATTTTGATAGTTAACTTGTCTGTAAGGATCTTAATTGCTAAAGTAATAATAAAGTTTTAGTTTTTGGTGGTTGAATAATTGTATATAATTTTTTATTAAATACTATTTTTAATCAAAATGATAAGGTTGAAGAATGTTATAGGGTCAGCTATTCATATTTAAACTTCCTTTTTTTAGATTTTCTATTCAAACTCCTCAACCACCTTCTGATTCATCATTTAAAAAGATGTTATTCTAAGGAAAGAGTGCAGATAAATCAAGGAAATAAAATTAAAAATAAGAATAAAAGCAGCAAAAAAATTAACAAAGAAAAGAACCAAATGAAAATTAATAGAGTGAATAAAGTGCACCATAAAAGAAATAAGAGAGGCATTTTGATAGATAATAATTCCATAAATAAAAATTTGATGATCCTAGACCTAATAGGAATGAAAAAGATCGAGATCACCTGACTAATAATAGTAATAGCAATCGTAATAAGAGAATCCAAAGAAAACAGGAATTGAACAAGATTCAAATTAAAATCCATTATGAAGACATATTAAAGAAAAATCAAATGAGTTAATGATTTTGTAAAAAGTCTATCCGATAAATAACTGCTTGACTTTTATAAAGAAGAGAGGTTGGATAATTTCTTATTAGAGTCATTGATTAATTAAGAGGATATTTTCGAATTTAATTAGTAGATTGCCTATAGAGAAACCTTTAATCAAATCAAGAATGAAGTAGCACATGGTAAGTTTGACTATTAAAAATTGTAATAACTATTTGTAATTTAACAAGATTGCAATCATTCACAGAGAGTGAATAAATTTTGAGAGAGGTGTTTGATAATTATGAATACTATGTGAAACTTGAGAAGAAGTTGTTGTATGACGAGAGAAAGTAAAAGAGGGTTTACAAAATAATTGATTAACTTCGACACGACCAGGTTAGAGAAGATCATATGAATAAAAACTCTCTGAAATTGAGGTTTTATTTAAGAAAAGTACTATTGACTATGGTTTAATGAGAATGATTTGATTGAATTTCCAGAGGTTGAGCAGATTTAGTAAATGTAAATAAGTATGAATTTCATTCAATAATTAAATAGATATGAAGAAATAATTTACAAAATTAGGCTTGCCAGTTGAGAAGTACAAGGCAAACATCGTAACATTCTAGCCATTGAAAATAAATTCTTAAAAGAATAAGAAGAAATTGAATGAATTCCCAATGAAGTTCTGAAAAAGGATGGTGAAACTACAAATAAGAAAGGAAGATCTTAAAAATCTGCTACATTCAAAAATGTTGATACATTAATTTATGATAATTTGACCAAAGCCAGAAAAGATTTAAAGAGTTTAAGACATATTGAAAAATGGAGACAATATCTCAAAATTATGTGTATAATTTAAACATAAAAATGTAAACTGACAAGAATTTCTTCAAAAAAATGATTCTTTAAAAGTATTAACATGGTATATCAGATGAGGGTATGAGAGAGTTGGTTAATCTCAAATAAAAATTAAAGAATATTAAGCGTAGAAAAAGATGGTTTATAAGAAATTGATTAAAAGAAAAACCATAAAAAATATCTGTATTTATAAATGGAAGTGTTTCATTAAGTGACTTCTAATTTATGAAATACATTTATTACAATCCTTACACTTAGTATGATGAATGTATAAATGTACATCATGGCAATTACTAAAGTGAAATTTGGGATTTAATAGTTTGGGGTGTATAAAATTAAGAACCTATGGGTATTTAATAGAGTTTTAAATTTAGATGTGAAATTGGCAGAATTATATAGCAATACTTGTGGTTCAAAATGCCTGAATATTTGGCTAAATTAGTCGCGGACTTTTATAAATTTGAAGTTGGAGACACAAGTAACTGTTGTGGTTATTTTGGTAGATTCTTAAGTTAGAAAAAGATGGATAGAAATCAATGGAAATTGTCATGATATTAGTACTAACAAAGTATATTCCCACATAAATGATGAAGCATTTGTTCTTAATAGGATATTGAGCTCTCACATGCAATCGAATGTAAGCAAGAATCCAAAGGAATAAGTAGAGCATTATTGAATACAATTCATTCTTATCGTAAATTTGTTAGATATGGTGTACCATCAAAAGAAATGTTAGTACGATTTATTTAGAGATATATTTAAAGCAACAAAATTTGATAGTAAAACAAAATATTTATCTCATTATTAATTTATTAATTGTTCTCATTATTTTTATGAAATCTTCTTACTTATCTTATTATGGAAATCTTATTAATTTATTCTTAAATTATAATGATTTTCAATTTTTGTTTAAAAAATGAGGATTATTTTAATAATTGAATAAATCAAAAGAAATAGACAGAATCTGAGATTAATTGATAAATTACTACAACTCCACAAATAGTTTAGTAAAGTTATTAGTAAAATTAGTTATATATTATTTAATTAATTTATAATGAACTATGAATGGTTTTAGGATGATAATCAAATAAAATTACGCTTTGAAATCAAAAATACTAGAAGCGATAATCTTGACATCTAAGTAGCTGATGTAGTTGTGAAAGTAAATGTGCTGGACAAGAAATTTGCTAAAACAATTGACTTGTTGGCTCCTGTTCTTGAAGGCAATATTAAATATGGAGCAGATGTACTCGAGGTCACATTAATCAAAGTGCAACCTGGCAAATGGCCACAATTGAGTCCATCACTTAGTAAAGAGGAATTGATTCAAAGAAGAAAGGATGTAACTTATACAGATTATTTAAGGCATTTTTGAGAAAAGATTAAGAAATCCAAGCTTAAAAGAAATTAAAAGAAGACCTTAAATAACAATTTGACTAACATGCCACTAAGGAATAGATCAAGGTAGATGATCGTGAAAGAAACTTAATTAAATAAAAGCAAGAACAATAAAAAAGTGATGCAGTCTCTGATCTGTATGATTAAATTGGCTAAGATTCAAAATTTAAGTAGAATTAAGTAGTCTAATAAGAAGCAAATGAAGACTAAATAGAGGAAAAATTAAAAAAATATGAAGAATTTGAAAAATAATAGGATCAGAATTAAAAGTAAAAACCAAAACAATCACAACCTATATCTGAAAACAATGACATCTTCACTAATGAAGATGTAAAAAAATAAGAAAAACAAGCTAAAGGTCCAATTCCAGAACCTAGAAAAGCAGCAGCAGTTTAAATGACCTTTACAGAAAAAATATACCCTCATTTGGCAGCACGTGAACAACATTTCAAAGATGCCCCTGTTCCTAGATAAAAGAATCTTCCAATTACTGAACAAAGAGAAAATCCTCTCTTCCTAAAAGATAAAGCAGATGAATTTTTCAGAAATAAAGATTACTATTCTGCCATCAATGCCTATTCAGCTGCATTCAAGTATGATAATTAAATGTTTGCTTGTATTGCTAATAGAGCTGCTTGTTATTTAGCTTTGTTTAATTTTTAAGAATGCATTGATGATTGTTAAATCATAATTAAACTGGAGAAAAAAGATTCCTTATATGATAAATGTTTAAAAAGGCTGAAAGTATGTCAAGCATGGAAAGGAGATTTGGATGATGCTTTGAGTGGAGATCTTCCAGAAGAAGCCAAATAAATTATTTAAAACAGAATTGAATCAAATAAATATAAAAATCAAGGTGATGCATACATGACAACATCTCAATATTAAAAGGCTATTGAAATGTATCTAAGATCTTTGTAGAATGATGCAGACAATGAATTAAGTCTTAGTAATATAGGATTGGCATATATGAAAGTAAATTAGATTGATAAAGCTCTGGAAAATATTGAGAAGGCTATTTAAAAAGTTAAACCATTTTTATAGTATGTCAATTTGAATCCCAATATTGGAAGGTAGAGTTCATTTGCTGGCAATGAGTTCCTATTAAAAAATCTAATGAAGAAATCTAATTGCTTATTCGAGTTAAACTAAGAGTAGGATGCTTTAAATACTGTTAAATAAGCATTGATTATAGATGAGACCAATGCTGAAGCCAGAAGTATCATGAATAAGATCTAGGACAAATTAGTTAAATAAGAGGTACTTAAATTAAAAGAGACTGCAACTGAGAGATTAAAATAACAGAAGTATGCTGATTCATTGGAATTATATAATTAATGTCTAAAGAAATTAAGTCCTTAAGAGGATTTGATGGATTTCTTAGCAGTGCTATTGAATAGATGCATTTGTTGTTTCTTTTTAAATTAATTTGATGAGATTGTAGGTTCTTGCACCAGAGGAATTAAAATAATATAGATTCAACAAAATAAGTATGATTATATTACGATAGCATTTTAGAATTCTATCGTTTGAGAAGATTACAAAGGAACAGAAGGACAAGTTGCAGGACTTTTTAGTGAGGTTTTATGTTCGTAGATCGAATGCTTATGTAAAATAAAACCAAATCTATCATGCCAAATGTGATCTGCAAGAGGCTTTGAAATTAGATCCTCAGAATGAATAAATAAAAAAGGATTTAGAAAAATTGAAGTGAATGTTGTATTTTAAATGTCAATATATATTTCATAAGAAATATGGTAAAACATTTTTGGGTGGTTGACTGTTAGCAGATTCTGGGACTTCTTTGAACATTACAAAGTCTCTTTTCAAATTTTCATCAAGAGAAAGCATAGATGCTGCATTACCACATCTGTAGCAATAATTTGGGGCTGACCACACTGTTACGAGTTATTCCTACGATAAATTATGATCTTACTTCAAACCAGTATTAGTAACCATCTTAAACTAATTGATGTGCACGAGCAATTAATTCTAAGCCATTGATATGATTAAAATCATGTGTCACCTTTTTACCAAATATCCAACCTGCTCCTCTTGTATTTAATGCCCAAGTATCTACTTCTTCTGGATCTGACCACATCAAATCACAAAATGGACCTTCATGAGGAATTTCAGTTTTACGATCTAATTACAGTATTTCCATCTTCCTTACCTATTGTTCTTATTTAATCGATTGTTCTTAACTCTGGAGAAAGTCCTCCATGAACACATAAGACCTTTCCATCTACCAGAGCTCCCAAAGGAAGATAGTCGAAAACATCTGTAAAATATCGCCAAGGATTTGCATTGCCATACTTTCTCACAATTTCATCATAGAAACCATAAACTTAAGTAATTTGTCTCGATTCGTGATTTCCTCTCAATAATGTAATGTTGTCAGGGTATTTAAGTTTCAAACAAAGCAAATACTCGAATGTCTCGACTGAATTGTATCTACAATCAAAAACCTACAATACCCACGATCAACAAAATCCCCAATAAATATATAGTTGGCATTTGGTATCTATCCTCCCTTATTGAATAGCTCTAACAAATCAAAGAACTGTCCATGAATGTCTCCACAAATTATTACTGGAGCCTTCACTTAATGTACATTTGATTCTTCTATAAAAATCTCCTTTGCATGCTCACAAACCAATCGCACATCTCTCTCAGTCAAACACCTGCCATTTTTTAGGGTTTCGAGGTATTTATCGATATCCATTTAAATTTTAAAATTATTTCTCTCGTATATTAAATCATCTATAATACAATATTCAAAATTTATATTATCTCATCATTCTATTAATGGTTTTATTCTAGATATTTTATATTTCAAAATCTTGTCTCATAGAAGTAGAACATAAGCCATAACTATAATTGCATTAATAAAAATTTAGAAATTCATTTCAAAGATATATTCCTTTCATCTGATAGATGTTCTATTAAAGTTTATTTGTTTTATCAATCTAATTTTTGTTTAAAATTGCATATCATAAATCTAATGAACACTTTCATTATATTGATTCAAATAATAGAAGAATAAAACATCATTTACTTCATAAAAATAATATTTATCTAAGAAAGTCCATTATTTTTGGTTAAAATCAATTAATATTTCAAAAGATCCGATTATATTAACTACAAACTTATAGGTAGGATTTCATACTATCCTATCTTACTATTAATAAATAATAAAAGATTACTTACATAGGGATAAAGACTCATTCAAACTTATGAATTAATTAAATTATAAAATATCCTTGATGCTAAGCCTACCTATTATTTAACAGCTATATAGTTATAAGAAATTCCTTCAAAAATTAAAAAAAGTCATTATATCTCTCTCAAAATCAGCTAGTATTTTTATTGTCATAAAAAAGATACTAATAAATTATAAAATTGTGTTCTGAATACTGCTATTTAATATCTCTTCACTTTTAGTACTCAACTTCAGAGCTAAATTTGATAAAATAATTAAATAAACAAAAATGAAACTATTTCATATGATTCAAAAGTTTTAAATTATTAAAGAATCATCTTGACTCAAAATTTAGGAAATATTTACAAATATTCTTGCAATTAATTACTAAAATTAAGTAACTTAATATATTGACATCTATGGATTTAAGGTAGACTTATAAGACATCTAGTTTAAGTTAGAACCCAATAATTCAAACTAATTTATTTAATAAAGTACATAATTATATAATTTAAATTTAAAATGGAAGTTGAATTGCATTAATAAATCCCTCCATAACTCAATGTTTAAGTTGCAATTAGAGTTCGTCCTTTCAATGAAAAGGAATTGAAGTAAAAAGAAGGTGTATGTTTGGAGACATCCGAAAAATAAGTAACCCTTTTGCAAAGTGCTCGTTTGTTCACATTTGATTATGTTTTCGACTAAAATGCTTCTCAAGATCAAGTCTACAAAAAGTAAATTTCATAATTAATATCGTAACAGGTGTGTGAGTAATTTAGTTTAGAGGTGCTTTGAAGGTTATAATAGTACGATTCTAGCATATGGCTAAACAGGATCAGGGAAAACTCATACTATGGGTACCACTGGAGTAGATTAGCTAGCAAGTATTGCAAATTCTCTATGAAGATAAAAATAACATGGGAATGATTCCAAGAGTAATAACTCAAATTTTCGAAGAAATTGAAAAAATAGACTAAGAAATCCTTATTTCTTGTTCCTATTTAGAATTATACAATGAATAAATCATAGATCTCTTGTAGGAGACTTCAATATCAAGTCAACCCACCATAAGGGAAGAGAAAGATCGCACAATAACGATATTAAATTTAACTACAATATTAGTAAATAATCCAAATGAAATGCTTTAAGTATTAAATAGAGGAGCTGTCCATAGGACAACGGCAGCTACATAAATGAATATGACAAGCAGTAGATCACATGCAATTTTTACAATCTACTTTAAAATAAATCCCAAGGATGATTCTGAAGATGGCACTTTGAATGCAAAATTTCACTTTGTTGATCTAGCAGGAAGTGAAAGATTGAAGAAGACTTTGGCCCAAGGGAAGACAATGGAGGAAGGAATCAATATAAATCAGAGCCTTTTGGTTTTGGGCAATGTGATAAAAACTTTGAGTGATTAAAAAAAGAAAAGTCAAACTCATATTCCCTACAGAGAGAGTAAATTAACTAGGTATTGAATATTTAATAACAACAGAATATTGTAAGATTCTTTGGGGGGTAATTCCAATACTTGTATGATAGCTTGTGTGTCTCCTGCTGAAAGCAATTACGAGGAGACTCTAAACACTTTGAAATATGCATCTAGGGCTAGGGAAATTTAAAACAAGCCCACTTAGAATAGAGTATATCAATATAATTAGTATATCAGGACCCTCATGCAATATAAATATTGGGTTTGCGATAAGAGATAGCAGTCTTAGTAGAGTAGAATAAGTAGTTTTAAGAATTGCTTTAAGTGAATGGAGTTAAATTTGATTCAATAAAAAAGGTTTCGATAAATCAATATTCTTCAAATATCCCCCATACATGTGAGGAGCATTTAGAAATGATTCAGAAGTAGAAATAAGCCTTGCTTGTATGGGAACGTCTTGGATCTCAGCATAAATTGGAGGTGCAAAAATTATAATCTTAATTAAATGATTAAGAGATTGAATTACACAATTTGAAAAAGAAAAAAGATATTATTTTTAAGCAATTCTAAGAAGCAAAGAAGTAAAATTTAATTATAATATAGAATATTGCAAAAGTTTAATATACCATTTACTAATTATGATGAAGATGATGAAATCGAGGATTTATATGATGAAGTTGATAAGCTAAAATAAGAATCAAAAGAAAAAGATTATAAAATTCTAACTATGCAGAAGGAAATAGATGAGCTATTACAGGTAGTTTATATTGTTTAAATACTAGGATAGGATGCACACAGAGATCAATACATCTTGTGTAAAAAATAGAAGGAGTTGATGGTTCTTTAGAGGAAACTTGAGAAATTGGAACCTAAAGATAACTTTGAATCACCAGCCCAAGATTCAGAGTGCGATGAAGAAGTCGTTTGCAATGATTCCATGATCAAAGAGACAAATTTATAGATTGAAGAATTTGAAAGCAATTTATAGGTGATGACTATTAAAAATTTCGAACTCAAACGCTAATTGGCTGAAGATATGAAGAAGGAATTTCAACAGTAGATTTCTATTCTAGAAGCATAAAAGTCCTCACTTATGAAGCAAGTTAATTAAAAATAGGATGCTACCTAATTAAATGCTTTGAAAGTTAAATTGTAAGAATATGAATCTAAGATCACTGAAATGAGGTTGAAAGAATCAAAATATGAGATAAATGTAGAAGAAATTGGAAGAATAGGAAAATTAGGTTAAGGATTTAAAGATCAATATAGAAAAAATGAAAAAATAGAAAGTAGAGTTGGTTAAGAAAATGAAGTAAGATAACGAAAAGTACATTAAGGATAAGGAGGAGAAATAAAAAGAATTGATTTTAATTAAAAAACTTAAAATTTAATAAGATGCTGCTTTAAGTAAGTTAAAAAATGAAAATTGTAAGAAGGAAGTACTTCTTAGAAGAAAGGAAGATGAAATATTAAAATAAAGGAATGAGAAGGTTATTGATAAGGGGTCAAGTCTTTCATTTAAGAAATCTTAAAAAGCGTAAACTTATGATTCAATGGAGAAACAAATAGAGTCATTGTTCTCGCAATTGATTTCTGGAGGATAGGCAGAAGACTAAATCAAAAGAGAAATAACAAAGTTAGAACAATTGTAGGAGGAAGTGAATTAAATAGAACAGAAAATCTGTTAGTTATAAATAAAAAGAGAATAAACATCATTTGATCAGAATAATAAGAATAGCCTAAACTAGATTGAATTAGAATTGAGTGATATCATAATCATAAGAGAGAATATAAATGAGACGATTGATTATTAATTGCATAAGATAGAATAATTAAGAAAGAGTTGCAATAATTGCACGGAAGTTTATACAAATTTTTTAACGAATTCTGAATTGAGAGATCTTCCAAATTGGTGTATTAAAATATTTAAATATGTAATTGATAATTGGATTAAAGATCATTTGCAAATGTAGAACTTTAGTCAATAGAATGATGAATTTTAATAAATAATTTAAGAATTACAACAATAGTTATAAAAACCACTTTAAGAGATTAATTGCAATTCTCCTACTTTTAAAAAGAAGATAATCAAATCACAAGTTTCCTCTTAACCAAGTGATGCATTGGAACTCAGAAAGTAGCTTAATGATCAAAAAAGAAAGTATTAGTTCTTATAGAATGAAAATAAAAATATGATATCTGATTTAGAGTATTATAAGAAGTTCTATACAGAGCACATCAACAAAGTATAGAAAGATAAATGTATTGGGTTAAGTGATTCATTTTAACTTCCATAAAGTTAAAGTTATCAATAGATAAGAGATGCTTATAAATTAGAAAGGACAAAGCAGAAGGAACTGTCATTAAATTTAAGTTTTTAAAAGCCTTACCTCTAAAATTCAGCTCTTAAGATGGCTAAAGTATGTAAATCAGATAGAGAGGGATATACTGATCAATTCAGCTAGGCACAAGAAGAGCAGGAATTAAGATATGAGTATTAATTGTTTATTTATTATTTAATAGCCTAATCAAATCAATACCAGGTCACGAGAATCCAATATTGTGTGTGTATACAATGTAGAACTTGTTGTGTTCAAGTGCATTTAGATCTGTCAAGATATGGGATATGGATGCATAATCTCATCTTATATCTTTGGATGCAAATACACATGTTAAATCGATATGCCATTGGCCTGAGAGGAATGCTATTGCAGTATCTCATGGATCCCTAATTTCATTGTATGACATGACATCTTTTCAACTACAAAGTGTTTTAAAATCCTCAATAGAAGAAATTAGAGTGATGACCAGACATAATGGTTTACTTGTGGCTGGAGGAAAAGGCATTAATTATGCTATGAACGTGTGGGATGCAAGATCGAATAAGTATTGAAATGTAGTTATATATTTTAGTTAAATTCATGAATTCGAAAAGTAAAGTGACGTTATGTGTTTACAATAATCAGATTAGACTCAAGAATTGATTTGGGGAACTTTTAATCACAATGTGAGGAAAATGATGATGAATAGTAATAAATGTGGCTAGATTGCATAAATGACACCTCCACATTATGATAAGGTTACTGGAGTTGGTTTGCTTGATAATTGGATTGTGAGTTGCTCATTTGGCAAAGGAATGAGGATGTGGAATTAAGTGAATGGCTAATAAGGATAAGCAAACTCTGATATCCACAAAGATTCGATCTTAACTATGGCCAGTATAATTATTGATTTATTATTCTTAGTTGATAAAAACCTTAAAGTCATGTACACTGGATGCAAGGATGGATAAATCAAGGCTACTAGAATTAGTGAGAATAAATTCTAACTTGTTAGTGACATTAGTGCTTCTGTTTAATAAATTAACTCTCTCAACATTATAAACGATAGTTCACTCATAGTAAGTGGTGGTCAAGATAGGATGATCAAAATATGGAAACCGTCCAAATTTACTTTTGATTACTTAAAGTAGTTTACTCCGAACATTGGGGATTTCATAATTGAAGAAGAACAATACATGTTTAGTTGATTCTTATTTTTCTATCAAATTAATTCAAACCTTAATCTTTATGATAAATATGTTCCAGTTATTGCATATTAATTTATCGTCAGAGTGGAGTATTATATATGTATGAATAATTATATTTTAAACGAATGTTATTGATATTAGAATTAGATAATTCAGTTTTACAGTAAATTACGAAAATCTTCATATTTCAACTCATTTTGGTTTGGAGACAGTTCTTTTATCAATCTCTAATATAATATTAGTATTACTTACATTTAAATCTATTGACAGATTAAACTCATTTTATATAACATTGATCAGTTTTTATCTATCTACAGATCCAGTCTTGTCTTCATTACCTCCAAGAGCTATAAATGCAAGTTCTAATAAGGTTTAACTTAAAGATTACTTATATCCTCCTCATCACTTGTCTATAATATCATTTTATGATAAGCTATAATTTTTAAGAAATCCTCTTTGCTTATGGCTCCTCTCCCTGATAAATCTACTTCATTAATCATCTTAATTAATTCTTCTTCTGAGGGCTTCTATCCCATTTCTAAGCTGTTAGGTATGTTTACCTTCTAAAACCGCTCTCAACTCATCTTTTTCAATATATCCTGATACATTTTTATCAAATGCAACAAAAGCCTCATAACATTTCTATTTTTCCTTAGCTGTAAGTGTATCCACATTGACTTTCTTTAGATCTTCCATATTAATAGACATTTGTAAAGTAAAAAATTATAAATAAAAATATAAATAAAATGATTGAATAATAAGTTAATCTAAATTCAGATTTTTTAATGAATCCATTAAGAATTTTTTAATAATGCATTTAAATGAAGGATAATGATTCAAATCAATTTTGGAAGTTATCTGGGATTGATTGTTTTTATAAATTGGAATTAAATTCTAAAATTTTCTTAAAGAAAAAAACCTATATTATAAATAAATATATGAGAATTTAAATAAATTTAGTGATAACTTATTATATATTTGTAATAATTCAGATCTAAATCACATTAACAATTTCACATACAGAATGTTAGATGTGTTGTTTCTAATGATATAATTAATAGTTTATTATATTTGAATTAGTTATCATTTCTAATATTATTATATCATTAATATATTTTATACAATAACTCTATAATATGTGCTTGTTTTAAGAGCTATTGTTCCAGGATTGTCTTAATGAAATCCAAAAAAAATAACTATAAATAAGATTTTTATAAATAATTACAATAAATATGAGGTATTTGTTATTACAAAATAATAGAAGTAGATTAGTTTACAAATATAATATTTCTTATAATAATAACAATGATCTATATTTAATCTTGATAATAATGATTTTCAAATGATGGTGGATGCACTTGATATGATGCCACAATTGTCTCCATAAGCTATGTGAACATAGCCATCTTAACCCCAAGTCTTTCCGAATGAGCCTTAAATAATCCAATACTCTGATGTTTTGCCAACAAGCAAACCACAATAGTTGTTTGTATTACCTCCACAATCTTATGCTGTGATTACGCCTTTAGTGTAACTCTACAATTTGGAAGCATTAAAGCATACAACGGCTGGTCTTTACTTTAAAGCTTGAGAGAGTGCACTATAATATAGATTTTAAACTTTACTCAACGGAATTAAGTTTATAATAATTTGTTGGTCTGAGTTGGTCTCCTTTAACTTGAGCACATGCTTAAGCCTTTCCGGTGTATGGATACTTGCTTTCCCAATGTAGACCATTACTCTTTATATATTTGAGTGCGTCTGTTGGAATTCCATTCTAGCATCCTTTCAAAGGGTCCAATGAATCTGAGCAATCAATAACTTATTGCAAAGATAACTTGACATTCTTGGATGTCTATTATCTGAAATAGGATTCTAAACAATTTTTGGATGAAATAGCCCATGAAGATATACAATCCCCTTAATCAAACACCTCCGATACTATGTTATTATTAACTCTCCAATCAATGTCTTCATCAGCTGTTAGGTTGGCATCAGAAATGAAGGTCTTTTCCAATTAAAGAGTGAAATCTGTTATGAGATATTTTTGTTTGAATTCAGCTTCAGTCAAATCAGTATATTGAGTACTACCAAAATAATGAAGACCTGAATTGTCCATTTATGCATAAGCCCAAATTTAAAATCTTTTATCCTCCTCTTCTTGTGTTCCATATACCTTAGAAAATTGTTGTTTGTATTCCTAAAAGTCATCTTTGAGTGATTAAATATCTTCATTTGTTTTCATGGGGAAGGCTACATATTTTTAAACTCCACAATGTGCAACATCGGCGTGAAATCTGACTAATCCTTCGACTCCCCAATATGTGTATTTTTTCATATCCTTCACGATTTAACCCAATGTTGTTTAGATAATCCATTCATCGTTTTCGTATCCCAACAACAATCCACAATAATTGACTGTTCCATCGATGCAATCTTAATTAATGACTCCATTGGTGTATTATTAGAATTTCGTCAAATCAAAGCAAACAGTCACAGGTGTGAATTGCAAAGCTGCCTTCAATTGTCTATTGATAAATGATAATGTATTACTCTTTGTCTGCCTTTACTAATCTGATATCTTCGATCTTATATTATTGTGTGCTTGGTACACAATTTTTAACAGTATAAGTAGATCTCAAATCAATACCATTAGTTTTAATCCATTATAATGCATCCAAGGGACTTTTACCATCAGTGACACAATCAATGATTTGTTGTGTTGCCAATCGAATATAATTAGCTGGATTTGGTATGTTCCTATTGAAATATGCCTCAACTGAAGCAACTGCTGAAAATGCCCAAGAGTGAGCACCGGCATCAGGAGCATTTTTCTCCATCAAGGTTTCCCATGTTTTTTCAGGAGGGATTTCCAAAGTGCTCAAACCTCTTGCTACTCCATAGGCAGGAATTGTATCCTTTAGTAAGTATTTAGTTTTAAAATCGGCAGCACTTATATCTGAATACAATGTTTAGCCCAAATCATATTCAGCTACTTTTGGATCTTAATTAATAAAGGTCTATTTTATAGATTCTATATACATCCAATAATTTAAAGTTTTCGGTGTATGCAAGTTCTGTGCTGTTTGTGTCTGGGTCAAGAAAAGGCCAAACTTTTCCCTTTACTTCTATTTCATAGTGAACCCAACTTTCATGTATAACTGCAGGGCTAGGTTCTGCACTTAGAGTCAAGCAGAGAATTGCCAACAAAATCAATCTCATTTATAATTTAATTAAATTCTGATGTCACGTGAATTTATTTTATATATTGCAGAAAACTTGAACAAAATGCAAGATTGGTATCACACACTCTACATTCTTTAATAATGGATATTATATATTATTAAATTATAAAATCAATACATATGCAATCAATGTAGAATTCACAATACACACAAATACGGAATTTAGAATTGAGTTAATATATATATATTATTATTTTATTATCTAAACATCATGTGTACTGATTTCCATTTCATGCATAACAATGATGCCTTATACTTTATAATAAACAATATCAATTTATGTATTATATTTAATTCAATGAAAATATTCATCGTATAAGTAAGCAAACATTTTTACTAAGATTAAATTATCGATAAATTCAATATGAGCTGCTCTCCCTATAAACTTATCCAATTTTCTAACATAATAATGATGAATACTTTTTGGTTATCAAAAAATTAATGTCAAATCGGTCTATTTTACCACACTTTGATAAAATATTTGAAACTATCTCATTATAAGCCTAAACTCTCTGATCGTTGGCATTCTCGATTTTTTAGATCAGAGCAGAATGGAAGGGCACATAATGATCTTGAAACGAGGACATTACAACTACATTATCGAACCAATTCAATCCCTCCGCCTTACTCAAAGTATAGATGTAAGTATTCTTAATATCTTTGTGATCTCTTTAACTTAACTCCTCAAGAGTCTTGCATTTATTCCACTTTTAGATCATCATCAACCCAGTATCTACTAAGACACTTTCAGATGAAGCATATCCACAATGAGGAGATCCAAGACTCACATAAGTGTGCATAAATTGTTTATATTCACTCAATTGAGGCAGAGCAGCTCTTATAATTACTCCTCCAAGAGAATGACCAATAAATGACAGTCTATATTAGGTTACATTTTCATCACTTAAATAGTTTATGACTTCATTAGCAAGTAATCTGGCTTATTCTGAAATAGGTTTATTTGAAGTGCCATCATTACACGTTGGACATATCAATCTAATCTTTTCCTTGAATCTGATTGTCAATATGGATTTCCAATATCTCATGTCGTATGAAGTTCCTTGATATCCATGAACCAGGACGACATAATGAACAAGAGAATTTTACGGTTTCTACAAAAATCCATTTTATACGCAGGTCTGTTTGAATATGAATGGATTTGTATTTAAAGGCTGAAGTAATTCAACATACTTAATAGCATCTGTTTCTTAAGAACTAATTTGATTTCTCTTATGCTTAGCTATTTCATGATTGCTTCTTCCATTTTAATAAACCTAATCCAATTGTTTAACTTCAGATTTATTTAGGAGTACACAATTTTGCCACCTCTCAATCATTTGACATAAATATTCCTATTCCAATTAGTCCTATATCTTTTGATGTGTCTCCTTGATCGCATTCACAAGTTCACACCATAATATATACATATCACTATGGAGATCGTGTAGACTCTATTGATGGATAAGAATATACTTGTATAATTTTATTTTCTTTATCTTCATCCTCAAACTGCAGTTACTTCTCCTAATACTATAACTGTATTAGTTTCTTATTATTCTGCAAATTACCAAGTTATTTAATTAACTATTTCCTATTATTCAACAATAAATTAATGGAATTATTTATTACTTCATCAAATTTATCATGCGTTTGAAGTTCCGCCGTTAATTACTCCTTAGTAAATGAAAACTGAATTGGAACTGTATGTATCTAAGTTTCCAATAGACAGAAGTGGGCCGAATCAAACTCCACAGGATAATATGCTTAATTATAGATCAGCGGATTTGACACTGTTAATGTGGCTTTCGATATTACTTGCATTTATTATCTGAGTGACAAGGCAATTGTCTCTATGTCATCCACATAAATTTCTCCTAAAAGCTTTTTATCTACAAATAGTAATTCAATAACGATTTCTATATTTTAATTCTCTTAGTATCGAAATATGCATCCTATGTTAGTTGAGATTTATTCATCTTCATATCTAATCAAGAATCCTTGTGAATAGAAATATTTGTCCTCTATATTCTCTTTATAGAATACGAAATTTTAATCAACCTCATTTGATGTAAATGGATCTTGTCTGATTGAACGAAAGATCAAGTAAGGCTAGGCTTCAGGCTAATTATGATGATGATATTTGTTACTATGTGGACTCTTATCTGATAGATGCCTTAAGTGAAGAGATCGATGTTGGTGAATTTCTTAAAATGAATTAAAACTTCAATCTATGATTTCATGTTAATAATATTTATTATTTAATATTCATTTGTCTTAGACTGTCTTAATAAGCCATTCCATTCCTTCTTGTAAGCCTTCCTGGGTTTTAGCTGAACATGCGACAATCGACCATTATCTGTCTGTAATTTTATTTAATTTCAAACTATCGGAGATCTGAATTAAGTAAGCATACTAACCTCATCTGCAGGAAGAGCTTGCACCAAATCTTATTTATTTGCAAATACCAAAAGGGGCACTTTCTTTAATTCAGCCTCTCCCAATAGTTTGTCCAACTCCTTGCCTCCCTCTTCCAAACGCATTTAGTCTGATGAATCGATAACAAATACTAAAGCATCTGTATTTTCATAGAAATTGCTCCAATATTCCCTTAATTTCTATGATGCATTAAAACAGTTATACCTCTTGACCTCCGACATCCCAAACATTCAGCTTGAATCCTTCGTGTTACAAATTCTTGATATTAAAACCATGAGTGGGAGCAATTTGATTGATATCCTCATTGGACAAAGCCTTTAGAATAGTAGTTTTGCCTGCATTATCCAATCCCAAGACAAGAATTCTCAATTCCTTCTCTGATTTTTTGATCTTTCGAATGATATTCAACAATCCCTAATTTACCATGAATACATACCATTCTTTAAGATTTGTTTTAATATTTTTATTTATTATTTATTAATAAATCATGGATATAGAGGTTTGTCTTCTCTGAAATGAGAACTCGACATATCTGGGTGATGCACTTGGTACACCTACTCCTTGACTCTAAATTAGCATAACATAGCATTTCTACCTTCCACTGGCAGCATCTCTAGCAGCCACTCTCTTCTTGGCCTCGTTGATTTCACTCTAAGTGATGTTTGTATATCTCTCATCAGCCCACATAGTGTCTGGTCTCAAATTGTCTCTGTGTCCGTCAACCCAGGTCTTATCTGAAACATCCTTCACTGTTCTGCCCTACGAAGAATATTAACATCTCAATCATACCTTATTGTAGGGAGAAACCTCCAACACTGTACGATATTGGAGTGTTTGGATGGCTTCAATTTTATCTAGTTGCTTCTTCTTCTCCTTTAATGCTTCCAAAGCCCATTTGGGACAAATAGAAATGATGTTATCGGCCTCTTCTTGGCATTTTGTTACTCCGTTTACACTTTAACATCTTTTGAAGGCTTCAATTTATCTAACGCATCCTCTTGGGAAGTGCTTAAGCTCTAATTGCTAGTGCTGTAAACATTGGTGCATCTCTATTGCATTTAGGATTTGTTATTATTACTTTCTGGTTTACCATCCATGATTTCCAAAGTGTTATTCACTCAAAGGATCATAATGAGTTGGGAAAAACACACTCCAATTAACTCTGTTAGGATATGGATCGGGGAAGTAAAATCCATTACCATTTCTAATACCCATACCCATTCTCTTTTGATTGGGGATTTATTGCATGGCAAATGGGTTATAAGGAGCTATGGCCCTTCTCCATTTTGACAAAGTGTTGTTCAGAAGATTCTTCTTAACATTCAAATATGGATAATTGGTTTCATAATATTCGATATCCAAGGGTTGACCGTCTGGGTTGTCACTTGACATGTATAAAGATTTAATTATTAATACAATTTAAAATTTAAAATAAAAAATGTGCAAACATATTCTCAATGCCTAAGTTGCCATCAGAGCCCAATGTTGCAAAAAGTATGATATTAATTATACATCTATAAGATGGTTTGATTGTGCTGATTGTCATTAAGAACTGGAAGATCATCCATTATTGAAAAACATTGAGATGGTTTTCGCTTGTAAGAAATGCAAGAAAGTTTTCCGTAAAGACATCACTGATTATGATGAATCAGATGAATATTGCCCACAGTACAAATATTTCAATACTTTTATAGTTGTGATAATCACTATGTCATCAAAGCAGTTACACAAGAATCAAAGGAGATTCAGAAATTTGAGAATTTAGTTAAAGAAGTCAAATAGTGATTTAAATATATGGTCATCTATTTATCTTAAATATTCAATTATAAAATATTGTCAATTTAAACATCTCCAAAATATAGACTAAAGCTGCATGAATGTCTAATACCCTTTAAAGGTTATATTATATCCTTAATGATTGTAACTAATGACAATTATCAAGAATTAAGGATAGCATAATATTTAATTATAAAACTCCTGAAAGTTTTAGATTTCAATCAATACTATTAAAATACTAAATTAAAGATTGATTATTTAGAACAACATATTGTTGATTTTAAGAAATTATTGTATTTTAAACTATTAGTACATTATAATGAATATCAAATGCTTATATAGACTAAAAGTAAGAAATAATTCAAAAGTTCAATAGATTAAATAATCATATTATTATATACAATTTTAATAAGACATGTATGTTCACAAAACAATGTTTGAGTGTTCATCCAATATTCTCAATACAGACTTGACTTAATATTTGAGAAAATATTGCTCATAAAAAGAAATCGAATAGAAATTCTTAGTTATTTGCTCTAATGTAAAAATAAAAACGAATGAATTTATTGATATTAATTAAATTATGCTCCACTTGTTGTTGATTCTAGCTGTTGTTTAAGCAAGAAACAAATCTCAGAATGATACGATCAGAATTCAAACTCCAGGTTGATATTGCTCTCTATTGCCTTAGAATATGAAAAAAATGTGAACCATACAAAAAATATTTTTTATTCTTGTGTTATCACCTCATCATCCTATTTGACATATAATGATGAAGTTGTTATGAACCAATTAAATTCAATCATTGAGGCATATTAAACAATTGAATCCCCAGAAGTTAGATATGAAACATAAAGAAAAGCTAGTAAGAGAATCTAAATCGATGCCACTTAATATTGCATCCTTCGACAAACAGGTGTGACAGCTTAATAAGTAATTAGATTATTGATTACAATTTTAGATGTATGATGAAATCTAAGTAGGACAATTCAATGTTACTTAGTATTATTATTTGATGAATGACTTCGATTTGTCAAAATATTAAAATCAATCTGCTAAAATTACCTTTGATTAGGATGAGGAATCAGTTTGGAGGATCATGGAAGTATTTGATCAATTCATTCTAGGACTTTTAAGCAAAATCAAGGGAAATGATGGGAGATGATGAATTTGATGGATTAAACTATTCTGAATTCCCTGAGTATATGGAGAATCCATACGAACCTAAACTATTTGGTTAATCTATTGACAAACAATCAAATACTTCTATTTTGATTTTCGCATCAGTGTTTATAGCATTTTTTGTTGTCATGATTTTAGGTATTATAATTGTATTGATAATGATTAGCTTACAAAGCTTTGAAGGATAGCCATAAGAAAGTTGAATAAAAGAAGGTAAAGAAATCTAAAAAGTAGAAATGAAATAAATTATTTTTATATAAATTATCAAATGCCTAATTGTGAAATCTGTTTTATTGATGATAAGCTAATAATTTGGTATGCATTTTCAATTCAAAATTTAGTCCCAAATGCTCTCGAAATGTTTGTTCATTGTGTAGTAAATTGTCCGATTGCGATATATGCATTCTAATAGAAATGAAATATGCATTTGTAAATATTGACAATACATTTTAGCTACACTAACAACACAAATCGTAGACCGAAGAATAAGAATATCAATTAAAATAAATTAATGACAAGATTAATACAGTTAATCAAGAAATTTCCTTAATCCAAAAGGCTAGTTCACTTGTGAAAAAAAATGAAAATAAGAAAAGTGAATCACTTGAGTTCTAAATGAGTGAGACAATCATAGATAAACAACATGAGCTTGAGGATATCGAAAGTGAAATCGAAAATTAAAAAGTAAAGTAGATTGATTTTTGTTGATTTTAGTTGATAATTCGAATGAAGAATTAAATGCCTTAAAAAGTCAGCAATTAAAATTGTCCACACAAAATAAAGAGTTGGACTTAAAAATCAATGAAGCAGAAAAAGAATATGAAGTGCTGCAAGAAACTCTGAATTTAAAGAAATAGTAAATATATTAGATTTTATAAACCTTGAAAAATAAAACCAGTTTATTGAGAGCAAGTCAAGACGAAAAGCATTATTCTTAAAGTAATTTAAGAATGACTCTTCCCACTAAATAGCAAAAGGCTATTTCTGGAGAAGAAAAATTACAAAATCCAGGGTAATAAAAAATGAGATTCTATGTAGATTATGTGCTGGGTAGTGTGTAATATAATGAATTGAAATTAATTTATCATATTTTAAACATTGATAATTGTTACTCACTTTTTCTTTGTATTAGATGATGTAGAATTAGTTGATTTGTTAATCGAAATCGATTATTATGGTGTCTAAGTCACTGTAGGCATTTTTTCATTGACAATATCTGCGTTTCTCGCTAAATTAAAGTCAGCCAAAGCTAATGATGAATATTCTGTAAATTACCATCCATTATTGCCGATTTACCAGCAGTCAAAACACCTCGTGGCAATCTCTTATCAGGACATGCTCCTTTAAGTTAAATTATGCTTTCACTTTGTTCTCTCAAAGTCTTTTGCATTTTTATCATGTTCGCTACAAATATGATCTTCTTCTTCAATTTCTCTGTATCTTTTCAATATAAATATTATTCACTTACTTTTAGCTGTATTTGATCCACCAGTACTTTACTTATCAAATTATTTATTTTATTATTAAGTCATTTCTTTAAACTACTTGATATCTTCCTCATTAACTTCTTCATCATCAACTTGATCACCAACTTATAGTAAATTGTAAAGCATTTCAGTTACTTTTTCAGCGACAAATGGTATAGACCATGTGAAAATATCCATAAAGTTTGGCAATAAATAAGGATGAGGTGTATATTAAAACTGTTAGATATTCAGAGTGTTATTCTTGTAATTAATAAAAAAAGAGGAGTTACTTCAAATTTAATTACAGCCCCCTTGTTATTATAAACATCACAATAATTAGGAGCACTGAAAATAGTAATGACGACAGGGAAATCTTTTCCACCATGCCATCTATGCATTTTATATCCATCCAATTAAGCCTTATTAAATATTCATAGCATTTACTTCATGAGCACGAATTATTGATATCAGATTGTTTTTCTGTAAAAATTTAGATGCAGCTTCATTTCCAAAGAACCAACTGCATCCTCTCACTTCATTTCCTTTCCATTAGCCATCCATGTTTCCTTGATCTTAGTCGACTGGATCACTCCACAACAAATCACAAAGTAATCCACTTCTAGGAGGCTCATGATAACGATCTAGTCTCTTGATATCTTCTAACTAAAATGAAGCGCAGCAAATACAGATTTCAAATCAGGTGATATTCCTCCATGAATTGCTATGAACTTTGAGTTGATGATGCAAGCCAAAGGAAATAAATCGAAGGAGTCCATCAACATATCATAGGTCTCTTAATCATACTTGTACAGACCTTTTTAAATGATTGTAATTACATTCCTCCTTAAAGTTGAAAAATGCTGTGAGCTATCTGCATTCATGATTTCCTCTCAAAAAATATACAGTGTTTGGGTAATTAAGTTTGATTGCATAAAGCAAGATTATTACTTCTATAGAATAGGATCCTCTATCAACAAAGTCTCCAAGAAACAAATATCTAAAAATTTATGCATTAAATTACTTAGTTGTCTCAGGATTCCCTCCTACTTTAGGTTCCAGTAATTTTAACAAATCGTAATATTGTCTAATATGCTTTATAATCTTACCCATGAATGTCTCCAACTACTGTAAGTGGATCTTGCAAATATATTACATTCCCCTCATTCTCTACACTATCACTGATAATTGTACTTAATAATTTATTGCAATCTCCAACCAATTTATAGAGATCTTCCTTAGACACTCTCCCTTCCTTTTGAAGATGATCTCTAAGTAATTTCCAATCTGGCTTGTCTTTTGTTATATTAATTTTTAAATACTTTTCAATTTATCTGGAAACATGAGGTTCCTCATCAAAGGTCTATGAGGGGGAGGCTTCAGAGTTTTTACGTGTCTGTCATTTGCTGGATCATTTAGAAGGTCCATTTTATTAGTATTTATTACTTAAATTAAAAAAATTTATACCTCAAAATATAGTTTACGAAGCCAGTTGATTTGAATAATAGTGAAGAGAATTAATAAAATTAAAAATAAAAATTTATATTATCAATAAATATTCCAAAAAATTAGTGGGATTTAGCGAATAATACCTCTAGTTACATTGAACAAGAAGGATCCAATAATGTTTCTCGGTATATCTAGAGTTCTTCTTAACGATTTTAGAAAAAATCACATAATAACCATAAATGAAAGGGTTTGAAGTGAGCTAAAATAAATTGAAATACTGATAAAGAAAAATATTCCTTTTTAGGAAGATTGTTAGATTATTTATTAGATTTATATCCAACGATGTGAGTATATACGCTTTTTGAAATGAGGAGTAACTTTCGTTTTATATTGATTTTTAATTCATATTTCATCAGATTAAGTCGTTTGAAAGCCCAAAATTGATTTATATGTTATAAATATTTATAAAATGATAATTTATGGAGCTTTTGATAAAAAATTTAGTAACAACAGAATCAACATTAAACCATTTTAAATTGACATTTCTCCAAATAGTACAATAGAAGAGTTGAAAGTAAGATTATATCATAATTATTTAGATTTTGATTACACTCTAGTTCACAAATCTGTCTTTGGAAGATTTTGATATTCTTAATTCTCAAGGAGTTAGATAAAGAGATACTTCATCAGTACAAGCCCTTTATTAAGAAAGATAGGATGTTGTTTAAATATTTGTAACTAATTCTAGCAATTTAAATGCAACATGCTGCAATTTAATATGATTTAATTTTCTTATTTTAACACTAAAATATAATAATCAAGATGAACTATCAGAGTCACTTGAAGAGCTACTTGAAGATGTCTTTTTCTAGTTTTAGTTTGTTTACTTTTGATCTCCTGATTGCGAAGAAGAAGAAGATCCACTACTACTACTGCTACTAGAACTTCCACTAGAAGATGAAGAGGAAGAAGAATCAGATGATGAACTTGAAGTGCTTTCCCTCCTATTCTATTTTCTTTTCTATTTTAATAGATGTATAATATTACAGGTGTTTTTGATCTTTTACTATATCGTCTTTTAGAATGTCTCTTTCTTGAACTTGATCTTTTATGATATCTGTCTGAAGATCTTCTTCTTGATGAATGTTATTTCTTCTTTTTTTCCCTTTCAATCCTTTCTTACTTTTCCTTTTCTCTTTTTTCTTTTTGTTTTTATTTTTCTCTTTATCTTTCCCTTTCTCTTTCTCTTTCCTTTTCTTTTTCTTTTTCTCTTTCTCTCTCCTTTTCTCTTTCTCTCTCTTTTTCTTTCTCTTTTTCTCTTTCTCTCTCCCTTTCCCTCTCTCTTTCTTTCTCTTTTTCTCTTTCTCTTTCCTTTTCTCTTTCCCTCTCTCTTTCCTTTTCTTTTTCCCTTTCTTTCTCTTTTCTTTCCTTTTCCCTTTCTTTATCTTTATTACTATCTTTTTCTTTTTATTTTTATTATTCTGGTTATTATTCTTAATCTTTTTTTTATACATCCTTTTCTTTATCTTTCTCCTTATCTTTGTCGAACTCCTTATTTTCATTTTTTTACTTATCCTCTCTAATTCTAGCTTTTGCATATTCTTCCTTTTATCTTAAATCTCGTTCCTTTTTGATCTCTCTTTACCTAAGTTTATCTAATCTTTCTTTTTTAATTTTCTCCGTATAATATCTACTTTAATATTTTAATATTACTTTTATCTGTCTAATCCAAGACTTTAACATTTAATCTTCTTTCCATCAATAATTGCTCTGTGCATATATTAAGTGGCTTGGGAAGCATCGCCTTCATCGTTGTATGTTATAAATGCAAACAGAAGTGGAAGCATATTATTTTATTCATCGAACTACATTTCTACATTGGTTAACTTTCCATATGTTGAGAAAATTTCATGTAGAATATCTTGAGTGACATTTCTTGAAATATTCTAAACAAGAAGAAGATTCTTCACTTTCTTTTCTTTGGTTTTCTCTTTAGTTTTCCTTTCCTTTGATTTTTCCTTTGATCTCTCCCTTGACTTTTAACTCTTTGACTTCTTTTGATTAAAGTCTTTCACTCTCTTCTTCTCTTCACTTGAAGAGGATGACCCCGATGAAGATGATGAATGAGATTTAGGCATAATAATAATTAATATTAATACAATAATTTTAATCAATATTTAATTTAAAACATCTTATATTATTAATAACATTCAACTTGTGATTTCATTTCTTGGAATTTTAATTGAGAAACCATAAATTCAATTCACTCTCATAATTTGCAATAAGAAAGAGAGAGAGTACTCTTTTAAAAATGATTTTAACCTCTATAATAACACTTAACAAAGTACTCAAATGTAGTTAATTGAAAATAAAGAAATATTTTATGTTAATAGATTGTGAATGTTATGATTCCTTATTGGTTGTTATATAATTATTCTCATCTTATTCGCTATTTAGTAAATGATTAATTTACAAATGATTTGAGATGTTCTAAAATCCTAATAATAATAAAGTGATTCATGAACTCAAGATGGAAAAGTCTTTATAAATGAGAGGAATCATCTTTTTCTCCATAAATAAATATCTCATAATTATGCAACAATTACCAGCTCATTCAGTTTACTAAGTCTAAGAAAGTAAGGAAACAGCAGATGCTGTTGCTTATGCATTCTTGTCAAACACTGGTGAGCCTGTGCAATATCCATACAAATACCCATAAATTGCAGACCACGATGTCAGAATTAGAATTTTGTTTACTGGATTATGTCATAGTGATTGTCTTCATTCTAGAGGATTATGGAATCCCCATATGTACATCTAAATTATAGACTTTAGTAAATACCCTAGTTGCCCAGGACATGAAGTCGTCGGAGAAGTTGAAAAAGTTGGAACAGGAGTCACAAAATTCAAGGTGGGTGAGAAAGTCGGATGCAATCCTTAAAGATGGATGTGCTAAACCTGTGAGCAATGCAAGAAAGGAGATAATTAATTATGTTCACAATTTATTGGTTTATATGACGATAACAATTTCGGAGGATATTCAACTCACATTTAAGTTGCCGAAAGAATGGTCTTTAGAATTCCAGAGGGTATTATAAATTATATCATTCCATAGGATTCAATGACGCATTGGGTTCTCCCCTCTTGTGTGCTGGTGTCACAGTCTATGCTCCATTAAAAAGATACTATAAACCTAATTATACATGTGCCGTCATTGGTATTGGTGGTTTGGGTCATTTGGCTGTTTAGTATGCAGCCAAATTAGGCATGACTGTCACAGCATTTACAACAAGCAAAAACAGAGAATAAGAAATTAAGAGATTAGGCGCATCAAATTTGTCTAGCTCAATTAATTTAGAGAGCTTGAAAGCTGAATAAGGAAAATACGATATTGTTATCAACACTCTTTATATTGAAGACGAGGAAACTTTCAAAAGCCATTAAAGATTAACAGCCCCAACCGGAACATACATCTAAGTTGGAGCTCCTCCTTCAAAGGTCAACTTTAAATTAGACCATGCATATATCATCTTAAATTAAATCAGAGTTGCTGGCTCATTGATTGGCAACTATGATGAAACATAAGTATAATAATTTTATATTGTCTTAGGAAATGCTTGAATTTTCTGCCTAAAATAATGTTTATCCAATTGTGGAGACATTTGAATTTGAGGACTTCCCAAAGGCTTTTGATAGAATGGAAAAAGCTCAAGCCAAATTCAGATGTGTGGTAAATGTTGGAAAATGGGCTTAAGCTAATGGTTTATGGAAATGAGTTTAAATCAAATTATATAAATAGTATCCCAATTTCGATATCTTTTTCTATTATTCAAGGGGTCCCTTAATGAGAATCCAAATTGTCAAAACAATTGTTCTACCACTTTAATTTTCTCTATAATATAAATATTTAATCATATAGTATTATAGTATAAATTCAGTAATGTAAAAATGTCTTCAAGAAATGAAAAGATCTCTAATGCTTTAAAAAAATCAACAGCATAAATAATATTAATTTTTAAAATATAACCAATAGAGTTAGCTAATCAACAACATTTCTTTTATTTATCCTATTCTCCTTTTGGAATAGTGGATTCTGTTAATTTTATGTTATTCTTTTCAATTGATTCGGTTGTTTGGGATAATTTTGTAATCTCTAAAGAATTATGATCATATAACAATATTACCAGTTGCCAATTATTCAAATGCTTACTATATACCAGTGCCATCCTTAGCACTAGTTTCCAAATATGCCAATTTGTGCTCGAATGCGAATTAAGCTGCTTCTTGTTTACTAACTTATCGTTGATCTGAAAGATCTAATTTATTTGCAACAAGCATTATGACGATTGAGGAAGTGTTTGATTCAATATCCTAATAAATTTACATGTATCTTAAACTTTAAGCCATTTATCTAAATTTTCGAATGAACTTCTATCTGTGATATCAAAAATTAATAATGCCCCTGCAGCTCCCTTGTAATAAATATTGGTTAAAGCCCTGTATTATTCCTTAAATATATGTGCATGTTACTGCTCCACAAGTATCCCAAATCGCCAATTTAATTTCCTTTCCCATAATGTTTACATTTTTCTATGCAAATTCCACCTAAATTCATAATTAGTTATACTCCTATAGTTATTTTATGCCCTTCTTCAAATTTATCAAATGCAAATCTAGTTAGTGTATTTGACTTTCCTACTCTTGGATCACCTTTCGATTGTTAAAATACATACCAACTAAAACTATTTTAAAAGTGGCTGGTTTCATTAAATAAATAAACAATATTTTATATAATAAGCAATTTAAATTAAATTAATTACTAATATATCAACAATAGAATTAGAGTAAATTTCAAGATCAAATTCTATATTTTTAATATTCCTTGTGTAGAGATAAATGTAATACGAATAAATTTAAAATAATTTATAAACAATATCAACATACCTACATATCTCACTATATTAGAGGTTAGTTGTTTTTAGTAATTATTGATTTTTATATTTTGTTCTTTTTAATCAGATGAGATTTAGATATACTCTAAAGATTATAAGTCTTTTTGATTAAATTATAAATAAAAATCTTGTAAGGGATGAAAAAGAGGATAATAAAAGCTCTACTTTTAATATATTCTAGAATTATTTAATGACTTATCCATTTCCAATGCTTTCTTATTATTGAAATAATGGTAAACCAAAAGGAACTTTTCTATAAAGCTCTTTAGTAAAATGTTCTATAACAAAATATCATAGATACGGATTCAGAAATGGAATAAACCCTCAAAACATTGATTAAGCAAAATGTAGTCAATATTCATAATAATTGTTTTTTAAAGTCTTAACCATAAGTTTAATATATATATTCTCATAATTAAATTACGTTAAAAATGAATACAGTTTGCCAACAAAAGACTGCTACTCCTTGTAGATTTGAAACAACTCAATCGTATCTTCTTGAATAATCACCTAAAATATAGTATAGAAGAGTAAATTCTCCAGGTTTACCTGATTGCTCTTTTAGAAAGAGCCATAAATCATCAGTTGATAAGCGGAATTATATGACTTTGGGATAGATGGATATTTAATAATTATTGAAGCCTACCAGATCGCTTGAAGAGAGTCCTGAACAAAAATTGAAATGTTATTATGCGAAAGAAGAGGAAACCCTAGATCATTATTAGCATTCATTTAATCCTTAGCAATATATGAGTCTGAAGGAGGACAAGGAAATATAAGTAGAAGAGAAACCTTTTGAATCTCCACCAAAAATGGAAGTGTTTCAGAAACCGCAATTAAGAAAGCAAATGAAAATGGTTGATAAAATCGAGAGTGACAAAGTGAGTGTTGAGATATTTATGTCTGAACAAGATGAGAACTCCCTTATTTTTACAGGTATTACAAAACGCATACTGCCATCTCCTGAAGAAAACAAACAAATCTTAATGCAGAATTTACAATAGTTGTTCACTTCCATTGACAAAAGTGCAAATTCAAATAAATTCTAAAATTATATAAAGATGGAATCCTTAGAGCAATCAGTATTCCATTAGCATTTAAATAAATCAACTTAACAGGATTTTCTTTCAATCTCTTCTGCATAATCTATTAAATAGTAAAAATGCTCCTCTCAAACCAACTTTAGAAGAAACTCAGCAATAATACCTAAATAACAATCAAAATGGAACCATTCAACCAAGGCTGATAAGTTAAAAAATAATTGTTTCTCCAATAAACAATCAAAAAGTCCCTTTCTAAAAGCTCAAAATCCAAAGGCTTAAATTAGTAAACCAAAGCTATAACAAGTAAATCTTAATATCCAGTCTCCTCAAAAAGTGCCAACTCAAAAGAAATAAACACAATAGAATAGATCAACTGTTTAAAAGGTAAGATCTTTTCACATTACTCCAGAAAAAATAGACGATTGCATCTATGACGAAAGATATTTTAAATGACATTTTTATTTAATTATATATCTATATGTATAATCATAATACTTCACTTGATTTAAATAATTCTTAAACCAGTTTACAACTTAAATTAATCACTGAACCTATATGAGTTACTCCAACAATTGGAACCTCAAAATTCATAAATCCATGTGATAAACAATTAAAAATATCCAATTTAATATCATGATGCAACTTTCTCATCTTGTTAACAAATCGTATTGTATCTCCTGTTAAACTATCGTTGGCCCCACAGATTATGCGTATCTTAGGCAACCTCAGAAATCAATAAACACTATACTTCGCCAAGAAAGAATCATCAGCAATTATAGGACTAAGATACGGGTCAGTTTCTGGATGTTCTTTTCCACTATTTAAATATTCCCTCAATACTACAACCAAAATTGTTGTAGGAGCTATTTGATCTATCAATCCATTTAGTAAATACGGATTGAAGACTTTGAAGTTTAGATTTACAACGGGATAAGGTAAAAATAACCCATCAGGTATTCTGATTCCCATTTTAATGGCACGAAAACAAATACCAAGGGCCATGTTACCACCTGCAGAATCCCCTGCAAGAACTAATTACTTCAAATTGATATTCATGTAAAATTTGCTAAAATAGAGCTAATATACTGAAGAATTCTTACAATCCAAAGATATAACTACCACACATCCTCAAGAGCGTGTGGATAGGGGTATTTGGGAGCAAGTCGATAATCAATACTAAATACTACACAATCTTCCCCAACATGGTTAGCCCACTTTCTGGTATACGTTTAATGACTAAAAGAGGACATCCCAACCCATCCTCCTCCATGAATTTGTAAGATCACTTTTGTAATTTTACCATCTAATCCTGGAGATGTTCCTTCAAAAATGTTATTATGGTCTTTGCTTATGTTGGCTATTTATTTTACTAAATGCTCTTCATCAATTTTTGATCTAAAAACTTCTTTGCTTGCTGATAAGACTCTCACTTTTATTTTATTTTATCTATCCTTTCGAAAGAGAGATTATGTCAATTTTTCATATAAATGATCTTCTATAAAGTCAAACCCTTGAAATTCTTCTTGCTGGAATAATGTTCCACTCTCTATCTCTTGATTTATTCTTTCCAAAGTAAATGTAGGTTTGAATAAATAAGGAACATATATTTTGTAATGAGATTGTAACTTAGTCATTGAATATTTCATAAAATTCTTTAATACTGGAGCCTTGTCTTAGATGCTCCATAAATTTTAAATGAATTTAACAGAAGGATTTGTCATTTCTTTTAGTTTAATTTGTTTTGCTTTCTCTATATTTGTTATGAGGTAGGCTCCTCCCAAATTTTAAAAGATCATACTCAAAACAGGTAGCTTAATCATATTTCCTAATTTTGCATATGCACAGCCCACTGAGATGTAATCGTTAAACTTTTCAAATTGCAAATCTAAGATCTCTGGATCATCAAGCTATATTTGTTTTTTCAAATTACATCAATAAACTGAATATACTTAGCTAAATGAGCCCATTCTTGATGGGTGCTACTTAAGCAATAGATATCATCCAATGGAACCTTTGGGATATTCGGTAAAAATTCTCTTATCTAATTTATTAAATTAATGCAATACTATTTAAAGTCTTCTTATTACATAATCAATCTCCAATTTGTGTTTTTGTAGTTCATATTCAAAATTTTTAAATTACAAGACTTTTTCCAAAAGTAGGAGAAAAGGATGGATAATTTTATGATTTATAAATTGCGCACTCTGCTCCACTAAGGGATGATGACATTAATTTTATTCAAATTACTTCTGGGTTTCATCTAATTGAAGTAACCACTCAATAACATCTGGATTTTATGTATTGAAGTGTTTCATAATCAATTGACATTTCTACAAATAATAGATAGCATCAATTATGCCTTCTGAATGCTACGCACTCTTCATACAAATAATTTAATAATTTAAAAATTGTCCAATATAAATTCAATAGTGCAATTTAACTCAGTTAATATTCTATAATAATTTAAAGCAGATTGATTTTGCTTATATCTGTTTCTTAATGAAATCGCTCTCATAACAAACATATTGAAATTGAGTATTTACTTTTGCATAAAAATAATTAAAATTTCCAACAGCATAAAAGTTGCATATGAATTCTGAATAACACAAACAATTGTAAGAATGGAAATTAAAATACGTAAAGTTGAATCCAATTTTGCTAATCTTCATGGGTATGATTGTGAAAATACAGAAGGTTTGGTATTGATTGCATTTGGAATTGTCTCACAAACAGTTGACATAAATTATGAATATATATCTACTAGATATGATGAAATTTGTGCTGAAAAGAATCAATGTTCTGTAAATTTAAGTAATCAATAATCCTAGATTGCCATTGATGTACCATCCAAGATGAAATCTCCTGTATTTTTTTCATACGAGGTTTCCTCCTTTTTCTAAAACACAGACAAATACTTTAATAGCATCCCTTATGATTAATTATATGGAGATTCCGATTTTGATACCTCAATTTGTGATCAATATAAGACCAATTTGGAAATGGGGTAGACTTTAAGTGTAACAGGAAAATCCTTATCTTAAGATGACGTAGCTATTCCATGTGGTATTGCTGCTTATTCTTATATGAATGGTATTGTTGAAAGATTTATTATTTAAAGATGAATTTTTTTTGATTAAAGATGGCAATCAAATTTCAATCAGCGATAAAGGTATATCATGGGAATCAGATCGAGAGAAGTTTACAAATATAAACTTAGACAAGCAATGGATTGATATGGAATCAGGTGATTCTATTCATTTAAATTAGAAAGATTTATCAATTGGATGAGGCCATCTCCATTAAGCAGGTTCCGTAAATTATGGGGTAGAATAGATTAAGACTTAGAAGCTGGTACATACACAGTTAGTATTAAGATTAGTAAGTCTTAAATTGATTAATCAATAGAAACTAATGACGCTTTTTCTGAAACAAAAAAATATGTTCTTTTACACAACAATGGATAATTTTCAGATCCAATTTTGGTGATAACGTTACCTTGTCTCTGCGTGGGACCATTTTTAATAATTTTTGGCCTAATAAATTTAATTTATTGGGGGAAGAAATAAAATTTGATTAAAAAATACAGAATTTATTGATTGCCTTACTTATTCCCATAATATAAGTTGTTATTTATATTATTAAATTAATAAATAAAAAAATATAATTATTTATACCTTCTTTGATCAAAGATTAAATGAGACTATATTCCACTTTAATCGCAACTAGAAGGAAATACCAAAAAGCATTCAAGCGTTTGATCCCTAATGTATTCTTAAAAATGCATTAGGTTCATGACCTTGGAACATTAATAATATTTTTGAATTAAGATTTTAAATAAAATCAAGATTAGCAAGGATTTTCATTCTTTATGATTACATTGTTTAATTTAATGATTGGTTTTGAATGTGTGCGTACTCTATAAGTTCTATTTTCTGAGAGCACAGTTGAAGGTTTTAATTTAGTTACCGAAAACTATTTGGAATTTTACAATAGAATGATCTTTGGTACTGCAACTTTTGTTTTTGGATTTGGAATTTTGTAGATATTATTTATTTTATTTATCTCATCCATAAGATAGTCAGATTCCTACTAAATTAAGGATGGAAGGTTTCTTTTTCTTTTTAGTTCAACCAATTATTCCTTAATAAATTGATTAAGTTGATGATTCTTGAATTTGGATTGATTTTCTGCGAAGGATAGGGATCGATTTTAGTGGATTTTATGGGGATTATTTTAGACATACATTTATTAATATTAATGAGTTATCAAAATCATCCCCAAAAGTTTCCTTTTGATAGTTAAGGTCCGTAAGGGTAGCCGCAAGTACCATTGTTTTAGTAGGTGTACTTTGCTCAACAGCAATAAATATATGGATTCGAATAATAACAATTCCCATCGTTGAATTATAATGGGTATGGCTATTATGTATAGCCACAAAGTAATAAAGTTATTTGTAAGTTCAGTGCCCCAATATAATATTCCTCCTCAACAACCTACCCCTGTTGATAGTCTAAGCAGTAATAGTATTAGTTTGAGTGGTATTTGAATTTTGTATTTTGTATGATCAGATTAGGGAGCAAAAAAAAAGAAGAAAAACAAGTCTGACAAATCAAAGAAAGACAAAAAGAAAAAGAGAAAGAGAGGTTTAATTTATCCTTATTATTAAAAGCCAGTAGTAGTAGTTCTTCTTCTAGTAGTAGTGATTCTAGTAGTAGCAGTAGCAAGAGCCGTAGTAAGTATGATTATTTTATATATCTAAATCTCTTTGTAGAAAAAAGAAAAAACCTCTATCCTTTTTACATAATGAGGATAATTGGAAGTGCAAGTATTGTTATAATATCAATTTCCCTCATCGTACAGAGTGTAATAGATGTAAGAAAAGTAGAGAATAGGCTGTAAAAGTATTTCATTAACTCTCTAACATCTTTTCTTAGGACGACAAAGGCAAGAAGTATGTTCCAAACCCAGACGATTGGAAATGTAACATTTGTGGAAATTTTAATTACGCAAGAAGAGATAAATGCAATAGATGTAAAGAAGATAAACCAAAAGCCACAATGCCTTAACAATCCGCATAATATAATTAAGTAAACTGAAGTATTTTCCTTTGCATTTCATATATCAAAACATAATTGTATTTCTCATTCTGCTCTTTCTTTCTATCCATTTAATCTTTAGCTAAAGTTTACTATTATTTCAGATATTCCTTTAAAATATACAATATCCCCATTCAACATATTCCAATACACAACTTGGATGATCACAGATTCTAACGACAGTTTTTATAAAAACTAGAAAATTCCTAAATAGATAAACATACTTAAATTGCTTAGGGATTAATTATTTTAAATTAACCTATCTCCATATTACACCGTTCATTAAACTTAAAAAGGATTTACAAAAAGAACCCAGCTAATATAGTAATTTTGAAATTACTCAACTTTTGATATAAAATTATAGTATTTTTTTTTTTTGTAAAATAACCTCATGTGAACCAATGTTTTTCTAAGAAATTTCTAACAAATCTATTACTTATTCTATAAAAAGTTTGGCAATTAGTTCAATTAATTCAAGTAATTTGACTTTTTATACCAAACATATTTCATGTTAGTAGAATACTATTTAAATAGAATTAAAGTTTTTACTCTTTAATAAATGTGTTTATGAACTTATTCTATCTTTTAAAAAATACCCTAATTTACAATAAAAATCATATAAATCTGACTGTTAATATTTATAATAAATGTAGCAACATTATTCTTAACAACGTATACCTTAAGCCTTTTAATAACCATAGAGGAATGCTTCCAATTCTCCTCTATAACGAGTTGCTCCTCCTCAACCTTTTACACCTACTTAAAGCTAACCAAGATAAAAATATGAAGTCGAGACTAATAATCATTACTCAAGAGATTTGAGAGTCAATAATAGATAGGCTAGCAATTTGCCTAATGGATAAAGTTATGAAAAGATGGAGTAAAGAATTTAAACTTTGGAAAAAGAAAACCAGAATCTGAAAAAATAACTTGAAAATGCTAATAATCAAATTCAAATATTAAATCAAAAAGTTAATTAGAATCCAAGTCAATGTCTTCTTAAAACCACTACCTTTGAGCTTGTTGTTCTTTAAAAAGCTGTTGAATAATTAGAAGGACTGAAGAATGGATTAACTAAAAAAAAGTTGTTAGGAAGTCATAATCAAACAACGCTTCCTGAATCCTAAAAGGATAGCGCCAGTGAATTTAAGAGCAAAGTAACTTTGGCAGAAGACAAAATTAGTTAACCAATTTAATAATCATAAGTAATGAATTAAAATATTAGACAAAGGCTAAGCTACTCTTTCCAAAGGAACTAAATGTCTAAAATTAATAATCTAATCCTCCAAATAAAGAGGAAACGAAAGAAGAAACAAGATTGGGAAGAAAAGTACTAGGAAATACATAATCCGATTAAGTTGATGAAAGACCAAAGACAAGTCCAATTAAATATCTAAATGTAAAAGCTAGTGTCAATTAAATATCATTAAGAATATCTCCTAAGGCAAAATCAGAAATATCATAAAACTGATAAATATGTATATAAGTAGTCATTCTACCTTTCGAAATACTAATTATTTAGATTAACTTAATATTAAATATTAAATGTTGTTAATTCTACGAAGGAAGGAATTGAATCTTGAAAAAATAAAATAATATAGTAACTCATTTCTTACTTTTCTTCTTTTTTTTTGATTTTTTTTTTTTAGCAAAAGGATCAACTTTCATTCCAAATCCAGGTGGTGGCAATGAATTTCCTTCAGGATCCTTTAGATTTATTGGATCTGGTATCAACAAAGCATTAACTAATTTTTAAACTGGAACAGCAACTCCTTTTTTAGCCAATCTCAATTTTATTTCTTCAATTTCCTAATTTTTAAATATTATATTTACTTTTAATTAATCATAACGAACTTAATCTAAAGGCTGAGCAGCTAATATAGCAGATAAAGGTCTCTTTTACTATTGAGTTAAGGTTTGGTTTTTTCCATAGATTGACATACTTTGCTCAGGCATAAGACGATTGGCTTCATCTTCCTCTTATAATCCAATGATGTTTCCATGTAACTTCTTGATTTTATTGATATTATGCTTTGATATATTGGATTCAAGTCCTCTATAATCAGTATTATTCATAAATTTTGGTTCTTTCTAATAACTAGGTAACTTTTCATTTAAATTTCTAGGTTAACAAGTTTAAGGTCTAATTTTCTTTTGTTATCTTCTTTATCCATCATCATCAATCAATCCTGTTTATCCATCAATTTCTATATTATTTTCAATAATCTCTTCTTCCTCATCTGATAGATCACTTAAATCATCATCCCATCTTGATTTATTCTTGGTCAAACTCAATTAATGATTCTTTTGGATCTGCATGATTAATACATATATAAATTACTTTATCGAGTTCCTTGTAATCCTTCTCCTTATTTTGCCTTTCTTTCATTTCTAACTCTCTGAATCTATTACCATAAGTAGCACTCTCTATCCTCCTATTCATTTCCCTTTCAATTCTAGCTTTATTGGAAGACCATTAATGCATCATGGCGACTAATTCTTCATCCTCTCTTTTTTACTACGCTTCTTTATTTCTAAGTTTCTGGTATTTATTTTAAACACTCAATTCATCAGGTTGATTAGAATTTTAATACTATTAAAAGCCATCTTTTGTTTCAAAATTTAAGTTTCTGGGTTTCTAATTATTCTCTACTTATTCATCACCCACAAACACTTTAATTTAAGGTTCTAGTGTTCTTTCTTTCTTCTTAGCTTCCTCTTATTAAATGATTAATTTAGCTTCGTTCTCAGCTTATCTAGCAGCCAAATCTTCCTCATTTAATAATGCTTCATCATTATTATCTACTAAATCTCCTTAAATTACTTCTTCATCTATATCATCCACAATAGCTGCAGGTTTAGCAGACTTTATTGGTTTTGGAAATGTTGATTTCATTTATATTTTACCTGAAGTGTCCACAGCACTTTAAGGTCTTGGGGCTTAAAAATTTTGAATGATTCTTCTTTTGTAATTGCTCAAACGTTGATCTGGAGGAGGCATAGAATCATGCTTTGTTCTAAATCCATTTTGATAATCATGCAATTAATCTGAGATAATGTCTCCCGGAAGCAAAGTTCCTTTACTATATTGAGATTCTTTCTTTAAAATATTTCAAATAATTAAATACCATTTAGTCAATTCGAATAATACCAGTAACTCCAGAATCAGGTCTATCTGGGTGAGTCTATTCAATTGTGGTTTCTGCATATCCATCTATCACAGTAGTTGGATATCCAGATTATGGTCTCATACTTTTTATAGTAAGAGCACTTTATGGTCTTTTAGCTTAAGTCGCACTACTAAATGGTCTCTTAGTTTATCCTGTTGGTGGCCTAGTAGGTCCAGAATCGCTATCAAGTTTACGACTTTAATAATCCACTTTGGTTATTGTTTCCAAAGCCCAATTGTAACACCTTGTTATGAATTTAGCTTGCAACTCTCTATTACGCGTGAAGAATGATATCTCTCTTATAATACTGGCTAAAGAACGAAAAAACTATAATCTCCACATTCCATTACGTATTCTAGCATTCCTTTGCTAAGCATTTAAGACCTGATGAACTGAAAACTGTTACTTCTGCATTAAACATCTCAATCATGGTTATCATACCTTGGTACTCCTCATTACTATCCAAGAATGCTGATTTACACTTATCAACAGTAATTGTTTCATAATAATGCATAGTTTCCCAAGTATTTACTTTGTAATTTTCCATCATCTATTAATGTGATACTATCCGCTCTTATAGTTATTGAAATTCTTCAAAAGTATAGTCTCCTCTTCCCTCAAAAGGCAAAACTTCAAACATCAATGGCACATCCTCATCATCATATTTAATGACTGAATGATGAATTAGTTATGATTATTGAAGCATTATTTAATAATAATAATAAAATCAGATGAATTTTTTATCTAACTTGTATTTTATCTAATCTTTCTCTCTAGTATTTGAAGACTGCTAATTTTGTTCTCTCTAATTTGCAACTACTAATTATTATGAATTTTACTCTTATTATAAGGTGTAGACTTATTTAGTGATTCAAAAAATAACTCTCTATTTGATGGCTTGTAAGTGCTATATAACTATTTTCTTAACTCGTCAACTCTATTTGTTTCTGGAGTCTTTCTTCGTTCCTATAAAAATCTCTAATTGTCAGATAAAACCCCTTATTAATTATTTCTTTGGTTTATTAACTAAAATGGCTGTTTTTTTGGATTTCCTAATTCTGAAGCCTTAAAACTTTGAATCTATTTTTATGGAGAACTCTGCTTTTGTTGTTTATAATTAAATAAAATATCCTTGCTTGTTTCCTCAACTATTGTTTTGATTAATGAATACCTTTTGGTTTGATGTAGTTAAAGTTTAATTTAGGCGAAACGTCTCTTCTAATGAATGTATTAGGATAATCCTTATATTGTTCCCTATTTTTTAAAATAGATACTCCATCTCCTATTCTGCTCTTATTGTTTATCTTATATTATTCCAATTCCATTCTCAGTTTACCAATATCAAATTTTGAATTGTTGTTCACATATGGCTGAAATTTTTATGATTGAATTTTGGTTAAGTTTTTATCATTTTAAATATCAAGTGAAGTTAATGGACGATAATTTGAAATGTAATCACTAGCATTTTTGGATAATTTAGGCTAAACATTATTTTTAGGGCTAAAAAATGAATGCTATTATTAATTGGTATGCATCCATGTTCTATCTCCATCTAAAAGACTTTGTTTTTTTGAAAAAATAGTTGGACTTTATTATCTTTTTTACAATTCTACTATTTCATTCAAATAAAACTTTCGTTTTTAAGAATGTTCTTGGTCGTGCATTGATGAGTATTATTATTTAGGAAGATACTAAAATGAATTCACTTGTTATTGAAGATCATTTGAAGGAAAACGTTTAGATTTATCACCTTTATCGTAATTCAAAAAGGAAGGTATTTTGCTCAATTAATTATTAGTGAATGACTTATATTCATCAGGTGATCTCTATGGTAATGGCCTTTAGTAATATGAGTTATAATATCTTCCCAATCCACTATCAGTAGATTTACGTTCTGCAGATGTTTGACGTTCATAAATATTAAAATTGAACTGTTTTTTCATATCAAGAGAATTTGAGTCTAACTAGTAATTTGAATTTTAATTTTTAAACATCAGTCGATCTTCACGTCTTTTGGACATAATGCTGTTAAATTAATTAAAAATATAATTTATAATATATTGGATTATTTTTTATACCTTATAATCTAGTTTTAAGCAACCACTTAATTTGATTTCTTAGGTTCTTCCTAGGGTGTATTTCTGCGCATAGCAAAGGTTTAATTATCAGTTAATTTAGAAAACGAGACAGATGAATCAACATGATTGTTGAAGTAGAAATTTATAATGAATTCACTTAATATTAGCAATAATTCTAAATATATATGTTACTCTTAAATATATCTGTTAGTTATTAATTAAGTTTTATACAACTTCCTCAGTTTTTATTAAGTTAAGGTTTATAATAAATTCAACTATCAGATTGATTAATTTGATGTTATTGAGGATCTTTGTAGTCATCCCAACCAAGAGGTTTGATATCCTCATCTTGATCTAACCATTTGATACGTCTACCTCCTTCCCACAATCCCAATTAACTCTTTCCATTAGGCAATGTGTATCGACCCTTTCCAGCCTACTTCCCATTAATCCAATATCCCTCATATCCTTGAATAAATTTATTGATAAATACTTCGCCCATCTGGCCAAATGTAGACTCCATAACCCTACTTTTTATCATTCTAGTATTCTCCATTATATTATCTTCCGTCTTGCCAAATATAAATACCTCTACCATTCGTTTGACTATTTCTCCACACGCCCTCATATTTCTAAATTGAATATTAAATTTTACTCTACCATCAGCCCAATAATGAACTCCAAATCCATTCATCATATTGCCTTCCCAATTTCCTATATATATAGACCCATCATTCCAAAAACATTTTCCAAAGCCATATTTCTTTCCATAGCTAAAATTTCCCTCATATCTAGAATGATCGAGCCAAACTTCAATTCCATACCCATGAGGTTGATCATTGAACCATTCTCCTTCATATTTAGCCCCATTAGCGTGAAGATATATTCCTTTACCACAAGCTTTATTTTCTTTCCATTACCCTTCATAATAATCACCTCCTAAATGCCAGAACTTTCCCTTTCCATCAACTTTATTATTCTTCCATTCTCCCTCATACTTAGCACCGTCTACCCAAAGTTGAACTCCATACCCATCTCTTTATTAGCCTACCCATTCGCCTTCATAAGATGCTCCACTTTTAAATATATATTTGTTCCTTTTTTCTCTCTATTTACAGTTTGATCTTTTTCCCAAGGTTTCTAAAATATCCTCTTGATTTCTGAGTGCCATTTAATTTTTCTTTCTCAAACTACCACTGTTAGACTCTAACTATTAAATGTAAAATTTACAAGAAGTTAAATTTATCTCAATTTTCTTTTCTGTCTATGACTAATCTTGAATTTCATGTTCATATTAATCTTAAATTGGTTAATTCTCTTCCTTTTATTCTTCTTTCAACATATTGTCTTAGTAATCCTCTTCCTCGCAATTCTACTAATTATTCGAATCATGATGTATTGTTTATTAATAACAATTCTACTAATTAATCGAATTTCGATCTATTCCTTATTAACAACTCTAACTAATTCGAGCATTGGCTTCCCATTTTCTAAACTAAAAATTCGATCATTGGGTTTACATTTACTAAATAAATTATATCTAAGGTCAAAGTGTAAAATTATCGACTGAAATCAATAATTAATTTTAATTTTTCTTGTAAAAATTCATGGATTTAAGGAGAAATATGAAATTAAAAATTAATGTAACTTAATTATTTTAATGTCTAAGAAAGTATGTCATTTACCAGCTGAGTCTTTTTTCAGATGTCTTTTTTGACTAAATTTTCATTTTTAGGATTTGCATATTCATGAAACTGAAATCTTCCCAACTTAATTGATGCATTAACCTTGTCTTAATCGAACTCTTCAATCGAAAATTTTTGAGAGAACTTTTATTTATAATTCTCGGAAATTATAATTCCTCTGGTTTTATTTCGATACTAACATTAGAGATGCGAAAATTATAATGTTATCTGCTTTATAGAATATATAAAAATCATGAACATGGTTTATAGGGAGTGTGACCAACTACTTTTCCACAATAGCTGCATTGATGATAAACGTCTTTGCAATCTCCAGATAATAAAGGTATGAAACATAGACAACCAAAGAATAGACATAATAATAAGGAAACCCAATATGTATTATTGCCTGGTTTATATGTAATTGTAGTAACTGAATGTTAATTACAAAAACAACATTAAAGTAATACAGGAGTTCTAGATCCAGATGCATTTTATACTACTTAAGGAGTCTATAATATTATTATTTATATCATACATATGGAATATAAAGGACTTTGAATTACTATTCCTGTTATTTGTTATTATTATTATTATTATTATTATTATTATTACTAATTATATGGATATTATTATTAATCTGCTTAAATATTCAATGGTTGATAAGGATTAATAAAATATGGTTATTAATTAATTTATTATTATTATTAAGTTTATTAAACTTAAGGAGCATAATATTGAATTTATTTGATTATTATTCTGCAGGTAATAATGGTACATTGTATGCTACATAGTCTTAAGCTGGTTTCGCATTTTAAATATCCATTTTCTGTATTCTTTATTTATTATTATTACTTTAACTCAAATTAACTATTTATATACCAAAATATATTCTATGTTGTTTATAATATATCTATATTTATTTATTTATTTATTTATTTATTTAATTATATTTATTTTATTTAATTATTTCTTATTTCAATCTACTTAATCAACTTATGAACCTTATCCATCCATTCAGCATTTTAACCGTATTATTATACTCTTTACATCATTCCATTAAATATCAATTCAATATCTTTTTATTTATTATTGTAATCATTCCTTTCACCATTTGGATTAGATTCTATCCATTTTGTTGTTTGTTCAATTAATTATTCTAGCTTTTAGATTTCTTCTGCTGCAAATTTGCCTCTCAATTTTTCATCTTTTATGGTATTTTTAACTTAATATATTATTTATTCAAGGCTGTTCTTTGCTTCTATCTTTGATTTAATGATATCATCTTCAGCCCTAAATTGTTCAGCTTCCTTAACTAATTTTTCAATTTCATCTTTTGACAATCTGCCTTTGCCATTGGTAATGGTGATTTTTTTTGCATTTTTTGTTGCCTTATCTTCAGCATAAATGTTCATGATACCATTTTCATCAACATCAAATGAAACTTCAATTTGTGGAACTCCTCTTGGGGCTGGTGCAATACCATCTAAATTGAATGATCCCAATTTATGACAATCTTTTGACAATTATCTTTCTCCTTCATAGACTTGAACCGAAACACCTGATTAATTATCAACATAGGTTGTAAATATCTATGACTTTTTTGTTGGAATAGTAGTATTTCTCCCAATTAACACAGTCATGACGCCACCCGCAGTTTCAATACCTAATGACAAAGGCGTTACATCCAAAAATATCATATCTTTAACTTATTGATTACCTTAATTAGTTAAGATCGCAGCTTAAACGGCTGCACCATAAGCAACAGCTTCATCTGGATTGATGGATTTGTTCAATTCCTTTCCATTAAAATATTCTCTCAACAATTCTTAGACTTTTGGAATTCTTGTTGATCCTCCAACCAAAACAACTTCATTAATTTGATTCTTGGAAATACCAGAATCTTTAAGTACCTTTTCAACAGGAGGGATACATTGTTTAAACATTTAAATGCACAGTTCTTCAAATTTAGCTCTACTGATAGTACAATTAAAATCTTCATTGGCATCTAAAGCATCAACCTCTATTGTAGTTTAATTGGCTGATGAAAGAACTCTCTTAGCTCTTTCGCATTGAGTTCTAAGTCTTCTTAATGCTCTTGGGTTTTTTCTGATATCAACTCCTTTCTTCTTCAAGAATTCAGCACAACAATATTCGACAAGCTTGTTATCGAAATCTTCACCTCCCAAGTGAGTATCACCAGCTGTGGCTTTGACTTCAAAGACACCATCTTCAATAGCCAATAAGGAGACATCAAAAGTACCACCGCCTAAATCAAAGATGAGAACATGCTCCTCTTGTTTAGATTTCTTGTCTAAACCATAAGCAATAGCAGCAGCACTTGGTTCGTTGATAATTCTCAAGACATTCAAACCAGAGATTGCTCCGGCGTCTTTAGTGGCTTATCTTTGAGAATCATTGAAGTAAGCTGGAACAGTGATCACAGCCTTTGAAACTTGTTTGTTTAAGTAGGCTTCAGCTGTTTCCTTCATTTTTGTTAAGACCATCGATGAGATTTCTTCTGGGTGGAATTTTTTATTTTCTCCTTTGTATTTAACGACAATGATTGGTTTGTCATCTGCACCGGCTTCAACTTTGAATGGCCATAATTTGAGATCTTATTGAACAGTAGACTCAGAAAACTTTCTTCCTATTAGTCTTTTAGCATCAAAAATTGTATTCTATGGGTTTCTAGCAACTTAGTTCTTAGCTGCATCACCAGTAAGTCGTTCAGTATCATTAAAGGCAATATATGATGGAGTGGTTCTATTACCTTGATCATTTTGGAGGATTTCAACTCTATCATTCATCCAAACACCTACACAAGAGTAAGTTGTTCCTAAATCAATTCCTATAGCAATGGGTTAAGCCATAATTCTTATGCTCTATTCTTTTTTATTAAAACCATCCATATCCTACTTTTGCTTTTAAATGCATTTTTAGAACTTTCTCGAAAAATCTTTTTTTCATTTAATTTAAATTTCGTTTTCTAGAACTTTCTATATTTTTAAATATAAATTCAATTAATTTTTAATACCATTAAATTTTTATTTATCCATTTAACTTTAATATAAACTTTTCTATTATTAATTAGATACTTAACATTAGGAATTTCAAGTTGATATTTGAAAATAATTACATTCGCTGATTTTTGACAATTAAATTTTTTTTCATTAAATTTATGGAATATAAACATTATTTTTTCATATAAAACATTGCTCCACCAAGATTTGAAAATGAAGAGAAGATGATTAAATATCAATTTTATTTAATAAATAATCAAAGATGACATTTTTTAATTTATACTGATATATATTAAAAAACTTTTAAATTCTCTTCTTTCACACTGATTTATCACAACTCTTGAGTGATAAAATATCGTTATTATGGAATATCAAAATTGAATAATTTAATATTCTGAGCAAAAAATGTCATTTTAATTCATAAAACATTCTATAGTAGAATTATTAAATATTTAATTTTCTTTTGCCAAACTTTTTAGCTTATTCAATCTCTAATACTATTTCTCAATTAACCACAGCATCTTATAATAGTTTAATTATAATTTTCATGAGCTACATAATCAAATATTTAAATAAAAGTCTTAAAACCATGAAATTTTGGGTATAAAGCTGACTATAAATATTGAAGAATTTGTGTTATATAATTAATGATCCATAAAAGGAATAGAAATTTTTAAAATTAATATTTTCTCTAGCATGGTCAGAATTATATGAATATTTCTTTAATTAATATATATTGAAATAACAAAAATATTAGAAATGTTAAAATAATTATAATTTACAGTGAATGACTTTCGATTATTAAGTAGAAATGCGAGTTTTGAATTCTAAAGGAACTAATTCGTGTAAATTACTAATTAAAACTGAAATTGATCATTTTACTTCTGCTTCAGCAAACGCCAATAGTAGCTAGGCAGAGGAAAAAATTAACTTCAGAAATGAAATGCATTCATCAGATTCTGGAAATAATTTACAAGAAACAATTAATAATTCTACTAGCACTTGCATAAATGAAAAAGAAGATTGCAAAAAGTGTAAAAAATTTTAAAAAGAGCTGAAAAAACAAATCAAATAATAAAACATTAGAGAAACTAATATTTATTATGAATAATTACAGAATGAATTATATAGAAAAGCTTTATTAAGGTTGAAAGAGGGAGATCAATCTATTAAATAAAGGATTATTACAGCATACAGAAGTATGGAAACTAAAGTTAATGATTCAGCCTTGAAATATGCTTAAAGGCATTGCCAAAAATATGGCATAAATGATGTAAATCCGATTGTTATAGTATACAAAATACTGCTTCTCCCAGAAGAAGTTCTAAAAAAATTTGTTTAAGCAGAAGATAAAGCGATATTAAGATAAGAATATAAGTTTTATTCTTTAAATATACATCCTGATAAAAATAAACATTAGAAAGCATTATTTGCCTTTTAAAAGATGAAAACATATTGGAATGATATTCCTAACTAGTCTCATCATTGATTAATTTGTACTTAATTTTTATAAAAATAACTTATTTAATGAATGCAGACGAGATCACTTTCGTAAGCATATTCTTTACAAATTTTAGGCTAATAACTATTCTGAAACAATATTTTAGGATAGATAATTAAGATTTGCATATCATTCGCCAATAAGATCATAATCTCAATTTTGTGTTTAAAAGAGCAAATCTCAATATATACCTAATGTATCTAATGTAACAAGAGTAAGAATTATGAGCAAACTTGAAATGTTAGATTCCCTAAATAAGGTGCAAACAGCAAAATTATGTAAGTGAGATTTCGTTAAATTTGAGCTCAAAAATGATCCTCATATGAATCCATAAAAATCAAACAAAGCAGATATCCTTTCGAAGGTTGCTTAATTAGTCAAGAAATTATAACATAGAGAATTACCCCATAAAATGATAGAAGCAACTGTTTTATCTCGTAAAACATCGATTCCAAAAAATACAAAATTGCTTCTTTAATAGGAACATATTGTGAAATAAATTACTATAACTCAAAGGGCTAAAGGAAAATAATAGACCCAAAGCCAGTGTTAATCACATCATGAATTATACAATGTGGAATTATTAAGAAGAAGCCCTGAATAAAAAGACTAGAAAACAGAAGATAATAGCGAATACAAACTTGTACAATAAAAGCTCCCTTAAATTAAATCTTAAAAAGGATTCTCAAGAAGTAATAAAAATATCGGTCCAATTTAAAAAAATGTAATTGTTAGCTATTAAACAGCAACTAATAATAGCATGACATAATTGAGTAATATATAAAATTCATCAAATCAATAATAAGATACTAAACCTGTTATCAAAGTCAATAATTATAATAATGTTGCTAACTTACTTTAAACTAGCACTTTGGTAAGTAAATAACCTAATTCAGTGGAAACCGAAAAAAAAACTGCAGCACTCATCTCACAATTATAAATACTACAATAAAAACAATCAGCAAAAAGATTGCCAATACCTGATTCGAGTAATTTATCTCTAAGTGGATGGACAGATCGATCCCCTATAAATTGATATCAATTTTGAAAATTTGTAAAAACTGTAATTGTTAAAAACTATAGATTTTTAAAAGAAATATTCAATAGCAATAATAGAAAACTATATTTCTAATTTTCATTTAAATCAGTTTTTAATTATTTTATTTTAATAAAAATGTTTACAGAATATTTTTGAAGTTAAGAGAGATGAGGCAGAAATGGATGATAAGCTATTGGAAAAGATTCATAAAATTATAGTAGAGAACTGATATCAATTCTTTTCAGCTAATTATATAAATATATATAATAAAAAAAATAATTCAAATTAATGAAAATATAACATGATACTTGATAATATTGAATTAAAGCGTAAAAAAATATTGAAGGCTTACGATAACCATACTACATTTCTTAAGATGATCAGGTTCCATAAAGAGAGTTGATGCTTCATTATTTAGTTAATAAAAAACAAAGAAAAATTAAAAGTGAAGTTCAATCTAATGGTTTTGAAGGTTCAGAAGAAAATTGTTTGACATAACAAATAATTCTTAATAGGAGAGTATGACTTATTTTCCATATATGACTAATCCATTATCCTGAATGTAATTTTCAAAATAAATATAATTATTTATATAATGTAACCAAAGAAAAAGGGTTCATTTTTTGACTCTATCAAATAATTTTTTAATGATGCCCCAATTGATGAGATAATCTACAATGAAGCAAATTCTACAATACCCACAGAAATTAAGCAATCAAAGTAAAGTTCATAGCAAAGTACGAAAGAAAGATCTAGTGATCCTAATGTTTTTAAAATTGGGAATGAAGATGAAGCCAATTAAATTTATAATGATGAAGAAGAGGATTAGGAATCACAAGCAATAGGTGAAATGCAAAAAGAGTACAAAATATTAATCCTTTATAATTTTAAATAAGTTGGTAAACCATTGGATTCTGGGTATTAGAAAAAATAAATCATCAATTTTCCTCCAGGTAGTACATTTAGAGTAATAAAACCAATTAAAACTCATAAATCATTAATGGATTATTTATCTTCCGAAACTGAAAGGTATTTGGCTTTGGATGGAGGTTGGATTTACTTTTTTTAGTTAATTAGTAAAGATAATTATTTAGTAAGTTCTGCAAATTCTTTAAATAATTTATTCTAAATATTAATTAAGAAAAATGAAACAAAGCCTACATTTCGATTAATTTTTACTACAAAATAAATCAAAAGATTTTATTTAGTTAACACAGAATAACAAGATTTACTATTTCTAAAACTAAAAACTGAATGTTAGAAGCATGGAAAATCATTTAATTATTGAATAAATAAAATATAATGAATAATAGATATTAAAATATTGACTTAAGCTACATATTCAATAAAGCAAATATGAAATTACTTTGGTTTTAGCAATAATGTTAATGCAAAATACAAGCATTTTCATGAAATAATAAATTATTTTTAATTTAACCTGAGTTCTCTGCTTTATGTGATTTCTATATTGCTAACTTTAGATACAAAAATATCATTGTATTCTAAATTAATTATTATTAATGGATGAAATCTGAGAAAGTCGTTTATAATATTAATTGTAATTTTAGGTCTTTTCTAAATAGAGTTTATTGTATTACATTTTTTTTTATATTATTAAGAATAATAAATCATATTTTTAACATATAATTAAGAATAATAAATTATATTTTTAATGAATAAATTAATAAAAAAAGAAAAAACTAATAATAAATTTTTGTTTGTTAATGAATAATTTAGATTAATCAATTTAATCGGAATTCGATCAGTTCAAAGCACAATGTTAATAATAGGAGATGGTCATCAATAATCCTGAATCAAAATCCTTTTAAGATAAATCTTAGTAGTAATAGCAGAATTCATCAATACAATATTAATCTGATTAACAATTATAATCATATTAATAGAGCGTCATCCAATTTTAGGATTAACCTTAAGTAGAAATATTTGAGACTTCTTTAAATGAGACAGAACAATATCTAAATATCAGTTTTCAGGATATCATTCAACTTCTATTTAATAATTAATGCCCTTAGTTGATTAACGAACTTAAAAGAGTGATTTAAAGAAGTTGCATAGTCTTAAATGTGTTTACTATTCTAAATTTAATCTTCTTAATCAATGAAGTTGTAGCTTTGTATTTTTCATTAATTACAAAGGATGAAATAAAAGAGTTATTTGGAGTTTATTTTGGATTCAATCTAATATCAGATTGTCTGATGATATATATTAATTGCTAATTAAGGTATACAATAAATGAAGCCGAACAAATAAATAATGGTGACATTACTCATCCAATTATTGAATACTTAAAATACACTATATCATAAAACAGTCCATTCTCAAACATCATGGGAGATGATGAATAGGATCTTTCAGCATACTAAGTAGCATCAAGAATATCTGGGTCAATTACAACGACAAAATGGATTTCTTATTTACTTGAAAGTTAAAATTCTTAAATATTTGTACTGACTAGAGTATGTGTATTGGTAAAGATTATTTTATTTGCTTGGGGAAACATAACAATATTGCAATGGGGATTTCTAAGTTGGGATAATTAGATGAATAGCAGGGACTATTACCAATCTATACTTATAGTCTTGACTTTATTTTCAATGTTGATGGGCTACATAATTTTAATTTTAATCATCAGTGTATTGTTAATAATAAGTGCCATAATTCCAATATTAATGTGGATAGCTATTTGCTAATCATGCTGTTGGTGCACTGATCTTTATGATGAATACAAACAACATAGAATAGAATAATAAAGGCAAGGGTTTTTATCAAATTTAGGTTCATAAAAATTCTAAGATTTAAAGGAGTAGGATACAAATATGCATGAAGAGTGTTCCATCTGTTTATAGGCCTACCAAATTGATGATAAATGCATCAAATTACCTTGTAATGTTGATGGTGGAACTAAGAAAATCAATCACATTTTTCATGATGAATGTATAAGAATTTGGATACAAGAACAGGGTTCTTGTCCGATTTGCAGAACTATATTTATAGAAAGACTTTAAAATTGATAAATTTTCTTTTATTATTATTGATTATTCTTACTTTAATTAATAATTTTAGTTTTATAGCAGTTAAACCTTCAATGTCTCTAAATACAACGATGCCATATTATCGTAATACATCAAGAGAAATCAAAACCGTCAGGAAATTATACAAGCTGAAGCAATTAAAAGTGCCAGAATATTAAGTCGAGATAAAGTAAAAGTAAAACAAAATACATCATTTGGGGATTGTAAAATTATATGCTTAATTATAAGTAAATCGAAGTAAAAGAAAAAGCAACAACTCATTTTATGATAATCGAAATGTTTCTTAGAATGAAAATACAAATATACTGTAGAGCTATTTAGCAAATGCATTCTAAGAGAAAAAAGAGAATTTGTAAAAAATATAGATGCAAGAAATCGCTAATAAAAATAAATTAGAAGAGAATAAATAAAAAGAGATTAAATATTTAATGCGAATTGCAGCCTTGGAAAAGGAATCATCAAAATTAACTGAAATGGTATCAAAATTAAAGAAAGAAAATTCATCACTAAAATAATCAAGTAATGCAGAATCTATAATCTTGTAATTATAGGAAGCTTTAAATTAATAAAGAGTTGAAAATCAATTACTTAAAAAATAAATAACCAACCTCTAAAATACTCATAATAGTTTTAATAATAGTATGCAAAAGAGATCAGAGGTTTAAAAGAGTATTACACTGAATACAACAAACACAGTTAATACAGCAAATACAACAACTAATACTTTTAATGATATTGTAAAATCTAAAGAGTATGTACCCAGTTATTTACTTGCTTTAAGTTTAGCTGAATGAATTAATATTGATAGTAATTTTATATTCTTATTTCAAATATCTCTCGCTTTATAATAATTGATAACATTTTTTTTAATTTATTTAGAATAATTGCAATTTATGTTCTTGATTTTATGAATAAAAATTACTTATTCTTTTTTTAGAATTAGAAATGTAAACAAACTGACAATGGCAGCTCTTCAGATATTAAATAAAGCTTTTTGTATGATAGTTTTCATATATATATGATGATATATATTAATATATAGAGGAAACCTGTATCTCTTTAATTATGGTTACTAATAAACTGGTAATAGAACAAAGGAACAACCAATAACAATTTTATCACCATTTAAAGAATTTAAGAAATAGATCTTTAACAATAACCAAATTATTGATTTCTAAAATATTTTAAATAATTAATTAATTTAAGGTTTACTTTTTATTAAAAGGAGTCAATTAATTATATATTTTATCACATTAATATTGTCAAGTGGAGTCTTGTTTATAATTTCGATAAAATGATCATAATTATAAGATTAGTGCTCAAAATAATAATTATACTGATCCTCCTAATTCCACTATTCAAAACAATATTAATTAATCACCAAAGATTATGTCATTTATAATTTTATTAATGCTTATGTTGGTCATCTTGTTCTATTTTAACTGAGAATTAATCATCCGCTTCTATAATCATATTATCCCAGGCTACCTATTCTTATTCTTATTCAACTTCTTTTTCTTATTTCTACTCTTTAGCAAATTGTTTTTTATGTTATTGAATGAATTTATATAGTCGACCCATCTTTTGATTCAAAAATCTGTCAATCTAGATGGATTTAGAGATATTTCTATTAGAAAAAATAAAGCAATACTTAAAGGTTTTATGATACATTTAAAGAGTTCTTAATGGAATTCCAACCTTCAAAGCTGCTTAATTACAATTTGGGTACACAATATTACCATTAATCTCATAATATCCATTTTCAAACAAGTCCCTCCATTATTAAACTGCATGCCAAGCGTCTTTAACATATCTCACTTTTCTTTATCTTATTTAGTGATAGGTTTCGTCATTCATTCTATTATTATTAGAGATCATTTAAATTAATTAATTGGTAAAAAATACTGTTTTATTTAAAATTAACTCTTGTAAATCTGTAATTATAAAACTATAAAGCAAATACACACATATTCTCATTGTATGTAAAAACACCTAAATTGCCTTTTTATATTTGTTTAAGAATTTTAAATTTTAAAATACCTATACTAAACTAAACTTTAGGTTATTGTAATATCATTATTTGCAATGTAGTTCTAAGGAGCTCTTAAAATACTAAATACCTTAAGATATAACAAATAATCTCGGCTTGATAAACTTGAAATCTTCAATACAAAAAAATTTATGTTTGAAAATTTTTTAACAATTTCTTGGACGTTAAATAAATTCAATAAATTAAAATTGTTATTATGTCTATCAATAATTAACAACATTTTTAGAATTATAAAAATAAGTATGAACAATTTTTGTATCCTTTTATCATGGATAAAGGAAGTAAACATCAAAGGAGCCTTCATTAATAAAAGGATGATCTACAAAGAAAAGATTGATAAAAAAAAGAATATTTCTAATTTCGAATTTGAAACATTTGAAATTTAAAATTCCATGAATTCAAAAATAAAGTTCAAATAATTATCATAAAAAATTTAATTTTAGCTATTTATAAAATAGAAATGGTGAAAGGAAAATTTTTGAAAATATATTTAATGGAATGATGTAAAGAGTATAATAATACGGTTAAAATGGAATGGATGGATAAGGTTCATAAGTTGATTAAGTAGATTGAAATAAGAAATAATTAAATAAAATAAATATAATTAAATAAATAAATAAATAAATATAGATATATTATAAACAACATAGAATATATTTTGGTATATAAATAGTTAATTAGAGTTAAAGTAATAATAATAAATAAAGAATACAGAAAATGGATATTTAAAATGCGAAACCAGCTTAAGACTATGTAGCATACAATGTACCATTATTACCTGCAGAATAATAATCAAATAATCAATATTATGCTCCTTAAGTTTAATAAACTTAATAATAATAATAAATTAATTAATAACCATATTTTATTAATCCTTATCAACCATTAAATATTTAAGCAGATTAATAATAATAATAGGATAATAATAATAATAAAAAATAACAGGAATAGTAATTCAAAGTCCTTATATTCCATATGTATGATATAAATAATAAAATTATAGACTCCTTAAGTAGTATAAAATGCATCTGGATCTAGAACTCCTGTATTACTTTAATGTTGTTTTTGTAATTAACATTCAGTTACTACAATTACATATAAACCAGGCAATAATACATATTGGGTTTCCTTATTATTATGTCTATTCTTTGGTTGTCTATGTTTCATACCTTTATTATCTGGAGATTGCAAAGATGTTTATCATCAATGCAGCTATTGTGGAAAAGTAGTTGGTCACACTCCCTATAAACCATGTTCATGATTTTTATATATTCTATACAATACAGTTATTTACACTTATAAGGGATGTAAAAATATAAAGAAATTTTTAATTATAAAATATTAATTAATCAAATGGATTATAATCAAAATAACTAATATGGATAAGTTTCAGGTCAATAAGGATATCCCTATTTTCAACCCAACCAAAACCCTTAATATAATTAACCTTAACCCTAACCTTACCCTCCTTATCAACAGCCAGCACCGTATTTAGACCCAAATATTCCAGTTGGATAACCAGTCGGTTAACCCTAATATGGAAACTACCCATAACAACCAGTGTAGTAAGGAGTTTTATTAATCTCATCAAAGCTCGTCTGGGTTTGTGCAGAATGGACCGATTTATACAGCAGCCCCTGTTTTACGAAGTGCAGAGGGAATGAGATTTCCAGTTTAAATTTAATGCCCATATTGCAATTAATAAGGAATCACAAGAATTGAGAATAGAGTTGGAGATGGGACTATTTGTGCTTCTATTTTAGTTTTACTCTTTTGCTGGCCCTTGTTTTGGCTTCCTTGCTGTTTAGAAGATTGTAAGGATAGAGTTCATCTTTGCATTCATTGTCAAAAATGTGTTGGCAAAAAAAAGTATGAGATTTGTTGAGAACTTGATCATTATTAATTATTAAAATATAATCTTATTAGTTTTATTATATTCAACAAGGATGGGATCAATATTTAAGGTAAGTTTAGTTGTTATAAATTTGTTAAGAAATCTTATCATTAAATAATTAATATTGTTTAATTCGAACCTTATGAAGAACAGTTCCGAGATTTGTAACCAGATGACTGTGTACTAAAGCAATAGTGAATTTCAAAAACCTACCCTGACTAACTTAGCCCAAAGTGCATACATGAGTTCGCCATTATAACCAAATATTCTCTCTCGATCTTAACCAATCACTCCAAACAATGGAGATTAGGCTGATTAAATCATAGAAATCGGTTTACCCAAGGTTTTAACAAGAAAAATGACAAAGTATTTGAGTCGATCAATAAATATAGAAATGATTATTTAACAACAGCCAATGGACATAAATCATAGTAAGAAATCTTTTGCAATAATTGCCAAAGAATAAATATGACTAGACTTGAAACTGAATACGGATTGGGTGCTATCTAAGTTACTTGTTTGTTAATTGTCTTATTTTGGCCATTATGCTGGTTGCCTTGTATCCTAAAATAATGTAAAGACATAATTCATTACTGTCCATTTTGTAACTAAATAGTTGGAAGAACCCCCTACACATTCTGTTGATTTTTATGGTTATTGTTACTTAATATTATAATACATTCTCATAAATCATATTCTTTCTGGAGATCAGCTTCAATACAAGAATTAATCGATTATTAAGCTTCGAAATATTCTAATAATGCTGTTTGTTAATGCTAATGTTGAGAATTTAAGTCCTAAATGACAGAACTAAAATGAATAAATCCCCATTAAAAATGAAATATCAAGCATTTCTTCGTAGAGAAATGCAACTCTTATTCATAACAACGATTTATATAAATTGAGGTCAATAATGCATAGATATGATAACCTAAAAAATTATGAAAATTTCAATTATTTTAAAATCAAATATTTTTGGTGAGAATTTCTAGATTGTTATTGGTCATATTTGATCATTCTCTATTTAATATGCTCTTTGGAAACATTGTCATTTCATATATTATATTATATATAACATTAATAAAACATTAGAGGATTTCTAAATATAGATTCTAGAAGTTTTAAAATACTTGAAATTCTTGAAGAAAAAAGTAATTTTTAGATCGATGTACACTTATACCAAACTTAAGCAAATTAAAGGACAATTTTTAATGATGATGAATTTGTAATTCATTAATAACTCTTTAAGCTTAAGATCCTTATTTTTATCATAAATTATAATATTCAATTAATCAGAAAGATATATCAATTAGTATAAAATACAAGCTTCTTCTATCCTTTGAAAAATGGTTGGAAGCTTTATAAGTTCTTTATTAACCTCGGATTTTCAAAGTCTTTGAATATTATTAGAAAATTTATCTGACTTTTTTGGTTCTGAACGATATTTAATTTATATTCAGCAAAATATAATATTAAAGTTTGTGTACTTTAATTAAAATTTTGTAATTCATTATGAAATTAATTTTAATTAAACAATTTGTATAATGAATAAAAGTAGTCCATAAAATTTTATGGAATTAATTATTTATAAGCTTTATCAGACCATAAGGTTTGATCATTAATTACTTGAACTAATGGAATAAAATATAGCTTGTTAAGCATATCCAGCCTTTGAAGAAAAGCAAAACAAAGAATTACCACAATAATATCAATATCCAAAAGAATAACAAAATGTTCCTGTTGGATTTCCAAATTAATAATACATACCAATCTAATAATAGTAGCCTTATATGAGTATTATTTAAATTTAATGTAGATCCTCAATAAGTAGTCCTATAACCCATAGTTATCCAATAAGTGAGAAGAACAAATGCTGAAGGATGTTCATATCCAACAGATATTTTGTGCCCTTATTGTCAAAAACCAGTTTAGACAATGATTGAATATCAATCAGGGTGCAGCACATGGTTAGCCTGTATGTTGTTGTTTTTGTTTTTCTTGCCTTTGTTCTTTTTGCCATTTTGTTTTGAAGAATGTTAAGATAAGATTCACAAATGCCCAAATTGTGGAAAAAGAGTTGGAAAGAAAAAATATAAATTATGTTGTTGATTGTAAATACACATTTAATTTTTAATTATTATACAAAAATACCTAACTAATGTAAAGTCATAATTAATAACAACCTGGTGTTTATTAGAGTCCTAATTAAGGTTAATACCTCTCACAACAAAACCAGCAAGCTGTTAATAACTACAATTATCCAACCGTCCAAGCTGATTAACAGTATATTCCTCAATAGCAATAGTATGGGTAGCCTATGAATCATTAAGACTAATAATATGTATATGGAGCACCAGTGGGGATGGCTTAAGGAATGCCAATGAAACTACCAAGGACTGCAGATGGAGTTAGATTTCCAGTTGATATTGAATGCTAATTTTGTAAAAGAAACACAAGAACAAGAATTGAATATAAATCAGGAGGAAATGTTTATTGTTGCTCATGTTTGCTATTTTTTACAATTCCAATATTGGTATGCCTGCCTTGTTGTTTGAAATCTTAAAAAGATGTTATACATTATTGTACTTAATGCAATCATCAGGTTGGTTTCGCTGAAAAGAAGTGTTGTGATTGATATCAATTTTATTTAATTTACTAGTAATGGCAAATATCTTCTGTTATAATATATCTTAATTCAATTAATAAAATTATGAGATTAAGATAAACTTATTAACCAAATTATCTCTAGATCTCCCAATCCGAAAAACCCAAAAGAAACGTGTATTCATATGGAAAGGAACTAAATACTCCTGATTCAATTAAACCGCTGAGTCCTTTAATGAATTTGAGACTTTTTCTTTATAAAACTAAACAAAAATTAGAGTTTAAATAGGTGAGCCAATTTACCAGGAATGATCCTTTAGTAAAAGAACAACCTTCTTTCCTATTTAATAAATTGTAGATAGAACAGGATAATTAAATAAAATTTCAGGCCTATTTAGATGGAGATTTGCAAGCTGAAGAGTATTTGACGCTACAAAACTACAAGAGATTATATAATATAACTAAGAATGATAATGGGTCATTTGATAACACAAAAGATGAGATGCCTTACTATACTTAAAGAGAAAGTGCTTTAAAAAAATTGAAAGAGAGGATTATTCATAGATATCATCTGAATAAAAGAAAAAGAGGTTCTGAAATTAGTAGCCAAGTTGACACTTCAAAAGGTAATACTCCTGGTATATAATTGGCTAAATAACTCAAAAAAGTTATAATTAGAAAAAATATGAATAAAATTAATGAAGAAATGACAGCGTATCAAATTTGTATTACTTAGAGAGAATACTTTAAAGAACTTAAAGATGGTTTAGAATGCGGATTTTGCAGTACAGAGACTTTAAGAGACACTTGAATAAGATAAACCTTTTGAGAGCAGTGTGAAGAAGAAAGTAAACTCTACAAAGCATCTAAAAATAATTACTAGAAGAAATAAAACTGAGACGAATGAAGATTATCAGAATAGTAGAATCTAGTTAAATAATGAAATAGTTCATTTGGCTAATTAAACAATTTATGAATCTTAAACTCAAGATAAGCTAAAATAATTAAAGTCAAAAACTCTCAAATTTTCTGATGCCAAAATGAATCAAGTATTAATACAAAAATCTTTATAATCATTCTAAGATCAAAGAAGATGTATAACCGACAGATCATAACAATCATAAGGTTAGAAAAACAATTCTAAATAAAAATTACATTATCAGGGTGAATAGAAATTGGAAGAGAGGGATGATTCAGCTGAATCAAGTCTCTGTTCCTTATTTGAAAAAAAGATCAATAGTTTATATAATTAGAGCATTTTATTAAAGAAAAATATCTCAAATAAGGATAATTTGATTAAACGCATCAAACATATGCAAAGTTTCAATTAAATAGTAGGAGAAGCTGTGCAAACAAACAATTAAAAATTATATAAAATTTGATTGTTTAATTTATTATGCATCTATTCATATAGTTGAATTAACTTTATTAGATTAAGCAACAAGTTATCCTAATACTTATTCCAATTCCTATTCGTTTAAGTTGCCTATCAATGCTTTCTTTTCAACTCCATATCCTACAAATTAAATCTATAAATACTGTATCTGATAAGAATATAAGGATCTATAGATTCACATTCCCTCACTACAAATGGGAATTTTGGATTTGCTTCTTTCCATTGCCAATAATTTTTAGTGACTAGATTTCTATAATTAAATAATACATCAGTACCTTACGCCTTCAGATCTACCACAGTTTTGGCAAAACACAAATCGTAATTCTTTGACAGAGTTACCTAATTATTTTTACCAAGACATTATTAAATTAATTATATTTATAATAAATAGAAAAATGATTAGTGAAATCAAAATTGATCTTTCTTATAGATCTATATTCAGTTGTAGGAATTGAAAGTTTAGTTAAAATAATATCCTGAAAAATCTTGTATCTAAGAGATAATAAGTAAACATGCCTATGGTTTTGAAATTGTTATGCTTTTTCTTAAAGGTGATAAATGAAAAATCAATAATTTTTGAATAAAGTTCTTTGAATATTTGATTAATATCATCTTAAAAAAGTAGTGTCTATAGTCTATATTTTATAAAATTGTTAGCTTCATTAAAAATATCATTCATTCTCTATGTCTATTTGTGGTCACATCCAGGTAGAATAGTAAATGGGAGTGGTCATCTTATTTGAATGCTTAAGGTAATGGAGTTGGAGGGAATAGAATAGTTAGGATTATATATTAAGTATTTATGTTCTGATTTGAAGATTTAATTTAAATAAATTAATTATGATACGAGGGTACACATCCGTATTGAGAAAATCACTTTGGTATTTACCATCAATGGGATTCTCAAAGAAATTGGGTATTGGTGAGGCATCCAGTGTATTAGAAGATAAAATTAAAAATATTTCCCAATTGGTAAAGGATTATAGTGATAAATTAGAATGACATCAAAGAATATGGTACAGTTATCTCCATTGGTGATGGTATTGCTAGAGTTTTTGGATTAACATAAGTTTAAGCAGGAGAAATGGTTGAATTCAGTTCAGGAGTAAGAGGCATGGCCTTGAATTTGGAAACAGATAATGTGGGTATTGTCGTGTTGGGTAATGACAGGTATGTGATTAAAACTCATTTATTCTAGAGAAATCTAAGAAGGAGATATTGTCAAAAGAACAGGAGCAATTGTCGATGTCCCCATTGGTATGGAAATGTTGGGAAGAGTATTTGATGCTCTTGGTAACCCAATCGATGGACATGGTCCAGTCAAAACAAACACAAGAAGAAGAGTTGAATTGAAAGCACCAGGAATTATTCCAAGAAAGAGTGTCCACGAACCAATGTAAACAGGATTGAAGGCTGTTGATTGTTTGGTTCCAATTGGAAGAGGACAAAGAGAATTGATTATTGGTGATAGATAAACAGGAAAGACAGCTATTGCTATTGATACAATCATCAACTAAAAGCCAAACTTTGACTCTGGTGACAAGAATAAATAATTATATTGCATTTACGTTGCTATTGGTTAAAAGAGATCAACTGTTGCTAACTTGGTTAAGATTCTTACATAAGCTGGTGCTATGAAATACACAATTGTGGTTGCAGCCACAGCCTCAGAAGCTGCTCCACTTTAATATTTAGCACCATAGTTCTCGGTTGTGCTATTGGAGAATATTTCAGAGACAATGGAATGCATGCTCTTATTATTTATGACGATCTTTCTAAATAAGCCGTTGCTTATAGATAAATGTCATTGTTGTTGAGAAGACCTCCAGGCAGAGAAGCCTATCCAGGTGATGTCTTCTATTTGCACTCCAGATTGTTGGAAAGAGCAGCTAAACTCAATGCTGAAAACGGAAATGGATCATTAACTGCCTTACCAGTTATTGAAACTTAAGCTGGTGATGTCTCAGCCTATATTCCAACCAACGTTATTTCTATTACAGATGGATAAATTTTCTTGGAAACAGAATTGTTCTTCAAGGTATTTCTTATATTCTATAATTATTTTAGGGTATTAGACCAGCTATCAATGTCGGTTTGTCTGTGTCAAGAGTCGGATCTGCTGCTTAAATCAAAGCCATGAAGACAGTCGCTGGTAGACTTAAGTTAGAATTGGCTTAATACAGAGAAGTCGCTGCATTTGCCCAATTTGGTTCAGATTTAGATGCTGCCACTTAATAATTATTAAACAGAGGTGCATAATTAACAGAATTACTTAAATAAAAACAATACGTATGTTATTATGAAATTCATATTTTAGGTCCCAATGTGTGCTGAAGAATAAGTTTGCGTCATTTATGCTGGTGTCAGAGGATTTTTGGATAAAGTATAAACTTCAGAAATAGCCAAATTCGAAGAGAAATTCCTTACTCACCTTAGAACCAACTATCCAGCCATGTTGGAAAGAATTAGAAGGTATTTAATATAATAATTCTTTAGTACTGGTGAATTGAGCAAATAAGATGATGCTGAATTGAAAAGTATCTTAGAAGTCTTCATCCCAGAAGCTGGTCTTGCTATGAAATAATGATCAATTACAAATAATAATACAATATATAAAATAATAATAATTGATAAGTAGTATTTTCATAAGATATTAAATTTAACTTAAAATTATTTCTTAGAGAAGGAAGGTCCAAAATTTGGAACCTTTGAAATTCAATGAGAATTTTAAATTTTAAAAGTTTTGGTGAATATAATAGCTCAGACATTAATAATAAGCCTTTGCATATTAATAAGTTGGATTAATAATGAAATATTTTAATTACAAGCAGTATTTGCTAATATTTTTGCTATAAATTTTTTAATTAAATAACAATTCTTTTTATAGAATGAGATAGAATATTTTGAGATTATCATGAATCTCTTATTTTATGATAAGAATACACATAATTTGATTCAATTTGAATATTTTTGGTTATTAGATCTATGATGATCATAAACTTGGTGTAATAATCTTACCTAAATGTTCATAAATTAACTTTCTATATTTTAGAATATTGGAATGTCTTTAGAATAAGTATATGAGAATCTAAATTGCTTGAATTGATGAGTCATCTGCATTGAATCGATTTCCTAGTAGCTGTTATTTTTGAATGGGTTTTTATAAAAAATATAATTTTCTAGAAAATTTATATGATAGTGCGCAATAACAAGATATTGGGGAGAGATAATTGGTGTATAAAAATTTCATACAAAAGGTAATGGATACACGTCTCCATGAATTAAATAAATAAATGAGCAAATATATTTATACATTTGGTGATGGCAAAGCTGAAGGCAGTGCAGCGATGAAGAATCTTTTGGGAGGCAAAGGATCTGGATTGGCCGAAATGAACTTGATTGGCATTCCAGTACCCCCAGGCTTCACAATTACAACAGATGCTTGCAACTTGTACACTAAGAATGGTGCTGAATCCACTTTCGCTCTCATCAAGGCTGATGTTGAGAAAGCACTTCATTAAGTAGAAGAATTGACTAAGATGGAATTTGGCTCAGCTGAAAACCCCTTACTCGTTTCTGTTAGATCTGGAGCTAGAGTTTCAATGCCCGGTATGATGGACACAATTCTTAATCTTGGATTAAATGATATCTCAGTAGAGGGATTGAGCAAGAGAACAAACAACCCAAGATTTGCATGGGATTCTTACAGAAGATTCATTCAAATGTTCAGTGACATCGTGTTGGACATGAAGCCAACCACCAAGGAAGACATCGATCCATTTGAAGAAATCATCGAAAGTGTCAAACATGCTAAGGGAGTCAAATAAAGATACCGAACTTGAAGTTGACGATCTTAAGACTCTCGTTGAAAAGTATAAGGTTGCTGTCAAAGCAAAAACAGGAAAAGATTTCCCATAAGAACCATAATAATAATTATGGAGAGCTATTTAAGCTGTGTTTGATAGTTGGAACAATGATAGAGCTAAATACTACAGAATTCTTAACAAGATCCCTGAAGATTGGGGAACTGCAGTCAATGTCTAAGCTATGGTTTTCGGTAACATGGGAAACACATCAGCCACTGGAGTCGGATTCACTAGAGATGCATCAACAGGAGAAAATATTTTCAATGGAGAATATTTGATCAATGCCTAAGGAGAAGATGTCGTTGCAGGTATCAGAACACCATAATAAATCACTTTGATTGGATCAAAAAGATGGGCTGAATTATAAGGAGTTCCTGAAGATGTCAGAAAAAATCAATTCCCATCATTGGAAGAATCATTACCAGAAACATACTAAGAATTGAAGAATGTCTAAGAAAAATTAGAATAACACTTCAAAGATATGTAAGATATTGAATTCACTATTCAAAATGGAAAATTATGGTTATTATAATGCAGAAATGGTAAAAGAACTGGTGCTGCCATGGTTTAAATTGCTTGTGATTTATTAAGAGAAGGAAAAATTGATGAAAAGACAGCTCTTAAGAGAATTGAGCCAAATAAATTAGATGAATTATTGCATCCAATTTTCACACCAGAAGCTTTGAAGACAGCCAAATTTGTTGCCAAGGGATTACCAGCATCTACCAGGAGCAGCTTCAGGATAAATTGTTTTCTTCGCTGATGAAGCCAAGAAATTTGCTCAAAGTATTTTAGTAAGAATTGAAACATCTCCAGAAGATTTGGAAGGTATGAACATTGCCAGAGGTATTTTGACAGCCAGAGGAGGTATGACATCTCATGCTGCTGTCGTTGCAAGAGGTATGGGTAAATGCTGTGTTTGTGGTGCTGGATCTTTGAACATTAATTACAAATAAAGAACACTTGAAGTTAACGGAAAGGTTTATGCTGAAGGTGATTGGATTTCATTGAATGGATCAACAGGAGATGTCTTTGAAGGAAAATTAAAAACATAAGAAGCATAACTCAGTGGAGATTTTGGTTTGATTATGGATTGGGCTGAGAAATACACTAGAATGTATGTTAGAACCAATGCAGACACACCAAAGGATGCTTAAATTGCTAGAAAATTCGGTGCCAAGGGTATTGGATTGACAAGAACTGAACATATGTTCTTTGAAGGAGAAAGAATCAAAGCTATGAGAGAAATGATTCTAGCATCAGATTTGGCAGGCAGATAAACTGCATTGGCTAAATTATTGCCATTCCAAAGAAGTGACTTTGAAGGTATTTTTGAGGCTATGAATGGATATGGAGTAACAATTAGATTGTTGGACCCACCCCTCCATGAATTCGTTCCACATGAAACTGCTTAATAATAGGAATTGGCTTAAGATATGGGATTGACTTTAGATTAAGTTAAATAAAAGGTCCATGAATTAGCAGAATTCAACCCAATGTTGGGACATAGAGGTTGCAGATTAGGAATTACATATCCAGAAATCACAGAAATGTAAACCAGAGCCATCATTGAAGCAGCTCTTAACATCAAAGCCAAGGGTATGGATGTTAAACCAGAAATTATGGTTCCATTAGTTGGTAATGTTAATGAATTAGAGCACTAATTGAAAGTTGTTAAAAAGACAGCTGAAACAGTATTCTAAGAGAGAAAGGACACAATTCATTATTTAGTCGGAACTATGATTGAAGTACCAAGAGCTTGCTTAGTTGCTGATTAAATTGGTCAAATTGCTGAATTCTTTTCATTTGGTACAAACGATTTGACTTAGATGACACTCGGATTCTCAAGAGATGATGCTGGTAAATTCTTACCATATTACATTAACAATGGAATCTTGAAAGTCGATCCATTCTAAGTTTTGGATAGACAAGGAGTAGGAAAGATGGTTGAATTAGCAGTCAAGAATGGAAAATCAACAAATCCAAATTTGAAAGTTGGTATTTGCGGTGAACACGGAGGAGAACCATCATCAGTTGAATTCTTCCACATTGTTGGATTAGACTATGTCAGTTGCTCACCATTCAGAGTTCCAATTGCAAGAGTTGCAGCAGCCATTGCCAATTTAACCCATCCCTGAGTATTTCATTAAAAAAATATATAAATTTTATATTATTTTAAAATTTCTGCTGTCGAAATTATACGACACAATAAATAGAATTAAAAGTTAAAAATCACTCTGAGGAATTGTGATTGTAAATAGTGAAGGAGTAGATTATCACTATTACTACTTACCTTAAGAAGAAAAAAATTAGGGTAACTTCCATTATCCTCTATTTTGATACTAATGATCAAGTCTATTCCTATTTTTTGCTTATAAATCAAGATCTTTGGTTAGAGATTTAAATTCCACAAATAATTTGGCATTAGTAAATCTAAATAAAATGCAATTCTAATAGCTTCACATAAAGATCATTTATTAATTATTATTCAAGAGCTTAAAAATAAGAAGATCTTGATTAATAAGATATGCAAGCATAATCTTTACATTACAAATATAAATATACGTAGATCAAAATAACTGAATATTAAAATGATAATGTTTTCCGTTTATTTAATATATAACATTAATAGATTATGTTTAAAAATTTACTCAAATCAGGTAATCATCACATAAACTTATTATAGAATTAAATAAGAATGAATATTCTCAAATAAAAAATTATTTAATCATTAGACTAAATCTGAAAGGGTTTTTAAATTTATCTTCATTCTTTTTGAAAAATTAATTTTTTAAGATTTATTGAAAATCTTATTGGAATTGTTTGGTACATCAAAAGAAGAGTTGAATAAAAAAAAATATATAATCACCTATCAATCGACCTTCGAAACGATTTAACTATCCATAATCTAACAATGCAAGTAAATTATTCCAAATCCTCAAACAGACTCCTTCAATTTAATAATCAGCATTTAAATCCTCTAAGAAAAACAATAAAAGCACAGGATTAAATGAAAGCCTTTACCGAAAAGTATCTAAATTCATTAATATAGAAATATTGCATATCGATATTAAAGAACCTAGGACTTATCTTAGACAAGTCATTTCTCCTTATTGAGATTTTCGATCATAAGTCTCATTTGATATTGCACCTTAAACATGTGTGGCAGCTCCTCGAAAAATTAGTCAGTCTTAATAACTGATTCAACAAAAGAATTCTGTTCGAAGATCCAATAGTTTCAAAGATCTTTTCAAAGCTAAATTACATTTGGTCGATACATTAATAATTGAATACTCAAAATCTTATAAATCAATTTTATTTGATAAATTCAAAAGTGATCCTTTCTTTTATTAAGAACAAATAAAATCATAGACCGGTTCTAATCAATCAAATTTATCATATTAATATCGCAATAATAAATCATTTAAATGTGTTTTGATCTAAAATTTAAGAAATTTGTTAACATCTAAATAGATAGAATAACTATTTTAAATATCATTATATTGAATTAGGCTAATTTAAAACAATATTATTTCTTTTGTATCTCTAAATGTAATAAATTCCTAATTTAGAAAACGATGATTTTATTGAAAAATATTAAGTTAAAGGCTAACTAGGAAGGGGGTCATATGGTGCAGTAAAATTTTGATATTAATCAAGGTTTATTAAGTTATTGATCCCAATGGATAGATATATGCTCTTAAATGTATATATAAAAGTCGTTTTAAAGAAGTCAATGGATAAGTGGGAAATTTAATTTAGAACGAAGTTGATGCATTATAAAAACTCGAAAGTTAATATATTGTTAAATTAATATCAACTTTTTATTCGGATTATCAAGGAGAATCTCTTTTTTGCATATTATTGGAATTTTGTGAAGGTAATTATTATATGCTTTACTTTAGGTGGAAATCTTTTGGAATATTTAATTCAACAGTAAGATACATTTAATTAACAAAATGCCATAATTTTTTTCAAATAAATCCTTTAAGGAATGAAGGAAATCCATTAGAAGAGGATCATTCATAGAGATCTAAAATTAGCTAATATTTTGATACACAAAGATCAAATAAAAATTGCTGACTTTGGTTTCTGTCATATCCTAAATTCTGATGTATTTATCTCATCTAACATAAAGACAAGCTAAATTAATTTGAACTTAGGTACACTCGGCAATTAGGCACCAGAAGTTTTGGATGATTAACCTTATGGATTAAAGTCGGACATGTTTTCAATAGGTGTCATTTTATACTAATTATTGTTTCTTGCATATCCATTTAGTATAAAAAATTAGGAAACCTTTTTAGACGAGGTCTCGAATTCAAGTATTTTTCAATAGTATTCTTTAGATCCACCTTCATTTAAGAAAAATGGTAGAAAAGTAGAACAATATTTGGAAGATTTACTTACCAAAATGTTAAGAAAAGATCCCGCTAACAGATTAGATTGGACAGATCTATTCAAATCCAAGCTATTTCAAAATAGTTATTCATGTATTCTAAAGATGATATAAAGAAATTTTTGGTTTATCAACAATAGATGAATAAACTGAAATAGACCCTGTTTAAAGCTATATTTTTTATCAATAGCAGGTATGTGCCGATTTTGTAGAGTCAACTGTTATAATTGATAAAAAAAAACCTATTTATCTTGATCGAGAATCTCAAATATCATTTTTAATGTACACTCAAGAATTCAGCTTTCAAATTTATCATAGATAGATTTTAATGGTAAGATAAATAAAATACTTAGTGTCTTTTTCCATGTTTCCTAATACACAAGCAGTTATATAAGAAATAAATGGAATACTAGGATTAAAATAAAAATATGTCTTATGATCTCACCAATACCCATTAAATTCTAACTTACCAATATTAAGTTGTAATGTAATGACTATCTTATTTTCAGGGCAAATCATGATAAACTTAACAAATTAAACATTATTCAGAAGAATTGGGAAATTGAAATAATAAATCTATCAATGAGTCCATAATTTTCAAATATATTTTCAGAAGCACTTTTGAAATATTTAATAAGTCTAAGATAGGAAATCTTAAAGGATACGGAAGAATAAAAAATTAATTGGCAATAAATTTTGATTTTTTAAAATGATATTAACAATTAGCAGATTCATAAAGTACTCTAAAAAATCAAGTTTTTTGTCTTAATACATAAAGTTCTATCTTTAGAAACATTAGAAAAAGAAGTATTTGATAAATTACTTAGTAACGCTCAAAATGATTTTAAATAAATCGTGTACATTTATCAGAGCATAAAATTAAGTTGAATTTAACCTATTGATTGTAATAAACATTTCAAATTAATAATAAATATAAAATAGTAGTTTCAAATCAATTTCCTGCCTTTTGCTTTAAGTTAAACATAAACTCTAACTTTACCAACTTAACATGAATATCAATTCTGAAAAACAATTTTCTTAAAACAATATCTTATTGTCTTCGTTTCATATTTGATCCTTTATCAGCATTTAATGGTCTAACTGGAATTTTTAATTGTTTAATTGGAGATGTTTCTGACTTTTTTTTTGTATTCTGTTCAATACTAGTTGATCTTAAGGATTATGGAATTTTTGAAGTTGATTAAACTTTTACCAATGTTGGTTCTTTGCCCTTTTAATTAGACAATTAGTTTAGGTTAATAATATCTAATACCTAAGCAACTGGAGTACGTTTAGTTTGATCCTCGAAAATTGATTAATCAATATGATAAACAATATTGCTGCCATCAAGAGGCTAATAACAGTTATCAGGACCAATAGCTTGAGTCTCAATTTATAATTGTTTAAATCTGTTTGTATCGATGCTTGAGCCTCTTGCACTGCTATCTCTTCTGCTTCTTAAGGGAGTAAAGTTCTTTTCTGGTCTTAGAGCACTGCAGTTAATAGGTTATACTTTAATACGAGAAACTGCTTATTTTTACTCAGAGAAATTTAGAGATGACTTATTATCGATTGCTGGTTATTTAACATCAGTGAATTAATTCACTTTTCTTGAATCACTCATTGAAATAGGAATTAATTAAATTATTTATTCTCCATAATCTTTTTGAGGTGATTAAATATTTTTTGACTTTGGTTCCTCCATTATTTTCACTAAAACAATTTTATCTTGAGTCTATAATTCAAATGTATTATTTTCTAATATAGTTTAAACAGGTTTTTGTTCTTTTAGAGTTAGCTTCTACGGTGAATCTTCTTTCTTAACTATAATATTCTCAATTTATTTTTCAGTCAAGACATTGTTTAGCTCTACTTTTTCTTTAATCTCAGGAACAACCTCAACTTTTGAAATATTTTCCTATTCTTATTTTTTAAATAAATTATATCGACTAGGACTTTTTTTCTTTTGTTAAACTGTTATTTAATCAAATATCTACATGATATTTTATATCTTATTATTATCCTACTTTTTTTCGCTCTACAAAATTTACATAAAGCTATCTTGTTATTATTCTATGAAATCACTATTATTTTAGTAATCAATAACAGATTGTTATTCCATAACTTCAAAAGTTTTCTTTTGTTTTGAATTTTAAATTTACCCTGTCTTCAAGAACGATTTAATTTATTTTTATTATAAATCAGGAATTATAGCTTAGGATTCAAAAGGAATAAGGGAAGAAGTTGATTCTTATTCATCTTTGTATGTTTAAGACTCTAAGACTTAATCTAGTGATTTTTCTGGTTTTATATAAAGCTTATTGATTAAATTGTTTAATTTAGATTGAACAGGTGGTAAGTCTATGTCTAGTATTTCAATTTTTTATAATTAATTATTACTCACTTAAGGCAAAGAAGTGGATACAATTTCTTATTATTATAATTTCGTTTTCAATTAATCTAACCTTTTTGAATTAGTTTTCAATTCTGTTTTAGTCTCGAAAATATCATTAATTAGAAAAACTTATCTTTTTAAATAAAATCTTCCTTTTTCGTCTTCATCTTGACAAACACTCTATTCGAATGAGCTTTCTTCATCCAATGTGTATAAACTATTATTCTAAGTTTTAAATCTTGGTTAATCATATATTTCTCTTATGGATTACAACTTCTAACTTATTGCATATTAAGTTTGCATTGGTAAATTTTAAGTTTTGATTTCGGAGTTTTCTTGCACTTTAACAACTTCAGTATTTTTTGATATTTCTTATTTGCATTCTTCATTATTTGGTTAGATTAGTAATTCAGATTTATTTTTGTATTATTCCAAGAATTTTGATGGTTTTATTGAGAATTCTTCCAGTTCTTAGTTTGTATAACTATTTTCTTTATTGATATTGGGTTGTTCTTGTACTTAAATTGTTACTTGTTTCTCTATTTATGGTAATTTTGTTATCTCAAGTGGAGCTAATATATCAGAATTAGATTAAGTGTTTTTTTTATAATTAAAAGTTGTATCTATCGAAAATTAATTAATTTCTTATTTCTTTTCTGATCTATATTCAATTTCTGAGATTTCTTATTTGTTTGATCTATTGAAGAAAATGTCTAGGATATTGTTATTTGTGGATTGACGAAATCTTGATTCTTCAGATAAGTCCTCTTTTCTATCATACCTATCAGTTAATCGATTGCTGGTATCTAATCTTTCAGTTTTATCTCCTTTTACTTATTTACTTTGTCGAATATCTTAATTTCTTTTTTTAGTAGGGGGATCCCAAGAATCAAAAAGTTATTATTTTAGAGTCGAGACATTGCTTTTACAAAATGTCCTATCTAAAACTGACATTGATTAATCATTTTAATTAACCTTTTAAATCGTTCTTAATGAAGAACAACAGAATTATGAATGGATATCTGAATAAATAAATTTGATTTCTTAAAATTCTTTTTTTTTGAAATTGATTGTAATTTCATTGCCATAATTCATCTTTTTAAATAATGCCTAATTCACATAAAACTGATGAGATTAAAAATCTTCTAAATTCCATTATAAAAGAGATTTTCCTTAAATTGCAAATATAAATTTATTGTTGGCACTAATATCTTCCAAATTATTAATTTTTAATTTAATCATTTTATTGGTGTAGCAATAGACATCGCCATTTTCTGTTAAAGCAAGACCACCAAATTAAAATAATAAGGATTTCTTAAAATATCCATTAATCCCCAATCCATTAAGTTAATGAATTGGTATTTAAACATCATTTTCAATGTTAAATATTTTTCCCCCAACTAAAGAATATATATACTACTAATGTACTTGTAATTAATGTTAACTTTTCTTTGTAAGTACTTATATGTTTACAATGACTGTAGATTGACTTATTAGTTTTCCACCAAAACCCTCTTCCAGCATGATCAATTGCAGTTGTTGGGCTAATACTCATATAATTTTTGCCTTAAACTAACTGCTTTGGTTGAGAATCAATTGAAAATAGATCTCCATTACCTTTAAAGAATATTTTTATTTGTACTCATTAAACAAAATATTACTTTTCCATCAGAACAAATTTGCTGGACTCCAGATAGCACATTAATTGCCTCCTATTCAGTAAATTATGTGATCTAATTATCACTAACTACAAGTCTTTTTAAGTTCTAATTATCAATAAAATAAAGTGAAGCACCCAACTTTATGGCTTAAGTAAATTTGAATCTAACTGTTTAGATATTCTAGAGTTATAATTAATTGCATACATCCAACTAATCAAAAATAACAGACATATTTTATATACGTTAATATTATAAATTATCAATAATTCAAGCAATTCACATTATCTATAAAATAATGCACCTTATGATAAAGAAAATTCAAAAACTCGGAGTATTAGTCTTCAAATCAAAATGTTTTTATATCCATTTTTTCTATTATAAATTACATGAATTCAACATTTTTAGAATTAAATTATTATAATGAAATCCATACAAAGAATAAAAACAAAATAATATAATCTTTCAAACTCTTGTTCTTTATAATGTTTATTAATAGATAATATTATTATTAACACTTGATGATGCTCATTATGTTTAAAATAGATAAATTTTATATGAGATATAAAGGTATTAGGTATTATATTGCTTTCAAATAATATTTAAATGATTCTATCTCCTAAAGTTATAGAGAGAAGTTTTATCAAAATCCTAATTAAAGCTTTATTAAAATGATTCTTATATAATTAATACTAGTTTCTTCTATTCCGTTTAATTTGTCTATAAACTTTTGATGATGAATTCTATAAAATATTATTAGGTAATTATAAAAAATATCAAAATGAATTCATTATTCGAACTTTTAGATTGTTATGATGAAAAAGAAAAGGAGATCTTTGAATTGTAAATATCGCATGCTATTCAAGCCTCAATTCAAATAAAAATAATATGATGGATTTTTTGAAATTAGTAATTGAAACCCCTAGTGACTTACATCCAAAGTATGTCTAAATCCCTTAATTAGATATCCTTTCATTGTCAGCGAATTAATGTTTGGAAGCTATGAACAACTACTACAAATGATGTTTGAGTGGAATGGAGAACCAATTTAATATTTGCTGACATTCTTCAATTATCCATAAAATGACACTTCGTGTGGCTATTTTGAAAAAATGATAAGACCTCTAATTTTATTGAAATCAAATGAAATCAAACCCTTCTTAGATATTTCTTCATGGATTAAATATATTGATTAGGAGTCTATTCAAAATATATTCTAAACAATATTGGCATCAAGCAATTTGGATGACAATTTCAAACAAGATCTGTTGGGAATGCTGTTAAATTAAAATATTATAAGTGAGAATGTGTTTCGTATAATAATTAAATACTCAGACTTATTTTAAATATACGTGAATCGATACCAGGAAATTTTTATTGTCATTTGTAATCAATCGCCTTCCTCATTTCATTAATTATGCACTATTGAATTATTTATGGGATGGAATATGATAAATCTAGAATGGCTTCATAACTAAATTAATTATTTGGAATCGCTAATCTATAAAAATTTTGATTTTTGCAAATCCATGATGAATTTCTTACATAAACCATAAGGACTTACAGAAATTGATTTAAAAATCATACATATACTATCGCAAACAATGAACAGACCAGAAACAATTAAATTTCAGAATGTGTTATTGGAATTGTTAATTAAATATGAATGGAATAATAATTTATAAAATATTGCCATTAAAATGTATGAGCAAATGTCTTAAGGGGATACACCTCATAAATAATATGTATTATTAGTAATGTAACATTTTAGTTTCAATCAATAATAACTGATTTCATAACAGCTAATGTAAATTTCTAAAAATTCGAGTTTGGATTAAAAACCTAATTGCCAAGAGGATACAGATGGGTGTTTACTAGAATCGTAAAATTATTTTCATTAAACTTCGATTAAGCTTAAGACATAAATGTATTGGAGGGCAAATATTTATTAAATGAAGACCCTTATAATACCAGAGAAAGATAATCTATTAATATTCTAGAGAAGGTATCAGAAAGAAGAACATAATGGGCAAAAAGAATATAAGAAGAGGAAATGTAAAAACAAGAGGAAAAAGAACAAATTTAAATTGAAGAAGAAGAAAATAATGAAAATGATTAATTCTTTCAACCTAGAAATAGTTTTGGAGTCAAACCACCAATAATAAATAATGATGAAGAAGTGGAAGATGAAATTCCTGTAATAGAAAATTAACCTAGAAACAGTTTTGGAATAAAACCAATAATATATGAGGAAGAGGTGGAAGATGAAATTCCAATAAGAGGAAGATCCAGTTGTTAATTCAAATAAGACGATAACGATTGATTTCTAATTTTTGTTTATTTATAATATGATTGTAACTAAAAATTTAATGAAAAGTACAAGAAGTTCAACTAAATATATTCACTTATAGTAATCAAAATAATTCAATATAGTTTACAATCTATTATGATTTTCAATTTATGATTAGTATAATAGTTTGTTATTCATAGCATCATTCAACATTAAATAAAATAATATCATGAATTAATTATAAAATTTATTATATACTAGAGTTTTTATCTTAAATATATTGATTAATTAAATAAAATAAGAAATGGATAAAGAAGACGAATTACACAATAAGGTAATTAAAGAATATAAAAATCCTTTGGAAGAGCATTTAAATTACAAAACTTACAATAGATTGATGAGAGTTTGCTTTGCAATTTTGGTTATTTTGGGAATGTTGTAAACCTATCAATAATTCAAAAACAAAAGAGAACGAGTTTTGAGATTTCTATGAAAATTTTTTCACGTTAATATTTTTTTTTTCATATATTTTCAAATATCTCAAAATGGTTCTCGACTTACTAAATAATAAAATACTTTTTTTATAAATTTAATTTATAGTTTATTTTGATATATTTATATAGATCCTCAAATTTTGGTTGGCTAATCTTTTCTTTTTATTATCTTACTTATTGTTAACGCAGCACTTTGATTAATTGTGAATTTACTCTTTTATTCATTGTTTAATTTCATATTTCTTTTCATTCTTATATAAATATTTTATATTTATACCTAAAAAGAACCATGCCAATATTGTATTCTGGATAATAGGTTTCAAAGTCTTACATTCTGTCTAAATTAATTTTATAGATTTCCTCCATACAAGGATACTTATAATATTTTCAAAGATAAAATACATCACTAATAAAATTTAAGAATTCGGTAGCAGTAGGTAAACTAGTAGTTTTTAGATTGAAAATTGGACTTGTGTTACTTTAGAGTGAAGGCAGGATGTTCAGAGAAAGAGGTTGATTCAATATTTTTGAAATTTTTAAATCAAAAATGTTTCTACTTAGGGACTTTTATTATAGTTATTAAGCTGAATTTTATTAACAATATTCTAGTTGCTGTTATTATTCATTTTATTTGATATTCTCATTATTGATTTCGATTAGGAGATTGTTTTATGATTCTCCTTATAATTGTAACTCATTTTTTTCTTAATTTGACTCTATAACACTGGATGATTGCTACGAAAATTCAGATGAAACTTCTTCAATTTCAGCTTCATTCAAATGTATTGCATTTATTTACTTAAAATGATTTAGAAAACAATTTTAATTTCGTTTCCTTCCTCTATCAACTAATATATAATAAAGAATCCATACATGATTTTCTAGGTTAATTTGGAGAATAGAGGTATTTATCATAAAAACCAATATTGTTTTTTATTAAATGTATTTGTGGACAATTAATTAATAAATGAGTCCTATCCTAACAATATTAACAAACTGAATCTATGATTTAATAGTTGTTATTAAATAAAATTTAATCTTTAATGAATGCAGCAATTTCCTATAATTAATTAAATAAATACCAAATCTTAGATATTAGATGATATAATTTTTAGAAATTTTTCCCTGCTTAACTTATAAAGTATGCAATAACCTAAACCTGTTATTAGATTTTGATTTTCTTAGCCAGTAAAAAAGGAATATTAACCAAAACATTGGCCACTGAATATTTTTTTATATTCTGGTATTGATTCTGTTAAGCCATATGCAACTTTGCCTTAATTTACAAGATAAATATTATATTAGTCACCATAGTGATTACATCTGAATTTATCATTTATATTAAGTATAATTGGGGTAAGATTTTAAGCTATTTATTATTATGTTGATTTGGAAAATTGAGAAAATATTCGAAATTATTTTACAAAGTTGAGTAATTATTGCTCTTTAAATTCTTGAAATAGTTATTCCTTTTCTAAACATTATTCAAAATAATTTTCTATGTTTTAAAAATTTTAATCCTTTAAACATACTTCCTCTAACTTCCTAGAAATTTAATACTTTAAAGTTTATGAAATTTTCTATTTGTACAAGAATCTTTAGAGTAATTTCAATTCTTTTATTTTTTTGAATTCTTAGTAAAATTCAAGAGAATCTAAAATTATGAGTTTGATAATTAAAATTTTATAAAACAAAAGGATAAAAGTAGTACACATACTGAAAATTCGATTTGATAATGAATCAATTTCAACTTCCAATTTGAAATTTCCAATTAAATAATATAGTTAACATAAATCTGTAGGTACTCCTAAAACATATCTTAAGATCCTTTAACTTAATCATCTATTATAAATTATTATCTCAAATTGATACATGTAAAATAATGGCAAGTATGTAAAATTTAAACAATCTAGATTGTTAAATCACTCATCTCATAATATAATCTCTTATTGAATGCTAGAAATATCTTTTTATAAGTTATAAGTTCGATTATTAGCAAACTAATCGTTTTTATGAATTCGTTATCTGAAAGTATTAGCATGGTAAGCAAAACTATAGAAGATGTATCCATCAAAATTTTTGATGACTTAAAAATATATTCAAGAAATTATTTACTCTAATATAAATATTCTTCTTAGCATATTTAAGATGTATATTTATATATTTAATCTAAAATGGTTAGAATAATCAAGGAAGTAAATAAATAATTCCCATATCCATTTGTTTAGTAAATGTATTCTACTGGAGAAATGATCAAGATTAAAATACAGAAAAAGAAAATGATTGAATCCCAAATCAAATTTAATTAAGGTTAAAGGGAATTCTTATATATCTTTTTTCCAGCATTTAAAGGAGAAAAAAGCAATTAGTTAATAAATTTATGTTGTTTATTTTTTAGGGTAAGGTGTTATTTTAATTTATTAATAAATGCTAATACCTTTTTTTAATTTTATTGGAATGTATTCGCTTGTGTAATATTGTTTTTTACAATAGTTTATTCTCCTTGATTTCTAAATTACCAAGTAATCCCTTTGGTTTGCTTATTAGCTTTCAAATCAAATATCTCAAAAGCAGGTGTTTTATCCTCTTCTACTTCATATGAAGGTTGTCTAGGATGAGACATATTTATCCTTTTACCCACTTGAAAAGAATTTTCTTTCTAATTGTTATTTATCCTAAGACTTAGAAATTGTAAATACATTATACTTCCGTCATAACTTTGAGAAGGACTAAGAATTAAAAACTCATTTTTTATTTCATCTTATATCATCTATTTTATAAAATAATAATGAAGTTCAAAGAATTTTTCATTATAATTTTAAACTGATATTGAAATGTATCTCTTATCTTAAAGCTTTTTTTTTTCAATTAATAAGCCACACTAATCGAAGTTATTTTTAAACTAATCTAAATAAACAACAACAGTATAATTTATAAATTTTTTGATTGATCTTATGAGAAGTAATGGTATTAAATATAAAGTTAAAAACCTAAAAGTTTTACCCAAACAAATGTTTGTAATTAATTTTTATTAAATGGTTGCTTTTGATAAATAATTGATAAAAATTGCTCTGAAAATATAAATTAAAAATATATTTTAGATAATTATAATCTTCAGAACTTTATCAATGTTTCTAAGTTATCAGTATTATTTCTTGATTTAAAAGTGAGATCTTTAATAAAACATACTAAAACATAAATTTTTAAATCATTTTTAAACCTATATTGTTCCTTATTTATGGACAAATCTTTTTTGAACAATCTCCATTATATTAATCTAAAGTTTTCAAATTTTTGAATTGATAAAGAAATTCTTTAAAAATCAAAAAAAATAAATAGGAAAACCATAGCAAACAGAATAAAATTATGTTTTGTTAATTATGCTAATTTTTTCAATTTACTCGCTATTTTAATTAAATTAAAATATAAATTTTATGTTCTCAGTTATTATATGACTAAAGAGTTTACATCTATCAAAAGTCATATTATTTCTGTCAAAATTATAGAAATATAGGGAGAGAAAGGAACGCCCTAGTTCAATTAGGAATAATTATCACTTATATATTTACAATATTCATGATTCATTTTTATTTAATTTATTATTGCATCTCTTCTTTTATTCTTCTTTTTCTCTTTTATTTAACTTATATTGTTTCCTGCTTTGTAATTTCTTTTCTTATTTTTATAAAATTATCCTATTTGCTAAGTAAAACATTCCAATTTGTTAAGGGATCCTCCTCTTAAATAACCAACGTATCAAAATAAGGTTCATTACATTTCAACCCTAAATTTTATGATAAACTTGATAATTAAAATTTTTACTTTTAAAGTACACCCTTAAACATATTCCTCTCTCTAATCATCTTTTATTTTAATTTTGTATAAGTGGCCTCTAATTTTACAATGTAATTAATCAAATTGGTTTAATCACTCATTTTTTATTTTATAATAAAAATATAAAAACAACAATCGAAGACCAAAATTTCCAAGGTAATTTTTTCTATATAATAATTTTCAATTATGAATTTGAATCGAATTCCTTTGGCACCTTTGACTCCAATATAAGTACAACAACTAGCTCGTTTACCTAGAGCGCAAAAAAATCAAAATTGTTTAACCTGTATCCCTACAAATCCTAATAGCCTTGGATAAAGTAAATACACATCAACAAACTACTAAATTAAAATTTATAAGAAAATTGTATTAGAACTTCTGAATTCTATTTAAAATTCCCCCTTTCTAGAATTTATGTTTGGATTATAGGTAGAATTCAAGTCATCTTATCAATTTCTTATTAGTCCAACTGAAAGTCTTATCAACTATTTAAACCTACACTATGACATCAAGTAGCTGTATAGAATTTATGATAATATCTATAAATAAAATGCTACTAAGATTAAGATTTATATAAATATCTCAGAAATAGATTTAATATTACAATTATTAAGATCTATAGTTAAATAGATGCCTCACATTAGCCGAATAAGAGAAGTACTAAAAAATTAGTAAGTAAAAGACATTGTAAGTATTAAAAAGACTTAAATTGAAGATCCAAAATTAAATTAAATAATAACCTTGATCTAATATATTTTTAATTCATAACTCACAAAATTAAATAGTTAGATCATATTTAAGAAGGAACAACAGGAAAACATTGTTAAAGATCAATCTTTTTATCATATTTAAAATAATGTTTAGTCAATTATGATATCTTTATTTTTGCAATATTGCTTATAAAGGAAAATATTACTTCCAGAAATAATATATTCTATTACATTTATCACTAATTCTAAGAATCTAACTGTGGGACCAAGCTTTGTTAATGACATTCCAGATTCAAATGCTTTTGATGAATTTAAATAGAAAATTAACTATAGAAGATATTAAAGGAGTTTTAATTTATAAGGCCTTATTGAATATGAAGATTATTTAATTTAACAATTTAAAATCTCTTATCCTATGAAAAATATTGAGACCGATTTAGTTCAAACAATAATATTAGTTTAAGAGAATTAACTTTAAATTGTTGACAGATTAAGAAGAATATTTCAGAGTCAAAGAAGCAAAATAATGATTGACAATTTGGGTAGTAATCCCTTAAATCAGATTGGAATGAGCATTTCTAATATTATTCTTGAATTACAAAACACAGTGAAACAAAGTGAAACTAGTTAATAAATAAAAAGGATGTCCAAAAATTTAAGCTTGAAAATAAAAAAACTATGATATTACAAAAATATATTAGATTATATAATAAGATATTCAACCTTTTAATTCAGGCAATGAACTAATAGCATTTTTCCAAACTTCAAATGGAGTTTAAACTTTCTATTGTTATTATTATGAAATTTAGTTTGCTTATTGCTATTAGTTAGAGAACAAAGAGTATCCTCCTAATCTGCTGAATTCAAAATTTGATTTACAAATACTATTGGAATACTCATATGATAAATTAAAGTATTTATCAAATGTTGGTAATTCTTCTTTTTAAATTGACTAGGTAATTTCAAAATTTACTTTTAATTATATTTTCTTCCTTTCCTCATTCCATAATTGCTCGTAATGGCTTGGATATGATTCTGAAATATTATGCTTTTTTCTTTTTTTTAATAATTAATCAGCTTTATTTAATTCGCTATATAATAGAAGTTTTTATTACTTATTTAAAAAATCTGAGCTTCTTGTTGTTACAAAGAATTTATGAATCAGTTGGCATTTGTCTTTTCCAAACCATTAAATTCCTTTGATAAATTGCTATAATTCTTTTTGATTCAGATATTCATATTAACTTAACTTCCAGGTTTTTATTTTATTCAATTAAGCGTTGCTGCAAATTGAGTTTTTGTACTTATTTTTAATTTGCTTCAGCGTTTTTTCCCATAAAAATTCTTTTTAAATTTCCTCCAATTTTTTACTTCCATGCTTTTACAAACCTTAAAATAATAAGTCTTCATCCACAGGAGTGAACTTACACCTGACCTTACTAATTTAGTATTATTATGGTAAATAACTACTTTAAATAAGGGGAGTATATTTCTTAAGAACAACTATTTTATCATCAAAATTCTTATTAATATTTTCTAAGATTGTTTTACTCTGTTTTAAAAGAGGGAGTTAGAAAGAACTTTATAATGGGGAGACTTCTATTGTGAGAGGATTGTCATTAAATTGTGACAAATCAATGCTGTATAATTAGGCATGATCTTGCTTTTCAAGTTGCTCAAGCATCTACATTGTTTTTTATCTTAAGGTTTCAGATTTACAAAATAAAGCATTTTATATCAGCAACTGTACTAAGATTTCATATTAAGAGAAAAGTTAAATGATTTAATGACTTTGTACAAGAGTCTAGTTTAATAAAGAAATATACAAACTTTACATCCTGATTGGGAAGGATTGTCTAGTATTTTGATTGGCAATACTATAAAGTCTTTAATTACTCTGGCTACATCCAATAATTTTATTAAATTTTATAATTTATATAATGAATTGTCTTTTGTGGAAAGTATAATTATTTATTCAAAAAATTGGTCATATTTCATTTATATAAACGAAAATTCTTGTAAAATTTTTCAATTCATAAATAATTGCGATTATAAAACATTTAATGTTAGGAAATTCTTATTCAAATTCAAAGTTTAACTAATTTTGATAAATTTATTAAAACATAGTAATCGATTAAAATATTAATAAATAAGGGAATTAATTTATTACATTTCGTTTATTATATTATATAAGATATTAAGATAAAAATGGAATTCAATTGTATAATTGAAAGAGAATCATTTTTATTGATTGTCAAGGATACAACGTTGACAATTTGTAATTAATCCATCAAATACACATTTGATATATCTTTGAAAATTCTTATCACCTGGATATTTCGTGAATAAGAATTGAATGGGTTTATATTAGATGATCTCATTGTGGAAGGGGATAGTTTAAATATGAAAAAGCTTAAACTATTTCTCGGTGGAAAAATAACTTACACCGGCATTCAAATTTTCTATTGCTTTAATGGGGAGATAAGTTTCAGCGATAGTAAAGCAACAAAAGTAATTATAATTTTATTATAAAGGTCTGTTCTCTCATCAATAGGTAAACTAAACTAAAATTCACTTGTAAATGCTTTAAGAAAAGCATGTTGGGAATGGAGAAAATTCATAAGGAGATTGAGATTTTAAAGAAAACATCTAAAAAAGGACTAGCCCCAAAAATCTATGAATGCTATTAATCAAATAATTGTGTGTATCTAATAATGGAAAATTTGGAAAAATTATAGGATTAGGCATTTATGGAAGAAGATGTTATGTTATTTCTCTATGTAACTTCTTTTATAATTTTAGAGTCTAATTTAAATAATCTCAGTCCTCCATTAGGAAAATATTGTTCACAAAAGCATAAAAAAATCACATATTATGTTTAGTGAAGACAACAAACTAAAATTGGTTGGATTTGGAAAATCTAGCAATGCCAATATTCAAAATAATGAGTTTAGACTGGACATTTTTAAGGTCGGAATTATAATGCATAAATTGTAAAGATTAAAAAATAGCATAGCTACTAAAAATAGAATTTTTAAGACGATCAATTTACTATATCAGAGGATGGAAATTCCCTATTAGAAGCTCTTCTAAATTGGAAGAGTAATTCTCCTATTGAGTTAAAAGAACTATTATGCCATCCTTACTTTAAATTATTAAAATCAGAGGGATTATCTTTATGTATAATATTTATATTCATTTTAGAAATTTAATGTATGAGCCCTAAATTCAAAACTCATATTTTTTAAGATGGAGAGCTTGAATCAATTAATTGATAATTGTTTTATACACTTTACATATATTTCATAAATTTGAATTTTATAAAAATTAGATAATCCAGCCTTGAGAATAAGATGCTAAAGACCTAAAATATGTAGTGAAAATGGTTTCTTAATTTTTAGAGAATTGTTCGCATCTTCATACTTAAATGTATAAATTTATTAATAATCGATTTATCTAAAATACATCAAATAAAAATGAATAATTATCTAATTTATTCATTTATAAAAAATAATTTAAACAGAAAATAATTCATAAATTATTTATTTAGTTGATGTAATACTTTGGTTGACATAAATCATTATGATTGATAAAACTCAATTAATTATTTTAGATTGCCAAATAATCTAGATGAAAATGTTCTTTTAGTTTTATGTTTAACTCTTTCTAACACAGGACCGTAATCCATGATGGTTGTTTCTGGTCGTCTTTTCTTTAAAGCCACCCATTCATTGAAGAGATCTGTAAGTATTAATTAGTGTAATTTTTTCCAAAGATTATCTTCCTTTACAAGTAATCTACAAAAGTTTTTAAGTGCTACTCTATCTGCAATTTCCTATTAATTTAATATAAATTATACCTTTACATCCCTTTAATCAAGCTATTCCTGCAAATGAAAGTATCGCTTAATAAAGAAAGTGACATTTATAGAAGATGCTGCAAAATAGAAGTCATTTTATGGTTTACACATTTCTTTAACTAAAGTGTCTTTGTACTCACTCACAAAATTAGTAATATCATCTAATGATTATACTCCGCCTCCTCTAAAATCTGTGGTTGGATCAGCCTATTAAAACCCAAACTCAGTCCATTTTTAATTTCTAATTTCTTGTAATTCGGTTTCGGTCAATAAATACCATAGTCCTTTGATTCTTTTAACACAATTTTCATCTTCATGTGAATATAAAGAATATAATTCAACTCTTAGATTCCACCATTCTTTTATTTCTTGATTTGATAGATTATAAGTTTCATCAAAACAAGAAGATAAGTACTTCTCTTTAAATTCCTTATTTTTTTAATGAGTTGTGGGCTCATGAGCCATTTAAATTTCAGTCCAAGGATGATTCTTTGGTTAATGTATTAACACCATAATTTGATCTTTTTGTTATATTTCTTAATTCATTTTTTAAATATTTCTTTTCTTACATTCTTAAAATTAATATGAAAATTATGAATGTTCTAATTCAATCCTTTCACAAGGAGGATAATTTAAATGAATTAGAAATTAATTTTTCAATAAGAAATCAGGTTATCCTTCCTTCAATAATGAATTACCAATTCCTCTAATAAGTATGCATTAGATATAGAAAAGAAAGCTTATTTCAATAATGTATTTTAGATATTATAATTTGATTATAGAATCACTTTAATTGATTCAAGACCTAATCGAATGAAGGCAATCTATTGGCTAATCCTCCTTCAGCAACTAAAGTAGGTCTGTTCTTCAATAAATCGACAACTGCCTTGTTAATTTAGTCTGATGTAACTGCATCAATATAAGAGGCATATTCAGTTATTTTAATTGCATTAAATACTTTCAACTAAATAAATAATTTATTATAATACGCTTTTAGCTGCTTCTTCTAATCTGTCTGAAGTTCTTTCAAGAGCCAAATACAATTAAGTCTTTAAGATATTCTTAGCTCTTGTTAATTCAGTGTTTGAAATAGGTCCTGTAAGAGTCTTCAATTCATTTACGACACTGCTAAGTAATTCAGTTCCTTTGTCTGCTGATCCAATGATTTTGACTCCAAACAATCCAGCATCAGAAAAAGTGAAATTCAAGCTTTCAACAACATCGGCATAGGAATTCTTGTTTAAGACTATTTATTATTATAAAACGAATAAATACTGTTTCTTTGTAATCTTGATTGAGCACTTCCTTGTAATCCCAAGAGAGCATTGAGTACTTAGAATACTGCAGCTTATGAATTGGTCCAATTGGCAGATGGGAATAATAAAGCAATAGCAATTTCATTGTCATCAGTCAAGTTTCTGACTTCACCTCCGACATATTATGTTTAGGCTCTGACTTTAGCAGTTTAACCAGCTGGAATGAATCCAAGGGAATCTTAGACCAAACTCACAAATTCAGTATGATTGTAGATTCCAGCACCAGCAACTATAATTTTAGATGGGTTGATGTTCTCCAATTAGAACTTTTGAATTGTATAAGCACTCAAATTGCCAATGTTAGTCTTGAATCCTCTCAATGGCATTCCCAAACCAGTCAAACCAAAAGCAGTCTTGAAAATTGTTTCATTGAATCCTTCTCCACCTATAATTTAAATCTTAAATTAATTTACTTTTAATGATATTTTCCAAATTATGTGTTCCATGATTTTTTTCAATAGCTGCATTTGCAGCCACTACTGATCTTGGCTCCAAAGCACAATCAGCTACGACTTTGAACACATCAACTACATCATGAGCCAAACAATGAGCTTTGAAGTATGCGCTCTCTTAATCATAATCCATCTCAAATTCACCTCCAGATTATTGAATAACACCACTAAAGAATATTAGATTTTAATATACTAGTTGATTGTCTCATTTGTATTTAAAACTGTCTTATAATAAGTATTCTTGATAGACAATAAAGATCCTGATGTTTCATTTGTTTCATCTCTTGTTCCGACATCCAAAAGAATACCCACATCTACTCTGGAAGGAGATGAAGCACTCTCTGACAATACAGTGATTCCATTTGAAAGTTTTGTAACCTCATATCTTCTTTCCTATTCTCTGATCTCACTGCCTTTTTGTCCGACTGCAGATTAGGGACTAGCAGCAGCAAGCTTGTAAAGATCAGAAGACTTATCGTCTCTGTAAATTAAATCATGTAATTAGGCTTTCAAACTTGAGAATTTGAATTGGGACTAGTCAAATTAACTTAATTCCTACCTTTGATGCAATTCTTCCTGAAACTCTAAATAGCATGATATTTTATTTTAAAATAAATTTTGTTAACTTTATATCCATAACACAATCAAATAATAGATATTAAATAAATAAATATGATTCTCTCACTAATGAAAGAATTAATCTCAACCATATCAAGAATAACTCCCTTCAAATAGATCTATCCTATTTTTCTTAAAGAATAGTTATTATGAGTGTTTATAACTCTTTATTTGATCATATTCGATTGAATATCTGAAAACTATGTAGAGATCTAAGACTCATCCTTAAAATAATAAATTATAATGTTTATCATCTTGCCTATTCAAAATCAATTTAAACTTAAATAAGTAATAAAATAATTTTAGCCAAATGACATGATTTTTATGGTGTTTTGTAATAACTATCACTAATAGACAAAGTAATTCTTAAATAATTCATTTAAATACAGATTAGTTTTATTTCAATGAATCAATCAATTGATAGTTACTAATTTATTTATCATAAATTTATTTATTAATTTTATTCTAATGCAACTTAGTAGACATAAATCCAAGCTAAAGAAGCCTGATATTTCACGAATCTAACTGAATGTAGCACATAAATACTTAATTTTTAACTGTTTAAAGTTACCTTTGATAAGAACTCTAGTAAATGTAATTCAATTAAAAATAACAAAATGAATTATATAAAGATACCTATTTTTGAATGAAATGCAGTATTTAAAAGCCTATACATATAACTAATTATTTGTACTATAAAAATATTAAGTAGCCTATTTGGAACCAAACGTAATCTAATTGAAAAAAGACGATGTTTTCTCAAATCTTCAATTGTTAACTAAGTAAATAAGAAATATTTCTTATAATACATCTAACTCTTCTATTGAGTGAAATAATATAGAATTTTTGTATTAATAACCTTTCTTGATTCTCATTCAAATACATAATATTATTAATTAATATGAATCAATAAATAATATGAGCGATAAGTTGATAAATGATTGTTTTACTGATATTTCATTTTCTTAATTGTTACTGAAGGACAGAGAGAAAATATCAGATCTACCAAAGAGAGTTTGGAGAGTTGAAGCCAAAAAGGAGGAAGGCAATAGTTCCATTTATTGTTTGAAAAAATTAAATATTGTGTCATCAATTATTTATATATAAATGCATTTTAATGACGTTTAATATTTTATAATACGTATATATGTGATGATGAATATCATATTTTTCATCATTAATTTAATTCCTGTATGCATATTTAAAAGATTTCAAGATCGATCATCAACCGAAGTTGCTTTTCGACATCAGCAGTAAACGAAGGCACTTTCTTGGATTAAGTGATGGCTTATTTCAATAAGGCATCTGGCCATACAAATATAAGTCAAGATAAATTGGAGTAAGCCTCTTATTTAAGGATTTTAGCTTCTACAAGAGTACAGATATAGTGATAAAATTCAATTTGCCATTGGTGAGAGATGATGGAACCTACGTTTGTGTAATTTATGAGATTAATTATTAGGTGCCTGCATACAGAGCTCAACACAAGACTTACAGATTGCCTACAAAAGGAGGAACAAGGTTGAGTCCTCACATCAATATTGAGGAAGTAGAGGCATTGTCATTTTTGATGACATTAAAAAACTCTATTTTAGATTTACCATATGGTGGTGCTAAGGGTGGCATTGGCATCAACCCTCGTAAATTTTCAAAAAGAGAAATTGAGACTTTGATGAGGAGATACACTTTGGAATTGGCAAAGAAGAATTTCATTGGTGCAGCTATTGATGTACCAGGACCAGATCTTGGAGTAATTATTTTTAGTATAAATCAGACTGGTGAATAAGAGATGAGTTGGATGAAGGATGCATATACTAAATTCAAAGGACACTAGGACATCAATTCTGTGGGATGTGTGACTGGTAAAGCAATCAATTAAGGGGGAATCTCTGGTAGATAGGAGTCAACAGGAATGGGAGTAAGTGATTGTAATAGAAATTAGATATTCTTTGCTACAAGGGAGATCTTGAGTGATGTGAAGTATTGTCAATCTGTGGGCATTGAGCCAAGTTTGAGGGGTAAATTCAATAATAATTTAAGGATATGGAAATGTATAATACTCAAATTAATAGTATAAAGGTTGGTTCATTTCTGTGCTAAATACATGTATGATTTATGGAGCCCAAAAATAAATTGGAGTTCGCTGAACCACGAATGGATACAAATTCTTAATTCCAAATTGGAATTCAAACCCCATTATGAGTTTGGCTGACTCAATAAGATCTAAAGAACTGGAGGAAGTCAAGGGATTTGTTAATGCTTAGAAGTATTGGGAAGATGAGTCAGCAATATATCAATAATGCGACATATTCATCCCAGCTGCTTTCGAGAAGACAGTTAATGCTAATAATGCTGACAAATTCAATTGTAAGATCATAGCTGAAGGTGCCAATGGACCTACTACTATGGCTGCAGAAGACAAATTGTTAGCAAAGGGTGTGATATTTTTACCAGACATTTTGCTTAATGCTGGTGGTGTTACAGTTAGTTATCTTGAATGGTTAAAGAACTTAAAGCACATCAATCCAGGAAGAATGACAAGAAGATGGGAAGAGTAAGCTAAACATAGAATTCTTGAAGTCATTAAAATGAGCACAGGTCTCAATATCAATATTAAGGACAGTAAGCTTGCTAAAAAGATGTTGGAGGGTCCATCTGAAGTATTTCTATTATTTAAATCTTTAGACTGATTTAGTGCATACAGCATTGGAGTAATCCATGATAGAGGCAGTCAAAAATATTATGGCTACATCTCAAGAATACAAAGTCAATTTAAGATTGGCAGCTTATATTAGTGCAATTAATAAGTTAAATGAACATTTTGAAATTTCAGGAGTTGAAGCATGATTGTTTTATATACACAAATATATTCATTAAAATAAGTCAGAATAAAATGATAAAATGGTTTTGCATTCTCATCTTTATTGAAAATTTCGGTTGCACAGGATTTTCATGTAACCATAGAAGAAATAGAAGAAGAAATTAGTACTATCTCTATTTATTCAGATAGATAAAAAGAAGATTTACTTTGGATCCACAGTGAGAATAGAACATTAAAGCTCAGAATATTTTCTCCATTCTCATTTGGTGTCTTATGGAAGTGGATCAGGATAATAATCAGTCACTGGAATGTAGGCTGATCATGATTACAACAGTTTATGGACTATCAAAGAGTGTCACAATCAACCACTCAAAAAATATGGTATTAAATACGTGTATTATTTATAGATGATCAAATCAAATGTGGAGATTGCATTAGACTAGAGCATATGCTAACAAATAGAAATTTACATTCTCATCCTCATTAAGCTCCGTTTACTGGTAACCAAGAAGTTTCTGCTTATGGAGATAATGGTAATGGAGATGCAAGTAATAAATTTATTATATATTCATCAGGTGATGATTGGATAGTGGAATGTGCAGACAATAAGAATGGAGATCCTTTTCAAGCATCAATGTGGTTCTATTTGAAACACAAATTAACATCAAAATACTTAAGGAGTAATAAAAAGGATAATTTCAATCAAAGAAATTGTGGATATCATTGTCCAATCGAAGGTTAACTTGAAATTAGTGCTTAATCTACCAAAAATGCAGATGCAAAATGGAAAATATATTCAGGATTATTCTATCAATAACCATAATAAATAGATGATGATTATGATTAAGATGGTAGACATTGCAACACTTACGGTTAATGTGATGACATTGATGATGATGAATTTGAGACTGTTATATAAAAAGACTTGTGATTTATATTATTATAAATATATGTATAATATAATCATACATTAATATATTTGATAAATTTGCAATTCTATTTATATCAATATTGATTGACTAAAACAATAAAATCAAAATTTATCTATAGATTGCTATACCTTTTGGTTGTTTTTTTAAAGATATTAAAGTTATAGGAAGGTTGAAATAGTTCATTATTAAATTTCTTTAAAAAGAAAGTTATTTAGATTTTTAAGTTGCTTGATATAAATTTTTTCTTTATATATTTATTTTGGTTTTATTTTTCTATTTTATAATGTCAAATGTTCAACTCAACTTACAAAGCTGTTAAGTATGTCATTGGGCAGACCTATCCTATTGTCTTAAGTGGTACTGTTATTCCTGAATGGATGGTCAAACTAAGTCGGTTATTTTAAGATTTTACGAATCGTTATAATTGTATTTGACATATTATCTGACTTGCAATTATTTATTGATGTAAAATCTCCAATCACATTTCTTCACTTTGGCATGACAAACCAAGTCAATATTCAATTATTTATCAACCAAGAATCCACAGGCTTTATCATTTCCTCTTCTTCTCAAGTAGCCAAATTAAATTTCTTAATTTTAGCAAGCGAGTTTGCCATTTAGGCTATTAGAACCCTTGAGGAAGTATTCATTTAAATTTTGAGTGTAATTAAATAGTCCATCAAAATACAATTGACTATTGTTAAAGTCCCACTTGATTCCTTCTCTTAGATACCATTATGGTTATGTAATATTAAAGTTGTAATTAACAAATAATCCTTAGTTGAAAGATATCCCTAAACATAAAAAAATTGATTACAAACAGAGTGCCAAAATTTGGTATTGACTTCTTTTTACAATCCAAATTAATATTATAGTTTTTTATCAACCGAGAAGACTTTGGCAAAGTAAGAGGCTTCGAATTTACCAAGCTTCCATTTACCTAAATCTAATCCTAATTTCAAGTCATTTTGATCTCTAACTCTGAAATGAACCTTTACTGCATCCCAAGGAAAGCGAACATCTACTGTTTAACTTTTACAGTATTTTCTATATCTGAATTTAGTATCTGAGTTCTTCATCTGGCCATTTATTTATAAAGAGTGAATTTCAGGGTTGTCAATAAAGAAATTATAGAATGCACTATCTTTTATTTGGCTCGTCATATTTTTATAATATTGATTAATTAGCTATCGTTTTATTTATAATCTAAAAATAATAATTCAACCAAAATAGAAGTATATAATAATTCTGAGAATTTGATATTTAAGTAACATGATCATCTCTTTAGATTGAGTTAGTTTAAACAGAATTGAAGTATAAATATCTATTGGATGATTGTTTTAATATAATATGAATATTCAAACTTGACTCCACGAAGAAGGAAGAAACTGTAGATCCATCTAATGAAAAAGTTTAGATAAATCTATTTCCTCCTTGCTTGATCCTCTTATTAGGACTAGTCTACTCGAGTCATTAAGTTTAAGCTATTTTTTTAAAGGTTAATAATGATATGAATTGGATTTCTAAGGTTCGATTGCCTTCTCCAGTTAAGATATCTTGGCAATTATCTTGTTGGCTTCCTTAGAATTCCATTCAGAAGACACAGTGTAAGAATTTCCAACTTATTGTTTAGGGTCTAAATTGATATTTTAAGAATTTGTACTTGAAATACTTGAACAAAGAATCGTTTTTTTGTAACGATGTTTCAAAGCAAATTCGGTTCTCTTCTTGCTTTCTGTCACGGCTGAAAGTCGAATGGCTATTTCTGCCCATCTACGTCCATGCTACAGGAGTAACTGTAAGAAATAAAGATCTTCTGCGTCACTCCACTCTTCACTGAAATGATAATCATATGGATTTACCGATTAATAGATGGATCTAATTTATTGCCCCATCTTTCTCTACATTGTTTGGGTGTTCTCATCAATTTATTCTAACATACATCATTTAGTTCTTTGGCTATTTTGCTCCATTTGTTGCCTTTCTTTTATTTTAAAAATGACCTAAACCATTGAACGAACTAATTACAATATAATTTCAAGCAAGTGTTGATCCTCCTATTCAGTCCATGGATTGTTATAAGCCGATTGAGGTAGAAATTATAGACTCATTTACTAAAATTCCTAAGGAGTTCTAAAGGTTGGCATCAATTCACTCACTAATTACCATTATTCATCAGACTGTTTATAGTTATAAAAATATACAAGTTTTAAACTTGGAGGGGCCTGAACACTTATTAGAATACACTGAAGTAAAATTTCCTCATTTTTTTCCCTGTGATCTGTTGTCTTAGCTTGTTGAAGCTGATAATACGTCCCTTCTAAGGTTTTGTAATTAGGAATGGAGTTGAAGTGTAACATCCACTTTTTTTTATATTCCTTGATGTCAACGTTTTGAATTTGAAGAAAGTTCAATTTGTTAGAATCTAAGGACTCTTCAGTTGATTAGTGATAAGATTATTAGTGAACATGAAGGAAGCTCATATTCTTTTCTGTTTATAAATTAATAAAATCTCTCGCATTCACAAAATTTCTTTATGTATTATGCTGGATGAATATCTTCCAATAATATAAAAGTAGAAAAGTTTCGGAAAATAATATTCTAAACTACAATTTCACATTAATACTTGATAACTTATATATATGTTGATTAAAAACTACAGCAACTAAGAAGGTTGAAGACTTTAAGTACAAAATTCATTTCATATTTAGAATAATCAATTAATATTGATATATATTATGAGTTGTTTATTGTATATAATATAATGAATGAATTTTAATCACAATCTTCACAGCATACTCTCAATGGTTTCCCTCTAAGAATTAAGAATTTATTCCAAAATAGATTTTTCATTAAACATTCTTATAATTCTAAATTTATTCAATATCAATGATAATACTATTTCTAATGATGTATTTCCCTTATTTTGAAGTCCAATCTAGATCCAAAAATTTTTGTCAATTTTTTTCCTTCATTTTTAAAAGGAATTTATATTGAAATTTAATTCTAAAATTGAAAATTTATTAAAATGACACCTGCTTAATTTTATTGAGTTGTGTCATTATTAAATTCTCAGCTACTATAAAAGCTTTCAGTATTGAACATTCATGTAAATACAAAGTGATTCTTTATTTTATCTAATCCTTATTGGATTCATTTAGATTTTCTATTTCACGCATACTAGAAATAAAATTAAAACACCTCAAAGATACATTAATTATTCTATTAGAATCATTTCCTTTGTATTATCCTTGAAAATGAAAATGGCAATAACTTTAGCTTTGGTTTTTAATAATAATTTTATTTAATAATTCAGAATAGGATCTATCATTTAATCTACCTTTGTGTTTGAGAATTCAGAAACTGATTGATAAAGAATTACGATGAAACTCATTTCTCTTTTTATTTACATTTAAGATAATCCAATAATTCTTATTGCAGACTTAGTATTTTATTCGATGTCTCCCAGAAATTTACATTATCCTTTTTATTATCTTCAAGAATATTCTCTAAATTAAATATATATATATTATAATTAATTGTTCCTTGTATATGAGTTAGAGTTGATTAGAATAATATCTTTTATGTTTGTGATAGCAGAACAGAAATATTCGATAAAGTGGATTTATTGGTAGTAATTAGGCTTCCTCTTCGCTAATCTAGATATTATATATCTATTCTTAGAGTTACAAATAACTCTTATAATTTTGATGTAAATGATATTTAATATTCAAAAATTTACAATTCGATGATAGAATCTATATATGATTAATCTATACAACCTATAATTAATAATTTCTTCTTTGAACAAGCTCAATTCCTTATCTACTCATCCAACACTTAAGTTTCCAACTTCCTTGGCAATATTGTAATTATTCTTAATTAGTTTTATAAATAATATCATTTTTATAATAATAAATGATTAACTCATTGTGATCATCGATTAATTGATTACGATAAATTAGGCGGTTTGTTAGGCAACTGATCTTCCTCTTATTGATTATTTTTCGCACATTTACCCTGAGATGTCAAATATCCCTCTATCCTATTGGATTAAAAGCATTTATCACAAATAGGTTTTTTCGGCATTTAAAAGCTTTTTACATGCACAATCTTAGCTTTTGCATAAAATTTGCCACATCTTATGCATTTAAAATAAAATGATTCCTGATCTTAAAATTTAATTAACTTAATTTGGAATTCCATCCAATTAACAAAGGTTTGAATATCTTCCTAATAATTATCTTTAACATATTTCTGTATTTTTTGGAAATTCTTCTTAACCAACTTTTCAAACTCTTTGCTTAAATCTGCTTACCATTGCTATTTATAGTAATCAACTAAAGCAGTTCCATTGCAAAGTTTGCATTAACTTGGATCCTTTTCTTGGTACTTACACACACATAAAATCTTACTATGCTAAACAGCAAAGATTTCATTGTAGTCCAAATCAGGCATATAATCTTAAGGTACATCTCTGGATATTTATAATGACTGTTTTTCAAAGAGTTTTTCATCGTTCTTTACTTTTAAAGTCCTTGTCCTTGCTCCTTGTCTAAAATTCTTTAACATTTAATCATAAGATGAACTAGAATCGATAATGATTTCTTCATTTCCATCTGCAGCAAAGCTAAAAATAATAAAGAAATTTTACACATATTTGGTTGTTTTTGCAAATCCATGTTGATTTTCCATCTTCTTTTGGAACTAATCATAACTGGATGCTAACAAAAGGTTGCTCTTTATAACTTCACCATTTTTATCTAAAAAGTATATTGATAATTGTTCTTCTATTTCCTTTACTTTATCTCCTTTGTGTTCTAATAATTATTAATTTTAAATACTTAAATTTTAGTCTTCTTTTCCGTCAATATATTTTTTATAAACAACTATTTTCTCTTATTCCTCCTTCACTTTTAGTATTTGATAACTTGATTTCTATTGTAAACGTTGTTTCATTTAATGATATGATATACTAGAATCGATAGTGATTTCATCATCATTATCATCCGAATATCTAGAATAATCATATGTCTCACGTATAAATAGTTGTCTCCGGATATTAATATTTTGTTAGCATTTAACTCTAGAAATCTACGTATTTGGATGGCAAAATAAGAGATTCTTTTTAACCATTCTTCTTCTCGAATTTAATTTCACTTTTTTGCTAAACCACTTTTTATTGCATAATCTAACTTTAGTAAATTAATTAATTCTCTAACAGCAACTCTCATGTTCCAAAAACAAAAAAATTAGAAATCACTTATATTAGAACTTGATTATGAAATCGAAAGCAAATCAATAAAGAGTTCAACAAAAATGACTGAATAGAAAATAATATCAAAATTTGTTGATTTATATGAGGAAGTTCTCGTTTAAATCAAAGGATCACAGAATCTGGTATCACATATTTCACTATTTTAGTATTTAATCAATAAAATGGCTAACTGCAAGAATGGGGATGTTTTTAATCTGGATCTATTGTTGTCCAATTTCAAATACCTGATTACATTGTTAATTCAAGAATTAGTATTGTTTATTCCTATTTAGATCCAATATTAGATGCAAGTGGACTCTCAAAACATCGAACCAAACAAACCCAATTATCACGAGTTGAATTAAATGAAACTTGACCTCCAAAGATTCAAATATGTAACACTTTTATTGAAAATTAAGGACAAGACTGACCTATAATATAGAGTTAAAGAGCTTGAACAAGACCTACACCAACAATAACAATTAAATGCCTCCATCTGTCAAGATTTACTAGAAGCTAGACAAAAATATTAAGTAAACTATAATAACATTACGAAAAAAGGAATTATAACAGAAATTCGATCGTTAAACCTAAATCAAGTATGACAAAACCTTCTATACACAATATGACCAAAACATCAAGGAAAAACTCAAATAGCTGCATACAATCTACAAAATTGACAAATCTTAGAAAGCCAAATCCATAGTTAATTAAAGGCAAAAGCTAACCATCATGACTGAACCATGTGATTCTGATTCCTATCATGACAGATTTGGAGATATGACAGAAAAAAGTAATTCCTTTTATGGCAGAATCAGTAACAAGAACAAATAAAATCAAACTATTGAGAGTATTTTGTATCACAATTTCTTTTAGCCATCACCTCTGTCGGTACTGATTACAATAATGTGTCTGATTCCTTTTCATGTCTTCTAAACAACAGCTTTTATAACAAAAGAGATAAATCTGCTAGTCTCTCCATTGATTAATCCCTTGAACACTACAAAAATCTGAAACATGTCTTCAAATAAGGACTCCCTATAAATAACTCTATCAAATGCAAAAAATAGACTTAATTTAGCTGATAATTGTGATTACTAATTTATTTATATTAAATATTTCTCATTTCATATATTCGAAAATTATGAATTTCAATAGAGGACCAAGGCCTAGCTTTAGCATGCCTAAATAAATAGAAAGCATTAAGGAAGAAAAACCATATTCATATGTTGATATAGAAAGCACCGACTGCTTTCGAAACGAAAAAATAATAAAAAATGTCAAATTTGCACCAACTATTACTGTTTTTTTAAGATTTCAGGATGAAGACATTATGAAATTCAAAGAGAGATTAAGAAAATAGATCCTTTAAACCAAAGAAACCTTTGATTTCAACCCATCCCTAGATGAACCAAAAAAGAAAGGATAACTTAAGTCTTGTTTAAAAACCTTTTCTGAATGGGATTCTTAATAATTTTGATATGATTTCTTTTTGTTCTACTCTATATATAAATATCTCAACTTAAAATTACTCAAATCCTTCAAATATATAGAAGATAAATTTTACTCATTCTTTCACACAGGCGATTGAGGAGAATCTCTAACAAATGCAACAAATATAAAAATAAACGCAACAGTAGGAAAATGAATATAAAAAAGAATTATCATACATATATTAACATATGATGACAGTTAGAATATTCTCATAACAACTGAACATAATTAAAAATCACATTTGGAAGAAATCAAAACCACCATTCTCTTATTATAGGATTGATAAATAAATTTTTCTATTAATATTTTGTTTTGACATTTTCAAAACAAGTATATATTTTTAATTATAATATTACTCAATCTAGTTTATTTCTATACTTGGTTAGGCTTTTCTCTTTTGTTAAGTTTTTAGCTGTTTATTTTAATCAGGGAGGATGACTAGTAACAGTTAAATCCTAAAGTTTAATTATTTTGTTTGAATAAAAAGATTGTAAATTAATCTAAAATATTATAAATAAAAGATAATTTTTATAATAATTTAATTAATAAATATATCAAAATAGCCGAAGTAAATAAAATGCAAGAGAAATTTTGATAAATGACATGCACATATCCCAAAGCCAAAATGCTAAACAAATTTGAAAATCTTGAGTTTAGGATTAGATTATGCATCAGGATTTTAATATTAAATGAGAGTATGTTTAATTGTAGGCAGTCCTCTGAAAATAATTTTGAATAATCTTTTCCATCTTATTTGTTGTTATCTGGAAGTAATAAGATTTGCATCAATACTTGAGGGAGGACACAAAAATTATTACGTAACTTTTTGTTAAAAATTTTTAATAATCTACTTATAAAAGTTATTAATCTAGAGATTTTAAGTTCTTGATTTACAATTCGACAAATGTGAATGTAATATTTATTTTGTATACCAAAGACTTAAAGACACAATAGAAAATCCTACATGTACATAATTATATCGAAATGCTAAATAGTAATTCAAAAATTAAGAAGCAATCTGATTCACTTGTAATACTCATCCAAAATATGATTGGAATTAAAGATTTAACTTTATCCTATTAAAAAGTCGGTTTTTTATAATCCAAACTAAAATAAAGTAATTGAAACTTCGTATCGAAATCTATGAAAAACTCAAAGTGGCGAGCAATTTTAGAATTTTAAAAGAACAAAATAAATACAACCTCTAATTTATTTCGAGAAGTGTTTAGAGATTGATAATTTGTTTTATTTTTGATATCAATAAATTTAATAATTAAACATCAAAATATATTTCCTATCTAAATTATGATGTTTAGGGACAAAACATAAAGGCTATCCACTTTTTGTATTAAGATTTTATTAAAACCAATCTCATTATAGTGTAGTAATCATTTAGAGAAGATTTGATAATGTTATTAGAAATAATAGTGACTGTCAATTAGTATATCTATTTTAGGCTGGCGTAACGAATTCATTATATATATAATATTAAATGTGTGTTGTTAATCTCAATTTAATTAGAGTCTCTCTCTAAGATATTCCTTAAGAGTAACAATCTTATCTTGGATATGATCTGAGATTCTAGAAATCAAGTCTTGTAATTGGACTCTGGATTGAGTTTCCATTTAATAAATATCTTATTATTATCTGCACCATTGATCCTATCCATCCAAATTGGACTATAAATAATGACTAAGATAAAGTTACTTGATTTCTCTCTACTTCAGCAGCATGATATTCAACTTTGCCCTAGGATTCTTCGATAATGCTTTGATAATTCAAGATAGCTTATTCAAGATTCTATCTTTAATCAGATCTAAAGAATGAAATTAATAATTACAAGGTGTTTCTTTCATTGGTTAAGTCGGATAAGAACTATTACCAGTTCAGACTTTATTATTTTTCAATGTCTTCATCACTTGATTTGCTTTCAACGATTTAGACTCTCAAATTGGACAATAACTATAAGACTTTCTTGGCTGTATCAGAATCAGACTTAGCTGAGAGTTGGGTCATCATGGTTAGAATTGGTTAAAATAATAATCCACTTGATGTTGATTGACTAATGGTAATGTGATGATTATTGTTTACCTCTATAATCTGGACAAGACTTTGTTAAATCTTCCTTTGACTTGAATGAATGAGGATCCTCCTGAGAGATGCTCAATCAAAGCATAAGCTTCGTCAATGGCTGAGATAGCTTCAGCATGGTCCTTGATTTTAGATTAAAATTCAGCATATTGTAAATCTCTTTCACTTTGTCCTGCATTAGTTTTTTTGGAATTCTCTTCAATTTCAACAGAAACCTCAGCAATTTTGTTTAATGATCTTTGCAAATTGTTTGTATTCTCATCAACGATTTTTAGTATGAGCTTTCAATTAACTTTAATGATATGCCAAGTTTGTAGAGAAATCGTGAAGCAATCTGTTACATGAGGCTTGTGTATTTTGGATATAAAGATCGGAGTCTTTCTGTTCTTATTCCAACATGAATCTAATTATAAATACAAGGTAGAACCTGATGTTGTTAATATAGCTTTGAATTTCGTGGACTGGTGACCCTGTGGCTAAACTAATTTAAATGGCATTCAAGAATGTTTTTCCCATATGATTGTTGTCGATTTCTGCAAGTACAACTTTAGGATCTGTGGCCAATTTGCTTAATGCCTTTAATGATTACGAAGTCTTAATACCAAACCAATCAATAGCACTATTAGGATTCTCATTTTTATATATAATTAATTAAAAACGAATTATGCTTGTGCTCAAATTTAATGATATAAACACAAATCAAGTTTAACAATAATAACAATAATACTAATACTTCAGGATTATCCTCTCTCGATATGCCAATCAACAATTCCAGATTAAGAAAGCTTACACTAAATTCTCAGGAAGATGGTCGAAAGGAAGTGATTCAGAACGATAAATAGATTACGTTTAAGAGGATTTGGATGTCAATCTTGTGGCTAAACTCGTTAATGCATTCAATGGGATCGAAATCGTCATCAACACTCCCCAAGAATTATATGAAATGTATCAAATTCTACATTTCTTCCAGATTCAGGAACTGTAAAATTAAATAGAAAAATTCCTGATTTAAGACAAATCTAGTATTTTAATTGGATACCAATTATCAGAATTGTTCGAAATCGATTCCCTATCTAACTTTTATTTCGAATATTTCAAAGAATATGGATTCTTGGGTATTTTTAATAAAAAACTTGATAAGGAGAAAGCAAGAAAACACATCTACAAGAACAAAAACAGATTGGTTCCACTTCATTATTTATACTTATAAGCTAACCTATTCAAAAAATTGTTAGTCTTGCATAACCATCTTGCCGTCATCAATTTCGATTAAAGTAAGTTCTTAGACTAATTTTAAATTGCCCTTTTAATAAGCGAATATTGTTTAACCAATGGCTATGATAGAATTAAATTATAGGAGATCTTCTCCGATGCAGTTATTAAAGATTAAGTCACTAATGAATAGAAATAAATTATTCTGATCGAATTTGAAAAATAGTATAAACAAAACTAAATGAGAGCAGTTTCAAGTATATCCTAATCAGAAGAAGATGATTTATCTGATACTACTATTGAAATTAAAAATAACTATTCAGAAAATATGATATCACAAATCCCCATTATTGAACCCATTGAAATATATAGAGGAAAAGAATTGGACCCAAAACTGCTCATTGGATTAAAAAATTTATAATTTCATTTTAAGACTAAACATACCTCTTTTGGATTCTATATCTCCAAAAAGATTGAATTAAATACAAGCATAGAAGATGAATAATTATAATTAGTCAATTTAAGTACTAAAGTATAACTGAATACAAGTTTGAGAGTGAATTGGATTAAATTTGAAGAAAATGGCTTAAACGTAAATAATAGACTAATAATTGTCAGATAAAAAGGAATATGTAGGTATGAAGATGATGTGAATGAACCTAATGGTTAAATTAGATTAACAGGGTGTCGTAATTTCAGAATTGAAGAAGTAGAAGTGTGGAATACATGTATTTTTGCATATTCTTGAAATTTGGGTTGAAATTAATACAATTCAAATTCGTTATGATATTCTTACATTTAATCATCAAATGGAGTAGGAGGTTATTTATCTAGAAAATTCTACAAATAAATATTAATTCTTCTATTAACTCACCAAGGTTAGTTTAACAAAAGTAGTTTTTCTAACAAAGTCTCTGTTTTTATTCTTATTCTATTGATGCAAATCTTTATCCTTAATTGAAAATGACTAATAAGATTTGCCTAAACGATATTTTTCTAATTTCAGTAAACTCTTTCGTTTGTTATTCATAAACTTAGGATAGCTGTTGATTTTCATATTTCAATCAAACAATTTGATTTAATATTTACAAAATGTGATAAATAAAATGTTTCATCATATATATCGTATTTCTAAAACTTTAATGATATATATAATTATTCTTCACTATTTTGCTTACTTAACCTAATTACAATCAAAAGTTTCAAGATACAAAGATTAATATTCATTTTTCAAATGCTATAACATTGACTTAACTATAAAAATGAATTAAATATTATAAAATAGTTACTATATTTAATTGATATATTTATTTATAAGAAGGATACCATGAATTGATGTGCGACTACCCTATATTTTGATATAAGTTATTATTTTTAATATAAGTTCATTTAAAAATATTGTTTATAATTTAAGCAATAACTTCTTTTTATTCATCCACCTCTAGATATTCGAATTTTTTGATCTTTGAGTTTTGTATTGATAATGCTTTAGATGATAAATAGTAGTAATTCACATTGTCATCAACATCTTATAGAATTGATTCTTATGTTGCATTATAGATTATCAACAATATATCATGAAGTTTTGGCTTAAACAGCTCTATGCATTCCTTAACATCGTCTTTCATAACCTGATTACTAACGACTATTAAGGTATTTTTATTATAATCATTTTGATTACAATTCTATACCTTAGTTGTATTATTTAACTAATCAAAATAATCAAAATCTTCTTATGAAATCACTAGTTATATTAATATTACTTTACCTAACAATGATGCATTTTTGTTGGTGAAACTCCCGTATTTTTAATGTACTTGGTTGCTTTCTTTCTTAATATTCCAAAATAGCAGCATGATTATACACGTGAATGTTAAAATCGATCCAAAATAGATCAAGTTATTGATATGATTTTTTTTGATTTCTTGCATGATTCCTCCATTGGATTCGTTATTATTTTCTAATTTAGTAATTTCATTTATAAATTCTGTGTTTTCTTCATCACCTATCATTTTAATATTATTATTTATATTAATAGCAATTTGTCAATTAAGTTATGGAACAATCTTGAATGTGAGAGTGAATTTGGTTTCTGGGATGGAGAATCAATTCAAAATATTGATATGTATTATATAAGTTATATTTAATTATTAAATAAATTTAATTGTTCTTTCAGTCATCTTTTTGTATTTTTCCATAATATTAGCTATTGCTTTTTTGAATATTTTAATAAAATAAAGGAAAATGAAATATGATGAAATAAAAAAATGCTTCAGTTCCGAAAATCATTACAAACAGACAAAGCAAATAAAAGAATATATAATAGAAAACGACATGTATGGTAATTTCAATTATGAAAGTGAAATAACTTAAGGAGCAATTCAAGCAGTAGGAAACATTTTGGAAGATGCCAATTCATAGCCAATCGAGAAGTTATTATCTACAAGAGTAAGATATACTCCTGTATTCAGTTAGTGAAGGAAATAATGGATTGTCATATTGCTTTGGTTATCGAAAAAGTGTAAATAAAAATCATGCCAATTTATGAACAAATTCTTATATAATTTTGTGAGAAAGGACAAAAAGCAAAGTAATACTTCTCCAATAAACCTGGTAGATGTTATTTATATATATTCAAGATGAACAGCTGATGGTTCTTGGCAACACATTTATCCGACTGATAAGTGAATGCATATTTGTGTGGAATATTTGGCATCCAAACATAGACGGATAACAATCAGCGTATTCAAGAGTGTAATAAAACTAATTATCGATATTAGATACAATAATTTAGTTTCAAAGGGAATTCAATTTCCTAAACTCTTTTATTTCAATTCTCAAAAAGTCAAGGAATTCTACATACAATCTAAAGAATAAGTGAACTGTTCTCCATTTGTGTACTCAAACAACATACAACCAGATTTCTACTACATTAAAAAAAGACTAGACGGAAACCAATTCCAAAAAAGTGATCTCATTATCATAAGGAATGAATTACTCTGTAAGTCATTAATAAATAACGTCTTCTAGCCCTAAAAAGCAGCGAACTCAATTCTAGTTAAGCAAAGTTTATCAGAAATTTTGAAATAGCATTTAAAGATTTTGAGAAGACTCAGAGATTTGATGAACTGTAGATTATAATCTAATCCATGTAATATATATTTAAATTAAATTTTAAGTTGTTTAGAATTTGATGACGAAGTTTTTGATAAATAGGCAGCCATTGATGCATTTCAAAAGAGGTATCAATCGAATCAGAGCAATTTCACTCCTTGCAAACTACAAGGAGGAGCAGGTGGCTATTCAACTGATAAGATTAGTCAATTTCTATCAAATGGAAGTATGAGTGTAAGATACATCATTTTATGACCTTAGTCACAAAATTCATCGCCCAATGAATAGAAGCAATAATTGCAAATTTTGAATGAAAAGAATAGAAGGATCGAACAATTATTGTTAGAAAATTCTCTTTTGTAGAAATAAGTAAGAAATTTTGAAGATCAGATTCACACTCTAAAACAAAATCTATCCTAAAATATTGAATGAATATTAATTAATATTTCAAGAAATATATTCTAATTTGCAATTATGATATAATTAACCAAAGAGCATCTTCATGATTAGAATAAGAAACTTACGGAAGAGAATCAAAGATTGGAATTGGTTGTCTATAGTCTTCAGAGATAATTGTCAAATCTTGCCTCCTTTATTGACAGGGCAAAATTGTTACAGGACTAAGTTGATTTGCTAAACCAAGAATTGGGAAGTGTTAGAAGAGACAATGCTCATTTACAAGAAGTCATAGTATCCTTGTAGGCTGAGTTGAATTCATTCATCGCCAACGCTTAAATAGAGACAACTGAAAGATAAGAAATCGAAACCTTAAAAATATTTTATGAGGAATAACTCAATAGTTTCGCAAAAGAGAACACAAGGCTATAGAAATTGATAAAAGAATTCAATACTAAATAAGTTTCCAATCTTTAACTATCTGCAACAAAATTGGTTGAACTTGGAATTAAAATAGATTAAAAACTAGACGATTAAACCCACAGAAGAATGCTAAGTAATCCCATTCAACAAAGTCCAAAAGGAATCTCTAAAGAAGTTTATCAAAATCTAATCCTGTAACTATCCAACCAAAGTATAGATGAAAAGTCAATGGTTGCTTCATAGTACTTTTTTATTTAAATTACCCCTTTCTAGGTCCAAAATGAAACTTTCAGGTTCGAATATCTTATCTCACTTCTCAAACAATAAATCTAAAATACCAGCATTTTCGGTTGCATCACAAGACTAACCTCTAACTTCCATTCCCACCCATATTAAGAAATGATTTTAGTCTATGTTAATATTTATACGTTAGTTCCTATTCTAATTTTGGCAGCAGAAATTGGATTGTAATTTTATAGATTAAAATAGAGTATATATTTAATTGTATATAAATGGATGAAATAAAAAGTAGTATATTTAATAACGATATCCTTCAAAGTTGAACTGACATATGTGTAAACGAAAATTACATTAATATTTAAAATGCATTTTTAGCTGTTAAACAAGAATTGTTATAAAGACCATTTTAATTTAAGTAATTAGTTATATATTTTAATCATTTACTAAATACAATTAAAAGCATTTATTCAATATTTTCTCTAATTTTAAATATGCAAGCCCCAGGCTTAACAAAATTGCCTAGTCAATAGAAAGTTCCGAAGTACAGACCTGTAAGATTGTAAAACAAATTTAGTCCATCAATATAGATAATTTGATTGCCATTTGCACAGGGAAACTCAAGAATTGTCCAAATCACAAGAAGGCTCTTTATATTCGCGCATCAGCCTATATCAAGAAAGGAGAGTATTAAACTGCTATACAGGATTGCAATAAGCTTCTGGAAACAGACAGTGATAACGTGGGCGGATATTATTTGAGAGGTATTAAAATTTGAAAATGAAGGATGTGCAAATGAAAAATTAGGTTAAATAGATTTAGCTATTGAGGATTTTTCAAAGGTTCTTTCATTGGATGAAAATCATGTTAATGCAGCATTTGCTCGTGCTTCTTGTTTAAATTTGAAAGGGGATTTTGCTGGAGCTATTGAAGATTACACAAGAGCTTTGGAGAAGGACAATGCCAAATCCCTAAATCTATCCAATTCAATCAATAAGAGGTCTTTGCTGAGGAATAGTTCTATGAAAAAGGATGAACCATATCCAAAGACTGAGGCATTTTAATTTACAACCAAAAAAAATAAATATTAACAACCCGAAGAAGATGATTTGATGAACCCTCAGAATGACGAGGAATACTTGTAAAATGATCAATCGTAAATACAAAATCAGCCCTAGTAGACTAGCTTTATGAGTTAGAATCCTCTCTACACGAGTATCGATGCGAATGAATTGAATATTCAAAGGCCGTCTCAAATAATCGACAAAGAAATATCATAGCCTATGCAATAACAGTTGATATCGATGATACCAGAAAACATTCAAAATGATAATAAGAAAATATCAGATTGGTTTCATTCGCAAGGTTTTGACGCTAGGAAAAAAGAAGACTTTATCAAGGCAATAGAATTCTATACCATGGCTTTGATGTTTAATCCAAATCATTTTAAATCGATATTCAATAGAGGTATAACTTATATTAACTCCTTGATAGGCTTTGCTTTCGATAAACTCAGAATGTACAATGACGCCATCAGTGATTATACTAAGGCTATTGAGATGGATTCAAAGAATGCCTATGCGTATTATAACCGAGGGATTTCTTATGATAAAAAAGGAGATTACAATTTAGCCATTAAGGATTTTGCAAAATCAATAGAACTAGATCCATCTAAAGCAGACTTCTATCACAATAAAGGATTCGCAATGAAAAAAAAGAATTTAGTAAGGGAAGCCATTCTAGAGTTCAATGAATGTATTCGTTTGGATAAAAATCACTTCAAAGCTTATTATAATAGAGCAAATTGTTATGAAAAATTAGGAGACTTTGATAAAGCATAACAAGATTACTTAATTGCTAATAATGTTGTACCAAATAACCCAAATACTCTAACTCACATTGGGATTTTGATGGACAGACAATAGAAATTGGAAGATGCACTAAAATACTTTAATTCGTAATGATCTTAATTAAATTCTTAGATCTCTAAAGATTGATTAAAATTATGCTCCAGCATACAATGGAAGAGGCTTAGTTTTTGATAAAATTGGAGAATTTGAGAAAGCCTGCCAAGACTTCAATAAGGCTATAGAAATAGAACCATAGAATCCTGTGTATATTCATAACAGAGGCTGTTGTAAAAGGAGCATGAATAAGTTTGAGGAGGCCTTGGAAGATTTTAAGAAGGCTTTATCTTTGGATTCAAAGAACCCTATTATCTATTCAAATATGGGGTTAGTGTTGAGAAAGATGGAAGATTTTGAGACGGCTGTGTATTGTTATTCGCAGGAATTAATCTATTCTCAAGAAAACACTAGGACTCTTAATAACAGGGGGTATTGCTTGGCCAAGTTGGGTTAGTTTGATGAAGCTATAGCTGATTATACTAAAGCAATAAATTTAGATCCTGTAAACATTCATGCTATATATAACAGAGGGATTTGTAATGAGAGGATTGGAGAATTTCGTAAAGTAGAATATATATAAATAGATAGGCTATAGAGGATTTTACTTCTGTAATTCAATTGTAGAATGACTAAGGAGCTAATGCTTACTTCAATAGAGGGTGTTGTTACGATAAGTAAAATACTCATAAGATTTATCTAGCATTGGAGAAATGGATCTGGCTATAGCTGACTATTCCAAGGCGCTTGAAATTGATAATAAAACGAGCAAAGTCTCATGATAATTAAATAATTTATGTAAACCTAGAAATATTAAATCACTTAAAGATCAAATTTAGTTTTCAAGGATAAAGTTAATGAGTTTGAGTGTCCAATATGTTTAGATACTCTATTTTAACCAGTCACCTTTGATTGTCAGGTTCACACAATTTGTTTAGATTGTGTAATCGCACTTAAGAAGTGTCCTTTGTGTAGAAAAAGCATAAAATTTGTCAAGCCAAATCTAGAAATGAGAAAAATTCTAAATAGTTTACAATGTAGATGTCCTTAAGGTTGTGGGTAGATTTCATATGAATATTTATATTCTCATAAAATTAATTGCACTTCTTAAACAGATGCCTAAAAGATAATAGCTTAAAAGTTGTTAGTTATTAAGGATGAAATGATCAAAGTGTTTGAAAAGGAGATAAATCCTCATTTAAAGTAAATGCATGGACAAATTTTTGATGATTTCTTAACTGGTTGGGATTGGCTTTCTTTTAAGAGAGATGACTGGAAATGGTGGTGGTGGAGCAATACTGCATGGTGGAATAATTAGGTATGTGTGATATGCAATGATTTATGGCATAAGTATGAGGATGAAATTGAAGTGTTTGAAAAAAATAGATTAGAATTATTGGATTAATTATGATATGTTATATTATATTATTATATCATTATCATTATCATTATTGTCTGCCTTTGAAATGATCCATAGATTCACTGACTCCAAAGAGTTCCATCATATTGTCATAGATGCATGTTGGGAATATTGCTTTAACCATAATGGATAAATTTAGAATAATTGGCATAATCACAACTGTTTCATCTTAGAGCACTGCATTTACTATTCTTGTGGTAGCGTAATCTAAATAATGAAAGGGATAGATACTTTCAGATAGAATTGGGAATAGAAGAGGGAATTTTGATTTGGCTCCATCAAACATTCCTGTATTGATGAAATATGGACAGATGCAAGTGGTTTTGACATTAGATTTAGTTGCTCTTAATTCAAATCTAAGGGATTCATCGAATCCAACAGCACCGAATTTGGAAGCACAATAATCGGCCAATCCTCTGACTCCAACCCAACCTGCAATTGAAGCTATGGTTACAATGTGACCATGTTTATTGGCAATCATATCTCCTAACACTTCCCTCACAGTCCAATGGTGGGCAGTTGTGTTAATATTCATTGTTCTAGCAATACCAGCATCTGTATTTTCTAGAATTTGTTTCCCACTCACAACTCCAGCATTATTTATCAAAATATCTATCTTTTTCTAATGAAAATCAATGCACTTTTTAATAGCATTTTTAACAGATTAAGGATCACTGACATCACATTTCACTCCAAATGCAGCCTTTTCACCATGAAGACTATTTATCTAACCCACAACCTAATTTAATGCATCCTCATTCACATCCACAATGGATATCTTTTTTATATTGAAATTGTATATACTTTTGCTCCTAATCTAGCAAATCTCAATGCCATATTTTTTCCAATACCACTTGCTCCTCCAGTAATAAAGATATGTTCATTAACTACACTCTTCTTCTTCAACCATCTATGATAAATTACATAATTGACCCATTGTGCTTTCGTACTTGATACTGAAGATACAACAATCCCAAACCCAAAGCTGCCACTTATGCGACTCCTTTCTTTCCTTTCTTTTCATAGAATTTCTACCAGAAATCTTAGCCTCTTGTGAGAAATGATTGTAATTTATTCATTTAAGATAATTATTTATTCTTATCAATAATTTACACTCTGTTTTATTGCCTCGTAAATTTTAAATTTGTCTGGCAAATAAATTGGCTCATGAACTAATGGAAAAGGTGTGTCATAGCCTGTCACTCTTTTTATTGGTGCTTCCAAATGCAAGAAACACTTCTCTTAAATAAAAGCACTCAATTCAGCTCCCATACCGCATGTCTAAGGGGCCTCGTGTGATATTATGCATCTATTTCATCCATCAATTCAATACCTTCCTGTCTTTTTCACTGAATCAACTAGAGTCTAACCATCATATGGATATATTGTTTATAAATCGATTATCTCACAACTTACTCCATCCTTTTCTGCCAACTTAGCTGCTTCTTTCAACACTCTTATTTATGTACCATATCCAATCAAAGTGATGTGCTTGCCTTATTGAACCACTTCAGCTTTCGATAACTCCAACTAAAATTCATTCCATTTTCATCATACTTCATAATCATCCAAGGGAACTTCATCCTCAGCATTACGATATAATGCTTTGGGCTCAAAAAATATCACTGGATTCTTATCTCTTATGGATGCAAGCAACAATCCCTTTGCTTATATTGGATCTCTGGGCACTACTACTTTTAATCCTGGAGTATGAGCAAAGTAAGCCTCTGGAGATTACGAATGATACAAGGCACTAAATTGTACACTCATATTCTTACCCATGACCTACTGCTCCCCAAGTAGATCTAATTGTCAAACTTCCACAATCGAATTGATTCCCAGATCTATATCTGAATTTAGCAGCCTCATTCACTATCTAATCGAAGGCTGGGAAGATATAATCACTAAACTAAATTTCTGCTATTGCTGTGTATCCTACACTTGCCAATCCAATCCCAAAAGCACCGATTCCCTAAATATTTAATTCTTTCTTACTTGTTCGCACAATGGAGTGTTGAATACTCTATCAGTGCCGTACTTTTCATTCAACCCTTAAGAGCATCGAAAAACACCTCCGAATTTAACATCTTCTCCAAATAATAATGCCCTTTCTTATACATTATGACGTACTTTGGATTTGCTCCTAATTCTATATCAAGAGCGTTGTTAATTGCTTGAAACAAGTTCATTTTCTGTCTATTCGTGCTTTTAATATCTGAAGCAAATCTGTGTTTTGTTGAGCCAAATTGATACACTCTTCTCAATAATTGCATTTATTTATTTAATTGCTTATGCAATTTCAGTAAAATTTTGTGAATAAGATTATCTGAAAAGCAAATAAGAAAATAAGGTACGGAGGTAATTATTTAACAGATTTGATTAAGGTACCTCACTGATTAATAAATAATATTTTCTCTGGTCTGAAAAATTAAGAATAGAGAATTTTATCATAAATTTAAGATCATTATATGCAAATACAAGGAAGTAGTTTTTAGTTTTACATTCTTGAAAGAATAAAAGAAATTCAGTAAATAAAGTTTTGGATAATGATTTCTTGATTTCATAAAATGTTTTAATAATAGGATATTTAACTTAAATATTTAAAGTATCCTAAAGAACCATTAATAAATGCAGTATTTGAATTTTATAATTTTGTATCTAAATCAACTTCAACTAATAAAATGATTAGATATCAAACTTGGTTAGGATATTATTATCATTTTATTTGTAATTTATTATTAATAACTATTAATTATCAAATTTGCATAAATTAGCTAAGATAGAGTACTTGGTTCTAACTGTAATAATAGAATTATTATAATTAAATATTAGTAAACTTCAACACTACCAGTAAATCTTAAAACCTAAACTCCTTCTCCATTACAATATGAAATTAATGAGAATCCATCAATTTTATTAGATATACCTATAATATTTTAATTAAAATCACTTAATTTTTGTTAGAATAAAAAATAATAAAAATTATAGCAGATATTTCTCTTTTCCATATAGTAAAATATGTTCTCTAGCATCACAATCTAGAAGGGTAATTTAAAGGATGAAAAATACATTAATTTTATTAAATTATATAATGATTTCAGAGTAACCTGAAGGTTCAAAACCGTCGAAATTTTAAGGAGGTAGAATTCACTTAAGACCCATCGACAGCATAGGAAGAGACTTTGATTTAGGAAATATTGAAACTAAAAGTAGAAGGCATTTTTCTTTTGATCCCACACCTGTTATGCATTACAAACCGCAATTAAGAGTTGGGTTTCCAAAAAATGTCACCAATCCTGAGATATTGTTTACGCACAAAAGTTAGGGAGGACCTGATAAATTAACTTATATGCCTCCAATCAAAAAGCATAAAGATTTTACATCTACAATGAGAAAAACAGTCATTAACAAAGAAGTAAAGTTATTAATGCAATTTAGTATGAGGAACAATAAACAGAAAATAGAAGAATGATTGAGGAGTTGGATGTTTGGGAGAAAAAGTTTAGAAAATAATGATTATATTAGCATATATTACTAATTAAAAGATATTAATAATGTAAATTATTAAGAGCAAAGCAGTGTAGTAATTAGTACATCGTTCCCAATACAACAAAATCGTATGGCAATCCTCTAATCCATATAACAAAAGATGGCAATACAAATTTAAGAATGCCTATTACACATATCCAAGAGACATCAATTAAGAGCATACCTACGTTAAAACCCCAAAAGATAATTGGGAATCAGTTCCACTTGGATGGGCTTGGATCTAAGATTTATTACATAGACACGTATTCATTTTATTAATACTCTAGGTGCCAAACTTTTCTTGTTTAATAGAAAGAAGACATAGATTATTTGATAAGTTCAATGTTTATTTCTTGCCAGCATTCAGTCTATTCTTTTATCAATTTTATCCATTAGCATTTGGATTTAAGGTATGGAATCATCCATATGAATTAGGTATTAACAATATTGCCTTTGGCAATGTTATACGTGAGAGCCAGAGACAAATGTGGTGATCCTGATTTCAAAGAAACATACCTGAGAGATATGTTATACAAAAATAGTGAAATAACTTCCCTATTTAAGGATGAGACTCTTCACGTTTTAGATTACGACTGTGAATATGATAAAGGATATCCATGTCCTGAGAAATTCCCAGAATTCAAGAATAAGGTAATAAAAGAGTTCATTACTCTAGTTTTGGCAATTCTTCAATACTGATACATCAATGACAACTGGATATTTCAAGATGGCTGATGTAGAATCAGGTGCAGTGATGAATTTGAAATTTAAGACAATGCCTGTCCCAGGAAAATATAGATATTAAATTGGAGAACCATTTTATTTTTATGATTTAAGAGGTACTAATCATATATATGTCTAAAGCCGAAATTACTCATAATGGATAACACAAGGAAGTTGTTTTAGTTGATGAGAAAGTAGCCCTTCAAAAAGTAAGACCATTTTTATTAATTATTTGAAAAATAATATAAGAATCAATCTAGGAAATTAAAAAATAATCAATTTCATTATTTGCAATTCATTCTTTGATCCCTTTTTATTTTCTATTGTTTAGTCTCTTTCCTATTATATATATAAGATTAAGATATTTATCAAGTGTCATTAAGTTTAAATAGTTCTTGTCTATCGATTCTATCTGAAAATACACCTTACTATTAATCATCAATTTTGTATCTATACATGTAGAATAAGTTTTAATTGTTAGTGAACAGTGTTTTAATCCTTTTCTAAGCAATCTAACTTTCAGTACTAAATTAAGTATTTGGGATATACACTTATATCTCTTTATGCTTTAATGAATTTTTCTTTATATATGTAAAAAGATAATAGATTTTTTAAATCTAAATCTCTTTAATTGGAGCATTTTTTCTATATTTCTTTTATAAGATTATCACAATGTTTAAAGATTTAGAATTATGAAAAGTAAAAGCTTTTTAAATATTCTTTTAAAAAATTAGAATTCTCAATTAATATCCACTTCTAAAAATATTATATTTTATTCTCAATCAGGTCTTTTACAAATTTATTAAAGCTGATCTCTTCTTATGTCAGCGTGTAAATTACTTAGATTTTATTTCCTTCTTCATGTTTTTATTTTGATAATTAACATATTACAAAAATCGCTTGATTGAATTAAGACTCTTTATTTATTATATTTCATGCCCATCCATATATTTTCATATTATCTTATATATTGGAAAGTAAAGGTTTCTTAAAATCATCATCTGTTATTTTATTTTATCCTATACTTCAAATTCACCATGATATTCATTGAAATTTATATTTTCTATGATCTAAAATGATGATTATGATTCATGAATAGATTCTTTCCACCATTTCATAATTTAATCACATATCAACTTACATTGAAATTTTTATCACTTTTATATTCATAATTGAACATCATGAGAACCTCTAATTAAATAGTAGAATGATTCTAGTGTATTTAAGTTGAATGTGAAGTGTTCATAATTTGATGAAGAATGGCAGTCTTTGTTATTAGTTCTTTTTTTTATTTAGTTTCATTAAAACAATGAATTAAATATTTACAGAGAGAAGTGTTTAAGGCAATAAAGTTTCGATGGTACCTGATGACTCTGAAATAAAAATTGTGAAAATTGAAAATTAAGTCAGGTCCAGAAAGGAAAGTAGGAGTTCGGCAAAATCATAGAGACCAGAATCGAATATTTTAAATGATGGGGAGAAAAAAAAATCCACTTTTGAGGACAGTAGAATAACAATGCTGTTATTTGAGAAATACAAGACTGTTGAATTGGCTAGATTCTTTACGATAACTGCTACGATTACTTTAATAGTGTTTGAATATGAATATTCATATAGCGATTATTTAACAAGAACCCTGGATGAAGAAATGAAATTATTTCTCTATTTAATTATGTTCTTAACCATTCTCAGCAGTATACTTATTGTATGACTATTAGTTATTTTGACTTTCATTAGTTATCAGGTTTTGATGGCATATCAAAAAGAAGCACAAATGATCACTCCACAAGCGAACTTATCTGAAACTTCCTTGATTTGGGGTATAGCTTGGGAAATAATCTTACTGATCCTAATACCAACTCCATATACACGCTATTAAAGGGTAGAATTCCAACAAAGATATACTGGCACAATGAGATTCTATTTCTTTAATGAAATTTTAACCTTTTTTGCAATGTTTAAAGGGTTCTTGTTGCTCAACATAATATTTAAGTTCTAGAAATACTCATCCTCAAGAATAGGCAGGATCTGCAGATTGTATTCAGCAGATTTCAATACACACTTGATGTTGAAATTATGTATAAGAGACAAGCCGTTTGAGACCTAGTCGATTTTATTCGCTGGAGGGATGTTCGTTTTTGGCTACTCCTTGGAAGTAGCAGAGCGAGCCCTTTTTAGATTGGAGGACTCAGTGGATGCCTCCTATATCGGTAACAGGTTCTGGATAAATCTCATCACAATTTTCACTGTTGGGTATGGTGACTTCTTTCCGTACACAGATTTGGGTAGAGTGGCTATGGGTTGTGGTGTAGTTTATGGAGTAGTCGTCACTTCACTTTTTACTGCTACTCTATATAATTTACTAACTCCTTTGAATGGGGAATATCTGGCATGGGCATTGTTGGAAAAGGCTAATATCAGGAAAGTAATTTAGAATGTTAGTGGGAACATATTAATCAAACTCAACGATATATCTAAAAAACACACTCTCCATATCAAAACCTTGGAGGAGGCAAGTCATTTGAAGGATTAGGTGGGAGTCATGAACAATCTGTTGCAGGAGGTTAGTACTTTGAAGAGGTAATATAGAGATATCGATGGCGAAGAATTTATGGCTATGGTGAAACGAAAGTTTAAAGATATCAATGGGTAATTTGAGGATGTCTTTGAATTTTTGGAGAAAATCCAGAAGCAACAAAAATTGATAGCTTCAACAATCGAAAAGCCTTTTGATTTTTCAATAAAGTAATCAGTCAAGGTCAAGGAGAGTAGTAAGGATGACGAATTCTTTGACAACTTAAATGAAACTGTAAATTGTTCTCACTTAATGCGTTTCGAGGAAGACTGACTATTGATATATATTTTACGGATATAATTAATGCTAATGATAAATGAATTAAAACGATTCAATTAATTAAGTCACTTACGCAAAGCAATTTAAAACTGGAATTGGGACTCTTGGCTATGAAAGATCCTTTTCGGTGAGTCAAGAGGAAATACAATCTAAGGAAAATAATTATCAGAAGGTTTAGGAGAAAGAAATCATCTGTTTTGAAGATAGTCGAATAACTAAATTGATAATGGAGGGACACAAATTGATAGAAAATTTTCGGTTACAATTGATCCTCGTAATAACTGCATTGTGGTTTTTAGAAGTACTATCCGTTTTCAAATTAGATCGACGATGAAATATTCATTGAAAAACAAGGATCGGACTTAATCTTATGGCTCACCTTTAGTCTAAATTTGATCCTCATCCTATTCACCTTTTTAAGCTACCTGACTCTCATGAATTATTGGAAATCTACCTTACTAATCCCAAAAGATCAATCATTCTTCCACTCTGATCAAATGAAGCCATTTCTGATAGAAACGGGATTCCTCTTAATATTCCCCACTGTGTTTACCAGAGGTAAGAATAATAAACTAACTATCAATAGACATTCATTTAACCTTTACTTTAAAAAACAACGAATATTATTACACAGTAAATGAAATTATTATAATGATAAGTACTTTGAGATCATTCCAAATACTCTTCATCTATTTGAGATTATGCAAATTTTATAACAGTCAAACACAGAGACTCTCATTAAATTATGGAATCATGATGAATCCTAAATTTCTATTCAAATACTTGATTCATTCTTAGCCCACTTATTTAATAATATCCATGTTCACCATAACATTCTGGTACTGCACCATAGCGATGTGGATTGCTGAAAAAGCACTTCAAAGAGAAAATCTACAGACCGTCTAATTATTGTACTTAATTCACATCTAACCTATATAGCAAACATTGTTTCTTAGAAGTGATTCTATCTCTGCTGGCATACGCTTATGAAGACTATGTCCCAATAACTAACTTGGGGAGAATCATATTATCATATGCTGCATATGCTGGGTTCGTTATGGCCTCAATCATTATAAGTGCGATAATTCAAGCATTTGAGTAGGAGTATGGAGAATATTAAGCATGTGTGTTGTTGGATAAATTGATAATGAAGGAGAACATGTATCAAGTCACAAGCAACATTGGAGAGTAGTTTTACTATATCATGAAGTTTGATAAAAACCCATTCACATACAATAGAGTTAAAATTATACAAGCAGAATTGAAAGAATTTTAGATGTTGAAGAGATAATATAAAAGCATAATCTCAGAGAATGTTACTAACCTATTTAAAAGAAGGTCGAGAGAATCTAATGACATTTTAGATGAGTATCAAGACATCATGAAAATGTGTAAATACCAAAATAAGTAAATATAAGAAATGCTTGAAGAACTTATTTCCTTATAAAATTATCATTATCACAATTGGTATGATTGAAAGAACATCTATGAATTTATTTTTATTATATTAAATTAGAATTTTCATTATATTCATATATTTATTAACTACAAACCAACAATTTTGTAATCCTATCCAACAATGAATTATTATTTAATTTAATGTAAATTGATTTTCAAGTTACAAGACATTATTACAATTAGAAATTAACTCTAATTAATGAATAAGTAGTTCATCAATTCGATTGCAAGACTTCTACAAAGTAAATTGAGAAATAAGTATTTTAAATAAATTTAAGAAATTGCACATAAAGGTTAATAGTGATGATATATCTTCTAAGAATCCTTTGGAATACAACAATTATTTCAAGTGCAATACTAAAAATTCAATAAATATCATTATCTAGCAGATATTATCACGAATTTATTCAAAATACTAACCATCATCTCATATGTAAATATTTGAAAAGAGTTAACTAAGTTTAATCACACTGAATTAAATCTCTCCTAATTAAAATATTAAAGAATTACTATGGCCTCATTATTATATTTTTGTCTTACAATAAGTTCTCCTTATTCCCAAGAAAATCCCTAACAATAAGCCACTTAACACTATTTTTATTTATAAATTTATTAAAAAAAGGAGGAGAGTTGCAAAAACGGTTAACCACTCAAGAATGCCGAAACAACATTATTTATATATTGAAAAACCATTTATTAAATTTAGAAATACTGAGAAATCTGATTTATCCTTATCATTATATTAAAATAAATAAGTGATATATTTATGAGATGATAAAATTTGATGTTTTAAATCATATTTTTTAAATTTGATATTCGATTTAATAAAAATAATTGGGTAGCATAATAGTATACTCAATAGATTAGATCCAAATCACATATCCAAATTAATAGTCAGGACTTACAATATGGCTATTTTAGTTCTCCTTTTCGTTAGTGATTTAATTAATAATAGTGGAAAAATGGATCATGGATAAGGATTTGATTGAGAATTAAAAACAAATCAATTCGAGTGATTTAGCTAATGAGCTTTTATGATTGATTAATAATTGATAGTTAAAATTATATTATGAATTTATAAAATGAAGGCTCTATTGAGTTGTCTGGAAATCCAGCTTCAAGGGCTGGCGAAGATGAAGCAGTATAGTATTAAAAAAGACTGTCTGTTATTATTTTAAATCAAATTCAACGAAAAACATTAAAAAAAAAGTCCACAATTATCCAAAGCTCCAAACGGGATGTCTTTGAGGATAGTCGATCCACAAGAATTTATTTTGAAAGATACCGAGTTTTGGAATAGGGGAGATTTTGGGTAATTTGTGCTACTCTAGTTTTAGTTGTTTTAGAGGTGTAAATTATATTAAATATTTATAGTATGAAGCTTCTTTTATGCATCAATTAACGGACACTTATGATACCGAAATAAAAATATTACTCTATCTAATAATGATCCTCTCTATAGTTACAAGTATATTACTCATTTATTTAGTCATTATGACATTAATTGCTTATTTAGCAGAACTTGAATTCAAGAAACGTTCTCTTTCAATTCCCAAGGCCAGCAATATATTTGAGACTAATCTGATTTTCCTTTTGATTTTAGAGGTCATCATCCTATTACCTTGTCCAACACCCTACACCATGGAATTCAAGATATTCTATGTATAAAGATATTCAGATCAAATCAGATTTTATTTCTTAAATGAGATTTTGACTTTCATAATGCTCTTTAGATCCTTGTTAATTCTAAACACAGCATTTAAATTTCAAGACTTCTATTCCAATAGAGTCAATAGATTATGGTATATATTGCTCACAATTTAAGTCGTATTTATTCAGTAGATTTTGGTCCCCACTTTATATTTAAAGTAGCCATTAGAGAACACCCCTACAAAACTATCTGTGGGCTCTTTTGTATTGGACTATTTATTTTCTCCTATTAATTAGAGATTTCAGAAAGATCTTTGTTAAGAACAGAACAAGAAGTGATGTCTTACAAAGTTAATAATTCTCTTTGGGTTTGTATGATAACAATATTCACAGTCGGTTATGGTGATCTATATCCACTAACTGACCTAGGAAGATTTTCAATGACTTTAGGTTTATTCTATGGAGTTGCATTAACTTCTTTGTTTACAGCTATTCTTTATGCAGACTTGTAACCCTTCACAGCCGAAATACGTTCTATAACCTTATTAGACAAGGCCAATTTAAAAATTTCAATAAAGTCCTTTGCTTAAAAGGCTATATTGAATTTATTTAAGCTACAATAGTACTTCCAAAAGAACAAATTAAAACATATCCAAAGAAATCCAGCCATCAAATAAAGAGTCACTTATATCAGAGGTATTTTACAAAAAAGCGAGAACATGAGAAGGTAATCCTGAATTGTATTTACATTAGAAACTACAGAACGATTGACACTGAAGACTTAATCACGATGGGGGAGAGAAGATTTCAAGAAATGACTCATTTTTTCTATGAGTATTATGGTATGCTTGAATAGATGTAATAATAACAAGAGCTATTGGAAGATTATGATACAGAAAAAATAAATTCAATTAAGAAAAGCCACACAGTGACATCAGCCAGTCTTGAAATAAAGAGCAAAGATGATTAATATTTTGAAGAACTGATTGATTCCTAATCACAAAATCAATAGTTAATGAAATTTAATGACGAAGACTGATAAAAATACGATTTAGATTTCGTAATGAACATAGAGTTTAGTTTTTCTATTTAAATATTAATTCCAAAGATCAATGTTATTTTTAATACTAAAAGTAATTAAATTATTGTTTTAAATATGAGCCTTTCGTTTATATAATAATTATTATTCTCTAATAAATACTAAAATTTCAAGGAGGTATATTTAGACACTTGCATAAAAGTAATAATATGGGCTAAATTGTCCCGTATTGTAGCTTCATAGGTCAATAAATTTTTTAGGGATTTGATATGTTTATAATTCAATAATTATTAATTTAGGAGTAATGAAATATTTTTCTAAACTCGTTTACTTCTTTTTAACAATAGGGTCTAATACAGAGAGGAGAAAATAGAAGGTAGATTATGGAAATCTGGCTATGATAGTATTTTATTTTATTTAATTACTTGGATATGTATATAGTTAATTTGAAAGCAAAACTCAAGTGTTTTATGAAAATGATTATTTAGCATAAATTGGTTAGTATTCATCAATCCCTTTTATGATGATTGTCATCCATTATGATCCTTTTACAACTTTGGTTTATTACTGTATATTTGGTACAATGTGTTCAATCTATGGAATAATATTATTTCAAACTCTTTTGAAAGTAAATTAAGTGCTTATTAATTAGCCTTTGCCTCCAGCACATTTAATCAATCGATTTATAAAGTTTTACTTTCAGAACTTTTAATGGTATTTTTTAACACCTTTTCATGAAGCTATGATTGGCATTCTAACTTGTGGACGTCTGGCTTATTTGGAACAACATTCAGCTTTGAATCCTCGTAACTGTTTTAATGAAATATCTCCTCATTTTATAGTCATTAGCTTTTCAGGACAGGTTTTGGTGATAATTTCGGGATTTCTTTCGTTATACTGCTTTAGAAATTACGAATTTATTTAAGGAGATCTAATGAGAAAATTTAGTTATTTAAACTTTTTGACCATTTTACTACACATGGTATTACAGATGGCTTCGTTTTGGAAAGAAATGTATGATAATTTCAATATGATTACGCATGGAATTTTAATGGTCATATTGCTTATAATTGCATTAGACATATATATCAATTTCCCCTTTGGTTTCTCTAGCGAAACAGTGTATTTTAGTTTGTGTTTGTTAAGTACATTTTTTTTTGAAATTTTGGTTGCAATTTGGATTTTCTCTGATTTAGATGATGGCCACATCTTCTTATCGTTTTCTATAGCTGTACCTGTAAGAATTAAACCTTATGATAGTTGATTTTTGGAATTAATCAAGCATTTTATGAAAATTACATTGATAGATAATGTCAATAATTTGTTAGGGTTCGGTGTGGAAATATTAGCGAACATCCCTTAGAAGTTATTTGTTAATTATGCCATTAAGATATAAAGGAGTAAAGTGATTATTTTTTGGTTCTGAAATATTTGGGGATTCATTGTTAGTATTGTTCTGATCTTACTTGTCCTTGCAAATAAAAAATTAATAAATTTATACTAAATCAAAATTAATTAAGTAAAAATTAAATATATTTATGGGTTCAGTATGAATTTCAATAGATGATTAAATCTGTTATGTAAAATCCAGACTTGTTTTATTAATTTGAGTAATTGACGATTAAATTTGTAACTTTTCTCTAAAAGTACAGAGAAAATTAAGTGCTATCATACAAAATAATCTAAGATGTAATTCAAACCTTCTAAAAAATGAATTCTAATACAACACCATACTTTTTCATAAATCTGGCTAAACATATATAATACTAAAATAAAGTTGAAATGGAGAATATTAACAAAGCTGGAGTGTAGATATAGCAATAAGAATATTTAACTTTATAAGAATTTAATTTATTTTATAGATATGAATCGAGTTTGGTTAAGAATCTCAATGGATTATTAATGACACAAAAATAATTGTGGAGTGAAAAACTGAGAAATCAAATTTAATTAGAAAAGATTTTAAGATGTTCTAAAGATATAATGAAAAAAACATTAATTCTAAAGAAGATAATTAAAAATTTTGAGAACTCAAAGGAACCTCCAGGAATGGATACTATCTTAACGCTTCGAATAAAGCTAGTTACAAGTTTAGTTTGTATGGAAGACATTCATTTGTCAATTAAGATTGCTAGACATATATAAAGCTATGAAACAGATTTATTCAATCAAAAGTAATTAAACTTTAATGCTTTACAATTCATATAAGGATAGGCATTGTCAGTCATTTCAAATGTATCTACCTAAACCTTTGGACTTATTTCTCAACAAATAAATGATTAATTTTGTAATTTCTTTGGATATGAGAGCAGTATTGGAGCATAGTTGACTAAGATAGAATAATTGTTGCCAATTAAGATAGGCAGAATTCACAATGGACTGATTGAGGCTTTTCTATAAAAAGGTAGATCAAGTAGATTGTATTAAAATTAAGAGCAGTTTATAATAAATTCTGATAATTTGATTGAGAAGGTGACTATTTGCTTGACTACTTTATTTCCTTATTTAAATGGACAACACTAATTTTTAATAATTGGCCATCTATTAAAAAGGATGAAATACGAAAAATAGGAAATAGACTATAATAAAAAAGGGTACATATTGGTTGACTAAAATTTCCTTGTCTTTGGGTTGACTAGAAATGTATATGAAAGAATCAATTACAAATATTTTTATAAAAATGATAAAGAAATAGAATTGATACAACCTGATGAAATATATGATTAATATACTATCTAATCACTGATTCCTCAGATGTCCTTAATTTTGGAAGAGTATTATAAATTGTTGGCTTTACGGAATGAGAAGAAAATATTGAAACACGATATAATATGTTAAAGAGAGGTAGGAGTATTCCAAGTTCAATCAGTTAAGGCTCCACAGGTCAAGACAAGTACAACATTTCAAACAAAAAAAAATACAAATAAAAACATGATGAACATTTTGAAAGATGTAAATTTTAGTTTGGCTAATCTTCCCACTATGTCACAAAAACAATATCCTATTGAATATAGTGTTACACAAAAGGTTTTAGATTATGTTGAGAAGGACACAATCTGTGAATTCCTATATTTTATAATAGAACTTGACTTTTTGGAAGATCCTAAATTAAATACTACTCCATCCTAAGTAATTGCTCGAACTCCAGCACTCTCAGATATATTAAGACATCAGCAAGTTCAACTTGAATAAATGAGACCTAATTAGAGTAATGTGATATTATCTAATGATGACATTAACGATCAATTAGAACTAATGGAAGAGTTAACAAACACAGGAACAAAAAGAAGTACTTATGAAATAATAGATCAATTGGATAAGATCATCGTCTATATGAATGACACTCTATTACCGAAATCAATCAAAGATTTGATTGCACAATTCTTAATCCAAATTTTAGTCTTTGTTGCTATAATAGTAATAATTTCTAGTCTTTTCAAGTATAAGAGATCTATTTAATCAGACTGCATTGAATAGATCACTTATGATTTAAACTTCTTGGATGCTTATAGTTAAGCAATGTCTGGTTCTAGACATGTCATATACTATAGAGATTTCTATTCTATTTAAAATGACTCCCTAATCTATTAAAATCTTAACCAAATTAACTTCAGTAGATACGACAAGATCTATGTGGCTTGGCAACACATATCAAAAGGTAATATTCGATTAAATAAAATGTATGAGAATTATAGCAAAATTGCTCAGGAAAGCCAGATTAAACTTTTGACTATTTACTTTGTAAACTTCGACTTAAAGACTAAAATTCAATAAGAAGTCTAAGATTATTCAACTTACTATCAAATAATGCATCAAACTTTCTATCTTTAATATCAATCATTTTCGTAATCTCCTCAAACTTATCTATCTGGCAATAATGACTCATACCTTACCTAACTGGCCAGATCTCAAGTTTATTACAATTTTTTTGATGTGATTGAAAGTGCAAATTTCACTCTACAAGACTGTCAATCTTATAATCTATCAATCAATAATTATTTTGATACTGTCATAATATTTTACTTTTTAGGCATGTATACTATCGTAGTTTTGGTATTGATTTCAATTATCATCCATTACTATAGAGTCGTGAAATCAATCAAAATATATATGAAGCTTTTTAAGATGTGTGATAAAGAGGACTGTCAACATATAATTCATTTATGCGAGTCTTTGATAAGCATGGTCAATTACGATAAAATCTTTTTGAGACAACAGGACTTTAAAGTAATAATGGCATAACCTCGTCATACTTTAGAAAACGTTAGAAAGACCCAAACCAAAACAACCATCATTTTGATCAAAAAGAAAAATAATAACCAAAGATCGATTAAAAAAAACTAAAATAACTTAAGATTTTACTCTATAGTCATGCTTATTTTAATATCAATAGGTCTAATCACATACATAATGTCATTTCATTTATATTTCATTCATATTAAAGATTTGATAAGTCCAATCAGCAACTAAGCCATTTTAGCACAACAATCCAGACTCAACTTTATTGCTTCTGTGAATCGATTTGATTTATACTTTATAAAGTTGTATTATGAAACATACTCAAAGCTTAATTAAGTAGATGAAAACTATTCATTTACTAGCAAGAACATTTAAACGGATACTCAGATCTTACAGTTATTATCTATTAATATCGAAACTTTAAACTTGGATCTAGACAGACTCAAGGCAATTGATTTCGTTGATTTGATCTTTCATAATGATCAAACCTACTCTCAATTGGATAGTAGTCAATAGAATTCAATGCTGAAAAATGATGTTTGCATTTTTACAGGTTGCAATATGTAAGCAGAACTTTTCTTTGATAGATTATTCTAAGATGAGTTGGCTCCTCTATTTTACACAGGCGTTTTAAATCTACATACCAAAATATTAGCATTTATTTAAGATGCATATTAAGTAGTCTCATAGGATTTAAGTGATGTTGAGATAATTAACAATTTAGAACACATTTTTGCTGATAGTGATTATCTAATTTACATCCACTGGGGATTAGACGTTATTCAATTCTAAATATCCTAGTTCAGCTAATTTTTCCTAAATATATCAACAGAAACCATTAATTCTCTTACATAAAACAATCAATTACTAATAATTTCAATTGGAACTCTTTTACTGCTTCTAGTTTTAATTTTTTCTATCATGTTTGTCAATATATAATACTAAAGATACGTACAATCCAAAGCCATCATAAAGTTCATTCCCCTTCCAATACTATTTTAGAAAAATATTCCAAAACATCTGGAAAGCTTTCGTCGAAAATATGAAAAGTGAATTATTTACATTATTTTATATTTCGGATTCTGAAAATTTATAGTCTATTTAGTATTTAAGCTTTATTTCTTATGCGAATATAGTAAAAATAAAACAGAATTATATGGGTCTAAAAAGGAAATTTCTATTGGATCAAAATATGAAATTGAATTTAAAAGTATATCATGGGAGATATTATAATATTAATAAATTTAATTAAACTTTTAGGTTAATTGTAATTTATAAAAATATATACAGTATTATAAATCAAAGAGTTTAGAATATTTCAGAGTTAGTATTAATTATATCTGTAAATACGGTTATTAATTTTTAGTGAAATTCAATATGAATTTGATTTAAACAACTATTATATGAATCCATCCAATCTTGAAAGTCAGGTAGAAGGAGTTCCTATTATATTTTAATAATATTTTCTATTCCAAATTAAACTATCTTCTAAATCTAATACAAAATTCCTTTCTTAACTATTAAGAGCTCCTCTTTACTTAATTTATATTGAATTTATTCAAAGATAAAATCCTCAAAAGTTTCTAAACAATTCAATTCATTTGTTTTGATATCATCGCATAGATCTTAGAGAAATTTTTACACTTTTTCAATATATGCATTAAGTATTTTATCTTGAATGCTTGAATCATGCTATTTCAAGATGGTTTATGGATCAATAGAATAAAAGCATTCAAAATTAAGATTAGTATTATTAAAATTAAACATGTCCTCCTGTTTCTCATCTATTACTTTAAGAATCACATTATATGCATTTCCTACGCTTCTCCATATAGGTAAAGGAAATCTGTCTCCATTGTGAATAAAAATATCAAATCCAATAATTTTCCCCAAACTGAAAAGTCTCTCTTGATTAAATATTATTTTGGCCCTTTCTCCTTAAAAGTAATAGAGTTAAAGACCAGGAACATATTCAACCATTTCGAAATAGGCAGCTTTTAATTTTTGTTTAAGTCGATGAGACAAAACTTCATCAGAAGATGCTGCAAATAAGATGTCATTTCTTAGTTCTTACATTTCTAAATCAAGCCACTTTAAGCATTTCATCTAAGTTGTCTTTATATCAAGTGCTTATGCCAATTTGTTAAGATAAAGTTCCACACTCACTTGTCCTGATAATTTAAGAACTATTGCACCATTCTCTGAATCAATGAATAAAACTCCTCTAGAACCAGAGTCGCTCAATTTAATGGATTTGATCTACTTTAATTTGATGTATTCAAAGTCTACATAAGGTTTGGCTGAATAATCAAACTCTTATAATTATATTAATGATTTTTTTTCATTCTACAATTCTCTTTGTTAATCTGCTAACTCTTTAGACCTAATATGAATGTTTTTGACTTGTTTATTTTATTTCATTAATTGTAATAGGCGATACTCTTTATCCTTTGATTTTATATTTAAACAAATTCTGTTCAATGCTGAAGAAATTTATGGCCATTATAATAATAGTTTATGGTTATTTTATATTGGTGTTATTAAAATTATTTTATACTTTAGATCTAATATGATAAATAAAAAAGTTGATGTATATCAGTTCGATATCAAACAAAGATCATTAAATCATATTAAAATTCATAAAATCATAAGAATATTTATGTATATATAAAAGTAACTCATTAATCAGAAGTATTTTGTAGTTTATAATACTCACAAATATCCTTTAATTTACATTAATCACATTTTGGTTTTGGTAAACAAATTTATTATCCAAATCCTACTAAGGTTTCATTTATTTCTCCCCATTCCTTATGCTCAAATTATGATTCTAGAAACTTTCTTAATTTAGTCGGAGACTTCTCCTTGAATATAGGAACTCTATTGCAAATCCTAATCATATTGACATCTATTGGGATTCCTTCGACTCTTTAGAACGCTACTTGTATATATAGTAATGCTATCTTTTCCCCTACACCTTTAATCTTAATGGTTTCTTCAAAGGTTTTTGGCATTCCTTTGTAAATTGCTAATTAGGCCAAGTCTTTAATTCTCTTTGCTTTAGTGACATTAAAGTTAACTTCATAAATCAACTTAATCAAATCTGGCTCATCCATATTTGCAATATCATTAATGGTATATTCCAAGAGTCTGTTAGCACATTTGGATGTAACATCGTCCTTGGTTTATGGACTCAACATCAAACTAGTTAAGATCTAAAATCTTTAAGTTTCTATATCCTTATCTTGATCAAAGCATTTTTAGGGGCCAACAAGATCAACTGGAGCATTCCTTTCCAATCGCATTTGCTTGATAATCTCATAGATATTCTTAGTTCCACTGTTTTCCTATTTTATGGCAGACATGGGAGCAGTAGATTACTATTTTGATAAACTCGTTTTAGATTTTGATTTTGGTGACTTCTTCTCCTTAAAGAATCGATGCTCTAATATTTCATTTAATTCACTTGTAGTTGCTTCCGAAAAAGCTAGCATGACTTTTTGTGTTTATCTCATTTTATAAATAATAACTGATATATAAATACTCATCATATAAATTCATCATCTTCTGATTTCCATTCCTCCTCTGAATCCATGTTATATTACATTTTCATGCTGAATCTAAAAAACCCAGCCATCCCTCCAAATCCTTTATAAAATTAATGCCCCTCAGCACTATTATCCGAAATCAACTGGAAGTCTATTCCTTTTTCTCTATAGTTTTCTGCTAGATATTCAACAAGATCCTGACAAGATGTAACTTGAAATTGCTCTCCTTTATTGTCTTCGAAAAGACTTCCTTGTTCATATAAGTCTAATCCTTTAAGATACTTTATTGATTTCACTAATTTAATTAATAAATCTTACCTCCAGTCTATTTGCTGATGCATTCTACTCTAGAGTACTCCAATGTTTAGATACAGATCACTTATTTCACCAATTCTTGTTCTATTGCTTTCATGGTATCAACAACCCCATACACTGACTTTCCATTATCAAGGTCAAGACTCAAAAAGAATTTAGCCACTAAATCCTTCTCTCTCTGAAGTTTCTAGTTTTACAATACTTCTTAAGAATACTAAATTGCTTAATTGAAACCGTTCTCCCCTCCATAATTAACATCTACTATTGATAGAATTAAGGGCTGCAATCTTTTATCCAGTGCGGGAGACTCGGCTAATTTATTCTTGAAGTCCGCTATTCCTGCTAAGACTAAGCCCTTAATAGTTGGCTTATCATCAGAAATAAAACAATTCTTAGCTTGCTCGCTAACCTTTATCAAATAATTATGTCTCGCCCAATATCTTATTCTGGAGAATCTTAAAGAAGATTGTCCTCCTTTATTGTGCTTCTTTGGTAAGTCGACATTAAACGATTTCAGTGTTTCCTTGCTTATCCCTTAAACCTTTCCAAATAAAGCTCCATTTCCATCCATGATGATAAATCCATATGATGGCTCTAATTTTAAGAGAGGCTCCAACTATTCAATATGAAAATAGTTGTCGCAAAAAAACAAGGAAAGTTGTAATGGTCTAAATGGTTCTATGACATATGATATCTTTTTCTATCCTTTTTCGAATTCTACTAGTCCTGAAAACAATACTAATCCTGATGCTGGGGCCTTAGTGTATTTTTTTAATTCTAGTCTTTAAATAATTATTCATACTTAAAACAGCTCCTTAAATTGAATCTTAGACTGAAGTCCGATTTACCTTATCTTATATTGATGCAGCCTCAGAAAATTGTGTGTTTAATCTATTTGTGATATCTGAAATTATTTTTTTTGGTGGAATGTATAAAGATACAGCACTTGTTCCTATTACTTTTGTTTTACTCAAAGTCTTTATAATCTTTGATAATCTGAACTACTCAATTTCTAATTCCTATTCTTGTATTTGATTTTAATTCATTTATATTATCTATTATCTATTGACTATTGCATATTCTTTTTATGAATAGGTAAAAACAAAAAGGATTTTATTGATAAATTCTGAATCTATAATTTAATCTATCAGAATTTATCAATAAAATTAATTATAATTCAATATAATTAACTTATTTCGAATATATTATTTTATATTTAATTTAAAACTAAAAAATAAATTTATAATTTAATCTATTTAAGTAATTTTTTGGAAAATATAATTATCTTACTCTAAAATTTTTTTGTAAGTATCAATTATATTTTAAGATATGGAAATAGAAATAAGTGTTAATTTATCGTTCACTTTTTGGAAAAATCATTTAATACTAATTTTATATAATCTTGAAAAAGTAGTTAAAATGATAGTTGAAGGTAATTAAAATGAATTATCATTTTTGCCTTTATGAAAAGGATTTTATAAACATTAGATAACCATGAATATGATTAAAATAATCTAATGAGAATAATTAGGTGTACGACTGAAAGAGGATTAAAAGTTAAAATGAATCATTATAGGAAGATCCATATAAGAGAATTAAGAACATCTACTCGATTTTTTTTATAGAAAATATCATTATTTAATTTTATTAATACAAAAATTTTATTAGAATACTTGGTCATAATATTATATTTGATAAATCATACTATTATTACTATTATTAAGGGGGATCGTTTAATCCTATCAAATCAATAGTTTCTTATTGTTGAATTAATGGTAATTATTAAGATTAGATTTATGTAGTTTGAACTCCAAATTATTGTTAACTATTTCCATTCCAAAAGTTCATAGATGGTTGAGTTGACTAATGAGACTGCTCAGTATTATTGGTAGTAACATCCCATGCACTATTAGTTGGAGATGTTGAAAATGAGTTAATTTATAATTGTTGAACTTGTTATTATTAGTGTTATTATTATTATTAAGGTTAATTGAATTAGGAATCCCACTAAAATGGATTTGGACTTGGTGAGTGAGATGTTTAAACAAATCCAAAATTATCAAAACCTTATAGATTAGTTTATTATTAAGTGGTCCATTGATTCGAATTACCCCAAGCATTGTTGGTACTAAAAGATTATTAAGGGTTATTAAATTGAGCAAAAATATCCTATTATGATTTTGATTATGATGTTTATTGCTATTAATTAAATTCAGAAAATTGTTGAAATTATTATTATTATAATCCTGATTTTTATTATTGCTACATTTATTACCTCTACACATATTATTGCTATGGTTATCTAATTGATTATTATGGTTATTTCACTTGAGACTTTTCTGTTTAGATCTTTTTTTATAGGTTCATTAATTCATCTATTGGAATATCACCATCAAACTTTTTCACTTTGAAACTGTTTTTATTATATTATTCCATTTCTTATTCTAATTTTTAGTCTCTATTTTTAATTTCTATTGCTTAGGCCTAAAATTTGCTTCAAACTAATACATTCAATTATATGTATGGTAATGAATGAAATTAAGCTAGAATTCTTTCAACATCAAAAATAGATGGTCTTAATTTTGGATCAGGAGTAAGCATAAGTCTAATAAAATCGATCAATTTATCTGAATATCTGTGCTATTTGGGTATATTGTATGTGGCAGTAGAAATTGCTAATTTTGAACTCTCTTAAAATGGATGAATGAAAAAACACAAAGTGTATAATACACATCCTAGCATCCAAACATCAGCTTTCTCTCCTACTTCGTATCTCAAAAATAAGTCAGCCATTTCTGGAGGCCTATACATTAATGTTGTGTTTTTTTCCCATTCTTCTTCATAAATTACGAAATCAGACTGTCTGACTTGACTATGATAAATAGATTATAAATCTAACCTTAAGTCTACTCTTTGGGTACTAGCTGATCCAAAATCACACAATTTACATCTTCCATTTTAAAATAACACATTCTCTATTTTTATATCTCTATGAGTCATTGGAGGTTATAATGTATGCAATGACTTTATACCTTAAGTGATTTCCTAGTAGGATTTAGATTAATCAATTAATACCTTTATGTAACCCAAAAGCTGCTCTTCTGAAAATCTTGAATTTGGATCTTTAGCCATCAAATCGAATAAACTTCCACCTCCGCAAAATTCCATTAGAATCAAACATACTTGCTGTCCTTTATCCTAAATAAATGTGCCTCCCATGAAATTGACCAAATTTGGATGTCTCGGCAATCGTTTCTAGATAAAATTTGAATTTGTCATACCATAATTTCCAACTCGTTTCTTGCTACTTTTGTTCTCTCTTCTCCTTAACAATAAGATTTTTTCAAAGCAAAAACCTCCTTAGTATTCACATCTATTGCTTTCAGTATGTAACCATATCCACCTTCAGATAATAACTTTTCTTCTTAAATTGTACGCCCATTAATGTTATATCTAGATAGCATATTAAAATTTATAATCATTCGCATTCACTCCAATTTGATTATTAGAATCGCTCATTAAAATTAGCATAGTTCCTATTGCCTCCAGACCTAGCTGTGCTAGTATAAAATCCTTTAGAACTAGTAGTAACATCAGTATTTCTAATTTAGGAAATCATTCATCATACTTCCTTAAATTTATCATAAAAGTCTTGAGAGGTAATTGCATTTTAGGAGGTCTTTTTCCTTTGTACTTACTAGAACTTCCTATTGAAACGTCGTCTGATAAGTTATTATAACTTTTGGGAGAATACTCTTCACAAGAGTAATTATGGAAGTTCTCCAGTAAGCGAAACTCGTCTCTGTCTTCTAGATATTGAGTCATAGCTATTCCTATCCTTTCATCCCTCTAAATCACCAAATCTATTTGACACTCAGTTTTTTCAATTACCTTTCAATTTCGCTTTCTAATCCTCATTTATCTGCTAGCCTTTGCATAACATGTATATTTTATAAAATAACTTTCCCTCTACACTTTCTATCTGCTCCATTTATTAATAATATAATAATAAATAATATTTTATTATCTTCATGAACTACAATATTGAATCAATTCTTTATTTAATAACTTAACATGTCAAGAACTATGAACAAATGTTATATCTTATCTTGATGAGAACAATTAAAAATTAAACTACATTATTTTGACCAAGATTAACAGACTGATCTTTCAAATTTATAAAATCCTATTTGAAGTAAATAAACTAAAAGAACAGAAAATGTTAATAAAATCAAAACTAGCAATTGTTTATGAAATTAAGAATATTTTTAAGAAATAATCATTACTTTTTGCCCTTCACCCAAATGCCTTCAATCACATTTCCATTCGGCTCTATTAACTTCCCTTTACCATCTTGTCTCCCATTCTTCCAAGCACCTATGTATTTCTAGCCATCTGGCCATCTCAACTCCCCAAACCCATCCTTTTTATCATTTTTGAATTCACCTTAACGATTTAATAAAATCATTACCGACATACTCCTTACCATCAAAACTAAGCGTACCCTGACCTTCCATCTTACCATTAACCCAATTACCCTTGTACACTCGGCCATTGTACCAATAATATTCACCATATCCATGAAAATTTTCATTCAAAAATTCACCCTCATAATGTGAAGAATCACTCCACTTGAAAACTCCTTGTTTAATCTTTTTGCCCTTTTCAAATTAGCCTTCAAATTAGGTTCCATTATCCCAGATAATTTTACCTTTTCCATCCTAGATTCACCTTAAGAATTATACAGGAAGCCCATCTTTCATTTCGCCATCGTATATTCCTCCATCTGGAAAAGTGTAAGGAACTTAAGAATAACAAGAGCCCATAATTAGAAATAAATAATCAATCGAATTTATATTCAATTAAATCAAGTAGCCTTTGACGGTTTTTATTGAAAAGACCAAGATTTTCCTAATCGGCCGCTTCCATTAAATAGGTTGCTAAATATTTGAGCTCCTAATCATTCATGTCATCATGCCATTCCAGTATGGGAATCCCATTGTCTATCTAAAACCCAAACGAATGAGCCAAGTTATCAACAATCAGCATATTCTTAATTTGCTTATTGGAAATAACCCGAAGATCCTTTATGTAAAACCCCTATTTAGTCTCCAAACAATTCTGTCTTGATAAAATTCCAGAAATCCACTGTCCCTTCGGATCCAAGTACCTTACAATGGCGCTAGCATAAGCACTGGACGAAGCAGTGTACACATAGATCGTATAGAGTAAACTCATTTACTATAGGAACCATTAACAAAATGGCCGAATATTTAAATATATCTAAAAATATAAACATACAATTACTCTTGCATGCTCTCCTTAGTCGCTCACAGCAGGTATGGAAGTTTAATATTGATCCCTAGCTGAACAACTGTGGATTAATGTTTCATCTAAATCCAAGAGTAAAGTTTTTGTTTTAGGAATTCTGGCTTCGGGTAACATTTAAGTTTTGCTCTTAATATAATTATAACTGGGTTCCTTAAGACATCGCTTAGCATAGATTAGTCCTCTTTAGATGAGGTGTAAAAATTTATTGAATGAGGTTTCACTGATGGACGGACCATATATGAGATGACGAAAAGGATGAGATGATAATTTGCATTTAATATTCTATTTGGATTTTGAGTATTCTATGTCAGAATTAGCATTTCTCTACAATTTTCTATGATTATATATATCATACACTAAAAAAATCTCATCATTATTGTACTATTTCAATTTCTATTGAAGTTTGCTTGATTATATTGTTATGTTATAAGGATCTTCATAATTACTGTGTGTTATATCTGTTTGAGCATCTTCTTCTTATTCCTCCTAAGCACCCTCAACATCCCCTTCTATTGGATTCACTAAATTCCTAAATTTTGACAGTTTTTAACCTGCATTAAATTTAATTTTTACTAATTGGTCCTCTTTTAATATCCCTTGAGGAATCTTTGTCTGAATCATCAGTATAATAACCTGTAAGGTTTTGACTAAAATGTGACATCTTACTGGGTGGTTTACTGATTTATTTTAAGTAAACCTCTTGATTCTAATTTGTTTCAGAGGATTCATCTTCAGAATAAAATTATTTATCATTATTCAAATGCTATAAATGCTTGATTGAAGTATTCGCTCTAAACTTGTATATATTATCCATTTAATTAATTATATTTATCGATTATAAATTTATTGAAAGAATTTTATTTTTTTGGACAGAGCTTAAACATCTTAAATAAATCAATATTAAACCTAAATATAAGAATAAGAACGAAGAGCAATTGATTTTATTCTGGAAAAAGATGAAAAAATTTATATTACACAATTAAACCAAAATGGAAATTGAATCAAAGATCAAGTTATAAAAATGAGAACTATTGTTAAGAAGTCTACTGTAAGTAGTTGAAAATCAAATTAACCTAATTTATAATTATGAAGAAAACTTATATTTTCACTCATAACATAAAAACAAATAATTGCAGAATTCATTTTAAGAACTCTATAATAGATATACCAAAATTTAGAGGGATTTGTACCTTTTACATATTTTCAATCGAATATATATGTTCTCAAACTTAAAATTAATGCAAGCTTAATATCTAATAATTTGAATAACATAAAAAAGTAAAAGAAAAAATAAACCAACAGTCTAAATACTCTAAAATGAAGGTCTATTAAACCAAGGAATAATTAATATAAATTAATGAGCTCTTAGAGTAACTTGAAAGAATGAAGAAAATAAAAATCCAAGACATTTAAAAAATCCTATTTTATAATGAGCATTCTCTCAATAAATACAAAGACGATATGAAGTTATTATGAAAAGAATTAGATAAATGATTTAGATGAAAAATTAAGAATAGCTATAGTTTAAGATGAAGAATTTATTAGATAATCAAAAAATAGATAACAGAACAAAGAGCCCGGTCTCAATTAATAGCATATTAACTTAAAAAATAAGATCATAGCAATTTAATCTAAAAAAAGCTCAATTTATGATACAGTATCATTTTAAAATAAAATTATTATCACAAAATATACTCTATGTATGTTTAATTTAATGAGATAGAAAGTAAAGATTTTAGAAATATTTCAGCATTAAATCTTTTAATTAAATTACAAGGAATTTAAACCAAATATTATTGATTTCTTTATTTTATATTTTACATCATTAAATAAATTTAATATTAAAAATTATATATTAATACGAAGATGATTTTTCAAGTAATCGTATTTTCAATTTTACTACTTTTTTGGTTTCATATTACTCGTATCATATTAGCTATATTAAATATCATATTCTAGAGCTTTTTAGAGTGATTAAAGCGATTAGCTGTCTTCATCATCACCTGCTTATTATTTTAATGTTTATTATTTAGCTAAAGTAATAGCATGTTTAGTATTAAACTTCATCAAAACTAAAGGGTTATTTTATTATTGTTATTGAGATTTAGAAACCTCATTCTTATTTTAAAATGTTCGTATAATTTCCAGTTTTATTTCGCTTTGAACTTTTAAGTATTATTTTTTTAATTCTTCGCTTATAGTCAATTCTTCATCTTAAACTCCTTAGGCGTAAGCTTTTTAGGTTTTTAATTTTTTTCCTAAATTTTATAATACATGATAAGTTCGACAACACAATTCAATACCCTCTTACAAAATCTATTCGTTTTTCACAAGGTTTATATTGTATTCGAAAAGATCCTACAAAGACTACTATAAAAACTGCTAGAAATTGTTGAGAATCTCGCTTGGGTATTTCTTGTCTAACTGATAAATTGGTTCTTCTAATTTCTTTAAACTAATAATGTCAAATCAATTCATACTCAACCATAAAAAAAGAGCTTTTATTACAGAGACAATCTATTTCTTATCCTTAAAACTTATTTTTTGTTGTATTTAGGCACTCAAATCTTTTTCCATCTGCATAGAAACTTCAGATAACTCTTCCCCTAAGAGATATTATTTTATTGCTTCCTCATCTGTGATCACATTCTATAGATCACTTTTAATTTCTTTTTTTTCCACTTATTCTTAAGCCTCCTAATGAGACTATTTTGGACATTCTTCAATTTCCACCTATTTCTATGACGCTGGTTGCTTTTAACCTGAATTCAGGTTAGTGTCAAGTTCATTTTAGTTTGGTTTTGTTTGAATATTTTTGCCTTTCTGTTTTGCTTAACTTGAACAGGTTCCCATTTTTATAAATAAAATATTATTGTATATCTGTAGAAATCAAAAACAAAGCATATTTAGTAATTAAGACTTGAATATCATAATAACCACAATGATGCGAAATGATGTCATATAGAATAAGATGACAATTACCTGAAACTCTATGCCTTAAATGGTTTCCACATATAAATTAAATAACTTGAACAAATATACAACTACCAATGATATCGAACTTGAAATTGATTTCCTCTTATAATATTTATTGAGGTAGAATTAGATTAAGCATGTTAAATATTATAAAAGAGATTAATACAAAATTTATAATCCTATTAAAGTTATATAAAATAATTAATTTCTTGTTTGGTAGTAATTATCCTCATCCTTGTTAGCTAAGATTAAAATAGAATCTTAATTTCAAAGAAGAAATTTAATTATTTAATTGCTACAATAAATGCGTTAATTAAAAATAATATTTTTAGTTAACTTTATTATTAGAAATATTTGCTTAATTTAAGCAAATAAATTGCAAAATTAACTAATGACTATCATTTTCAATATTTATATATGTTTTAATAATAATATTGGTATCAGATTTTATTAAATGTAAAAAAAACATTGTGATTTAATACTTAATGAAAAAGGTTCTCTTTGGTTAGGGAATTGCGAATCAGCACTTGATGTGGTATAATTATGTGTGATTTAGGAATTCTTAAAACTTAAAGGAATAAAAACTGTGATAACAGTAGCAGCAGGATTGCAATTAAAACTAAATGGGTTAGTGCATCACATAATAGAGATATTCGATAGTGATACGGCGAATATTTCGTAACATTTTTAAACTGCAAACGAATGGATAGAGAGAGGATTTAAGATTGGGGGTGTGTTAGGTAGTAATTATATGTTTAAAGAAGCTAAGTTCATTGCATGGCAGGTATATCCCGTTCAGCAGCAATAGTTATTAGTTACCTGATAGAAAAGAAGAAGATGAATTATAATTAAGCGTTATCGTTTGTGAAATCTAAAAGACCATAAATTAATCCAAATAAGGGCTTTAGCAATTAATTACAAGCCTTTGTTGTTAAGGTCCAGTAATCTCCATTGGCTAGAAACACGAGAGGCAACAATTTCCAGCAAAACCAAGAATATTATGATTGTAATTATTATGCTCCGATCAATCGGAAGGGATCAGCGGGAATATTACAATAAAATATGAACTTTTATAAATCGATTACTAAATCAATTTCATAAAGTAAGAATAAAAATAAATGAGTTAAATATATTCATTTCAACTATTAAAAACGAATCTTCTTTATGTGTGAATGTTTACACACTTGGGAGACCTCCTTGGGGTTGAATCTTAATTCTTGGATACACTTAATTATGATTTAATAATCAAAGAGGGAAGTGTTCTTTGCTTAGGCAATTGACATTAGATAGGAGAGTTATAATATTCCATATATTTACGACTCTGTGGAACTATTTCAAATAATGGATTCTTTATTGTTAGATTCCTTGGGGTCTAGTTTTGTAACATCTTAAGCAATTGGTTTTGTAATTTGTTCCTCTTTATAGAATGACTTGGAGAGGAGGCTTCCTGTTTCTACTTACTACTAATGTATTGAGAATGCGGGGATATTTGTTATCTCATAAATTAATTAAATGAGAAAATAATAATAGGAAGAAGCAGAAGAAGACTAGGCATCTCTGTTACCTATTAAGAATCATATCAAAAGAATTGAAGTAGATATTTAATTGAGGTCAATATTAGGAAATGTTGGTACTATTAAATAATGATCTTGTGAATGATGATAAGGATATCGAAAAGAATAGACAAGATATCCGCAATTTAGGAGATGCTCAAAATAAGGAAAGAACACAATTACATAACTCATTACTTGATCATTGTCATAAAATTGTAACTGATATGCGAGAATTAAATTAACAATCAAAAACTGAAACATATAATCTAAAATAACAAGTAATCAACTAATTTATAAAAGCTTTCCTGTCTAAATCAAGACAAGATTAGATTATAATAAAATTTAATTGTACTCGAAAATAAAGTAATAGAAACAGACAAAGACATTGGCTTTAAACGTAGAAATCAATAATTAAATAAAAAAAAATGAATTAAGAGTAATAGTCATAGTTAATCAAAATGCTCTGAGGTTTTTCTCAATTATCCAACTTGTAAATCTCCTACTTCCTCTTACGTCTATTATTCATTTAATAGTTCTTCAGAATTTCCCAAATCCTTCCATCTATTATCATTTAGATCGATAATCTGAATCAAATCTTGTGGAACATAATGAACATGATTATCCCAATTATTCCAATTCATATTTAATGGACTAGTAGCTTCCTCATCTATTGGAGCAATCAAAGGGTTTTTGCTCCTAGGCAAATATTGCATCTAGGTCGTTATCTCTGATGATTATAATCTCCCATCAATTTTCCTAATATCCACAATATCGCAGTCATCATAGCTTATTAATGACTTTTTGTGTTGTCTCTTATGAATCCAAGGATGCAAAACCAAATCTTTAAATTATTATTATTAACGAACCTTCAGCCGACAATCTTTTTTCTGGATCTTTCTTTAATAATCGTTTTAATAGGTCTTATTCTAATGTATTCAACAATTTAAAAGCTGTTTAATTTTTCACATTTATTTCTGAATCTCTAATCATTTCTATTGTATCTAAAATAGTTTCCTACTAAAATGGCAACTACCCAACTAATAATTAATACAAAATTATGCCTATTGACCAAATATCAACTACAAATAGTTTCAGATTTACCTTTTTCATCGTATCCACCTCCTAAGAATATTTCAGGAGCTTAATAAAATAAGGAACCAGTTCTTGTCCACATATCTATTTTTTTAGTTGCTTTTCCTTTTACTAAAAACCTTTTTGAAACCCCAAAATCTATTAATTTTAATGCCAAATTATCTCCAATAAGAATATTGTCTGGTTTTAGATCTCTATGACATATTCCTCTTGAATGCAACTATTTTATTGACTGAGCTAAATTTAAAGCAATTATTTAAATATCTTCCAATTTTAGATTTACCATTCTTTATTCCAAACTCAAATATGGACAATATTCCATAACCAGGTGGTGTTCTTCTTTTTTAGAATTTATAAAAAGATCTAGTGCTCTAACTACACATTTCAGATCATTGAGTGCTCTATTTATATGAAATGTTTCTCTAATTGTATTAATTATTTCTGTATCTCCAGTTCTAAAGATTTTAACGGCATAAGTGGTTCTTTCTTTGTTATTCCAATTGGATTGATCTAGCTTATAACATGTCTTGACTATCCCGTGGGCTCCTTCGCCTAATGATAAATATTCATAGAACCGATCTGAAGATGGCCATATTCATAAATATCACTAAAATGTCTAAATTGTTAACTTGCGATTTTTTATTGATCATTTTGTATAGGCGGAGACATGTTTTAAGGCGGAGGATTAAATTTCAAATTTCTTTTCCTTTTACTAAAAAGTGTATTCTTTAAAGAATCTCTTATAGCCAATTAATTCTGCCGATTCATTGAAATATAAAATAAATTAAATATTTTCTAATGAAAATATTGTTATTGCATAATGAAGTTGCAAATAGTTAAAACACCTTAAGAAATAAAATTCATCATTAATTTTAAATCACTCTTTATAATTCATAAATCATCCTTATTTCTATCTAATATTATTCACTTTAAATTAAATATCTTATTTATTGGTTTATAATGATAATTATACAGCTTCAATATACTCCAAAAGTTTCTTAGCTATTTAAACAAATTGAATGTTTTCCATCTTCTACATTATCAATTGGGATATACAACAACTTCATCCTAAGGACAGCATTATAAGAACTACATTGTAGTGCAAATGATAGAAAAAAATTTATTTATTAATCTTTCTAATTTCCTCACACTATACATTATTATCCTTCAATTAATAGAATAAGATTCCATTATTTCATGTAGAGTCACTGATTTGGAAAAATGTTCTAATATATTTGCTTTAATTCTATTTATTAAAAAATAAAAATAATAGAATAAATTCATTAAGTATTATTCTTTGTTGCCAAGGAAATAAAAATTTAATAAATTTGGTTTGTTTTTGATAACTATCCTAAGTGGAATAATACTAACTTAAATTCTTAAGAAATAAAAATATTCCAAAATAAAATGAACATTAATAAATTTATAGCTTCATACTGATATTAATTCATCTTTGAGCTTCTCTTCAAATTCAATAATCGTACGATAATTAAAATCAGCTGCTTCAAACTTATTTCTAAAGAATTAATTCTGCGGACTATCAAATGCAATCACATTGGAAAACTGTTGAAAAAGCACCTATCTTGTCACAAATAATTAAGGAAATTCATTATTATTTTCCTGAATTTAATGTTGTTGTTCGATTTGGGATGCCCCACTTTATTATTAACTATAATTGCTTAAAATTTCTGACAAAATTGAGCTATTCGAATCTACAAGATAAGCATTTATTCTCTAAATCTAAAACTAAAAGATATATGTACTTATGTTCCTTTTAATTAGAATAGCTATTCACATAGGAACCCTGAATATAAAAGTTGACTTATTATTTTATTTTCTAATAATTCAATCATTTCCTACAAAAATAAAATTTTATAATATTTCCAAAGGTTTTTTTATTCAATATGTATTAAATTACGAGTTAACTGATAAGCATAAAAACTTGCATCAATTGCGTTTCCTAAAATGATGGAATTGGAACTTCTAAATCGTACAATGCTTTTTATAATTTCTTAATATTAACTAAACTACTCATAAGAACTATTGAACTAATTTTCGTATATAAGATTTTTTGAAAACCTTATTAATTCATCATCTATAATTTAATCGTCATCCCCTTGATTCCCATCAATATATTCTTCTCCAGTTAATAAGGCATATAAAATTGTTCCCATTTAATTATTCAAGCATCTACAAATTGGATTGGTTTGATAAATATTAATATGTAAATTAAAAAAGTGATGGTATCTTTAACTAATGAATGTATTGTGGAGACAAGGAGGAGGCACATTCTCATGCCCTATTTGAATGGAAATTTATTGAAGGTCTTACAAGAAATTTTAGAAACTTAGCAAATAAAATGTACTATTTTCTTCTTATTCTCTAAATTATGGAGTTCCTAAACAAGGAGAAATGATAAGGACACAGTATCTTGTTAGTTGAAATTGGCCTGCAATTATGGGCCTCTAAGCCTAAGTCATTTGGTTGACAATTTATAATTTTTACTAAAATTCCTGTTCTCTAAAAATTTAACAAATTGATCTCAAATAATATTTGTTTAAATTGTAGTATCCATATAAATTTTAGAAGAAAAAGAACTCTTAACTTTCGTAATATTAGTTTAGGTTATTATTACCTTCCAATAAAAAATAAAGTATCCCGCAAATCATATATTTATATTTGTACTAATTGTAGATTACTCTAAATTAATTTTATGGGCAATCATTACAACTTTAAGGCTAATAAAATATTCGATCTTCATTTTGTGATAATTCAATTTAAATAGTGTGAGGGCAAATAAAACTATTTTAATTCGGAGAATAATTTCTTGTTTTTGAAATCGTATTCCAGAATATTGAATAAATTCTATCGATTGAGAAATTTGTTGGATCTGCTTGAATCAAACGAATTCTTTAATCCATATAAAAAATAATTGATTATATATATAAAAGACTTAAAAGTATTTAAAAATGAATATTTTATAGAAACAAACACACAGGGCAACGGCAACTATTGAGTAATTAAATTTTTGTGAATGAAAAAATAATGTTTTTGTATTCTATTTTTCTTTGGTGTGTTTATTTTACAAATAATTTACTGATTCCTAAGCATTATTTGGTGCTACACTCTGGTCCAATAGAACGACATTTCATCTTGGGTCATTTTTTACATATGGCAAATAATGAAATTTTAGATGAGTATCATCATCGAAAATTATGAATGAAGTAAAATCCTACACTTATTCCAACAAATAAATGTAAAATTGAGCTTAGCATTAAAAGAATTTATTATTAAAATGATTAATAATAGATAGATTAATTCATCTTTCTAAAAATGAATTATAAAAAAAGACAAGTTCCAAACTTTGATTCCAAAAAAAAAATTGATAAAAAGTGTGAATTGTTGTTAAATCAATGATTCTCAAGATGGAACTTATAAGCAATAACAATTTAAGTTTGATATTCCTTAAATATCTAAATTTTTAAGTTTACCTTTGAGAGATTATTTGACAAGGATTTAAAGAAGCTGGAAGAGTGTGATAAGAGTTTTTACTGATAAAAATTATAAATCTGAAAATCCAAATCGATTTTTGGAGAATATTAACTTTAAAAGGTAACAAAATAAATAAGTTATTGACCAAAGAGGTTAAAAATAATATTAAAAATATACTGTTGTACATTCACTTTTTCTTGCTTGTTTTTTTATTGTCTTATTTTTATTATTCTTTTGGTTATTCTTTATTCACATCATTTGTTTTATTTTATTATTATTACTACTACTATTATTATTATTATTATTATTATTATTATTATTATTATTATTATTATTATTATTATTATTATTAATCTTGCTGCTATTATTATTCTTTTTACTCTTCTAATTTTAATTCCTTTAATATAGATTCATTTTAGTATTGGTTTTTTGTGTCTTTTTTTTAATTCTAAACCTATCCTTTTTTATTATTATTTTATTGTTGCTTGCCCTATACCTGCTGTTATTGCTATTATTGCTGATTTTATGTTTATTATTACACTACTTATTCTGGTTCTTGTTTTGAAGTTTTAACTTCTTATTTAGGTGGTGATGTTTGAATGTTTTATTAATTTTTCTCTCCTTTTGGTGGAGATTAATCAACTTTATCAATTTGTTAATTTTTCAAATCCAAACTCTGTTTTCCTATGCTTTGTCTTTGAGCTGGTTCTTAGGAAAGGGATTACTGATATAATTCTTTTCTCTTTTATTCTTCCCTAAAGACCAATTCATACTTTGAAACTTCTTCCTAATTCTTTTGTTCTTTATCTTGCATCTTTTTAACAAATTTTTCTAAAATGAACTTCAAATATACCATGTGCTTCTTTAGCAGCCTATTGAGCTTTAGTTTAGATGTTCTAATTTTTTAATTTTTTTTCATATTTCAATATTGTTTGAGCAGAAAATTCATAAACATTTCCAGTTGGTAAGCCTTTCTTGCATAATTGTCTAAGTAAATCTATGGTATATATTTAATTAACATTCATATGCTTCTTGCAAGCCTGAAGCTTGGATAACATTTTATTATTTCTCATTTTGCAATTATTTAGACATGTAATTATTATTTATTATAACATATATTATGTTTGATTCTTTTGAAGACAATAAGTGATAAAGTAAAAACCAATTTATTAACTAATTTTGGGTTTTGTAATTAAAAAGATCATTTTGTCTTCATGATATATTAATCCCCATTCCATTAACAAAACTTATTAATAATAAAAATATATATAGATATCATGAATTAGTAAAAGTCAGATCTGGATCCAAAAGACTAAATTTTAAACATTTCTAAAATAAACCTGTGGGACAATATATCTTTTTATCAAAAATATTTTTGAATAAGTTTGGATAATTGAGTTTACATGCTTTAGGAGATGCTACGAGAAATGTCATTTCTATAGCACAGGCACTTGAAAGAAAAGTTCTTTCATATATTATTTTTATAGAAATACGCAAAAATAATAAAAATAGAGACCCAAACTTACTCACCAACTGAAATATCTGGAGGAAAGAAAATCAAATTGATTGCTTAATTGGATGTCACAGAAGAAGGAAAGTAACTAATCAAGGAGGAGTTGGAGAATAGGAAGAAACCTTAATAAGATGTTTAAGATATAAATTAATGAAAACCAATACATATGTTTATTAACAGAAAAAGTTATTAATATTATTGTTTTCCATTTAGGTCTCATATTAAATATCAAAAATCTTTTTCCCATCCTTAATCTCCTTAATTTTGCCCATCCATCTGTCTAACACTTTATTCTTACTATAAATTAGTAATATATTTTCAAATACTTTTATTTCTTCCTCAATCATCTTGCCATTTTACTCTAAAGATTTTATTTCCAATTCAGGTAATAATTTATCTGCAGGTGGCAAATAAGGAGTCTTTATTTCTTTTTCTAATAATTTTTCCTTGAAATAATAACGTTTGTTACCCAATCAAAGTTTTCAAACCAAGGATTTCCTTTAAGGGAAGCGTAAGAACCTCCCAATCTAACTTCAGGAACACGAGAAAGTAATCTAATACTATTCAACTTAATTACTAATCCATTAATTTTTTAGCTTTTTTGTCTTTCAAATAATTTGGATAGGTAATGTCTTTTTTAATGATTTCCTCATAAATTTCATAAGGATCTTCTGCCTCTTCTCCAAAGGGGACCATTCCACACATAAACTCATATAAGCAAATGCCAATAGACCATAAATCCACTAAGCAATTGTAACCCTTACCACAGATAATCTCGGGAGCCATGTCTAAAATATAACAGCGATTAATTACAATGAGGAGTTCCTATGATAGTATAAGTACGAATAATTCCTTATTTTCCTTTGACAATTTTAGCAGTTCCTAAATCAATTAATTTAAGAAATCCTTTGTCATCAACCATAAAGTTCTCTGGTTTGATGTCTCTATAAATAATATTTTAGTGATGCAAGTATTCAGTGATCAAAATCATGGAAGCAACGTAAAATTGAGAATCATAAGTAGATAACAAACCTTTAACAATACACAAAAAATGTACCAATATCTCTTATAACATCAAATAATTCCATTCCTCTGACATATTCTAAAAGAAAATAAACGTCCAAGGTGTCTTTGAAAGTTTTCATGAAAGAAATAATAAACGGGAAATTCACTATCTCCAGCACTTGTTTCTCTTATTGCAGGTACATAAAAATAACATTAAATATTACTTTTCTAACGTTTATTCATTAATTTGATTCTTATTGAATGCCTTCAAAACATATAATTATTGATTATATTTTGCTTTAACTAAATAAACTGGACCGAATTGACCATATGCAATAGTCTTAATATGAAGCAATTCAGACTTCTTAATATTTTAGGCTTCTTTCTTTTTTGTTTGATCAGACTTCTATAACTTCTTCTCTAAAATTTTTTCATTTTTTTTAATCACCTCTTCCAACTCTCCTTATATGCAATCAATAAAATTATCTGCAGTGATCTCAGCAATAACTCCATCCGTTTCCATGACAATATCATCGTCAAGTCTATATTTTGAATAAAAAATCACTTTACATTTTTGCTTTATTTGTCTATAAGAAATATTCCTCACCCCATGCTTAGGCTTTTGTTGCTACAGTAATACCAGATTTGCTCTTTTTTAAACTACCCTCAATAATAACGATGATTTTTTAGTTGGCTTATGTTCCCTTTTTCAAAATTACATCTCCTGCTTTACATGATGAGATTTTCATCACATCCAACACTTTGTCTATTTGGGCTTTTGTCAATTTGCTCAACAAAGCATTCTTTTCAAAAGCCCACTTTTAAAGATTTCTAAAAGTAACAACGTGAACCTAATCACCAAGTATTTTTGTAAGGGAATCTCTTCCCAAAGCCAAGCACTTCACATCATCTTCAGCTCTGACAGTCATTTATCTGACTGTATTATAATATAAGGCTTATTCACCAAATGAATCTCCTTTATACAATTTTCTTACTTCTTTGTTACCCTTCAATACGGAAACGGTTCCCTAAAAAAAGTAATTAAGTTTAAGTCATACTTCTTTAATTATATAGAATGATGATCCTGGATCTCCTTCATTTACAATTATTTGATTCTTATAGAACTTTTAGACAATTAAAACAGCTGCAATTGCATCCTTTTATTCATTGGTCAAATTGTCTAATCATATATACGGATTGATTTACGAAAAAATCTAACTACTTCCATGAATTTTCTATTTTCTTCATATTCTTTTGTGATCATTTCCTCAACAGCCCTTCTAAAGGTGTTTCTATCAATTCCCCAAAGATTACAGTTCTCAAAACACTTTACAGATGCAGAACGAGGGGCATTATATAAGAGAGCTAACTCTCCGAATCCATCTCCAGTCTTTAATTCTCTTTTTGCCTAATTTTCAAATTCGTAAGTTTACTTTTTCATTTACAATTACTTCCAAGCTTCCTCTTTATAAAATAAAAAAACAAGTTGCATGGTCTTATTATTTAAAAATATAGGCTCCTGCTGCAGCTTCGCAATAAAACATTTTGTTCACAATGTTCTCTCTAGAAAATATAAATCATATAAAGTTACAGTTCAGCTTCACTTAAATTGTAAAATACAAAATGGTTTTTTAAGCAAGTCAAAATAAAAGTAGTATCATTTAGTGTTTTTTTCATATCGATTCTTTTGACATTCTCATGTATTACCTCACCTCCTTCGTGGATATTGTGTTTAAAATTTTAAAGTTTGTCCTAAAATTCAATGGGTAAATACGTTTTCATCTCCTCCAGAACGTTGATCCTCTTCTCCATCACAATGTATTTAATTATCAGAGTTGTTCTATGATCTTGGATCCATAAAATATAATTTAATATTTATATATAGAAAATTTAGATAAGAAATAAGCTTTCAATTTCTCTCAATCCCATAACGATTCAAAATTGCATGATTATTATGATTCAATACTCTGATTATGCAATCAATTTAATAATCAATCAAAACCCTTTAAAATCTGTTCCAACTCCTTCTCTTCATCTCAAAAGTAATTCAAACCTTCAGAAGTTCAGATACATTGCCTTATCATATTGATGAGTACAATATAGAATTCTTCCTACTTTTTTTGATTGTCATATATTTATTTTAATCAAACTATTTATATTATAGTATAAATTAATTGTATGTTTTACAATGCTGATTTAAATTTATTAATAATCAAAAAATTAACTAATATTGCTGTTCTTATATACTTCTTAATTGAAAATTTCAGTTTTATAGCAAATATATTGTTTTAATATTAGAATAATTAGGCTAATTAATTTATTTCCTAGAAAAATTAAAAAGGAAGTTTTAATTTCATAAATTGAGCAAACAGTAATCCTAAAAGAGGAGTTTTTCTCAAAATTGTCCTTGCCATTTTATCCATTCCCCTATAGGTGTAGGCGATTTACTAATAAAACATTTAAGTTAATATAATGATGAATTAAAGATTTAATTATTTAAAGATATATAAATTATAATCATTCTCTTGTATAAATGATAGTATTCAAAGTTCAGAGCCAAATAAAGTTATCCCGCCAGGATTTTTTGTGTGTTCTTTTGTCTTGAAAGTTTTCTATAATAGTTTTTGAATGAAGCGATTGAATTATAACAATCTGATTGTAAGACGACCTTGTTTCGCAATTTTCCAAGGGCTCATCAATCACTGTGTCATCAAGAGTTTATTTTTATAATTCACTTAAAGGATTCGAAAAGTAGCATTTTTGGTTTATAAGAAATCGATCCATTAATATAATTTAATTAGTTGATACAATCAAATTAGAGAATTTAAAAATCTATATAATCACGCTTAGGTTTCGTAGAAACTTAGTCAATAAAGATTTATCTGGACATGTGTAAATGGCTAGTTATAATGAAAAATCCAGTTTAAATATATAAATAAGAAATGCCTAATTAAATTAATAATAAATTATTATTCATGGAATTTCATTCAAAGATTTTACAGGGGCAGTCAAATAAATTATTAATTGGGTAATTCATTTAAGTAATATAAACAATCGATAATTTGAGGATAAACTTTGTCGAATCTATTTTGAGTATGAATTATTGAATCCATTAAATACCCTGATGGATGACCTTTCTGTAAAACAATCATTGTCCGAGTTTCTAAATAAAATTTAAGATGTAAGTTGAGGAATTATTTAGATTACAAGTTTAATCAATTTTGGCTTGAAACCTGTTGGCTTATATTTTAAAAGCGAATTACCTGAGTATTGCAGGAACAATAGCATATTAAAAAAGATTTGTAGCATTTTTAATATTGATACCTTGTTATTATATTCTCAAAATTAAAAATTGGCATTCTCTTCAAAGGTATATAGATTTTTAAAATCAAAAGAACATTACCACCAGCGTGGCTATTGTGAAAATAATAGATTAATTTGATCTCAGAAGAATTAAATTATAAACAAGTCTTAGATTCAACCTGGGATAATAAATAGATGTCCAAAGCACATTAGAGAAGGTGCGTAAGAATTATGAGAACCTAAATCTCCTACACAATAATTAGCTTTTAGTGTAATAGCAATAATTAAATGAAATTGCCAATTCGAAGGAGATCGTTTTAGGCTATTTCATGGCATAGACACAATCAAGTGAATGTGTATAAAATGATTAAACTTCAATTCTTTAAGGGGACTTGAGCATTTTAATATTAGCTGATTCAAAAATTACGATATCAGATATAAAATCAGTATGAATAACATGAATATTTAGTTAATTTTGAATGATTTATTGGAATCAGTGAAAGTAAGATTATCATAAGAATTGAATCCCCCATGTTATTTGGCAAAAAGATTGTTAATAACATTTAAGTAGAATGATTTAATATTGCAAAATTACATAGATCACGAATTTAATAAGGAGTAGGAGATCAATTATATAAATTAATATTTCCCAAATTAGTAAATCGACTAGATAAAAATTCTAGAGAGTAAATAAAAAGTAAAGTTAGAATAACCAAAATAACAACAACAATAACAACAATAACAATAATAATAATAATAATAATAATAACAATAACAATAATAATAATAAATTAAAGAAACAATATATGAGAATTAAAAAGAAGCAGTTGGATAATAAAATTAATAATAGTAATAGCAAGACATAAAAGGGAAAGTAAAATAGGAATATTTAATAATGTTGGCAATATTCGGAATACTGGTAGCAATATATTTGAATACATTATTTTGAATATTTTTGTGATATATGTAACTTCAATAATCAACATTTAATGTCATGGCTACTCCTTAAAGAATCCAATGACTAATATGTTCTTGGGTTCTAAGGTCAGCTTCAAAAACGAGACCGACTCCCATAGCATTACGTCTTGATTATGTAACATATACTGGTGTAGCTAAAGTGTCTAGAAAATATAAATTTAATAAAATTACCTTTCAACTTTAGTTTGTTAGCTTCAACTGGGATTACTTGAATAAGAGGCATCTCATAAATCAATTCTTTGGGATTTTATTTTTTGAGACAATTGTTTTCAACATCCCATCTTGCTCCTTCCAAGTAGAGACCCTCAATATAGCATCCGAATTCCATTCTTTGAGTGATGTCTTTGGCCTTGAATTTCTTGGTGACTTAAGTATACAACCTACTTTTATCGAGAGCCCATGTTTTAGCTCTGCAAGTAGTTTGAATCAAAGCAGTGAGATAACTTTCTGGAATATGAAGACCAGATAGCCACATAACATAAGGTTCTTCTTTGCTTGCCCAGTATGAATATTATTAGACTCTTCTCTTGAAATGATTCATCCAAGATCCTAGTTTCTTTTCAGTTTGTGGTGCAAGTCTTCTCCACATTCCTGGTAAGAATCCATTGAACAGGGCTAGAGACAATTCATCTAGGTCATTACTCATACCGATTTCTCCCTTCAAGGCTCTCTTGAGATTAAAAAGTGACTCATTGATTTTGATAATTAATTTGTTGAATCTTTCAAGTTCTTAGAACAAGACAACTTAAGTTGGAGAGATGACTTCTCCTGCTTCCTTTCTCAGAGCTATTACATCCCAGATGACAGGCAATTTTGATAAGACATCTTCACTCACATCATTAACATACTTATCTTTATCAATGCCTCCTGAAACTGCACCTCCAGATGCTCTTAATTACAAAAGATTATCCCAAATGGACTTTGCACTATTGGTGAAGTAAGTGATTTCTGCATTTGGATGTAAACCAAAGACTACAGGAGAGTTAATCAAAGGTAAATGATCAATCATGGTCTAAAATCCTTCATGATTGAGTATTTTAGGTATTTCGTATTTGAAGTCCTCGCTTTATGCAAAGAGGAACTCTCTATTCTTATCAAAGAGGAAATCTCCCATGTATTCATCCAAATATGTGATCAACACTCTTCTATCGTAGGAATCTGTCACTCTGCCTCCATACATGGCTTCTCCGATAAGATACTTAAGTGAATTCCAAGGGATTGTTTCGTCTTTAGCATCATATGCCTTCCTCAAATACATAGACAATAGACTGCTACTAATGTTGAAATCTGATTCGTTGAAATCATAACTGACATTCCATCCAATTTTACCATACTTTCTTCTGTCCAAAATGATTGAATGGAAGAAAGAGACCACATAAACCAAAGTTTTGTAGGCTACATGAGGACAAGAGTTCAATGAGTTTTCATCTATCTTACTCATTATAGCTTTCATATTCAATTTCAAACCATCAGGTGGTTCTGTGACTACTTTCAGTGACTTTTATAAGATACCCAATGGGAATCTGTCTGTAGGTTATGTTGTCAACCACAATCTAAAATCTTTGTGTGGTTTTTGCATTAATTCCAACGTTTTTTCTAAATAACTCTTAAGCCATCCTGTCAATAAATGACAATTGGCCAACATCAACCAATGTCCTCTTTATGATGCAGCTTCAACAAATTGAGATGCTTCTTATTCACTACCTTATCCAAGGGACAGATTTCTGAATTTGGCTCCTGTGAATCCTTTTGAGTCACCCAATTTCATTACATCTGGTAATGGATCAGCTCCTGGTGACAGAATAAATACAATAGGTGATTTTTCATTGGATTAATCGAAGATCTTTTCATAATTGATGATGGGTGGTTACACATAGTTGGAATTTCCATAGATATCTTGAATATACTTTTTGACTCCATTGATAACACGATCAGGTCTAAAGACTCTCAATAACAATAAGATTTAGAATGAGTTCAATTTAGTGTACCCTTCAGGTAAGGTTTCTAATTCAGGTCTTTCATGATCATACCATTTCTTCCACTCCTTACCATGCTTTTCTAAATCATCTGCCAATAATCTATAGATATCAGCCAATTGCATCAATCTCATAATATCCTTCCAACCAGAATCAGGCACCCATTCATATGGTTTCTATCTTTGAACCTATTCAAGTGAGGTGTTTCCTTTTAAGAAGAAATCCAATTCCTCATGATTTAACAATTTCTCACCATCTTAAATCATAATAGTCATTTAGAAAGCAAACATCAATTTATGGATTTCAAAAATACCCAAACAAGTGTAATCATAAACATTACTGGTTAACTTATCAATGATATTTCTCAATCTTGACTCCAAGATAGTATCTTTTCTAGCATCTCTCAAGGATTGATTAAACACTTATAAATAGGCACTTAGAGAGTATTCATACATTTCTGAAATTGAACTCAATGAACTCATGGCAAAAAACAGAATGGCTCCTCTCTTAGCCACAGTGGTGTAACTTTATCTTGCTTGTTCGATTTCTTAACTTGTAATCTATCCATCATTAATGGCCTATTGAATTTCTTCGGATTTTGCTTTGGTTTGATCAAGTGTATTAATCAACTATACATTATCTAACAAAGATCCTTAAGCTTCTGATAATCTCTGTAATAAGTCATCTTCTGCTTCCTTCAACTTTTTCTTGTTCTCACTCATACTCTAAATAAGTTCTAATCTTTGCTTCTCTTTGTCTGGTCTTTCAAATGAAACTACCACATTTAATAATTGATCTCTCAATCCAGTTAAGGTAACTGTGTAATTGATAACCATAGTCTTTGACATAATTTCTGGGGTGTACTTTGGATTGGCCAATTTAGTTGTGAAGTACAATCTAAAATCATCATTATAGTCAATAGTGTTTTCACCCAATTTGATACTCTTCATGCCTGCCTTGATGATGAAGTTCTTTTCTAAAATTGGATCAATGGTGGGATCCAATTCTTCGTCCACATTTTCAAATAAAAAGGGTTTACCATATCTAATACAATTTTCTAAAGGTTTCAAAAACACACCAGCTCCTTCATTCAAATTCAGAACCTTGAAGGCTATGTCTTTCTCTTCCCTTTTCTTGATCCAATTCACTGCCTATAGTTGTGGATCAATACACAAAGGCCATCTTGATGCTCTGGTAGTGAGGATACCGTTTTAAACTGATAATTCATCAGATGGCAATCCTTCAGAATTCCATTAGGAAATTTCAACTGCACTACTCAACAAATCTTCGAATTTGAATTCCGAATTCATAGGCAATTCCTTTTCCCTGATGTCAACCATCCAATGATCGTAAAGCATTTTTCTTCTAAATGAATAGTCGAATGGGCCGACATAACTCAGGAAAGAACTGGCAATCAAACAATCTCCAATCAATTACTATGTCATCTATGCCAATTTACCAGTGTCTTCTGTCCATCTTTTCTTCTCGCCTCCCAAACCTTCAATCAATTTCTTTGCAGCATTCAATTTCTTTTCCATCTCTTATGCTTGAGCAGTCAATTCAGCTAATCTTGCAGCCTTTTAATCACTTTGTACTTGTAATTCAGCCACTTCCTTTTACAAAGCCTCCAATTTAATAGCAGTATTTCTCAAGTCCTCTTCAGTAACCTCTTTTTACTTGGTCATGGCCTCCAAACGTAACTTAAGAGGTTCCACCTTCTTATACACATCGTAGAAATTAACTGTAGCTGTTACCCATGTGTATAGACCACTTGCAGCTTTTGAAATCTTCTATATTTCATCTAAACGATTCTCTGGATTATTCTGAGCACTTCTAATTTTTTCAACCTAGTTTCTTGTCACCTTTCCAATCTTGTTACCGTAATTCTACAATTATTCTAACAATTTCATTGGATTATTCATCATTTATCTGGCAGCATTCCAACCATCTCCTTCGATACCATCTATTGGTTTAAAGATAAGCAACATCGATGCAACTGCTGCAACTGGTTTAGGTGGTGAATTCAAGGCTTTCAATTCAACCAACTCCTTTTAATCAATCTTATTAAGAGCATCCTTTGCAGACTCTAAAATAGGAATGGCCTCTTTAAGAATTTAATCGGCTTCCGCTTATTTTTAATTGATTTCCACACTATCTACCTCCAACTTCTTCTTCTTTATTGACGCCTCTTCATTGTCCTTTGTGGCTATCTCCTTTTTGCCATTAATGATTTTGAGCAAATCCTCAACCTCCTTGCTTTCACTTGTCACTTCCACTTTCTTAATTTCTAATTCCTCTTGCAACACCTTCACTTATTCAGATGCCTCATCCAACTTCTAAACACCATTAGTGTATCTCACAATAAGATCCTGATATTTCTTTCTGTTGACAGCCAATAATCGTTTGTAATTGGATAAGAAATCCAAATAGTTTTTGGGAGTACTGAAATTCTTCCTCCTCAATTATAATTCGAAATCTCTTGAAAACATTTAGATGCTCTCATGAACTTTGGTGATATGCTGAATAATCTTGGGTCTAAATGTTTCGTCCTCCAAATTCTCCTCCTTCAAATACTCAGTAGCCACACTAACCAAAGCCTCTTCAGGCCAAGGGAAGAACCAATTAATTTGAGTGTTACTAACCAAGCCTGGGAAGTTACGACATCTGATTCTCAAAGTATCTCCAGCTGGACTCATACACAAAACAATGTGCATGTTGTCTCTAATTTTTTCAAGGAAATAGTTCCACAATTCATCCTTCGTTTCCAAAATACCTTTTCTTTTTGCCTCATCTCTCACCTTGTCACCCATCTTCTTCTTGCCATCCTCATCAAATAGAGCTGGCACCATTCCTATTGTAAGCATATTGTTAATCAATTCCAAGAAACCTTCCTCCAAAACGTGAGCATCAGTAAACAAGAAAATCGTAGGTTTCTATGTCAAAAGCTCATACAAAGTCTTCAAATCTTCTCTAAATTCTTTCTCCTTATATCCTC